AATTTCCAATGAAGAGAACATAGATGCAAAACAGCGTGTAATCTCCTTCTCAAATAATGCACGTTCCACCTTGACGAATGTGCTGTATATCAAATGGAATGTGGACTTTGGCATATACTGTGCCATGGAATCCATAGTCTCTCCAGCGACGAAAAAGTACAAGAATGCAATTCCTTTCTCAAGTGCGTTATATGGACCAGGGAAATAGTGTTTACTCCAAATGGTAGATAGAAAGAAAAACACTGGGATGGGTCCAAGTCGCTTCATCAACACCTTTTTCATATCCTGTATTCTTGCGATTGGCTTTAACTCTGAACGAAGAAATGTCTTGACCTTTGGGCACATTGGCCACGGTTCATCAAGAAATCCCCATTCGTTCTCCAATAAAGTATCAAGAAGCCGTGCAAGTTTCTTTGGCGTAGGGTTTTCAGCAGTATCAGTCTCCATAATGTCATTTTCTGCAAAAACTGGGAGTATACACACTTATACATGTCAATTATTCCCTTGAATTCCCCAGATATGTCATATTAAGAAATGGTGGGCATAGCTTAACAAAAGTCGAGAAAATAGGTGTACCCCCTCGGCCAAAATAAAGCGCTTCTACCACTTTTGTCTCGGTGATTACCGATATGTAAAATATGTTTATGTTGATACTCTTTCCTTATGTTTTGTTTTTGTAATACTACTAGATAACTATGTCCATTTGGGATCTTTTGCTTTTGTATATGTGTACTTCCTTATATGTATTTGCCATCTTTTTAAAAATTCCTTCCCCAATTATCTTCACAAATCCTTGCAACTTCCATTAGTATTCTATGACATATTTAACTATTTCGACCCAAGACGATTCCCAATGTTCCTTTGAGATGCAGTGGGAGGAACGTGCAAAATGCATTACCTCGATGGTGGCTGTACATTTTCCACATGAGAAACTGTTTGCTTATTGTCACTGGTGGAATTCGGTAACCTCTAAGAAGTATGGATATATGTGGCAAAACTTTAAGAACCCCGAGCTTATTACACTTTTGCTGGCTAACTATTCCTTTAACGATAGACCTATATACTTTGTGGAAGGACATGTAGAAGAGGTAAATGGGAAAGAGAAAGTTATTTTGGGCGAAATAAGGACATTTAAGCGCGAGCCTGGATGTACTGCCATCACGCTAGTTGCTGGCTCGCAAAAAGGAATGTTTCCTTCGAGGGATGCATCTTCTAACGTCATTCGTAAATTTAGCAAAGTTGGAATTGTGGAAGTTGACAACATCTCTATTGCCTGGCCAAAGCGTGTTCATAACAGGTATAGTGCCCCACTTGCAGATATCTTCGAATATGATGAAGATACAGTAGACACAAATGTATTACATCTGAAAACTATTCATGTTTCGATGTATACTGCAGCCGACCGAATTCTAAAGCCTGATGAAGAGTATACCATTGTAGCAGCCGGTCTCAAAGAATTTCGTTCTGAACATCGTTGGCATTTTATTACAGCATGTGGCATAAAGGTGCGCGCAGGAAAATCGTTGGCAAATATTTGGACACCATGGCGTGTGGAGCATCTTCAAGGTCTATAGAGAATTGGCAGAGTCGAAGGTGTACCGTTGATGACATTTCGTGCAGTAAAAAAGGTTCGTATTCATGGCGAGGACGATATGAAGTGCGAGCGTGTTTGAGAGGTTTTTAAAAACTTTGGAAAGTCATCTGTTGTTTATACACTGGTATTATCATCATCATCATCTTTGTTTGACATTTGTTCATCATCATCTTTGTTTGACATCTGTTCATCATCATCTGAAGCAACATACAATCCTATAAAATTCTCTTGCATCCTTTGTAACTCAAGACCATTCTCCAGTTTGTTTTGTACTGTAATGGTTTGTGTTAACTCTGGAATAAGTTGCCTTTCTCGTGGATAATCTACTCCTTCTTCCATCCATCCGCGATGATGTGGCAGCTCTTGGATGTCCACTGCTTTGACAAAGTTGCGAACATTTAGCCAGAGAAGACAAAGGCGGAATGTTAGATTAAACTCCTTTTTGGATCCAACTCGTACAATCTCCTTGTTATTAAACTTGGCGAATGTTTTCATGAGATCACCAAAGACAGCCTCTGACGTAGATCGAAATCCACCAAACATAGCATTAAAGTTGGATTCCTCTTCGTGCAGTTGCTGTAGTCGTTTCTTGCGGATAGGAAAACAGAAGTTACGCTCGTCCAACTTTTCTTTTTCCACAATATCACCAATGTATTGTGTATATCCTCCATCAAGGGCAATACAGTCCATGCTATCGATCTTCTTACCAATGCTCATCTCTTGTAGCATTTTCCCATCGTTGTTATCACGACATGACGCTGATTTGGATACAAAGAGAACCATGCCATTGGCGTCGATGGCCACTTGCGTTCTCAAACCTGATTTCTTTAACTTATAAGAGTACATTGCTGCTTTATCTTCCCCATATGTTGCTCGAGAGTCATGACCATCCAAGTAGAGAGTTACATGCTTGAACATTGGGGGATTTTTCCAATTGGCTGTTCGAATACGAATTTCCAATGAAGAGAACATGGATGCAAAACAGCGTGTAATCTCCTTCTCAAATAATGCACGTTCCACCTTGACGAATGTGCTGTATATCAAATGGAATGTGGACTTTGGCATATACTGTGCCATGGAATCCATAGTCTCTCCAGCGACGAAAAAGTACAGAAATGCAATTCCTTTCTCAAGTGCGTTATATGGACCAGGGAAATAGTGTTTACTCCAGATGGTAGATAGAAAGAAAAACACTGGTATGACTCCAAGTCGCTTCATCAACACCTTTTTCATATCCTGTATTCTTGCGATTGGCTTCAGCTCTGAACGAAGAAATGTCTTGACCTTTGGGCACATTGGCCACGGTTCATCAAGAAATCCCCATTCGTTCTCCAATAGATTATCAAGCAGCTGTGCCAGTTTCTTTGGCGTAGGGTTTTCAGCAGTATCAGTCTCCATAATGTCATTTTCTGAAAAAATTGGGAGTATACACATGTAAATATCTCAATTATTCCCTTGAATTCCCCAGATATGTCATATTAAGAAATGGTGGGCATAGCTTAACAAAAGACGAGAAAAATGGTGTACTCCCTCGCCCAAAAAAAAGCTTTCCAACCTTTTTGTCTTCCTTGAAAACCGACATGTAAAATATATTTATATTGATACTCTTTACCTACGTTTTGTTTTTTTAATACTGCTAGAAAATCAGTGTTTCTGTAAAGGATTTGAGGGCGTTGTGTGCTTTTGAGTGTTTTAATAGAAAGTGAGTTATGAACTGAGGAACTAAACTAGCATTGACTATGAATATTTATGTAACCTTGGAACCGGCTTAGTAATCATGGCTCCCGTGTCTAGCCTTGTGACCTCGGCTAGACTTGTCAGCTCAATCAGACATGAGCAATCGAGGTTGGTGCATGGTTGCTTCCTAGGGTTGGATTAGTCAGCATGTTACCTTATTGGTAGGTGGCGCGTAACCGTTGTGCCTATCCAGAGTGACACTCTGACAGTTTCTCAGAAATTATTCGCACCCTTTATTTCCCTGTAAAATGCAAATCGAATCGAAGTAGCATTCGCATTCGCATCATGTAAAACCAATGTAAAATCCATTTATTCGCATTCGCATTTGAGAAACATTATAGATAACTATGTCCATATTGGATCGTTTGCTTTTGTATACGTACTCTCTTTACATCTATTCGTAATCTTTTTAAAAACCCCTTCCACAATTGCCTTTACGAATTCTTGCAACTTCCATTGGTATTCCATAATGTATATAACTATTGAAACCCAAGACTAGTGTTTCTCAAGAACATAGTGCATTCGCATTCGCATTCGCATTCGCATCATGTAAAATCAATGGAAACCCCTTTATTCGCATTCGCATTTGAGAAACACTACCCAAGACGATTCCCATTGGGGGATTTTTCCAATTGGCTGTTCGAATACGAATTTCCAAAGAAGAGAACATCGATGCAAAACAGCGTGTAATATCCTTCTCAAATAACGCCCGTTCAACCTTGACGAATGTACTGTATATCAAATGGAATGTGGACTTTGGCATATACTGTGCCATAGAATCCATCGTTTCTCCAGCAATGAAAAAGTACAAGAATGCAATTCCTTTCTCAAGTGCATTGTATGGACCAGGAAAATAGTGTTTACTCCAGACGGTAGATAGAAAGAAAAACACAGGGATGGGTCCTAGTCGCCTCATCAACACCTTTTTCATATCATGTATTCATGCGATTGGCTTTAGCTCTGAACGATGAAATGTCTTGACTTTTGGACACATTGGCCAAGGTTCATCGAGAAATCCCCATTCGTTCTCCAGCAGATTATCAAGCAGCCGTGCAAGTTTCTTTGGCGTAGGGTTTTCAGCAGTCTCAGTCTTCATGTTATCGTTTTCTGCAAAAAATGGAAGTATATACATGTAATTGTTCCATTTGTCTTTTTTTAAAATTGATGGAACATAGCCCTTAGGTACAAGATAGCGTTTGTGGATGAATATCTTACATTCACAATATGCCCAACCTGCGTTTCCAGGGGCGAGACGATAAGATTTGCTAAGCCCTCGGCGAGAACGTGTACGTGTGTAAAATGGGGATGGATTCACCGAGACTTGGTGGGCGCACACAACATTGCTAAACATTACCTCAAGCACCTCGGACGCCCCCTATCCCTTGCAAAACCGTCGCTACAAACTTCCTAACCTCTATAGATTGAACCAATATATTTTTTATCCTACACTCCTTTTATTCTGCGGACGAATGGATATATTGGATTCAGAGCACGATAACTCGACCACGAGTGGACCGCGGTGAAGGTGCTTGCACAGTGCGAGAAGGGCGCCATGGTATTCACGACAGCTCGGAATGCGGCACCTGCTGTGTTTAATTCGCAGCACATAGCCTATGGGGACATTCGTTACGGGCATATCATTGGAGGTTTAAACAGAACGTTACTTTACTTAGTTGTCCACCGGCTTCTTTTCTGCCTCTCTCCCTGACGCCTTTGATTGCAAAACACTAAATGCTTTTATATGGTCCAAGTCGAGAGTGTTAGAGCTATGATGGTTGCGTTGGTTGATAGCGCGGTAGAAACATGTAAACATGGCGGAGAAAGTAGAGTAATCGTCCTGATCCCGATTCTTTCCAATGACCGCGTGCTTGCAATATTCCTATGTAGCCATTGGCGTGGTTATGTCGAATGGCTGATTGGTTCAAGCGGGTCGTCGCCGTTCCTTGCTCTTCGGGCTGGTGTTGACATATATGAGATAATGTAAGTCGCGATGTTACCTTTGTTTCTAGGATCTTGTCTTCAGAAAACAAGGTATACCATATACTACTGTAGCCGCACCAACCAAATACTTCAATCGGCACTCCTCCCTGGCCTCCTTGACTGCCTCAACAATCGACAGTCTCGGTCTCTGCAGCGAGTGACGCGTCCTTGTATCCATGACGCTGGAATAGTCTCTGTCGCCGTACGATCCCTCCATAGGCGAGGTGGATGGCCACACAGGGTCTCGAGATGCGCTTGTTAAGGTGCCTTTGTTTCCTGTACCAGAGCTGTCGTCAAGTCCCCAGAGTGTGAAGAGTGCTTTGCTGAAGCGGTCCAGATCTCGATCAGTAACATCCCACAGATTCGCCACAACCGTCGGGCAACCCGCCAGCATGTAGTTCATCGCGTTCCCGGTGGGATCGAACTCTCCACTGCCCCTGAGCAATCCCGAACTGCAGCCGAGTAAAATGGAAACCGCACAGTGCCCAAGCTTTCGTATCTGCGTCGGCTTAATGTACTGTTCGCCTCCAGAGTGACCAAAGTAGCTAAGAGGATCCCAGAAAAACACCCACCCCAAACAGCTCTGGTTAGTTTTGAGCAAGGAAATAATAGAAGATTGGTTGGTTTGTGGACAGAAAAAAAAAACATAAAAAAACACTTACATGTACAAGTCGTTCTTGCTAAGACCTTGAATGCACTCCATGTCCAGGGGCGTGCGACCAATGATCCCGTTCCAACCTGGCTGGGCTTTCACATAGTCCTTGAACTCCTCTTCCGTGTTCTTCAAGTCTTTGCCGGGGTTCAGCAAATAAAACGTTTTTTGCCCATCCACCTCCAGATCTCTCCAATCGTGATGTTCGACGAGAGTCGTGCTCTCTAGTGCTGTTTTGTTCGTTGGCATGGGACTATCCTGAAGTTGAGATCGAGAGAGGAGGTGTCGCTGCTGAAGTATTCGATCCCGCAAGAACCAGATAGACGGTACTCTCGATACTGCTTCATCTCTCAGGACGGGGCACGACTCCCAAGGGAACATTTGCAGGTACTTGTCAAGGACCAAGATGACATGGGCTCCTTCGTCGTAGCCATTGTTGTTAGCCGCAACCTCAGCTTCCCAGTAACATTGTAGCGCCTCTTGGATTTGCGTTGCGACGCGACCGAATTGCTCCTCGGAGTACTCGACGAAGGGTGACGTTATCCGGGGACTGCCAATGCTGGAAGCATCCACGGACCCAGGTGCTGCAACATTCTTGAATAGATAGGCGTCCAGCAAAAAGTAAACCAGGTCGCGAAGTTCCGACTCGGTAGGTTGGTCGCCCAGGTTCAGTATAGCTCTGCAGAGGTCGACGTTGATCTCTATCTGGGCTATGGAGGCTCCTTCCAGATCGGTATGTCCTCGGTCAACAGATCGCGAATTGCGAGCAGGGGGAGCTGGGACAGTGTTGCTTGCCTGCGACATAATCCACTCCAAAGTCTTCTTGAAATCCAGCAAGTTCTCCTCGCTCGACGGTGTGTTGTGCGACTGGATTAAGCCCTTCAGTCCACATAGCCACTGGTCCTCCATTGTGCTCAGCAAGAAACGCAAGCGGTCATTCAGGTTCTGGCGTCGGCTCCACCACTCAGTCTTGGCCTCCTTAGTCAGTTCAATAGGCCGGCGGTTAGACGAGAAGGTTGTGGATGTCACTCCGGGGACCCCTGTTGCAGGAATGTGGCCCGAGACCGCTGTGGACGCAATCGAAAGCGTTTCCTGGCTCTCCTTCATAATGTCCTGCAACTCCTCAAATGCCCCAGCGTACGACAGTGGTTCTGCCCTGCCAGTGTCCTGCCCCCCATCGACTTCCCCTACAAAGCTCACATCCAATCGGGCGTCCCCATCGCCTTCTCGCAGTTGGGCTCGATTCAAGGGAAGGCAGACAACCAACGGCATCGTGTTGGCGCGAAGGCGGTTGACGTAGAGCACACCACGGTCGACATCCATCGTGAGGGAGACCACAGTCCAGTTCTGCGGTAAGATGTCGACAAGGTCCCGTTGGAAAGCCAAAGGATCGTCCGCCGTTTCCGACATCATCTTGGCGTCCTGGTCGTATACCCTGTCCAACTCTTCCAAGAAAGGTCTGTCGTTGCCCAATGTCGATGATGGATGCAGCAAAAGCTCGTGATTTAACTGCGCTTGTTTTCCTAAGCGGTTGTGGCGCCTGTCACAAATCATCTTTGGATTCTCCCTCGCCTCCACGTTGCCGCCTCGGGACCATCCGATGTCATTGTCAGTATCGGGTGCTGGGAACAGCCGCAAGGGGCGAGGTTTTTCCAACCCGACAAAGGGGACAGTTTTGTGCCCGTGGCGCTGTAACTCCTGTCCAAGACGCAACTGCGACTCTCCAGGCTCGTGCAACAAGACGTGTTGGTCATCCTTGCTCACAATATCCTTTGGCCAGGCCTGATCTTCTTGCGGCAGCGTCGGGTGAAGCTTTTGCTTGATCAATCCGTGCATCTCTCTCCGCTGTGTGACAGCCTTCGCCATCTCTAATGAGCAAGCAGCTCGGGCAGCCATCTTCCACACGTCCGATTGCCGATCCGATCGCTCCCCACTCGGCATGGTTCCCCTCATGAAATCGCCCTTGAGAATCTCAACGTGGAGGCAGGATTCCAGTATAGCGAGGTAGGTGAGCCTGGAGCAGATGTCCACGACGACATGGCTTGGGCAGGTGTAGAAGGAGCTTTGAAATGCGCCAATAAGGTGGGCTCTAGCTTCGACCAGGATGTCCACGTACTGTCGGGTCAAATTCAGCTTTCCTCCTTGCACGAGCTCAGTTATTCCCAGATGAGGACCAAAAGGGCTCTGCAACAAGGGTTGCTGGAATGCAAGTTGTGAACGGCGACGGCGTGACATCCTAGTAACTCGCACAGAAGGCGACGACGACGGGGAAGCCGGGTGGGAGTCCAACCGAGAGACTGTATTACTTTCGCTCGGGTCAACAGCCTCGGTCAACGATGTCGATGAAGAGGCCAGCTCCTGCGCTCGGGTTTTCTGGAAGAGACCGATGGCCAGCGCCGACTCAGGGATCATGGCGTACATCAAATGCTTGGCCATCGCATCCTCCAACTCCAACATCAGCATCTTGGCCATGGTGAGGTGATACTCCGGGGATGTAAGCGCCGTAGGATCCTCCTCTCTGGATTTTTCGACCAACTCCCTCGCCTGCGTTCGTTGCCCCATGCGATTGAAGATGAGACTTGTTCGGTATCCCATCGTGGCTTTGATCTCACTCAAAGAAGCACACTCCAGCTTCTCAGTCCCTGGCGATCCGCGAGCAGAATCTGCCCCCAGCGACTTCTGCGACGGACGGCGACTCGTCCCTCGGCGCTGGTATAGGGCCACCAGTCTCTTCTCTCTGGGCGTTTGAGGTTCGCGTATCACTAGCTGTTCCAGGCTCATGATAACCGACTTGTCCATCAAGTACGTCAGGATCTCATCCGTCCGATAGTAAGCGCGCAACGATCGGTCGAATCTCTCGGTGGCTAAGTATAAATCGCCATGTAACAGTTGGATCCGAGCGTCCTGAATCTCCAATGACCCAGCAGCACTATCCAAGTTGTCATCGTCCATCACCAGATCATGGAGGATTAGCTGGCTCTCATCCCACTCGTGCTTCAATAAACCCAAGTGTGCCTGATTTAGCAAGAACCGACCCAGAGACCTGGGGGCCCTTGACAGTCGAGCAATACGCTGGCCTTCCTTAACGAAATATTCCGTCTCCTGTACACTGCCCTGGACAAGATGCAACTGTGAGAGTTGGTGATAGACCTCACTGAGCAACCGGAATATAGACCACTGGTTGCGTTGGGTCGCCAGCAGGTCGATGCCTTGTCGCCGTTGACTGCTCTCGGTGGTTGCCTGGGTGGCAGGAGTGTCACGATCCGTAGGCTCCTCTCGGATAAGAAAAGGGTTGTCCATGGGGCGTTGGCAGATCACGGTCGAATCCTGTTGAGACGCCTCGATTGCGGTCGCAAGCGTCGAAATGATCCTGTTCAGCTGCCGAAGTGCTCTCATCGCATCAGCGATAGACTCTGGAAGATGTTCCTTGAGGAATAGTAGGCGGGATCGCGCCAAGGATGCCTCTACCACCACCATGGCCCTTTGTACTTTGATCTCTACAGATCTCGAGATTACGCCATTGCTGGGTGCATGACGCGATGTGCTGGCGGATTTGGAAAAGGCCTCGTTCATGTACATTTGAGAATACTGCTGTGCTTCATTGTATGCGGCAACACCCTGGGACTTATGGCCAACGGACGTCAAGTACAGGCTGTGTGCAAGTAGCCAAAGTGGATAGGCCTCCCGCTGCATGACGTGACCGTCTGAGCGCCTCGACATCTCCTCCAGAATAGCCTTGCCATGATCAAGGGCTGTCTTTGCCTTGCCCGAGTAACCAAGAGCCAGGTATGCTTGACCCATCCTCGAATAAATCCGCACTGAGTCTGTTTTGATACGAAAAAGAGCGTATTTAGTAATGCGTTGTATAGAGCCATAGTATTATGAAAGTCCATGGCATGCGGTCCACGTATAGCTTACCGGCACACGCTTCCTCCGGCGTTGGAAGGATCCCGTTACACAGGCGTAACATTAGCCGATAGATCTGCACCTGCAAGACTCGGTAGTCAATCATCCCAAAGCAGTCCGCGAGCATTTGAAGGTGTCCATAAAGCTGCTCTGGGTCTGGTATCTGTTTCCGAGCCTTCTCGATCCCGCTCTGCCGACCAGTCCCCGCTAACGCATCGGACTTCTCCCATGAAGCAAAGCATTCGACACCAGAGAGAATGACTTCCCATAGTTGAAGGGCAATCAGGAACGGCTTGGACTTCTGAGGCGACCCACTCTCGTCCCACTTGCGCTCAAGAACGCCTTGCCAGGTGTATGCCATCGCAAGGTAGTGATTCCTGACCGGCTCTAAGCACCCATCGCCTTTGAGATCCCACTCCTTCAGAATCTCAATTGCCTCTTCGACTAGTTGAAGGGCTTCGCCACGCAAGGCTTGATCTGCCTGATCTTGATAGAGCATGGCAAGGCGGACCAAAACTCTCGCACGCCGAACCGGATGAGAGAGACGATCACCCCCTGGATAGACCTTGGTGGTTAGGTGCTTCAAAATCTCGATCTGTTCTAGGCTGCGAAGTCGTGTTTGGTTCGCCTTCACTCCCAGGACCGAGAGCAGCCCTACCTCGTACTCCTGAACTGCTCCCGCCAAATATGGCTCCTGTCCGTCCTGCGTCAGCCTCGCCTGGAGCTCAGGTACAGACTTTAAGACGGAAACAAAGCAAGGCTGGGTCATCATCAGCAGAGTTCGGGCGCGACGGTTGAGAAGCTTGGCGGCTGGTAGATGGCTGGTCCTCATATCTCCGAGCGCAATATGATCGATCTGCCGAAATGCCTCCAGCGGTAGGATGCTCAGGCCTGCGTTGAAACACTCCAAGGCCAGGTCAACCTGGTGAAGTGATTGAAAGCACACGCCCAAGACGTCGTATCGGTTGGCCAGTACCAGTCTGCCCTCTGCGATCGAGTCTGTTATGGCAGAGGTCTGCATCGATCCACGAGGGAGAGGCGTAGATTCTGTAGGACCCACGCACTTCAAAAGATCGTCGCCGATGAAAAGTCGGTAGGAGTGGATGGCCAGTTCCAGAGGTCGGACGGCATCCTTCTGCTGATTCGTCTTGAGAAGAGAGCCGCCATGGTTGTAAAGCGCATTCGATATCCAGGGGAGCGATTCTCGATCGTTCATCCTTTCTGCTGTCCTAAATGCCGATTCCAGGTATGTCGTCATCGGTTTGGGCAGAGGTTGTCCGACCGCAACATCAATGTTGGACAAGTAAAGACGAGAAAGGAATAATATTGCGTCGACACGCGCGCACGACAGTTTAAGCGGGTCAGGGCGAGTTCCCCGATCTCCCTCGTACCACTCCTATAAAGCGTGTAGAATTTATGTTACAAAGGGGAAGAAGATCATCGACACAAAAGCGGGTTCGTTCATCCCTCTATCGTGAAGTTTCGTAAATCAGTCGACAAACCTGATAGTAGGGATGGGCTGCATTCCAGAGGACCTCTGTCAGGTCGGATAAAAACGGAAGAATAGTTTGGATGCACCCTAGCAGTTGCAATTGCTTGTTTGTCAATCCTGTAGCGATGGTCATGCCTGATGGTGAGCCATGGGTGCATTTGAGACCGCCGTTCGACTCGACCTTCTCTTTCCTGTCAAGTGTTTTCGCTCCGATTTTGCGCAAGGTATCCATGGATCGAAATATCCTTGCAACGTTTTGTAAAGTAGCCGCCGTCAAAGGCTTTGTTGGAAGCACTGAGAGTGCGCACTGCAAGGATAACAAGGACGACCTGGTAACTGACAGTGACTGTTCCAAATCCCTCACTACATAACAGTACACATCAAGCCGACATGCATGGTCAGTGTGGGCATAGAAAGACAATTGCCTTCACAAGGTGACACTATCATTGAAAACATACCTGGTAAAGAGTCATTCTGCCACACAGGTAAAAAGTCTTGGAACTTTCGAAGCGCCTCGACAGCCACCTCAAGATGATTACAGACCTGATCTACGGACACGAGGCCAGGCATTGGCGTTGGCGAGATAGTTGCTTGGGTCGCAGTAGAACGCGAAGTATGTGGATAAGCTTTGTTTGTCCCAACAGGGGTTGTCAGATGAGACGAGAGGTGTGTTGGTGGTGTGAGCGATTTCGACAATGGGGGAGGCGTGGTGTCGATCATACGGGTGTCCTGGATACTTGGATCGATGCTGCGTACAAAGGCTAGAGTCGCCTCGTCATCCACCTACCCAGATGTAGCAAACGTCGTCAGTAAACTGCATGCCATTGGCACATTCCCGTCATGATGTGGGCGCGCAAATGTTCAGTACCTTAGAAGCAAAATGTGCCACGTAAGTATACCAAGATTGGTAATGACTGCTGGTGTAATCGATGGGAGACAGTTCCTGCACGAAACCGAAAATCTCCTTGTACGCTGTAACGAGAACTATGATATCTGCTTGAGTTCGTCCCTCCCTGGTCGACTTTTCATATTCCACTCCGCATCGCATGATCTTGTCCCAAATACTCCCGTCGTTGGTCCCCGAAAAATGCTTAAAGGCGGCGTGGTATCTCATCCCTAGCATCCTCAGCAAGAAAGCGCTGCAATGTCCGTCTAAATTCAGCGAGAGTGATGAATGATGACTGTTAGTCGGTATCGCGAGTGTTGCATGTCACCGACCCAATGTACACCTATATTGTTCAATTGGACTGTACCTCGGTTTGGGTTGTTTTCGACTGTCTTTGCTGCGGATATAAATAAGAGCCGGAAAAGAGCGTCCAGGGACTGTTGTGCCAGCTTTGGCTGAGACTTGGCGATGCAAATACACCAGTTGTAAGGTGAATCCTTCCTGGTGAGCATAGGATAAAGCAACTACTCATGTATAGTAAAAGGTGAGATTGAGCATGCCGACCACGTTATTCCGCACGGAAATTTGAGGCAATCAATATTTTTTTTGTTACTCACATGAGCTAAGGATCCATTCCTGACGTCAGCCCAGCAACGCACGGCATTGTTGTGAAGTGCTTGAACTAGCAAGATAAACGTCTGGGTGGGGTTGATGTTCCCTGAAGGCGAGAACGTTGGCGATTGTGTTGAAGGGTAAGCCCCCAGATCGCTTACGACCTTGTTGGGGAATGGAAACGAGAATAGATCCTGGTATGTCCTTTGTAGTGATTCGGCTGATAATAACGTCGATGTTGGGTGCAGTCGAGTCTTGGATGTGGACATAAGTTGTTGGCTCCTGCTCGCCAAATCCGGCTCATCCCACACAGCCATGGCACCTGCGATCAATTGCTCCCGCAAGATTCCTAGCTCCTTTAGTGCCCGCTTTTTCTATTAACAGGCAATGAAGAAAAATAAAATGAGAGTCGAATTCATCGACCACACACGATTATTTCATACGAAGACTTAACGACAAATTCACTATTGATGTTACCATGCCAAGGGCTATAATCTTGGTGATTAGGTTGGATCGGGCTTTTTCGATCTCAAACAGATCGGTTGAGACCCTACACTCTAAGACTTCCAAAGCACGCACACTTAAGAAACTGATGTCGACCAAAATGGCTACGTGTGAGTAGGTGGGCTGGTCAGTGCGATAAACAGAGCCTCGCAAGTCATCCGAATCTGCCGTGTCGGATGCATTAGTCGGTGGTGCAGGTTGGGTTCCCTTGGATGGTCCGCCTTCTCTAGCGTTAGCTCCGCTCGCAGCCGTCCCGGCTCCTCCCCCCGCCTTTGGTCCTGAGTGCTGTGCTCGTCCTGTAGACGGCCTCAGTGACGTTGATGCCACTGCGATATTGTTGGACGCAGCGCGAGAAACACCAGAGATGGCCTTCTTTGTTGATCCCGCAGCTGATAGACTTTGAAATGCATGCGCCAGGCTTTTGCCAGCATTTACCGCGGCCTCTGTGTTGGCCGGCGAAGGGGGGATAAGGGTGGGTTGTGGGTCTGGAGGAGGTTGCAGTGAGACGATGTCTGAGGCAGTAGTCGCGTTCAGAATCTTGGTCCATTGCGTGAGGGTCGACATGCTCTGGTTTACTAATCTCTTGACCTGCTTGGCAAAGCCAGGAGCAGTGGTGGTAAAATTGGTGTGGTTGTTTCGTGGTGGATGTGCAGCGGGGATTGTTGGTTGCATGGAAGACAAGGTTTGTTGTTTAGAGGCGAGGATGCGGTCGAGGTCAGAGGCGAGTTGACCGTGGTATTGTCGATGGCGTGGCAGCAGGTCGATAAAGATCTCGAGTGGGTCGCTGCTGTCGGCCATTATTGTAAGATAGACGGTACTTGATTGGCTCCTCCTGAGGATGTCGGGGTGTTTTTGTTGTGGCCGTTGATGGTTGGTTGATGGGCAACTGTAGGTCTGCCAACAGTATACGGCATAGAAGACGAAGAAGCATTTGTGGCCAATTATGACTACAGTAGGAGATTTAATGTGAGCTAAGCCACCGATATAGAGACTATCATATTTTCTACAGCTCTGCATGGACAATCTTATCTGCCTCCATCTCAAGCTCGCCGGAGGCGGCAATGGTGACGGCAGCCTTGGGGCGATCGCCGGGGGCAGTAGGCGTCTTCTCAATCGCAGCAATAACATCCATGCCATCCATGACAGTACCGAATACAACGTGGCGTCCGTCCAACCACGAGGTCTTAACAGTCGTAATAAAGAACTAATAGGTGAAGGTGCGTGGGTTAACAAACACGGAAACCTTTCAATTCAAAGAACACACGAACCTTCAACATAGATAGAAATCGTTGGACAACAAGAGGACGATACGTTACCTGGGATCCGTTGGTGTCCTTGCCGGCGTTGGCCATGCTCAAAATTCCAGGGCCGGTGTGGCGAAGCTTAAAGTTCTCATCAGCAAACTTGGCTCCCCAGATCGATTTGCCGCCAGTTCCGTTACCATTGGTAAAGTCACCCTATCAGACATAAGAGTTCATCACAAATGCAATATCAGCATTGTCCTTCCAGACCATGGAAATGTACCCCTTCTTATTTTTTCTGGTCCTTTGCTCATGTTGCACGTACTCCTTGGATCATAAAGTCCTAAGTAGAATCAAGAGTAAGAACAGCAAAAGTATGATTAGTAAGATTTAACAAAACATATCATTAATGACGGCAGACTTGAGAACGACGACAAAGATAGCGACAAAAAAGTACCTTGATGACACGGTGGAAGGACGATCCGGCATAGCCGAAGCCATGGGTACCCTTGGCGAGCTCAAGAAAGTTCTCTGTAGTCTTGGGGACAGTCTAATAACGATAACACCATCGTACCGGTTTCGGGTTAATACAGACGCTCGTTAATACACGCATAACACTCTTTGATCTGGCGTCGTTGCTTTCGCTGCTGTTCGATTGTTAAGAATGTTTACCTTTCCGAAAAGGCCGATAACAACACGGCCCATGGGCTTGCCATCCTGCTCAATGTCAAAGTAGACTAAATCAGACGTGACAAGAGAAAGAAAAAAAGGATGTTTCAAATACATAAGTATTCCATGAGGAGAAACGTGCGTTCTTGCGCAAGAACAATTAGGTTAGAATGAGGAGTTGATGTACCCTTGTTGGTGATGACAGGGCCCTTGCCAGCATGTGCAGATGCTGCAAGGGCTACGACGGCGACGACAAAGACCAAGGCGCGCTTGAATGAGACCATTTTTTTTCAGTTTTTACGGGGGGGGGGGAGGTTGTGAAAAAAAGGAAGGGAGATGAAGAAGAAGGAAGGAGGATGATGAGAAGCAACAAATGATGGCGGAAAAAGGCAGAGGAGCTGGGTGCTTTGTCGCCCTATGATTGGCCAGAGTTTGGCCAAACGTCACGTGTAAGATGCATTTAGCTCGCACTTACTTCGGTCTCTCCTTTTGTTCCTGAATTACTGAACTTACTTTGCATCAATATCCTTCTTCCTCTTTCTTAGCTCGCTGACTCCTTTGCTTCTTTCATCTATCCCTCACTGACATCTTTCCTTCATTTGCATCCTACCTTCCTCTATTGTACATTCATACACACCACCTCACCACTACAACCAACAAGAGAAAGTAAAAAATAGAACGAAAAAAAAAAGGTCTTTCTCCCTCATGTCGACATTCAACAGAACAATGCGTGCGGTCGCCATCAAGGCACTGCAGTGCGGCTCGATCCCCAAACACATCGGCCTTATCATGGACGGGAACCGCCGCTACGGGCGCAAGGTCCATGTCGGCAACGGAAAAGGATATTACCTTGGTTATGAAACCCTTGAGGAGGTTCGTTCGTTCTATTTTTATTATTTTTTTTTGGCTCCAGTCCCATAACTTTTTTTTTTCATAAAAACAACACTGTAACTAACGATCCAAGTCGAATGCCAACTCTTTCGATACATGTAATTAGATTTTGGCAGTGTGTATGGAGATGGGTGTTAAGGTTGTTACGGTGTATGCCTTCAGCATTGAGAACTTTAAGAGGCCGGCCGATCAAGTGGAGACACTTATGGAACTGGCCAAAACAAAGCTTGCCGAATTATGTGAACAAAGGTAAAGTCACTGGAGGATATGAATGGCAGCCATTCACTGCATTTTTTATTTTTTCATGCGATCAAGATTGGCATATGAAAGCCCTGCTTGTTGTCGAGAGTCCCACAATGTCCACAGCCGGAGTAAGGCAGAGGGGATATACATGTAGGCGTGTGCGTATCTGAGGGGCTGTCGGATGTGGGCTCAGTCAGGTTTTGTTTTTAAATTTCTGTTGTTCATATGTGGGAGCCGACTGCACTCTATTGGCAGACACAAACAAATAAACAAGCGGTGTCCACATATTTCATTAACAAATTTAACGCTACCATGCAATTCTTATAGTGAACTCGTTCGACAGTATGGCATCGGGATCCGGGTCTTGGGCGACACTTCATTACTTCCAGACGATGTTCGCAAGGTTATCCGCAAGGCGGTTGATCTCACCAAGAAGAACAACCGCGCCATCCTGAACATGTGCTTCCCTTACACATCCCGGGAGGAACTTACTATGGCAACTCGATCTTTGGTGAGCGGCATCGAAGCCCATGATCTCAACCCTAGGTAAGTCTGGTCATCTATGTTTGTTATTAAGAGTCATGATATCTTCCACGGTCTGATTGGTTTACTTCATTCAGCGAACTAACTCGTACATCGCATGACGTCCTCGTGTACAATAGTGACATTTCGACAAGCGTGTTGGAGGAGAGTCTCTATACCCGCTCGTGTCCACCCATGGATATTTTGATCCGCACTTCAGGAGAGATTCGGCTCAGTGACTTCATGCTCTGGCAGAGTTCAAGGGCATGCCATGTCGAGTTTGTAGACTGTTTCTGGCCAGAGTTTACGTTCTGGAAGCTGTTGCCAATTCTGCTGCGATATCAGCTGAGAGCGATATCCATCGCTCAGTCGAGGACAGAGTACGGCCGAGGGGAAGGGACAGGGGAAGAAGAAGATGATGATAGTGAAGCTGTGTTGCTTAATACAGACGTTATTAAAGCCCAGGAGGCGCCGTTGGAGCAGGAACAGGGCTTTGTGATGATGAGCCAGAGGAACTCATCCGAGTCGACGCTGGTGACTTGCGAGATGGATGAGACATTGGGGGCGGAGCCGCCGTGCGGTCCGATGCTTGAGAAGAAGCAGCGGGTGAGCAGCTTTCTGCACCACCGGGGCCACCTCCCCAACTGTCCGATTGTGCATTTGCAATAAGCTAATAAAAAAAAAAGACAGTCACACCACTTGGCGAGGGAATAGAAGAACGCGTCTTGTTCGCTTTTTGTTTGTTGTCATTGCACCTTTGATCAACCAAGCAGCAGACAACGAAATACGCACGAACACAAATACAGAAAAGCGTACTCAATAGTCAGCATCCTCTCAGCAAGCAACAACAGCCAACTCTCTCACTCTCGGAGGATCAATATGCATATCGAGGAACTCATCATCGATGGGTTCAAGAGTTATGCAACTCGTACATCCATCCCAGGCTGGGACCCCTCTTTCAACGCCATCACGGGACTCAACGGCTCTGGAAAGTCAAACGTCCTCGACGCCATCTGCTTCGTCCTCGGCATCACCAACTGGTCGCAGGTGAAGTCACCCTCAAGTAGCAAACTAGCATATAAATTCGAACGTCTTGACATGTCAACTTGTCCTACTAAAACAGGCTGCCATCCTCTCTTCGAACCCCCTACTCGTTAAACAGGTACGAGCAAGCAACATACAGGATCTCATCTACAAGCGAGGCCAGGCAGGCGTGACCAAGGCCACCGTCACCGTCGTGTTCGACAACAATGACCCCAAGCAGTGTCCAGTCGGGTTCGAATCATTCAAACAAATCACCGTCACTCGCCAGGTGAGAGAGTGTTCTTTTTGTAGCTCGATACATTGGAGCATGCGGCTGGATAAAAGACATCAAACTGACATTCCATTCCTCTTCTTCATTGGGTTTAGATCTTGGTGGGAGGGCGGAGCAAATTCTTGGTAAACGGGCACTCCATGCAACAGAACGTTGTCCAGAACCTCTTCCAGTCGGTTCAGCTCAACATCAACAACCCCCACTTTCTCATCATGCAAGGTCGTATTACTAAGGTCCTTAACATGAAGCCCCCAGAGGTCCTTGCCATGATCGAAGAGGCGGCTGGTACACGCATGTTCGAGGAAAGAAAGGAAAAGGCGCTCAAGACGATCGCAAAGAAGGACAAGAAGGTGGCCGAGATCACACAGCTACTCGCCGAGGAGATTGTGCCAAAGCTGGACAAGCTGCGCGGGGAGAAGAGAGCCTACCTCGAGTTTCAAAAGACGCAGACGGAAATTGAGCGACTCTCGCGAATTGTGGTCTCATACGACTATACCCGATACGAGGTATTTGAGATACACTATTTTGTTTGATGTTATGGCATCGCAACACTGTCGCCGGTGGGCAACTTCTTCGTGGTATTCCACCTCACCGATGCTGATGCTTTCCTCGTTTTCTTTTGGCCTTAGCAACGGTACTCGAAAGCCAAGGATGACTATGAAGCCAAAATGGCGTTGACGACTCAGACGAGTGAGGATATCCAACAGCTGCAGTTGGCCATTTCCAACATTGGACGGGACATAGAGTCCATTACCACCAACCGACTCAAGGAGATGACTTTGGGAGGCAAGTTCCAGACATTGGATGCTACAGTCAAGGACCTGTCCAAGGATCTGGTGAAGGTCAAAACGCAGCGGGATCTGAAAGGCAAGGAGGAAAAGGAGGAAGAGCATAATAGAGCTAGTCTCATCAAGTCTCAGAAAGAGGTAAGATTCATCATATATTCTTCAATGTGCAAATAACCGACCCAGTGTTACTTCTAGTACAGGTTACTCCATTCGTTTGTTCTCACACATCAATGTCGTTTTTCTTTTTTCCTTGCTGAATAGACAGAGAAGAGCAAGCAGGAGAAGTTGACAGAGTTCGAGAAGCTGAAAGTCACCTACAACGACCTCAAGCGCGAGTATGACAAGCAGCAGGAACAAGTCCGCATGAACGAAGAATTGATCCAGACACTCTCGACTGGTGTCGCCGCTGAAGAGGGTCACGAAAACGGATATATGGAGCAGCTGCAACGAGTCAAGGCAACGGTCGCACAGGAAACCACTCTGGTTGAGCAGTCGAAACTCAAGCTGAAGCATCTCGACGTTGACTTGGTTGAAAAGAGAAAGCAGGCAGCGGCGGCTCAGAGGAGCAACAAGGGTCTGAGCGAAGCGCTGGAGGCGGCTAAGCATCAGGTCAGGCAGTACGAAGATGCCTTGCGCCGCCAGACATTTGACCCTGAAAAGGAGCGCGCTTTGCTTATCGAAAAGGCTTCGCAGGCAGAGGCCATGGCCAAGATTTCGGAACAGATCGAGTTCATGTCACGCAAGTTGTCACGGCTCGACTTCCAGTACTACAACCCCACTCCCAACTTTGACCGATCCGCTGTCAAGGGTTTGGTAGCAGAATTGTTCACAGTCCCTCCCGCGCATAGCCATGCAGCCACTGCCCTCGAGATTTGCGCCGGAGGGCGTCTCTACCAGGTAGGGTTTCCATGTCACTCCCTGCCCTGTTGTGCGATTTGTACTGGAAATTGGGGAAAGCGCAATCTTTAACATATTGATTTCTTCCTGATTTTGAACAGGTCGTTGTCGACAACGAGGTTGTTGGATCCCAATTGCTCAAGAATGGCAAGCTGCGTAAGCGTGTTACAATTATTCCTCTCAACAAGATTCAAGCCTTCAGGGCCCATGCGCAGGTAAATCTTCATTAATTCTTGTTCAAAGAGATATTCCCCCAAAGGGTATTACTCTGGACTGACTACTTACGCTTCATATAATTGCGGTTTTTGCTGACAGAAAATCACGACAGCTCAGCAACTTGCCCCGGGTAAAGTCGACTTGGCCCTAACGCTCATTGGCTTCGATCAACACTTGGAAACGGCGATGGCATACATCTTTGGCAACACCCTCATCTGTGCCGATGCTGCGACTGCCAAAAAAGTTACGTTTCACCAAGACGTCAGGATGAAATCTGTGACTCTTGAAGGTGATGTTTATGACCCCAGTGGAACCCTTCAGGGAGGATCCAAGGCCAGCGGGGATGGAATTCTGACCAGCCTTCAAGAGATGCATGGCCTCAAGTCGAAGCTGGTGAATCATCGACAGCGGCTTCAAGAACTCGATCGGGAACTTGCCAGCTTGTCAAAGGAAGGCAGGGTTTATGCGGAGGCGAAGCAGAAGTTGGAACTCAAGACCCACGAGCTTCGTCTTTGCGAGCAGCAACTCTCTGCAAGTGAGCATGTGCAGTTGTTAGAGAAGGTTGAGCAACTGGAGAAGGATCTGGAGACTACGAAGGCAGCCATCGAGGAAGGAAATGTCAGGAAGAACGATGCAGTCCGAAGGTGCCAGGAAATTGAAATGGAGATGAAAGACTTCAAAAGCAACAAAGACGGAAAACTGCAGGAGCTGATGGTGAGTCCTATTCTAACTCGATAATTCATATGGCTTTTATCTGGCACGTACAAAGACTGACCCTCGTCCTATATTATCAACAGCAAAACCATGCAAGAGCCAAGGCGAAGCTTGTCAAGGATGCCCCTCGCGTCAAAGCCATGCAACGTGAGCACCAAACACTAGAGCTTGAGCTTGGTAAGGAATGACAATGTGTTAAACTGAAGAAATCACGTCAATGGTGAAATATTTATCATGTTGTACTCACGAATAATGTCGTGGATTATGTGCTTTGTAGAACAACTGGAGAAGGATGTTCGCATGGCGACCCAGGAATTATCAGAGAGCGACACTTTGATCGCCAGCCTGAAAAGTGACCGCGACCATCTTCAGGCTGAGATCAAGACCTTGGAGACCGCGCTGGAGAAGGCTCAGGCCGAGTTTGAGCGAGAGAAGGCCCAGCTGAGTGCCTACGACGAAGAGCTGAAGGATCTTGAGGCGCTCGCCAAGGTGAAAGCCGAGACTCTTGCCGACAATCGTTTGGAGCTTCAAAACATTGCGCACGAAACCGATCGCCTGGCCAAGGAGAAGCAAGGGATGCTGAAGACTATCAAAGAACTGGAGGAAGAACATGACTGGATCGTAGATCAGAGGCAGTAAGTTTCAACATTGTCAAACTTTTGAGCGCGCTTGAATGAGATTTGTCATTATTCACATGTATGATGTATTGAACGACCTTTTTTATTGCTCGCTCGCTACCATAGTCTGTTTGGGCAGTCTAATGGTCTGTACGACTTTGCAACGCAGAATCCCTCAGAGAGCCGTAAGAAATTGAAGCAGTTGGATGAGAAGCACTCGTCGATGAAGAACAAGGTGAACCCTAAGGTCATGACTATGCTCGAGAGTCAGGAGAAGCGCGAGACGTCGCTGAAGCAGATGTTGGCGACGGTTCAGAGGGACAAGACAAAGATTGAGGATACGATTGTGACCTTGGACAACTACAAATACGAGACGCTAGAACGAACATACACTAAGGTGAATGGCGACTTTGGGGCGATTTTTGGCGACCTTTTGCCCGGAAACGATGCTAAGCTGCAGCTGCTGGAAGGACAAAACATCACGGGCGGATTGGAGGTCAAGGTCTGTTTGGGAGGCGTCTGGAAGTCAAGTCTGACTGAGCTGAGTGGTGGTCAACGGTCGTTGATAGCTTTGGCGCTGATCCTGTCGTTGCTGCAGTTCAAGCCGGCCCCAATGTACATTCTGGATGAGGTTGACGCTGCGCTTGATCTGTCACACACTCAGAATATTGGCCAGCTCCTCCGGACGCGCTTCAAAGGGTCGCAGTTTATTGTCGTCTCGCTCAAGGAAGGGATGTTCAACAATGCCAATGTCCTTTTCAAGGCGCGATTTAGGGAAGGCATTTCCATTGTTGAGGTGAGTCGCTTTGTTGTTGTTGTTGTTATTGTTGTCTATGCTTTTTTTTTTATCGTTTGAGATGTGGATGAAAACGAACAAGCAATGGGTAAAGACTACGAAACTAACATCTATGTTACACATATAAAGCGTACGGCACAGAACCAATCTCGGACCTCCAAGGGGTCTTCTTCGACCTCCGGTCGTCGAGTGGAAGCAGGCAAAGAGAACGAGGCACTTTCGTCGTCGTCGTCTCATACGGGCGCGAAGCGCATCAAACTGTAAAACTAATTACTTCCTCGTCTTCCAAATAATATATACGAACTTTGCAAATGATTAAATGGCCATTTCTCGTTCTGGCGTTTTTCTTGACCAGTCAGCCGGGCACTAGCTTGGGTGATGGTCAGATCCACAGTGGCCAGGACGATGCGAGGGTCGGTGGCCTAGTCCTCGAGAACAAGGCGAAATGGTGCCGCCAGATGATAGCAATAATGTCGTCAACCAGGTGGAAGGGTGGCATGGGCGTGCGGCCAAAGTGGGTTAGGGAATTCGAGGCTGAAGTTGTAGTCTGGTGTTCAGACTTCCTTGCGCTATCCAAATTAGAAAGGCGACACGCTGCAAGGTAATGTCGACGAAGCCGACGTCGCCTTGAGACCTGTTGGGGCCAAGGTGGGTGGTTCGAGAAGAGAGCAGAAAAAAACGAGATAGTGTAGTGACCATGTGGATCGATCGTTGAAGTTTCATTATCGATTGGCTTATTGGTGATTGGACAGCCAAAAGATGCCGGAGACTAGAAGGTAGGAGGGTGTTGGCGATGGTTCTCCGACCCAGGACTCTAGATGATGTGGTGGTGTTTAGCTTCAGCAATTGAATGCTGTCTTGTTTCAAATTTAAGAGGCCAAGCAGCCCCTGGCAAAACCCCTGGCAGCCCCTGGCTCAGGCCGAGTGGACCTGACTGGTTAGTTTAACCCCTTGGGCGACCAAAGCTAGGAGCATCGAGTGTGTCAATGTGAGCGAGCGAGAGAGAGAGAGAGAGAGAGAGAGAGAGAGAGAGAGAGAGAGAGAGAGAGAGAGAGAGAATTGGACTGGACAAACATGGACATGGGCAAGGGCATGGTACGTCTATGTAGACCCTGGTAGTCTACTCACTCTAAGAATAGAAGGGGTCAGCCAGCCGCTTTTCTCTCGTTTACTCTTCCTCGCTTTTCTTTCTTTAATCATCCTCCTCCTCCCCAACTTCCCTACTCCCTTCCTTACCTCACCCTTCCCCTTCCACTCCCTGTCCTTCCTTCTTCTTCCTCTCATCCTCTCTTTGCACCAAGTCCTCTTCCTGCAAGAACAGCCCTTTTTCCTTCATCCCCCGGTTGTTCAATCCGTTGAGTAAGTTCCCCTTTCCGTCATCCTTGGTCGACCCATTCCGCTCTGTCCACGAGACCTGTCGTTCTCCTTCTGCGCCCTCATACGCTACTCACCACCACCACCACATAAAGTCCTTCAGTAGACCTAACCCTCTCTCGCTCCCTCCATCGCCATAAGCACTCTAGATGGCGGACCCGCGTTACCATCGACCTCCCTATATGCCAGGGCAACCTCCTGCTGCATACCCTCACCAGAACAACAACATGCATGGCGGTCCAAGACCCCCTGGTCCCCCACTCCACCACCAGCAACAACTACCTTACGGCCAAGGTCACTTTACCAATATGCCACAGCAGCCTGGCTTTAACAACAGCCACTCCCAATCGCAATACCCTCCCTCGTTCAATAACCACGGACCCGGTGGGTTCAGTGGACCACGCCCAGGACCAGGACCAGGACCAGGACCTGGACACGGGCAAGGGTTTAGCCCCAATCATGGAATGGGACCTGGCCATGGCTTTGGAGGAGGCGGACCTGCGCCAGGAGGGATGGGAGGTAGTCCTCGACCTGGATTCTCGCCTACGCCCAACCACTCCAACATGATGATGATGCCACAGCCACCGGCAAGGCAAGAGTGGCCAGTCTCGGGAAGACCTCCAAATAACGGATACCCTCCACAACACGGACCTCCAGGACCGGGACCAGGACCAGGGCATAGTATGGGTCCACCACCTGGACAGTCGCCGGGATTTATGCCAAGGCCGTTTGGCTCTCCTGCAATGCCTCCACCACCTAGGCCAGCATTTAACAACCAGCCGCCATTGCCATTCAATAATCAGCCCGGCTTCAACGGATCGGTCGCTGGACGCCCTTATAGCCCCAACGTGAGACCCGCGCCAACACCCAACCTCCCTCCTGCTCAGATGCCCCCAACATCTACACATCCACCATCAAAGTTCACGGAAGGACCACCAGCACATACCAACATTCGTCCACCTCACCCGGTGGTACCTTCCAATCCTCTTGCGAACCCAATGACCGCCCTTCCAGCGACATCGTACCAGCCAAAGACAAAGTACCAGGCTGCCCCAGCCCCTTCGCCTCAAAAGGACCCTGCAAGGCCCCTCGGCATGCCTTCACCCAGCCCCTCCTGGCAATCAACATCTGCAACGGGACAGAATGCCAGCGGCTACCAGACCTCTCAAAGCCAACACCGACCCTCAATGCACCCAACAGAGTCGTATGACGCCGATGACAGACCCACCGAGCTCATTCCTCTCGACGACGAATACCAGCCATTGGTAAAGTCGAATGCAATGTCGCTTTTGCAGTCGCCTTCGACTGTCCCTTCGATTCCCAATTCTGCGGCCGTGTCGCCTTCGCTGTCCTTCACGGCTGTGTCCTACCTTCCATCGTCGCCTAACTTCTCGGAAGCGGACAGCCGCCCAACAGAGATGCCAGAGAGTGAACCCATCAGGAAAGTGGAACCTTTCAAGCCCGAGCCTTTCAGACCCACTGAACCAGCCTCATCCGCTCAGTCGCATAACAAGACTCCATTGACACCCTTGCCTTCGTCTGGTATCACATTTCAGGGTAATAGCAGCACCTTTACTTCCTCGTCATCCTCCTTTACTCCTCCAACCACCTTCACACCCCCAGCATCCTTTGCTCCCTCGTCGTCCTCTTTTACACCCCCAACAACCTTTGCTCCCTCGACCACTTTTGTTCCCTCAACCTCCTTTGTCCCCTCGACAACCTATAAGCCCACCAAAAAGGATACCCCCAAGTTTCCATCGACCCCGCAGCCGTCACATACTCCTGGATTCGATCCCACTGTCAAGGTTGAAATTTCGGATCTCAGACCATCTTCGTCCGCGCCGTTCGGAGAAAGCTCCAATATCAAAGTCGCCATTGACGATATCTCTCCTACGCCAGCTCGTAAACCCCTGCCTGCCACGGATTCTCTCGACAGCCCTATTTCGTTGGATGGATTGATGGAAAGCATTGAGGCGATGACCAAGCCCAACTCGACACTGTCGACCTCTACCACCTTTACCGCGTCGTCCAATGCTTCTCAACAGACGACTTCCGCCGACTATTTCAAGCCGCTACCCTTGATCGGCGGAGAGTCTGACGACCAAAAGAGATACTCACTGTCAGATGGACCTACTAATGCACCAGGATCATCCCAGTCGCCGCCTGTCTCGCGCTTGGTCCCCAAACGGCCTGTCAGCAACTACACTCCACAGCCAGCAGTTGACCATAATACCCAGCAACATTTCAACAACGATACCACAGCGACTCCGCCAGTCTCGACGCCGGCTCTTGCGCCTTCTGGCCAATTCCAGGGGACCCCCTTCACCACTCCGTCCCCATCTGTGTCTCAGCCATCCCTCCCGTCGCCCCAGCCTTCACGGCGCGAGGAAGCGCAACAGATCTCCTTCCAGCCCTCGCCCCATCAACAGAACCCACTTCACCAGAACAATCAAAGCAATCACAACGACCACAACAACCTGAGTAACCACAGCAGTCACCTCAACCAACACCACGGCCGACTGGGTGGGGATATGGCAATTCTAAACCAGCCAGAGTTTGCACATAACCCAATCATGTCCATTGCTGCATTGTCGGACCGCCCTGTTCAGAAGGCTCCATCGATGATCCGACGTGGCAAGACCCTGCGTCGGGCGGCGGGAATGACGGGAGTTGCTCATCCACCCGACATCTCATCATCTGCTCCTGCGCCTCCTGCCAAAGTAACGCCCGATGAACTTTATCCCTATTTGCTTAGGCTCGTTTTGTTGGCCCAAGCTGACGAGGTACCGCCTCCATCACAGCCCCTTCCTGTTACCAGCAAGGATGCCTACAAGGATCTCATCAAGGCTCTGAAGCCACGATTGAAGGATATTCACGCTGGGAGGGACATGGCATACCAGGACCCTGTTGTCAAGAAGGCTCTGATTGCAATGGAACCCAAGTTTAAGACTGCAACCAACGGAGAAGACTTGGTATTGGGTTTCTCTATTGAGATGACCAGGATTCAGCAATCCATAAATATACCCACCACCAGCCGAGATTCGCAAATGGCCATCATGGCTGGTCTCTTGCGCGACGTGATCCAGAAGGATCCTTTCACTGGTCACGAGGCCGTCATGCAACGCTTGGACAGTCTCGTCAAGACCGTGACCGTCAAGCCCAATAACTCTGCCGCGCAGACGGATGGCCTTACCAAGGTCATCAAGGAGCTTTTCAGAATGCCAGAAACCGTCCGACATTCCAAGATGAACGACCTCCGTAAGAGTTCAACCAAGCAGGTACGTACCCATAACCTCTTGTTAGTGATTTTTATATGCATACTGCCAGGAGAAGATTATACATTTTGACATGCTGCATTTCTCCTTTGAACTGGCGGCGCTACTAGGCTGCCATCGAGGATTTCAAGAAGTGTGCTTCCAACCTTGAGTTGGATTTATTCCCATACCCTGGTATCGGCGACTACCATCACAGGGACCATCACGAAGAGTTCAAGAACAGAGAGCGGTCAGCCCTTTCAGGAAACATCCGCGCTCTCTCGGCGGGCCATCATGCATCCCTTGACATGCCTTCACGACAGTTCCATCCCGTGAGTCGATGTGGCCGAGCCTTTGTTGCAGACATTGATGAGGCAATCATCAATGACCGTTGTACTTAACGTGAACCGCTTCGTTGTAACTGTTCCGAACTGATATAGAGCGAATTCGTGTTTGTTCCTCAGAACCCGAAGGCATACTACCACTTGCTACTGGAAATGTGTGTCGACCACGCCCTTGCCACACGCCATCAGGACGACTTGGCTGCCAACTTGATTTCTCCACCAACAAAGGCGCTGTTGAAGGAATGCGGTGTTCGCTGGAGATTGACGTCCAGCTGGAGGGAAATTATATTAATGGAAGTCATCAAGGAACGGTACAGGGAGGCCAAGGTCTCAGTCGGCTTCTTGCTCGATTTCCTCCAGACAAAGTTTTATAAAGATGCGGATGTGCATCAATGGCACATTTCCGAGGTAAGAAGGCGGCTGTAGCTGTGGAGTATGTTCTTGGTAAATTCTGGCAGATCTAACTCCGTCTTTGTTCGAATTTACACTGGCTTAGGTCAACATGTTGGGCGATGTCTATGGAGGACTGAACCATATGATCTTTGACAATATCAACCACGACATCAAAGATTTGGGCAACGTCAGCGCAGATTACTTCCGACCCATGCTGGAGATTCTGGATCGTGTTCACCAACAGGAGGTCTACCAGCGACTGAACGTCGAGCTCAAGCCATTCTTTGACGACATTACGGATACAGTATTGACGGAATCGTTCCAAAAGTATAGGGAAAAGGATGAAGAAATTCAGAAGGAGCCCTACGAGAACGAGACTGTGCCCTTGTCCCAGATGGCGCTTTACATTGTCTCCGAGCACGCCGTCATGAAGAAGCGCTTCCCCAAGCCATTGTTCGGGTAAGGACTTTTCGACTTGGTGTCCATCGTTTTAATAAGATGGTCTGCAACTATGTGGATGTCATATTGGCTGAGGTGAACCTTCCAACTTATATGACTATTATCATTTGTCGTCTTAGAACTGTCGATGTTGCTGGAATTGTGGTAGAGCACAACCTCAGGAACTTTGTGCCTCTAATGCAAAATATGGCCAACATGGATGGAAGAAAGTTGCCTACAGGCGATGTTTTCCCCCTCTATCAGCTGTGCCGTGAGTTGGTCTCGCTCTTTGAGGAGTATGCACCAAGGTATGGCAAATGGGCAAAAACTGACTGTTCTGCGGCCTGTTCTCGGAAGAGCCTGAGTGCGAAGTCATTTTTCTCACCAATGTGCGCTAATGTTCCTTGTATCACTGTAGCTCAAGCGTTCACTTTAACATCTCGACATGGTTCAGACCGTATGTTCTCAAGTACCTGGAGGACCTGGACTCCTCTATTTTGGGTTGGGTGACAGCCGCCATTCAGCAAGATAAGGTATGTGTTCACTATGAAGTTGAATGGGAGGTAATCCATTTTTATTACTAGTGCGTAGAACCAATGCAAATAAGCTAATATATACTAACACTATACTCCCATACATAGTTTGAGGAAGTGAGCGTAGGTGCAGGCCACTCTTCGTCTGCAAGCGATCTATTCGCTTTTTTCTATGACCCTCTGCGATGGATCCGTGGATTAAACTGGTCTAATGACTACCAGCGTGCGACTTTCATGTCAAAGCTGGCCAAGGTCTTTTGCAAGGCTGTCGACCTTTACGCACAATATATGGAGTCCATGTTCCTGGAGTTCATGCCGTCGTCTGTTTCCGCCGTGACGTCCAAGGAGGCCAAGTCGTTCTCGGAGCAGTTTGCATCTTTTACTTTCCGGTCTGAGAGTGCCGAGGCCAAGAAGGCGTCTCGCTTCGTCTTTACACCCAAGGTGTGATATCGTGTCGTTTTTTCCGTGACACAATCCGGTGTTTGTTTCCATTTCAATGAGAAGATTCTCTAAGCTGACCATGTTGCATTCTCACTATATTTTAGATGTGTGTTTTGATGAACAACATCGAGGCAGTCCGTCAGCGATTGGATGAGCTGTATCGTGACATGGATGTGGACGAGATTGTCCAGATATTGAGGGACAACGAGCCAGCGCCAGAGCAGACAGAAGAGGAGCCCCACCAGTTTGAGGTGGTTATTGTATCTGCAGAGAGACTGCTTCCTATGGATACGAATGAGAAGAGCGACCCCTACGTGGTTCTGTCTCACGAAGAGAAGGAGCTGTTCAGAACAAAAACGATCTATGCCGACATCAATCCCCGCTGGAACGAGGTTTACGAGACGACGTTGACAAAGGAAATCACGTATCTCGTTTGCGTTTATGACGCGGAGAAGACGCAAAGTAACCGGTTATGCGGTTGGCAGTACCTTTGCATCGACCCTCAGGAGTATGAGGATTACATGCCTCATGATGTTTGGCTGGATTTGGCCCAGATCGGTCGACTTTTGTTGAGGATCACGATGAAGGGTGAGCGTGATGATGTCCAGTTCTTCTTTGGCAAAACCTTCCGATCCCTCAAGCGCAAGGAGGCTGACCTCAGTGGCATGATTGTCGACGCTGTAAGTTCCTCCCCGGTCCTAGTTCTTGGCTTTGGAAGATGCTCACGTTTTCAAGGCAGGGATGATTTTCTAATGCTCAACTTTTATGTCTCCCATATCCGATCTTTTTTATCACTCATAGATGATCCCAAGTGTCCAAGCATGTTTGACGGAGAAGGTTCTGTTCAGCAACTTTAGGTCCAAGGCTTCGTTGCTCGGATTCTTCAACAGCTCGGTTTCATCGGCCAAGGTGACTAAGGTGTCGGATGAGGACTGCGACAACGCATTGGGTCAGCTTCTTGACTACTTGGAAGACTCGCTCCCAGTCCTGTACGACTACTTGACGACCGAGGGAATGACAATGGTGATTACTCGCCTCTGGAGGGAGATACTTATCACGATCGAGTCCCTCTTGGTGCCTCCACTTTCGACCGAGGTCTCTACGCGCACTCCCTTAACCGAGATTGAGATGCACGTCGCTTTTAAGATTGTCGAGGTATGTGTGACTCGTGCTTCTGTGCCATTGCTCAAGCTCTTTTTGCATTTTCGTATTGCCTTTGATGAAGTGGAACGGTGATGGTTTAAGCTAATTCCTCGTGTTGTGTATGTTAAATTATCACGATTTAGTTCATCAAACTTTATTTGAATGGTGGTGATGCAGGCGATGGCTTCCCACTGAAGGTGCTGGAGATTCCCAAGTACAAGGACCTGTTGACTGTTCGTCCGATCTACGACTCGTCGAGCGAGGAGTTAATGGAGGAGTACAACCGGTCGCTGTCTGTGCCAGGTCGGGGTCGACTGAATCGACAGCAGAGCGACTTCGAGCGCCGACCTGCGGGAGCGGCGGCCAAGAGACCAGGTCCTGGATCGATGACACCCAACCCAGAGACGGTGCTGAGGATCCTGAGGATGCGACAGGGCACGGCTGTGGAGGAGTTTTTGACGAGTGCGATTGAGACGCAGTCGCAGGCGCGTCAGGCCCGAGCCAAGGCGAAGCGGGAGCAGGTCCTGTACCAGAGACAGTTGATGAAGGACCAAGAGTACTAAGTTTCTTTAGGTTGTTTGCAATAATATGATGCACCTTTTCTTTGTCCAGTCCCTGATCAAGCTCTTGCAATAGGCCGAATGTTTTCTATTTTTGGAACACACCCATCACCATCAGTGGAGGCCCCTTTATTATCGTTATCATCGTTAATATTGCGTTTGTCTTTTTTTTCATTTTCCGTTTATCACCACTCACTCACTCACTCACTCACTCTCACTCACTCACTCACTCATCAACCACCTCTTATCCATCCACTACACCCCTTCCTTCCTTCTATTCTTTCCTTTTTTCTCACTTACTCACACGTCTTCATCTCATCTCAACCCATACTCTACCCAACAACCTCAACTGCAAACCTGACAGGCAAAAAAAAAATGTTCAAGTCTGGGAACAACTCGTCCTCGTTGCTCCCTTCGTCTGGGGCCTCGTCGCCGACTTACAGGTCCAACCATCCTATCGCCAAGGTCCTCAAGTCCAAGCCCGCAAAAACAATCCTTGTCGCCTACGTCGGCTTCTGCGCCCTCTTCACCCTTAAACACATCTTCTCCTACCACTCCCAGCCAAAGCCTATCGTATACAAGCACTTCGACCTTCAGCGCACATACGACGCCGGTAAGCCAGCAAGCAGCCTTGTTAACATATTGCACTCCAGTCGAATCAATCCATTTCCTATTTTCTTTCATCACATCAACTACAAGATTGAATTGAAACGCATTTGTGGTCAATGACTTAACCCCAACCGTCGATCATCATCTTCTTTCTGGCGTATAGATGCATCCTATTCGGTGGTGGCTAACTTGTCTTCAAGTGTGATTTTGTCAAAGATGTTTACCTTCCATACACCTGCCATTACCGACAGTATTCAGCCCTTCTACATCCGCTCGACCTCAACACCCAAGTCAGAGGACATCACCCTTGCGACCTTTGTACCCCAGGACGAACTCTCCGAACTGGCCTCTCTTGTGGAGCGTTATCCAGGTATTATATACATGAGATATCCCTCGCCATTTTTGCTTATTCTTCTTCAGCATGATCGATAAGGGATTAACCGTTCAACAACCGCATTCGCTTTATTCTCTTGTACAGGTCCTATTTCGGCAGTGCTGCACATCGACCAACCCTCAGATATCCCAGGAACACCCAGCCCGATCAAGCGTTTGTTGGCTATGAGGGCAAGCAACCCCAAAGTCCGGGAGCAGGTCGACATTCATCTGATAACCACCCCAGCAACCCATCGACAGACCACCATTCAACAGCAAGCCAACCTCCATCGCAATCTGGCTCGATTCTTTGCCCGATCAGATTACGTCCTGTTGATGGACTCGGACGGCTCACTGCCCATGACCAATGTGGCCAGGAGCTTTGAGCAGCACCCTCAGTGGATTGAGAAATTGAGAGCCGGAAACGTATTTGTCTTGCCTGGATTCAACGTCTCGACCACAGCTACATCGACTTTTCAGGATGATATGACTATCGCTGATGTCGGGCTGGTTCCCGCGCTGTCCGTTGCCAACTTGCCCGCAGACAAGGAGTCATTGTTGGGGTACATCCGAGAGGGCCAGGTGTCGCTTTCGGAAAAGACCTGGAAGAAGACGATCAGGAACGTGGACTTTAATGCATGGGCTGGCCAGACACGGCTGAGTGCGATTCAAAACTACGACCCTTACTTCAGCCCGTCGGTAGTGATGCGGAGGGACAAGATGCTCTGGTGCCCTGAGAGATTCGGAGATAACCATGCGGCATGCATGTTTGAACTCTACCTGAGCGGAGCTGATTTCTGGGTGCTTCCCAATGACTTTACTGTCAATGCTGCAACCCGCCCCGAGAATGTTGTTTCTGACCGCGAGGTAAGTCTATTGCTGCTGTTATGTCCTGAGCAAGCGCGGTTGTCGTTGTTGTAAAGAAAAGGCTACCAACAACTCCTTGTGTTATTTGCAATATTACCTTTTTCATCATTTTTAGCAAATGATCAACACTCGTTTGTACCAAAAGTTTCACGAGGAGTCGTGCTTGAAGCATGCGCGTGCCTTCTATGCTGCTGGCGAGTGGGACTCTGACCGGGCGCGCCACTGCCGTATCAGTTGTCAAAAAGGTATGTTCTCTTGGATTCTCATTTGCCGAACTATTCTCTGTCTTTTGAAAATCTAGTCGTTTTTTGAAGTCCTTCAAGAATCATTCCAATAACAATTTATTATTTTGATGTTATAGTCCTTGCTGTTTGGGGTCTTGTTATCCGTCAAGCATAGTGGCATGGTAGACAAAATGAATAAAAACACATTTTTCAGGGCACATTTATGCGGCCTGTTCCCCTTGCCCACTGTCATCTAAATCAGGTGAGAAGATGGGCAATTAATTTCGCCTTGGCTTTTCCTTCCTTTTCTTTTCTTTTCTTATCCACGCACTCGTCTCGCTCCTCCTCAACATTCAACAACACCGACTCTCCACTGCCACGCAAAGAAAACAAACGACAACTACATATGAACTCAGCAAAATTGGCAACGACGATACAACGTTATCGACAACGGGTCAAGCAAGAGTGGCCACGGCTTATCGTGGCCTTTGTCTCGCTCTACGGCATCTATTTTGCCGCCAACACCATTCTCACCACCACCGACCAGTTCAAATTCCTTGGCGCCCTCAACATCCGTAACGTATCGTCTTGTCCTTTCGCAGTCCTTGCTTCACACACACGGGCAACTCTACACACATACACAAGCACACACACACACTTGTACGCCCTCTATTCCCTCACTCCCTATCTCTGACTCCCTCCTTTCCTCCCACTTTGGCACACCTGTTTGCCACCGATAGATAGAGGAGAACCACTTGCGAGCCAGGTATTACCCTTGCCAATAACGTTCGGGACCCCACAGATAACGCTCAACGACTACAGTCAAAACGATATTCTCCCGCAAGATCCGACGCCACACCATACTACCCTCGCCAGCAACAGCAAGAACGGACACAATGAACGCAGCAGTAACGGTGGCATCCGCAATAACAACCACGCTGTCCCGTCAAGGCCAGGCAAGTCGCTCTTGAACCAAATCCGGATTTTGCAGAGCGCGACAAATCTTGAACTGGACTTTGAGGGCCAGACAGAGGCAGCGGCGATCTACACGTTGCTTGTGATATCGTCATTGTCGATTGTGGACAACCTGATTGGGATTATGGTTGCGACGAGACGGTCGTTGAGATTGACGCAGGTGGCGTTTGCGATTTGGTGTTTGAGGTTTCTTTTCCGTACACTGTCGTTGATCTCGGTTGGATTTATGCTGGCCGTCAGCGCCGAGTTTCGTCGGAACGATTTGCCAGGCCTGATTACGCCTTCTCTTCAACAACAACAACCACTCCATCCCAATTCGACGAACATTGACGGGAGTGGAGGAGGAGGACCAGACTTTGGTGAGAGGGAGCAGTCAACGATGTACACGATTACGGCGCTGGAAATTATTGTGGCGATTGTTCACGGATGGTCGTTGTTGGTGTTGATTCGGGATCTCAGAAACCAACCACGTCCCAGAACTGTGCTTGTCAGAGTTTGGGCATGGTTCTGTGGAACTAGGTTTGGAGACCGACTTGGCTTGAGTCGGTACCAGAACTACAGCCCTTACCTGAATGTTGTAGGAGGAGGGGTTGGTGGTGGTAGTGGTGGCGTAGGGGCAGGAGGAGAAGGTGGTGTGTGGGATAGGGAGATTGCGGCCAGTCTTGGGCTGAACAGCGGTCTGTTGAGCAGCGGAAGCAGCATACGGAGTGTTGCAGTCTCTGCGCCAGAGATGGGTGTTGTCCCTGGACGGTCCAGAGCATCGAGCATTAGTAGCTTTTGCAGTGCTGAGAAACTGTGAGGGCAGGCCACAAATAGCATTTGAATCACGTGACTTGTACGAACTAAGAATAATGTTTTTTCTTCTGGTTTGTGGCCACATCATACTGTTTAAACATACCAGCGTCAACTGATACGTCTCACTACCAAAAAAGGATCTACGGTGGCAAAGAACCATTGAACCTTCTCGCGTCCATAAAAACTGCCAACAGAATTCGTCCTTCCTTCGTTCTTCAATCTCCCAGTCCCTTACAAACACTCCTCCTCCTCCTCCTCTTCCTCCTTCTCCTCCAAGATGAAGCCCCAGTTGAACCAGAAGCTTCAAGGCCGAAACCGCGGTCTTAACAACAACAATACCAACGCTCCTGCCGACCCAAACAAGCCCGCTGTCCCAAGAATGCTCAGACGCATGACACGACAATCGTTCATGGACGTCGATCTCCAGTATCTCCTCCGATGTGACCCCTCCACCCCGGATCCCTTTGAAAACTCGTCTCCTATCCTCTCGGACCCACCATCCTTGTTCCGCCCACTGCCACCTGTGGCTGCTGCTGCTCAGGCAATTGCTCAAGGTGCGGCACCGTGGTCTTTCCACGAGGCTGCTCGACTCCAAAAGGAGCAAGAAGACCTTCGAGTTCAATATTTGCAATTCCTGCACCAGCTCCATCTGGCGAACCCCCATGGATTCCTTGCCCACATGAACACGTTCGCAACCGAGTACCCCCAAGAGTTCCTTCAACTGCAGTCATACATCAAATTCCAGGAACACCAAGCTCATCAACGTCAAGTCGAGCAGCGACAGAAGGAGGAATTGGTCCAATATCAGATGGAGCTGGAAAGACGCAACAAGGCTGAACAGGACCTGCGACAATTTCAAGAATTTCAAGAGCTTCAACTCCAAAAGGAGGAACAGAATCGACAGGAGGAGCTGCTGCAGAGTTGGTTGATCCGCCGCCAGCAGACAAGGGCTAGCTACAAGAAGGAGATGGACCTGGCGGATTTGTTCACGCTGGCTTTTCAGAGGGACCGGCAGCTTGTTGGCAAGGTCACCTCGAGCCCGGGAGGGATTGATATGGTGTTGACCCCTCAGCAGCAATTTGAGTTTGGACAGTTCTTGCAGGCGAACCAGATGGAAGAGGAAAAGAAGCGCAAGGACGCATTGTTGTTGGAAAGTTTTGGATTGCACCAGTCGTCATCAAGTGCTAGTGGTTTTGGTGGCGGTGTTGGGGGAGGAGGAAGACTGTTTGGCGGAATGGGTGGCAACGGTGGTTGGGGTGGTGCCAATAGTAGTCTTGGTGGAGGAGGGTTCTCCAAGACGAATGAGCCGGTGTCGCTTGGATCAAACGACGGTCTTCGCCGCAGCGGTCGCAACCAGAACCGCGCCACGCCCCGATACCGCTAAGTTATTTTCACACCTCTTTACCTTATTAAAGACTTTTCTTTCTTCTCTCCTTTTTTCTTTCCTTCATTCCTTCGTTCCTTCTCTTCCTTCCTTCTCTTCCTCTCTCCCTTCTCTCCCTTCTCTCCTTTCTCTCCCTTCAACTGTCCTCTTTCGCGATCACACTTACATCCACACTCAACTCCACTTCTCTCCCCTTCGACACTCACCCTGCCCTTCAACTCGTCACAATGAACGCCATCACAGCCCTGCAGTTCTACATCGACAAGATGCTCACCGACACCCCCGGGATGAAGGTCCTCCTCCTCGACGCAGAGACTGTAAGCAAGCACACTCACTCTCTCACACACACACACAACCACAACCGCACTCTCCCCCCTCCTTGAGTGCCTGCCTGCCTGCCATTCGGTTGCGTCATAATTCTACAACTAAACTAATTCAACAAACACTGTCATTACACACGGCCACGTAGACACCCATCATCTCAATGGTCGCTACGCAATCGCACCTGCTCCAGAAGGAGACCTACCTCGTTGACCGGATCGAGAACAACTCGCGGGACAAGATGCGGCATTTGAAGTGTGTTTGCTTCCTTCGGCCCACGTCCGATTCTCTCGAGAAGTTGATTCAGGAACTGCGGGATCCTTGTTATGGCGATTACTATCTCTGTATGTCTGAGTGTTTGCACAGACATATTTCTCTTTGGAAAGAGCTATAGAGTGAAAGAAAAAAGCGAGAACTAACCACAGACCTGATCTTTTGACGTGATGGCGAAGATTTTAGTAACCGCATCAAGAAGACGGCTATCGAGCGGCTTGCAGAGATGGACGAACATGAAGTCGTGCGGGAAGTTCAGGTACACACTCGGCCCAGCTCAAACCGAGGAATGTGAGCTGCTGGATGACAACATAAATTCAACGGCGACCATATCATGAATAATGTGTATTCAACGAAACACGGTTGAAAACGAAGCGCATGCCGCCATGTCTCCAAGTATTGCAGAGTATACGACCTAATTTCTCACACCTTACCCCATGGGCGAACAATAGGAGTTCTACGCGGACTACTATGCGATCAACCCCGACTGCTTCTCGATCAACATGGACCCAGAGACGACACCCCTCTACGGTGACTCGTTCACTTCCTGGGATACCACTAGCTTCACTAGGACAGTCGATGGACTCATGGGTCTTTTGCTCTCGTTGAAAAAGAAGCCCTTGATCCGGTATCAGAAGCAGAGCGCCATGGCCAAGCGTCTTGCCACCGAAGTCCAGGTACATTACAGCTCCCTGTCAATTTCTTGCTCTGTCGCATTCTTTTGTTCGATGTCACTCATTCTATACTGGCGACGAACGTATCTGTAATAGTTCCAAATCCAGCAGGAGGGGCAGTTGTTTGATTTCAGAAAATCGGATACGTCACCTATCTTGCTAGTGCTGGACCGCAGGAACGATCCAGTGACGCCGTTGCTTTCTCAATGGACATATCAGGCCATGGTCCATGAGCTGATCGGTATCAGGAACGGAAGAGTCGATCTCTCAGGCGTACCAGACATCAAACCTGAGCTCAAAGTAATCTTGCCGCAAAGTTCTCGAAAAAAACATGTTGTCAGAAGATTGTGGTCCCAATAATGAAATATGTCAGACTAACGCCCCAGTTAATATTACCAATGTTATTCAACACATCATAGGAAATTGTATTGTCGTGTGATCAGGACTCATATTTCCAAAAGAACATGTTTCTGAACTTGGGAGATCTGGGCGCGAACATCAAGAGCTATGTGGACGAGTACCAGACAAAGACAAAGTCCAACATGAACATCGAGTCAATTGCAGATATGAAGCGTTTTGTGGAAGATTACCCAGAGTTCAGGAAGTTGTCCGGTAACGTCTCAAAACATGTCACCCTTGTTGGCGAGCTCAGTCGCTTGGTCGATCAGGGAAACATCCTGGAGGTTTCTGAGTTAGAACAGAGCCTGGCCTGCTCAGATTCGCATAATAATGACCTGAAGGTACGTGTGCGTTTAGTCCGCTATTGTGTTTCCTATGTACATGCATGGAAAGGTTAACATGGTCATTAATTATTAGTGTATATACTGAATTACTATACTTAGAACCTGCAAAGACTGATCAGCAGCCCGAAGGTCAGTGATGCGAGCAAGATTAGACTGGTTCAACTCTATGCCCTGCGTTACGAAAAGTTTCAGGGAAACGCAGTCGCCTCCTTGATCGACCTCCTGTACAAGAATGGCCTCAGTGAACGAGAGATCAGCGTAAGTTCACGGAGGATACCAAATAGCACTTGAGATCAATATATGACCGAGTTTTCTCTGGTAGCATACTTACGCTCGTCTAAATATTATGACTCATAGACGTTGGATACGCTCATGCAATATGGCGGATCTTCGCAGAGACAGGACGATCTGTTTTCGAATGAAAGCATCCTCTCAAGAGGACGCAGCGCCTTGAAAGGACTCAAAGTACAGCACGACCGTCTTTTCTCGCATTCGTCAATGCGCTTTGCATTATCGCTCCAACACTGATGACTGGATATACTTTCTACTGTTTTTCGATATCATAGGGCGTTGAAAACGTGTATACACAGCATCAGCCTCAGTTGGGCCAGATCTTGGAACTGCTACTGAAGATGCGGCTAAAGGAAACAAGCTATCCATTTGTTGAGGGAACAACAAGTAGGGACAGGCCTCAGGATATCATTGTATTCATGGTGGGTGGCGCCACCTTTGAAGAGGCGAGATATATCTCTATGCTCAATGCTACCACTCCAGGTGCCCGTATCATCCTCGGTGGAACTACCATTCACAACAGCCGAAGGTAACTACCGTATCGTGCTGAAATTGTGTGGTATTATAAATCGATGAGTTTTTCGCAAGCGAACGAACCCCACATACTCACACCCCCTCCTTTTACAATTTTCGTTTGTAGCTTCATGCAGGAACTAGTGCGTGCACAGAGGACAACGATACCCGGCCAAGGTTCTGACGCTGTCCGCGATCGAAGAACGCAAGGAGGCATCCAGCTTTGATCGCCAAATTTGTTCCCCGTTCCCAAACAGAGAGAATAAAAAATCGTTATATTTGCATTTTATTGAGCTATTGTTACCTTACTAGCTAGTCTCTAGCTATAGCGGTAGTAGTAGCGTCTTTTAGCAAGACCTGCTTTTTGCGTCCCCGCTCCGAAGATGGTTATAAACATCCATCCGCATGGCAAGCAGCAACGCCTCATAGATCACATCCACTCCTTCACTTTCTTCTAGTCGTCAAGAACGCCGCGTTCAATCGGTCGAATATTTTTCAAGACTCGGAGGCGACCTTGCGGTGTGCTTTTGGGACATATCTATCGCACTCTAAACATATGTGCCCGATCGTCAGGGCATTGTCTGCCCCATAGGCTCCTGTCAACTTGGTGGTAGTCGTAGGCGAGGGTGGTTGCTGTGGCTGTTGTCCCTTCTCGCTTTTCCTTGGTGATGACATTGCCTTGTCTCTGTTTTCCTGTTTGTCGATCATGACCGTCCGAGATAACCGCGATACCCATTGACGTCTCACATTTTGTTCCTTTGACGTTGGCTCTGTCGTGGGCGCCGTTGTCGTAGTTGTCGTAGTTGTCGTAGTTTTCACCTTCGCCATTACAGCCAGCATTCCCGTCGTAGTTGGTACGTTGACATTGGGTTTCCGCCTTGTCGACGATTGCTGTTGTGATAGCGGTTTAATGGTAAACTCCCGGACGTATAGCAACTAGTCCCCGATCTGGATACCCTTGTTGAGATAGATCGTGGCCAGCAACGTCTTTGAATAACCCCAGCCTCTATATTGCGCACGCTGGCCTGGATCACCTTCACGCCATAAAGCCTCCTAAAGCCATCTGATTTCCACGTCCTACCCTAATGTCCCTTCGCCGTCGTTGTCGCTGCTGTTGTCGCCCTAATAGTACACGTCATCACTTTCCTGCCACCGTCCTCTTGACTCCAGGCTGCAGCCATTGCTTTGTACTCGTCTGTGAACTATCCCTCCACCAGGGGGCCTTCTGCCAGTCGAGTTTGGCACGGTTGAATGAAATCAAGTTAAAGAATGCTTCAATCGCGGTGCCGGCGTTGCCGTCGAGAGACCTTGGATTAGCCCGTATACAGGCTGGGAGGAGGTCGACAAAGACGCGTCGGGCTGCAACGGGGAACTGAGTATATGCCTAGTAGGAACCACCTTCCTGATATTGGTAGCGGCGTATTTGGATTGGGGATCTGTGAACGGACCAGAGAGGCTTGGCTAACTGACCTCTTTGATGAGAGGCGAGCTATCAGTCTCCGTTACAAGCTCACCGAGAGGCGAGGCGTCGACTGTGTCGCTATCGAGTTCTGGGAGTTCCTGAAGGTGTCGCATTCGATGGAATCTCAACCGCGCAAATCGTTCAGACGAGGTATCCGTCAACTGTCCCACGTCCAATTTAGCCGCCGGCCTTGTTCGAGCCATCTGCTTGGAGATCTTGACATTGTGTCTGGCCTTGCGTGTAGCGATGGTAAATGTCCACTCGTTGACCGACTAGGACCCTGCTTTCCATGCGCCTGACGATTTGGAGGAGGATGCGATCCGTTTGTTGTCGTTGAGCGTCTTGTGCGGTAGTGTAGTAAGGTCGATGACGAAGGCGGTATGATTTACGCGTTTGTTGGACATTGGTCGTTGGGAGTATGCTACTTCCTGACGTCCCGTTGGTGTTCCATCTGTTTCCCCCGCTGTCGTCGTCGTATTCTCCATTGTGATCACCCTACTCTCCGTTGAATGACGCTCCTTGAGAGGTATCGTGAGCGAAACGACGAGGAGAGGTGTTAGTGACATTATTGTTCAGTTTATGCCGCTTGTACCTCTCCTTGCTTCGAACTCCAACTTCTTCAAACCGGGTAACATGGATGGAAGAGAAGAGGATAAAGGTGTGGTTGTGAGGAAAGGCTCCCTGCTCTTCAAACTTCCTGACGATTATTAAGACAACACGGTGCCATGCAGACACTGGGTGGTGTACAGATTCAGGATGTCCAGCCGTATTCTTGACGTCAGGAGCTATAGGTGAAGTAGTGTGGAAAGTCGGCGGGGGAGGTGTGAGGGCGGTGAGTCAATGGTCATATGAAATGAGTTTGTGATGGACTGGGAAAGTAAGAATGGTAAAAGAGATGATGCCTACATGGGGCTGTTGAACGCCAATTCTTCTTAAGGGTGAAAGTGGGAGGCACCATTATCTTTGACAGTACTGCATTGCCTTGTATTAGTTCGTCCCAAACTAACAGCGTCCTCTACAAGTCGTGGTCATCATCCTCGTCCTCACCTGACACCGCCGCCAAAAGAACCCGGTCCTCAACTCGAAAACCATACGCACTCGAGTTGCCTACCCCAAGGATAACTTGCTCCTCGCTCCCGTCCATCGTCGGTAACGCCCTAAAGATGTCCGTGCCAGGAGACACATACTCATCCGCAACCTTCATCGTCTCCAAGTTAATAATGTATCCGCGGTTCCTCCGATACAATGGCTGCTCGTCAGATTCAATCGAAACCATCACCTGCTTGTCGTTCCTGATAAACAATCCCTCGCCTACATACTCCCGCCTTCCAACACCCGGGAACTTGAACCATCCCACCACCTTCCACGTCGTCGTCTCAAATACCCCCAGATGTTCTTTTCCGGGAATTGTAATCAGCATGCCATCCCGAGAAACGTTGGCAACATGGCTCAGCGCCCACATCTCCAACGCTCCAAATCGGTTACTGGACGACACCTGCTCACCCGTCTCGATATCCCATGTCGACACCCTAGAACCTTGGGCATTCAGCAGCACCAAATGTCTCCCCCGCAGTTGCTTGAAAAGAGCCGCAAAGACATTGCGCCGAAACGTCCAACTGTCCTTGGTCGGATCAAGAACAATGGTCCGGACATGACGCCACACTCCATAGACACTGTAAATCTCAACCGTCACACCGTCGCAGGCCACCAGGAGCTCATCCTTGACGTCCGGATCCTTCGCTGCTACGACATGAAACTCTGCGCGGCCTTCAAAGTCGGCAAAATTGGGGCATGTCTCTGCAACGTTGACCCGCACAAATCCTGAACCTGCGTTCGCGTCTGGTGGAAAGTCTCCAATATCGATACTCTCGGGACTGAACTTGTAAACCGCGGTGCAGCGTTCGTGAGCCTCCTTGTCCTCGTCCCCTTGACCCTCAGGTCTGCCTACGGTGGGTCTGATCTTATCTAGCACTGCAACTTGTGTGCCATCGAAAGAGAGGGCAAGGTCGACCGATGAGGGTTCCGCCTTTGATTTAGAAAAATACATCCATGCCACGACAACAGGACAAAAGCTCATTCCTGCTTCCCCGTTATCCTGTCCGTTATAATTCGGGTTGCCTGGTCGGTGAATGGATCTTGGATCCGATGCTGGGAGCTCATTGATTTGCCAGAGGATAACAAATCGTCCTGATTTCGAAAGCACGTCGATCGCTAGATGCGCTCCCTCCTTCGAAAACACATATGAATCCACAAAGTTGGGTTTCTCTGCAAGCCTATCGATACCTGGACATCCTGTGTTGTTCACGTCGATCGAAAAAACATAAGGCTGGTGCTCAGTGTACATGGGATCTATGGGAGAGTAAGAAACTAGTTTGTCAAGTTGACGTAACACAATACCAATCCTCTCACATAAGTAAATGTTTGTTTCTCAATCTTACCATGAAGGTAGTATCGACGAGCATTGCTGTGTGTCTCTACGAAGTGAACCTCGATTGTCCCAAAGTCTCGCAAGGCTCCTTCCCAGGTCTTGACTTCAATCGCGGCGTGGAACGCGCCTTCGGACTGTAGCAACTGTTCTTTTATCTTCCACTTCATGATTCCTAAGTCTGCGTCTTCGTCCGAATCCAAGTCGGGGTCCTGCGACACGGAGGCAAATGGTATGGTGGTGCTCAAGCATAGTCGTCGCAGTTCCTGTGGGGTGATGACCTAAAAAAAAAACAAGGTTGATACTTATGTGAGCAACTGAAACAAAAAGCGGTACACCACCCGTCTTTCGTGTATTTGCCCTTTGGTTACCTCACATCTGGAGTATGTCCTCGTGCCAATGAATTGTTCCACAGTGACGATCACTGCCTCGATAGACTTGTACTGTAAGTCTCTGACCTTGACTCCTAGGACAACGTCGAGATAGGTTGACTCCGACCGCGGCACAGGGATGTTCCACTAAGTAATGACAGCGACGAGTGGAGAAGCGGACTTAGTGGCCGCGTGGTTTGTTTCTTTTCGTTCTGGAGGATAATGCGCCATTCTGGTTCTCGCTTCGTGCCTTTTTGCTCCTTACTCTGATGTACTTGGACCTGGTGTTTACAGTCATTGGCAGCACTTTTTTTCTACAAAGTGAAAAGTGAATGACTATTCCGCATGAGTACATTCAGGTGAAAAAGAAAGGTCTCCGTTGCGCTGTTCATTTAATTCAACCCTCCTCCTACTCCTCCTCTCGCTACCTGCGGATAGTATGGTAGGTTGACTCGTACTCAGACGAGTTTTCCACATCCTTCTCGTAGTACCAACGGGCGCCTAGTAGATACCTCGAGAGGATAGTCAGCGAGAAAAGTTTTTGCGGAACCATGAAGCATGATGTACATATGCAAGGCAGGAGGTACACATAGCGAGAGAGGGGAACCTTGGCTACTTACGAGTTGGAGGCGCAGGCGAGGGCGGGGGAGGTAGTCTGTCGTTCAACTGAAGCTGGTTGAGACTGTGGAGGACGCTGGTTTGTTCTTGTAGGCTCTGTGATACGAGAGCTGGCTGGTTGTTGTTTTCAACTGTCATGGGTCGTCTTGTTGATGAGAAAAAGGGAATGTTGCTTTGGAAGGCGAACGAACGAACGAAAGAATGAAACGAGATGGAGTGAAGTGAAATGAAATGAAATGAAATGAAAGGGGCAAGAGGTGTTTTATTTGCAATCTCTATTAAAGACTACCTAAAATGAACAAGGCACTGGGAGGAGTGTTTCCCGCTTTTCATGCTCGACCATGTTTTATCTCCTGTGCCGACTTGTTTGGGTACACGCATGAAATGATACAATAAAAATTATCCCTCAAGACAAAGGGCAACAATCATACATAAAACGGATTTTATTTGGCTTCCATCCTTGCTCAATCCCGGTAACTACGCCGCTCTCGGTCAGCCCGCTCTCGCTCCCGGGCACTCTGGCTGACCAACCCTGTCACCGACAGATCAGATGGTGCCTGCTGCTGCTTCTCATATTCGCCGCCTCGCTTTCGAAAGTGAACTCGATCGTCACCACCATCGTTCCCTCTGTCGCCATCGTCACCGTTACCGTTACCGTCACCATAACCGCGTCGTCCATGACCACGCTCCCGCTGCGAATCACTGTGTTGACCCTGACCTGGTCTATCCTCCGAGTTATACTTATAAACATTACTTTCCTCGTATCCCTTCATTGAATCACCCTGTTGCCTCGATAGAGACGTCGACGTAGACATAGATGCCCCAAAGCTCGCTTGGCGTTTCATCTCATAATCCCGCTGAGGATCGACCGACTTGCGTGTCGACGAACTGCTCGAAGATTCTCGGTCATGGCGATGCTGCTGATGATTGTCTTTCATCTCCGTCTCGTCCTCACGATAATTGTCTCTTGAGCGATCCTTGCGGTGACGCTGATGTTGGTGCGATGACGAACGTCCATCCTCCTGGCGACCGTCAGCCTTTCGGTCATCCCTCCTATTATCCCGTCGGTCGTCCCTTCGATTCGACGAATCTCTAGCGCGATCCCGCTCACGATCATGACGAGAGGATCTCGACCGGTCGTCCCTTCTGTCCCTACTATCATCTCGTCGACGATCACGATCACTATCGCGTTCGCGGTCCTTGTCTCTACTCCTATCAAAGTCTCTGTCCCTATCACGCTCTCGATCACGGCTCCTGTCATGATCACGATGACGATCTCTATCTCGGCTACTGCCTTCTCTATCCTTGTGTCGATTATCCTTAGTCTCTCTCTGACGGCTACGGTCACGATCACCACTGCTACCAATGCTGTTGTTATCTGCTGCCTTATCGCTTCGAGACCTGCTGGTCGATCGATACCTTAATCTATCCGCCAAAGGTGCTGTTGGGGGAGACTCTGACCTCCTCCGGTCATCCTCTGGTCCCGGCCCCGCGCGAGGTCCCTTCGGAATCTCCTCGTCGTCTTCAAGTGGCAATCTAAATTGACAATGTGGATGGTGGTGAAAAGAGTTTAAGTCTATGAACACTTTTCATGATACTTCATGCTTTGACATCATACTCCAGACATTGTCCTACCTTCTCGCGGCCCTTGGTCCTGTGGGAACTTGGGACATGTCAATATCATCATCGTCAAATCGTCCCGGCGGATCTTGGCTGGCATTCCTGTGGCCATTGGCCTCCCTGGCATTATCACCAGAGGCGGATGTCGCACGGGTAGTTCCAGCTCCAGCTCCAGCGCCTGCGGGTGTAAATGGAGCGCCCGAGTTGCCTCCCGGTGCAGGGATTCCTTGAGGACCATTCTGGTTAAATTCTTGGGGGTAACCACGACCTCCGCCGGCGATGGGTCCACCATGGTCATTCTGTCCACTTTCTTGCCATCCTCCGCCACGCCCTCGGCCACGACCAGCGCGAGGTTCACTAAACCCAATTCGCGGAGTAGGAAATCCTGGTCCCATAGGAGGCAATCCTGGAATGCCTCGTCCCATGTTCCACATTTCCGGTCCACTTGGTCCACCTTGTCCTGGCATTCCCCCGAACTCTGGCATAAAAGGTGGCACAAATCCTGGCATCATGAATTGAGGAACTCCATTTGGCCCAAACATGTTTGGGTCCATGAACAACGCCGGATCATGCTGCTGCATCATCTCTACAAGTATTCCAAAAAGTTCAAACATTTGTCATTAATGTCCAGAGATTATAGGCAGGGAGAGGATGGCTTTGTGCCTCACCATCCTCAGTATGTTATGCAACAGTGCAATAAATGCTCACCGAAAAATCCTGGAGGGATGCCTTCAGGGAACATTAGGTGAGGATCCATCATGCTTGGGTCTATCGGTCCCATTGCACCTGATCCGTGCATGGGTGGCGGCCTGTTTCTGCTCATACCCTGATTGTTGCTTAAGTTGTTGCTGTTGTTGTTGCTGTTGATGTTGCTGCTGTTGCTGTTGCTGTTGTTGCTGACATGGTTGTTGACGTGGGGCTTTTTATTCTTCCACGACGGTTGATCCCTATCGAGATCACCGCTAAGGCCTCCAGCGGCAGCCTGGCTGTTGTCATTCGACAATCTCCTCTTTTGCCCAGCAGCAGCTGATCCTTCGCCATCAATAGAAGAAGAGTTAGTATCGCCCGACGGTTTTGCAAGGAGACTATCTGTCTTATCCATGTCTCCAAAAGGTGAGCCGCCTCGAGAACCTGGCCCGGTACTTCCAGCACCGCCTTGTCCATCTGCTTCCATGCGTCGACTCTTGGCCCAGTCTCGGAGATGATGCTCGACACTCTGGCGTAGGTCGACATTGGGGATGAGTTGATCAGGAACAAGGTATTGGTGACAAGACCGGCACTTGAATGGGTCTTCGCCTTTGGGTGGGTGGACGAGATAGTTGCGGATGCCTAATTGAATCAATTAAAAACAGCGTTAAGAAACCACAGTGGGGCGATATACAGCACAATACATAATCCCGAAAGTTGGACAAGGCAAGAACATACACTCGTCACAAAAGTTGGTGCCACAACAAGGCGCTTTGACAGCATTTTTCAATAGAAGGTGACAGATTGAACACTTCATGTCGTCAGGAATAGGTGCAGTGTTGTACGCCTCATCTGATGTCAGCGTTCCCTTGGACTTTTCGTGAAACTTTTTCCATTCATAGCTATTATCGTGAACAAGATAAACAATTGACAGTTAGTTGGACTCAGAGATAAGTCTGGACATATAGACGTGATGAAGTATAGCACAACATGATCTACGCGCAAAGACGTACTCGTTGGTTGTCGCGACGACGAGATTGCCGTCCTGAGTGACCATGACGCCTTTTTTGCTTTGAAGGGTGTCGCTCTTGACAGTCTTTAGGAAGGAGCGGGGGATACCGGTGGTTTTCTTGATGCCGATGGGCTCAAAGGACTTGTCGTTGTTGGTAGGGCAGAACTGGATCCAATGTTCGCCCTTTTTGCCGCATCGGTAGCAAACATATGTGTTGGGAGGGGGACGTTGTTGCTGGTCCATTGGTTGCCTGGGAAAGGAGCCTGGGTTAGAAGATCCCGCGCCTGATCCTGCTTCACCCGTTGGGCGTGGTCCATTCTGAGGCTGGTTTCGAGTGGCCCCTTGGAATTTACTCAGGGGACGAAACTGGGCACTAATAATTGCGTTAAAGGCAAACATGAGAGAGGGGTGAGGGTCAAACCTCTATGACCTTTGTGCACGTAACTTGCCACTCCCTCATACTCTTCTTCTTTTTAACCTCACTCCCTTACTCTCACTTTATGCATATGAAGAAAAATGGCGCATTTTTCTCTGACTTGTCCTCAATCTGAACAAGAATATTTTTTGCTTAACAGGACTTACTTGGCCATTCCTTCTTGAGTCTTTCCCCAGTGTGAAGTCTGTTGTTCAAAGACGAACTTCATTTTCTCCTCCTCGGTCATCTGGGACATGTCGACCGCTTCTGTGGGAGGGCCTTCCTCCTGGAGGAGCGACGTAGTATTCCTGTAGACCTATTTGTGATATATAAGATGTTAGATACTTGTATATATCGCCAGGAAGATGAACACGAGAAATGAAAGCCCCGATATACCTTTGATCCACCCATGGGGTCGTGGTGGTTATTGGAGCCTGGTTTTTCGAATACATTCCGGGACATGTTGCCTCCTCGAGGGATTGGTCCGGCTCCTTCTAGATAGCGTTGCGCGCCTCCTCGGCCTGGTTTGGCTGGCACACGCGCTACCAAGATCGACGTGTTTCGAGGGATCAGAGTTGCATCGTCATAATACTCTATGTCATTGTAAGTAAGTCAATGATAACGAAACAATTGTTACGAATGAGTATTTTATAATCCTTTTCTCATATTTTTTGTTGTCGAGAGTGAGAGTGAAAGAGAAAGAGTGATTTGTTTCTTTATTGCAAGTGGGTACATGTGTAAAAATATAATTACCCTCTCCAGACTCGGCGTGGGTGAGGGCGAGGTCGTCGGGGCCCTTGAGACCTTTAGCGATGAGGATCTCCTTTTTGAGGTCGAAGACGGAGATAGAGTGGCCGTCGAATGTTGCAGAGTCGTAGTCCTTCGAGGACTTGAACTTGTAGTGGACCTTTGACATTAATTGTTGGCCTGAGAAAGTCCCTCAGTTCTTTTGTGCTGTCGGTGTCGTGTCTTTTGTGTATGGGTTGTTGTTTTGTTGTTACTGTGACTGATGTGACTGAAGAGACTGAAGTGAAATTGTAGAGTGAGTGAGTAGGACGAGGATGAGGATGACAGTGGGCGTGATCCTTGTGGTCTTTTGTCGATGGAAGGGATGTAGATGTGAGGCAGGCCAGGTCGAGTGTGGCTTAGTAAAATGAATGATGCCTGATTGAATGGATGAATTGAGGCTCCCAACCGTCACGGCCCTTGGCTGAAGTGGAGACAGAACTGGACCAGGTTGTTCCCGCTCTCCCTTTCTTCTTTTTCTTCTTTTTTTTATCAGTTATCACACACATACCCTTCCTTCCCTTCCCCACCCTCTACACTCACACAATGATTCTCCTCGACTACCACAACCGCATCATCGAGGACACCCTCAAGACTCGCTTCAACCCGTAGGCCTTCTTTTCTCTCCCTCTCTCTCTCTATCTCTTCGCGCTCATCTATATGAACTTCATATTCATAAAAGCAACCCAACTCGTTTTTTGGTGACGTGACTGGCCGGCCGAAACGAAAAGACGACCTTTGGTCAGGAACAGGAGCAGGAGAAGGAACGGGAACAAGGGACGGACAACAACCAACCCTACTGCGCGTACCATCATGTCACTTCTCTTGCGCAACAAAACCAAAAACATAAAAACGCATCATCAGCACACACACACACACACACACACACACACATAGCTAGCCAAATGAAACTCACGCGAAAACTCCACCTTGTAATAGCGAGAACAAGCCCAAGCCGGTCGACATGTCCATCGTCGACTTTGATGGCGTCTCTTACCACCTCTCAACTCTGGATGACAACGATGCAAAGCTCAACCTCTCCATCCGCTGGAAGTGCTGGAACGAACTCGTCCAGTACGGAGCCCTCGATGTCCTCAAGCGCGAATACAGCCGCTGGATCATTGACCCCGAGCACGGATACGACTTTACCCTCCAATTCGACCTCAACGACATTGGCGGCGATCCTGGTAACGGCTTTGAACAATTCGAAAAAAATCGTGCCGTCTTGTTGCAAATTGCCGACATATTCATGCTCGTGTGAAAATTGCCAACGTTGTGTCGCATACTCGTTGTTCTCACTGATTTCCTAATATCTTCTCTATTATTATTCAATGCTCATATTGACTCGATAGAGGATGTGATTCGCAGGGTATCATTATTGAAGCGTAATGCCATGGCTGCTCCTTTCGAGAGAGCATTTGATGCACAGTCGTTGGCTGAGCAGGAGGACCACTGGGACCCCTCGTCCTCTCAATTGATGACCATCCATTACCGCGATGGCGAGGCTATCTACGTTCAGAACCAGCAGGACAGAGTCACTGTCATTTTTTCTACATTGTTCAAGGAAGAGACTGACCGCGTCTTCGCCAAAGTCTTCCTTCAGGTATGGCTAGGCAAGCGGAGAAAGAAAGGAAAGAAGTGAGAAGCGAGAAAAGACAAAATAAGAGTGAGTAGAACGGAAAGAAGAAAGAGAAGGAAAGAGAAGAAGGAAAAGAAAAAAGAGAAAGGTAGAAGAGGGAAGCAAGAAAAGCAAGAGAATGGAGAGAAGTGAGAGAAGAAAGATGAAGGAAGAGAGAAGGAAGCGAAAGAAGAGAGAGAAGAAAGAAAGAGAGAGATATATATATAGAAAAGAAATAGAATGAAAGGGGAGAGAAGAAAGAAATGAAAAAGTAAATGATTGACAGGCGCCTAATGTACAACCGATACGCACCCTCAAATTTCGATAGGAATTCGTGGATGCCAGAAAGAAGCCTCATCTGCAGAACGCACCCCAGGTCATCTACTCGCACCGCGAACCACCACTGGAGATTCGTCATGTCCCTGGTCTCTTGGACTCTGAGAGCCAGGGTTACATTACATTTGGTAAGTGAGAGTGGCGCCGTTTTTCTTTTATTTGTGATAGATACTACCAACAGATCACTCATTCACTCACTCACTCGGCTACTATGGTTTTACCTGTACGTGTTGTTAGTTCTGTTCCCACGCAACTATGCCGCAGGAGCTGTTCGTGAGGAGACAATCTCGAGGATCCAAATCTTCCGCGACTACCTCCACTACCATATCAAGTGCTCGAAGGCGTATATGCACTCGCGCATGCGTGCCCGCGTTTCTGATTTCCTCAAGGTCCTCAACCGTGCCAAGCCCGAGATCCAGGCGTCAGAGAAGAAGCTTGCCAGTGGAAGGACCTTCCGCCGTGCGTAAATGTGACTGCTGGAGGAGAACAAAATAAAAGACAGACATTTATTCCCGGGCTTGAGACTTGTTTGCATCACACCCACTTTACAACATAACATCACAACCATGAGCTTCGTTTCAAGGATCCTCGCCGCTGCACGCCCCTCCCTCACAGCATCCGCAAGAGCATATACCACAGCCGCCTCAGAGGCACCAAAAGCATCCACAGAAGGATACTACAAGGTCACCCAGACCCGCTCCTTGATCGGTGTCCCCAAATCAACCATCAAAGGTACAAGATTCACCTGGTCACCCTACTATGCAGTCCCTCAGAAAGACAGACAGCGAGAACAAGACGACAACAAGGAAGAAGAAGAAGGAAATGTGAAGAAGAAGAACAAGAAGAATGAGAAGAGGGCGAATGGACAGTAGGCAAAGACAGTAGGCTGCGACCACGCTACTCTGCTGTAACAGAGAACTAACTGATCTTTCTCTTTTTCTTTCAACTTCATATATTCCGCCACCTCACTCCACGGCACCTATCATCGCATCACCCCGCGGATCTATCACACCTAAACGACAACTACGGCAACATTAACTGAATCACATCGTTTAACCCTATCGCGACCGCAACAACTGACCATGAATACTACCCAATTGCGCCTTCACCAATCGATATCGATACATCGACAACAACTGCATTATATTCTCTAAAAGTTCTCAAGTCGCTCGGTCTTGGAAGGAAGATCGGTCGCCCAGTATTCCAGCCCCATGAGCCCAGCGCAGCAGGAAAGATCTTGAAGGTCAAGGAGTTGGTTAAGGTCGAGAACATGGCAGGACCCATCCCTCCAGAGGGTTTCCAGCGCACCCGTGCCACCAAGGGATACAAGGTCGTCGGCAAGATGTTGTAATTGTCGGGACAGGATCAACTCACGTCAGGACATTGCAGTAGCAATGGAGATTATCCACGTTTGTATCATTTTTTTTTCAACACACTCTTAGACACCGACAACATTCATTAAAACGCATATGGAAAAAAATAACATTGGCCGATCAACATGAGTGGGCATTCAGGCACGCTAAAATTTGCAGTAGCAACATGCTGACACGTTTTCGCGATACCAACCGTGAAGTAAAAAAACGGGTTTAAAACGGTAGAGTTTCTGTTCACGGGCGTTACTTCTTCATATTACCTTGCGCTTCAAACACTCCCCATTAAAATATGTCATCATCTGCAGTCAACAAACCTAAACATGCTATGCACATAAAGCTGTCATCCCGGATATTTCAAAGTTTTTGGCAGAAACCGACAACGCCAATGTTCATTCTACGCTGACGTACTTTGAGCTTTGACTCTGTGTTGGTTCGGCTGCTGGGGAGCATTTCGACTACGCAAGTGCCAACCACACCAAGAACACTGTTGCCGCGAGTGTTCTTCACTTTTGCTCGAGACGATCTCTCCTCTGGTTGCACTTTTTGCCAATTGATTCTACATTCATTCTCTATGATCAGGAGCTAGAACCTGATAGAGAGCGAGAGGGAAAGAAGGAAAAGAAGGAAAAGAAGGAAAAGTGTCTTCAGGATTTTCGAATCTTTCTAACCTGATTGTCAGACTGCCCAACCAACAGGTACCATGTCAAAAAATGAAATTGAAGAGGGTCCTCTCCATTTAAATCGGAGGGTAGTTTTCATTTGCCTTTGTTCCACTCATCTCTACCTCAATTGCACACGCTCTGCACTCGCTTAGGAACTGCGCCTGTCAGAATCGATTGCTGTCGACACCTTACTCGCCGAACGACTCGGACTGATGGATGATAACGCCCAGGAGTCAAATCTGATCCGCATACTCTACATCAACAACTCAACATGCAGTATCTGACTGTGGGCGTCTGCCTCAAGTGACCAAATGTAGAGCGTGAGAGGGGTCCAAGGCGACGGAGGGGCATTCGGTTGAGGACTATTCGGAAACGGTTTGGATGGCAAGGAGACTGTAGCTCTGTTGGCTAGTTGGTGATGTGATGATAATTCAGCCGTGGGAAGGTTGACTCCAGACGCCACCAAAACGCGCTCTGAATCTACAATATAAAAGTAGCACTTTCCTCTCCTCTCATTTTCTTCACCCTCACACTTTACACTTTCACTTACACTTACACCCACACCTATACTTACACTCCCATCATGGCTGTCCAACCCGCAAACAGACCAAAGTTCTCGTTCCAGTCCAAGCACTCCTCCGCAGAGATCTCACAGTTCCTCGCCGAGACCCACAACAATGACCTCTTCTTTTCCCTCTCGTACTGGGAACTCGCCGCCGTCGGCTCAACCGCAAGAGACCTTCTCGAATTCGCCGGCGTCAAGCACGAGAAACTGACCCCAACTGTAAGTCTCCCTCTTCTTCTTCTACTCTTCTTCTACTCTTCTTCCTCTTCTTCCTCGTCTTCCTCTTTGCTCTCCTTTTATCTCTTCGCTGCTCTTTTGTTTTTGACGTTTTCAATTGCTACGCGTGTTTCTACCCGCGCCCCAGTGTATAAAATATTAAAAACAAACTTCTCGACATAGTTTGCAGAGTGGTCTGCCGGTGAGGTGCCCACCGCTTTCTCGGTCATGCCCTGCCTCAAGGTCAAGGGACCCAACGGAATGGTAACTTTCATATCTCCTCTCTCTTCTATTTATATCTCTTAATGCATTCCCACATTAATCCCCAGTTACATGCCGTCCTTGTTAACCTTGGTGCATTTTATTTACAACCCAAAAAGGAGTTCAATATGGCAGAGTCGGAGGTGATTGACACTTTCCTCGCGGAGCGATTCGGCCTTCTTGGCAACAACACCTGGGAGGCCATGACTATTCGCACGTTCTATACCAATATGCAGTACCTCCGCGAGCGCACCTTCACCGAAACCCTCTGGGTCAGCGACTCTGAGAAGAAGAAGGCCCGCGACCAGTTCCTGAGCTACAGCCTGCGCAAGTTCCTTGAGGACCATGAGTTCCATCTTCAGGAGAATGGATGTAATGGCCATTACGTTGGTGACAAGGTATGCTTTGCTTCATTTTCGTCAGTTTTGCTCTTTCTTGGCTGTGTATTGTCCATCTGTGCTCTGTCTGCACCCAGTCTATGACATGACCTAATTCAACCTCTCTCCAATGTTATGTTTGAGTGGTGCAGTTGTCGCTGGCGGATTTGCATTTGGCCAACATTGTCCATTTCTATGGCACGGTGCCATGGGCCAAGATGGCGTTGGACGAATTCCAAAAGTACGAAGCCGTCTGGAAGGTCAAGGAGACGGTTGACCGTGTCACTGAACTGGATGAATGGCGTGCCTCGGACGAGTTCAAGCAGTATGAGAAAGGCTCGCGTGACTACTACACTAAGAACTGCACCGTTCCTGAGGATGTCGTTGCCGAGAAGAAAGAGGAGTAGCGAGGTCCCCCTCTCCTTTGTCGTTGTCCAGACGTGTCCATTATCCAAGCTGCATGCCCTCTACTTTCCTCTCTTGCGCGAGAAGATAACAATAAAAAACAGATGCTCATGTCTCATTTGTCAAAGCTGTACAACGTGCAGCATTCATGCAGTGCCCAAACATTCGACCCCACCTGTCTGCGCCTCTGAGCCGCAGTGAGAAAGTTGGGATGATCCTTTCGTCGCATCTCTTCTCATCGTCATTCACTCCCTTACTCATTCATTCTCCTTTTCTCCCTCCACTCTCAACCCTCCCTCCCTTCCTCATCACACATGTCCTCGCTGACCACTCTTCCCATCGAAGTCAAGGAACTCATCATCCAACATCTCAGCAAAAAGACCCTCTGTTCATGTGTACGGGTTTCGAGACCCTTCCATGCCCTCTTCCTCCCCTTTCTCTGGCAACACATGAGTATCAGCGCCTCCCCTAAACGCGCCCTTACTAGCCAAGGAGCCGCCGCCCTCGCATCACACGCGTATCTAGTCACCGACCTAGTTCTCATAGGACCACTCCTAGAGGAATACTACTCCATTTCCTTCCCTCACCTCAAGACCCTCAAGATCGAGACCTCCGACTCTGAGGACCTGAGCTTGCTCTATGTTGCCCTTGTCCGATCCAACCCAACGGTCCAAGACTTGACCTTGCGCGCAACCTCGTCCAAACCCACCAACGAGTTCTGGGAGGTTATCGAAACCGAGTGGATCCGACCCCGCTCACTCAACATTGTCATTCCTGTAGTCGAGTCCGGTCAGAGCACTGCCTTCTGGCGGGCCTGCTCTCGCTTTGAGACCCTCACCATCAACAACGACGACATTCCCTTCTTCTCTCGAGGTTTCAATAGTAACACTATAACTTTCCCGCAACACCAACCTCAACCACAACCGCCAGTGGACGCGTTTCCCCATATTGAGCGACTGGCTTTAAAGTTCAACCCCACAGGGCATGGCAGAAGACCGGACCACGTGGAATGGATCCGGCGGTGTCCTCGGCTTGTCCATCTGGCCTGGAACTTCTTCGGTTGCTGGTCACCCGTCAAGCGGCTTGTCACCGAACTCAAGAAAACCACATGGCCCAGTCTGTCTAGTCTCCGCCTCGAGCAGTCTATGCACACCGACAAGGACTTTTCAGATCTGGTCATCTCCCTTCCTCATCTAAGAATTCTTGAACTTTCTCAGTCAACCTTTGGACCCCTGTCCTTGGCAGCTCTCGTGGCCCATCCACAGATTCAGAACCTGCACACTTTCTCTGTCCTGGGTTGTGATGGGTTCACGGGAGCCATGGCCCAAACCGTCCTGGAGCAATGTACAACCCTGGATACCTTCGCGGCACCCTACATTAGTGTACATGATGTAGCCCACGAGGATAGCCAAACGTGGGCCTGTGTCCACACTCTACGCCATCTTACCATCTATATCACCTGTGGGTCCCAAAGTACAATCGAGTCCCGTCAAAAGATGTTTCGCCAGCTTGGTCTCCTCTCCCGCCTTTCCCATCTCGACCTGGGTGCCAGCCGTCTCAGTAAGCTACCTATCCAAATCAAAACCCAGTTCATCATCCGCGAGAGTGCACTCTCGCTCAAACTGTCGTCCGACAATGGTGGACTGGCCAATTTTGCGGGGCTGACACAGCTACGGCATTTCAGTTTTCAACAGACGCCGCAGTCGTTGGGGATGACGGAAGTACAGTGGGTGTTGGACCATTGGACGAATCTGGACAGGATTGTGGGACAGTTTACCAATACCGATATTCCGTACTCAAGGTTGTTTGATCTCTTTCAGCAAAACGGTATCGCTTATAATGAATGAAGTAATGTGAGAAAGGAGACAACAATAAAGAACTGACCCTTGGGGCCACTCCCAACTTGCCCAGCAGTAAAAGAAAAGTTCATACCACGGATTGTTATCTGGTTCCTACCACGTGTTTTTATTAGGTTCTGATATGGTGGCAAGGCGAGAGTTAGTAGAAAGAAGGAGGCGATCCGCATGATGGTCTTGGAGGGTCAAAAGAAATAGTCAAAAAGTACAAGCGATTACAGAAGTAGTAAGAAAACATAGCTGTAGTAAATGATAAGGTAATAACAAATGGGATTAATTACAAGAGTGGGAAGGTGGTTTGAGTGTTTTTACTTTCGTGCGGCGTCAACTTCCCTGGCAGTCGTTGACGTTGAGGTAGAGGAGCTCTCTGATGTAGCAGTGTTGTTGTTGATGTTGATATTGTTGGTGGTCGTCGAGATGGTAGCAGCGGCCTCAGGTGCAGCGTCTCCTTTCGATTGTACTGGTCCAGAAGGAGATGATGACGAAGGAGAAGGAGGTTCATCCTCCTTGTCATTATCAGGAACAACAACGACCTCTTCTTCTTCCTCTGACTCGTCATCATCAGCCATCTCGGGCATGTGCAAAGCAGGTGGGCCTCCCCCAGACGACAACAGGCACAGACCGTTCACCAACACTCGGAACGCAAATGTAATCGATTCGGTCGTTCGGTCAAACTTTACAGCTACATGTGAAAGCAAACAAGTATCCCATCGTTAGCGTCATGTCATAACATTATCAAACGCGCAAGGAAAAGTTGGTACCTGCAGACCAAGGAGACTTACTAAGGAAAGGTACAGTGGGGTTCATGGGCACCATACGAGTACGGTCAGACCCTCCAAAATGAACCAAGGTGTAGCCGACAACGGGCTCAGTCCTCCAGCGGTGGCCAAACAATTCTCCCACAGACGCCTCACTCTGAAACGTCCTTACCTCAACACTCTCGTGCTTGGACTTTGTCAACGAACTGACAGTTCCTTCGTCATCATCCTCAACCTTGATGACAATACTCTCCAGTACCTTGGACGATTCTGCCATTGCCTCCTTGGCGCTACTGGAAGTTGATGTTGATATTGCACCGCCCTTGTCGGCGGCTGATCCAGTACTGGCAGGATCCGTTATTGTCGATATCGATGCTATTGTAGCCGTTGGCGCGGGAGAACTGGCAACAGAGCCGGACCGGCTTTGGATCTGAGAAGCATCGCTTTCGTCCAGTCCATTGAATACCATCTGGAACTGTCGCTCAACCATCCGATCCTCAATTTCAAGCACCTGTGCATCCTGCCAGCCCTGGAATCGGACCTCTTGAAGCTCCCGCTTGAATCGCGTATGGATCTTTTTCAAAAAGTTGGTCCGGAAGGGTGGTACTGGACGGGGCTTGCCATGCGTCTGCAAATACTGTGTGCAGACTGGACACAAAATCTTGGCACCCTGTGCGCCTTCTCCTCCCACTGCTGCTGTGACAGGTTCTCCTGAGGGGTTGGATTCGTCTGGAGTCACAATTTGGAGTTCGACCTTGGGCCTCCACGCCAGCGAGTCCAGAGCCATACAGTTGGAACACTCAAGAGGCCGTGTCAACTTTTTGATGGGACGATCCACCTGAGAGCCGAAAACGCGTGGTGGCGTGGGAGAGTGTGATCCCGGTGAGCCTCCTGTAAGAGCGCTGGACGACGACGTTGACGTTGCGGTCTTTTGGGTCGGGTATGTGGCAGCTGGACGGTTTCTCAAATACTGCAATTGACGTAACTGATGCTGCTTTTGCTGGAGCTGACGCTGCTGCTGGTAACGCTGCATCATCTGCTGCTGGGGTGTCAAGCGCTGTTGTTGTTGCTGGAATGGATTAGGTCGAATGTTTGGATTCTGTGCTTGTGCTTGTGCCTGTTGCTTTTGCAGCTGTTGCTGTTGCTGTTGCTGAAGTTGTGCCTGCGTTGGTCCAGGATGAGGCTTGATGGCAATTGGCTGGTTGTAACTCGGGTACATCTGTTGGTGAGGCTGGTATTGCCTCTGAATAGGCTTGAAAGACTGGCCCTGTTGCTGCTTCTGTTGCTGATGCTGCTGATGCTGCTGATGCTGATGCTGTTGCTGTTGTTGTTGGGCTGTCATCTGAGCCGCACGCTGCTGATCAAGTAGGCGCATGTGCTTGTGTAAGTGGTAGGATCTAGAGTGAGCCGACTGGGCTTGTTGCTGCGCTCGATGTCGCTGTTGGTGGATGGACTGCCGCTGCTCAGGTGTAACGGCGCTCATGGGCCGCGAATGGGCCATACCAGTCGGACCATTGGACTGATTTGAGTGAGGTTGTTGTTGTTGTTGGTATCCTTGAGGCGCCTGGTGCTGGGGTGGCCATGAGAGAGGCTGGAGTGGTAGGCCCTGTGGATGTGGGTGTTGAGGGTGTTGCGAAGGATGAGCTGGCGGGTGATGGTTGGGCTGGTGGTGGGGTGGTGGGTGAGGATGGCTGTTGGTAGGATAGGGTCCGTTGTGTGGCATATTGCTGGAAGGCCTTTCGCCGTTCGGGGGCTGTTGCTGTTGGTGCCGATCCTGCGGTGGAAGCCCAGACTGATGAGGGCGCGAGGGGTGGGGGAGTTGTCCAGAGTGAGGTTGTTGTCTTGTCAACTCTGAGGTAGGGGGTGGGCTATACGCAGACTGCATGGGAAGTAGTGCTGAATTATTGTGGTTCGGACCAGGGCTTCCTGGTCGAGATCCTAGATGTGATTCTGGTCCACTATCCTGGTCACAATGGGGTCCCCCTTCTGGGTGACGATGATCGCTTTCCCGATCCGACGGTGGGCGTCCATGATGAGGTGGGTAACGAGGTCTGCTGGAGTACACCTCTGGTGTGTACCACGAAGGGTGAGACGTTGGCTGTCGGTGGGACGTTGGTGGAGGAGGGCCTTGGTCAGGAGAATCGTAAGTATCTGGGTATCTGTGGGCGGGGCGTTTTGAATAACGTCCGGAGTCGACGTCGTATCCGTGTGCGTACCGGTCGGGATAGTCGTCGAGACTGTTTCGTTCGAAGGATCGCTTCCTGGAATGTGAAAAGGGCGAGTAGTTGACGGATTTTGCTTCGAGTTCAAAGATGCGGTTCCTCATGGCGATGTACATGTCCTGATTGAATTCTGTTGGAACCTCGTCCAGCGAGAACAGGACTACCGAGGGTACAAAGGGAGAATGAGAGAGAGAGAGAGAGAGAGAACGTGAGTATGATGTGACACACCGCATTAAAGTGCGGCTCTTGATTAAAAGTAAACGAAAATGAAAGAGAAATAGTTATATTCATGCATGCATGCAAGAGCAAACTGAAAAGAAGCACAAGGTGAGGACGTACTTCCTCCAAGGGTGGACAGGGTGTGCTGGGAGGCGATGGTGTGCCGCGTCTGGAAGTACGGTTCCTGGATGGGCGTCGTTTTCTGCGAGTGGTACCAGATATAATAATGTCATTCATCTGTTAATGCATTGAGAAAAGACACGTTGTGACCTTGATTGGCTCATAACGTGGAAGAGTTGTCCCGGAGCATCTCGGGCAATATCGATTGGGCATAGAAAAAAAAAAAAAAAAAGGACAACGACCAAGACGCATACAGCCCTGGCTCTTGTCGTTATTCTCCACTACTACTTCTTCCACACATACCTTCCACAACGACGACAGCGCATCACTTCCATCCCCATGGTGAGGCTGATCCAGCTTGGCTGAGATGGACGGGATAGAAAACGGATAGCGATTGAGCGCGTTAGGATGGTGTGACACACTTGCTGACGACAACGACGCATCGTTGTTGTTGCTGTTGTTGTTGTTGTTGTTCATGGAATGAAAGGAGGAGGATGAAGAAAAGGAGTGCGACGAAGGAAAGGAATGTGGGGCTGAATGAACCCTGCCATGGTTATTGCTGCTGCTGCCATTGTTACTGATGTTCTCGTTGTTGCTGTTGCTATCGCTGGTATGCACTCCGTTAGGACCGTTGACATTGCTGCTGCCACGTCCTTGGCTATTGACAACCTCGCTGCTGTCGCTGTATGGTGGAGGCAGGGGTGCCTCTCCTCGGTCGGCACGCTCCTGTAGGTATTCCCTATCGCTTCCTTCATAGTGGGATGGAATGCTGCCGCCGGAAGACTCATTCACGTGGTTGCTGTCGATGTTGTCCTCTCCTCCTCTGTCAGGACGATTTGGCGGGTCACCATATGCATTGACATGCAGGTTGTAGCTGTGGTGTTGTTGCTGCTGCTGTTGTTGTTGCTGCTGCTGCTGTTGCTGTTGAGGGTGCTGTTGATGTGGGTGTGAATAAGGTGAGTCCCTTGGATGGGGATGATATTTATGTAGAGAAAGGCCTTGTTGCTGGTTCTCCTGTATCCTCGCTTCACTGTCAGCGAATGACTGCCTTTGCTGTTGTTGCTGTTGTTGACTGTGGTGTAGGCTATTGTAGCGGTGGTCGTGAAGTGGTGGTGGAGGATAAGCATTGTTGGCGTGAGGGTGGCTGTGGTCAGACTGTTGTGAGGATGAGGAGCCATTGTTGCTGTATCTGGAAGAGTGCATCCGGCTGTCGTTCTTGTCGTTATTGTTGTCCTTGTGGGTCATGAAGGTAGGCGCAGACGCCGATCCTCCTCGTCCTCCTCCTCCTCCTCCTTGTCCCGACTCTCCTTGCCTTCCTGGTCCTCCTGTTACTCCTCCATTGGTGGGTGTATGGGTGCTGGCAGCAGCAGCGGTTGAAATGGCAGCAGCTGCAGTAGAGGCGGATGCAGTAGCCATTTGAAGGCGGGGCAACAACCAAGCAGGCAATTGTCAAAAAAGGTTCCCGACAAGAGGAGAATGAGAGAGAAAGTAGGAAGAAAGAGCGAATAATAAAAATAAAATAATAAGGGCAATGAGATCGTTGTGCTGGTTGTGAAGTGGATGAGAAAAAGAGAGAGAGGGAGAGAGAGAAAGAGAGAGTATGTATGAAGGAATGAAAGTATGGAAGGGGAAATGAATGAATGAACGAAGTGATGAGTCAAGGAAGAGAAACAATCAGCAAAGAGCAAAAAGAAAAGTAAAAAAAGTAGTATCCCGAAACTGACACACATTAATCCCACATCGGGGCATGTGGGAAAATAGTGGAAGAAAAAAGTGCGGGGTATATCTACAACAACAACAACAACAACAACAACAACAACAACAACAGCTACAACATTGGCAGAAATTACATTCGACACATAGATGTATGGTTACCTTGGTTTGGAAGAAGCACTCGCTGCTTCGGCAGTTGTTGCTCGTGCTGCTGCTGATGCTGTTGCTGTGGTTGTTGCTGTGGCTCGGCTGGTTCTCGTGCTTCTGGTGCGCTCTTGGGAGTCGTCCGGTCTGGTGTGTCCTGAGCATCCTGATCTACTTGTCGCTTCTGACTTTGACTTTGACTTTGGCGTTGTTGTTGCTGTTGTTGTTGTTGTTGTTGAGATTGCGTGGAGGTAACCATGGAGTACGCAATGGCCAGTTCTTGAGAAGTATACGAGGCAGCCGCTGCTGCTGCTGCTGCAGTGGTTGTGGCCGTTACTGCTACGATCCCCGAGGGCGGCGAGGGTGGTTGAAGCGGATGGCGGGGATGGGTTCGGCGATGGCTCTGTCTCCGTTCCTTTTGTTCTTGTGTTTCTTGTTGCTCGGAGAAGGAGGTCGAGGAAGTGGAAGCGGAAAGGGGAGGGAGCATCCATTGCTTGGAGGGGTGGCTCTCAGAAGAGGCAGAGAGTGGAGGGGACGGAGGAGGGGTTGCTGTGGATGAAGGCGAGGATGAATTGATGACGATGGCGCCATTCTGGATACTTGCGCTGGGATTTGTGATTGTCCGAGGTGGAGAGTATCGTTGTAAATGTCGTTGTGCAGTGCCGTCTGTATCTGTCTGTTGTTGTTGTTGTTGTTGTTGTCGATGCTGTTGATGCTGTTGATGATGTCGCTGTTGTTGTACAAAGGAAGAAGAGGAAGAAGAGGAAGGAGGGGGAGAAGAAGAAGTAGAGAGGATGTTCGGCAGGGAAGGCGCCGAGGTTAAGAAGGGCTGCATTGATGATTGACGAATGAAGAGTAGTGGATTTTACGTTACTCAAGATATGGATAGGAAGGTACAATTGAAATGTCAGTGGGCGGAAGAGAAAGAGTATGGGCAATTAAGAGGTGTAGTTATTTTCCTTCACTGGAGTGGTATGGAGACTAGCGTAAGGGAGTTGTAGCTGTTGTTGTTTCGTGAGGACGCGAATAAAGGGCGAATGGAGAGTGAAAGGAGAGTGAATGGAGAGTGAAAAGAATGGAGGGTGATCAAAAAAAAAAAAAAAAAAAAAAAAAAGAATGCAGAAAAGTGAAAGCAACAACAACCACTGAAGTGGCGAATTGGATACAAAAGGAGGTGGATGTGTGCCCCAACCACAGCAACATCAGCAAACAACCAAAAAAAGAAAGAGCTACACCCCGGAATTCGCCGTGCGGAGAAAAAAAAAGTGGATCTGGGGAGGACAGGGGACGGAAAAGGAGAGACGATGGAAATCGGAACGAGAGCGACAAGCGTGGACTAGAGGGACATAGAGTACCAGACCTGCATTGCATTGCATTCACGCATACTAACTTGTAATTGGCGCCCGAACCGAATGGCATTCGTGAGGACACAAATCCCTGTGAACCCAGAATAAGGTGGCAAACAAGTAAGGGGAATCGACAACAACAACAACAACAACAACAACAACAACAGAAAGAGAATGAGTACCAACTAGAAATGGGTATATTTCCCCGCATTTTATTGCTGTTTTCCTTTGGCGGCCAAGCGGACTCTATATCTATTATCCATCGTATGCCACTGCCAATTAGCAATGAGCAATGGTCCTGTAATGGTCACACCATCGTTTTGCTCTGTTGTGCATAGTCTGTATACATTGGATGTAGTATCGCATTGATTTCGCCCCCTCCCTTGAAGACCTACATCCACTGCTTCTATCGCCTCCCTATTCGAACTCTGCTCATTTCTAACTGGCTGGTTAACTGGCGCCTCCTCCTTTGTAGAAGCAACAATAAACAGAAGCACAGCTCCTTACCACATTCCATCGAACGCAAAATGTGTGTTCGTGTATACAAGGAAAACAAAGACACAAAAGAAGGAAGAGTCGAACAAGGTCACTGCCAAGCACCACTATGACATTGGCACTGCTTATGTGGTATGTACAGGAGAGGTTTTTACTAAGGAAGAGAAGAGAAATGCAAGGGTGGTAGAACTATGGTACAAAGTGGAGCAACGAAATGAATGATAGTGAACGAATAAACAAAAATGGGGGACGGCGAGATATTTTCTAAAGCTCAAACATGCCCTGGTATAAACTAGAGGCATTAAGACCCTCCAAGGAAGACGCTGCAGCGCCGTCCTGGCCGCCACTGCCGTTCTGCTGGAGCAAACCCACCAAGGCCGAGACAGACTGTCCACATATCCGCTGGTGGCGGTGGAGGGCATCGTTCCTCATGAACCCACTCCCACAGCTCTGGCAGTTATAAGGTTTCTCACCCGTGTGGAGACGCACATGACGTTCACGGTCGTGGCGACGTGCAAATGCCAAGGGGCAGGAATCGCAGAGGAAGGGGCGCTCTGCAGAGTGGGTCTTCATGTGCGAAGTCAGGTTGTAGGCACGCGAAAAGACCTTGCCACAGTTGGGGACGTCGCAGCTGAAGGATGTGGGCTTGACCTTGGGCTTTGTCTGGCGAACACGGCGCTTGCGCTTGAAGCGTATCGAATCGTCGCCAGTGAAGGCAACTGAAGACGGTGACACAGGAAGGCCGTCCTCGGTTGTGGAGACATGGCGCTCGGTGGCAATGTACTTGGCCTTGCGGTAGAGAGAGAGTGAATGCTTCTTGGTAAGGCGGGGTCTCTTATTATTGGCGTTGTTTTCGCAAACGACAGTGTGGCTTGGGAATGCTTGCTGCTGCTCAGGGGAAGCAGGGCGTGAGGACTCGATCGAGGCCCAAGACATGGTAGGGGACAGGGCAAACGAGGTATTAGATATGTTGCTGCCATTCGGGAGATGAGGGGTCATCAAGAGGTCAAGCGAGCTCTCGAAGGTAGAAAGGAGCGAAGGCTGCTGCTGGGACTCGAGTGAGGAGATGTAGTAGTTGAGGACACCCGACTCGACATAGGCCTGCGAGTTGGCTACTTGCTCCACCGAGATAGTAGGAACTGCATGGTGAAGAGGTGCGGAAATAGGAATGAAAGGCTGCTGCTGCTGCTGAATAAAGTTGGACGCGTACATGGGCCGTTGTTGTTGCTGGTACTGAGCAGGCAACGGCAGGATGTGCTGTGCTTCGGCAATGGGGGCGTGTTCTTGGGGCTGCTGATGGTGGTATATCATCTGAGGCTGCTGGTACTCGGAGTTCATTGGACCGGAGGTATTGGGGAGAGCATAGTGGGAGTGGTTGTGGAAGGGATGTTGAGTTGGAAGGAAAGGGAAGCCGCTCTCGAGACCCATGGTTGTCCTGTCCGTGCACTCGAGCTGGTATTGTTTTATGTTGGCATCGGCGTTGGAGCTGTTGGCGTTGCTGATGTTGGCACTGGCGCAGTGGCGAGGGGTAGCAAAGATCTCGTACTCGTCGAGATCCTCGTCATCATCCTCCTCCTCCTCGCGGCCATCGATAGACTCGGAAAACTCGTTCATCGAGGAGCCGGGAGACATTAATGCAGGGAGAGAGGACATGTCAAGAGGATCGAATTGTAACTGTGCCGTTGCTGCTGCTGAAAGGTCCGGGAGGAAGGTATGGACGTTTGAGGGGATGTTGTCAGGGAAGAAGTTTTGTTCGAGCAGGTGGATATGAGTAGAGGGGTATTGTGTGGGGCTGTAGTCTGTGGAAAGCATTGGAGAGGATGCGAAGGTGGAGAGGTTGTGTGGATGGGAAAGAGAAAGAACAAGAGCGAGCTAGGTTTTATGAACAGGAAAAGGTACTAAGCGAGGGGGGAAACGAGCTGATGGAAATACAAACGAATGCGCAGATCGTAAAAGGGGGAGGTGTCGACTTATTTGTAAGGTGTGCGAAGCAGGGGTTGTAAAAAGATCAAGATTGCAAGGAAAGAGGACAGTGAAAGAAGTCTTTGCAAGAAATGGGCGAGTGTGTGAGAAAGATGGCTGTGAAGAATAGACGGAAAAAAAAAAAAAGAAAAAAAAAAAAAAAAAGGAGAGAGGAGAGGAGAGGAGAGGGCAGGGCAGGGCCGAGATGGCGTCTATTTGTACAAAAAAATACAGTCATGAAGGCGTGAATGAGAGAGCAAATCAGACATGCTCGCACATGTCCCGCACCAAGTGAGGGATAGAAGAAAGGCTCATTTCAGTGGGTGCTATTCAATAGACTTTTTCAGTTAAGATAAAAAAGGTGAGGATGATGGTGATAACAATATATGTAGGGAAATGGCGATGATGGTGATCGTCCCACAGTCTATTTTCTATTTGCTGCGTTCATCGCTCGTTTCTATTCAAAAGACAAACAATTGTGAACGTCGATGAAGATGGGCAAACACACTGACTGACTGATCAAAGACCAGGAACATGAGAGACAAACGAAGGTGTGAACGGAATATAGTCATCAAATCAACGCTGCAAGACTTTTGTGTGCCTGAACTCTCTCAAAGAAATAACTTAAAAAATTGTTATTGATTCAGTCACTCACTATTCTTTTACATTTCCTTATTGTCGTCAAAACTACCTTAACCTACTTTAGGGATGAATGGACGAACTCACAGAAACACCATCGACTTGTCATGATGAATTAGTTGTCAACGTACCAAAAAGCATATATCTCTCACTATTAACGGCAACCTTTGGATCTACCACCTCGCTTGAAATAGCTTTACTTCCATTGCTTTCCTCTGTCTGTTTACATCCATACCACCTCCTTCCTGCCTGTCGTTCCTTTCACTATCTCTTCCTTTGAAAAATATTATCATTTCCAATTTATGTTGGGCGCAGGGTGCAGGACGTTTTCATGGACTTACATCACACACACTCACCCTATTCATTTCGCTTCTTATTCTCCTCTCTACCTTGGCTTTAGTGGAAGACTATATTTGCAACTACAGAGCTCCAGTACTCTCGCACAGTAAATAACAAACAACGAAACTAATGCTCTTGACTCCACCACCTTAACGACAACCACTCACTAAAATTAAAAAACTCCTCATCTCCTGTTCCATCCCAAGGTTGTGATAAATGGGGCATTGGTCTCATAAAAGGCCAATCGGGTCACTATCCTCGCTCTCTCTCATTATCGATATCGGAGAGGTAAGGGTAACTCAGTACTGATGCATCGCCCTTGTCTTCAATAATCAACTTGACGAATTCGAAGGTTATTGCTGACAGGTATCAAATTGGGATAGGCAGGGTGCAGGCATACACATGGAAAAAAACACATCTAACCTTTTGCCGCCCAATGGTTGTCCCCGAGGAGGTTTATCACTCCTTTTGTTTTAACGGGTTAGTATACGATGCTCAACCGCCTTTTGGGTCATTGTCTTCTTTCGTCAGAAGCGGAGTGAATCAAGTTGGATGTTTGGGAGAAGCGAGAACGAGAGCAAGGTTACTATTTTTATTGCATATCGTCCATCCAATGTTGATGCCCTTGGGACAATTGTCGCACTGAAACTCATAGTGAGGAAGAGACGTGACATTCTGCAATGCCGCATAATTTAGAACTCTCTGGCCCTACTTATCTCTCTGGTAATGAAGAATAATAAATGAGGGTTCGCTTATGTTTTCATACTATCAAAATCCAATTCTACGCCCCCGACCTTGCTTTTTTGTTCTCCTATAACGCACGCGTCGTTTTAGATACCAGAGATACTTCTATGCTCTCTTAGACTCATGATTTTAGCTGTTTCTATGGTCTGACCTCCATTAACTTAGCCGTGTTGGATCGATCTGGTGGGTTGCTGCACTGCACTGCAACTCATTTTTCAGGGTCCTAGTACCTTTTTTTTTTATTTCTTTTGCATGTACCTCCTTGCTTCCCGCTCATTTTCCACACCTATGGCTGATGATTAGAAGGTGGGGGAGTAGGTGAGTGGATCACTTTTGCTTCTCTCCCTGCCTCCGCCTGTAGAGCGAGCCACTCGCGTTCCAGCCCAACTAAGTTTTTTTTGCTACTGTGTGCACTGCCACATCGCGCATGTCGTCCGTTATAGTTCTCGATCTAGAGCGTGTACACTGCCACATAATCAAAAGATAAAAAGTATGCTGTCAGATGAATGCATAATACACGCACGGAAAGCCGAGATGAGGAGAAAGAAACCAGTTGAAGGAAGGAATAGAAGGTATAAATGAATGCTGCGATACCACCCATTTCTCGTTCTCAACCGTTTTTTTTCCTTCATAGTAGGACAACATGGTGGTTCATTGGCACGTGAAATAGTTCTATGGCCTAGGTCCATTCAAAGGAGACTAATGAGAGTAGGGATGCTAGAATTCATATCTTGACCTGCGAACGATGCGCGATGAGTGGATAACGGTGGAAAGAATTCATGCGGCGATGAGCAAACCACTGAGAAAGAAAAGGCAAGATTCACCTTTCACAGTGGCGCCATCGTGAGAAAAACCCCCAAAAGGCAACGGTTTGGGATGGGTGTATGTGTGTGTATGTGAAAGAGAGAGAGAGAAGGAAAGACTATCTCTCCAACCGATCAGAGTTGAAAACCATTCATGCCACCCCAACGTACAGCCGCAAACGACATACAGAAAACGTGATAGTGGAGAATCGGACAACGGTCAGATCCAAATATACAGGAAAGCAAGCCGCCTTGGACCCTCACTTGGGTCGCGTTGTTCCCATTGTTTGTTTTTGCATGACTATGTCAACCCGGCTTTGTTTGTTCTTTACTCCCCTTACATTGCTTGCCTTTTCTACCTTCAAAGGAATGATCGGTGCTGGGAACGACTTCGCAGACAGGAGAAAAGAAAAGGGCAATGGGGTATGCAGATGACAACGGTTTATCACTATGCAGACGGCGTGCAACTCACCCCCCATCACCATCAACATGCCAGCGAACAATGGAACGAGAAAAGCCCAATTCCTCAGCTTAACCCAAACACCTGCGATATTGTCTTTCTCTTTGTATGGCGAATCAGGCCCGACGCCACTTGCCACGTTTCTTATATTTAGAGCAGTGCTAGGATGTGAGAGGTGTCGCCTTGCTTTACGACTCGCGGCTTCCTGCCAGAATCTTCCAGTTCTATTGACAATCCCTGCACGCTTAGATTAGGATGTTGCTCGCAACATTCGTACACTGGCAACAAATATTGTTGTCCACTAGGAATCGACATTTTGTCTTTGTCATTCGCGATTTCCATCGGAAGAAAAGGCAACCAAGCTACCCTTGATCGGCAATTTTTTACGCTTTTGCATGGAGAGAGAAAGTGGGTAAGAGGAAATGAGAGGGAGAAACAGAAAGCATCAAAGAAGTGCCGTCCTTGCGTTCCCTCGGATGCAGACATAGCTGTGAGTACAACCTTGCAGAGGAGAAAGGGTCATTTTTCTACCTTTTTTTCATTGCTCTTATTTACCTGTTGTGTATTGTCTTTTTTGTTTCCTCAATCTCGCGGGCGAATCTTCTTTTTGAACCAATGGTTACCCCTACCCAATGCTGCTCAACTCTAAATGTCGACAGATAAAGCAAAAGCGGCACACATACCACAATCATTCTTTTCTGTTTCTCGGTACTTTGGTTGATGGAAAAGGATGGAGGAGCAGGGGGGGCACAAAGAGCGTCTACTTGGAGGCCCTCATGTCCTCATATATCTGTTTTTCTGTTGTGCTCCTCCTTTGTCTAGAAACGACACACTGTTCGTTGTTTACTTAACTTAAGTCGTATTATCATTGTCACATCGTTAAAATCCTTCCTACATTCAGTTACATGAGAAAATAAATAAACAAAAATATTTGGATGCAAGGCCAAACCAACCCATTTAGGAGGAAGAGATCATGTTGTCGGATGTCCCACATCATCCACAGTTGAACATGCAAACCTTATCTGGGCTAAGTCATATGCATGGCCACCCCCCTCTGTTCTTTTTCCATCTCTCCTTCCTTCCCTTCCCTTCCCTCCTCTCCCTCGAAATGAAAAACAAAATACCGAGCGGCATTTCCAAGTGAGAAATTACACGCTAGCCTCTCATAGGCTGTCTTTCATTGTTTTTAGTTGTTTGTCATCCACATCCAACGGGCACAGTAGAAAGATAAAGAAAAACAATAAGTGGTGAGCTGGACAGTTCAGATAGAGAAGACTGAGCGAGAGAAGGGAACCGTGAAATGGTTTCCAACAAGAAGAGGAGAGGCGTGGGGAGAGGGAGGATCGACCAAAAAATTAACAAAACAACACAATCTTTCATTCACGATCCTCTTATCCATCCGGCCATCCCAACGGAAACAACAAAGCCTTATACCTTCTTCCGTTTTGCTTTTGTTTTCTTCACGCTCCAACCGACAAGGAAGCCGTAAATCCCTATGGGCCATGGTACTGGTTAATCAATTAAGTTTCTTCTACAGATTGACCTTTTTTTTCTAACCACGCGGCAGATAATTCGACGTTAATTTGACTTCAAGCCTCTTTTCTTCTTTCTTACCATTTCCCCGCGGAGGTTTGTCACAAATGCCGTCAAAATGAAAATGGGTTCATGCACGGAGCAGCGGACGATCAAAAAGGAAAATGAAAGAGAGCTGCGACCCCTGGGTAGTGCAAGTACCCCTCTTTCTCTCCAGAGAAGAAAAAAAAAAAAAAAAAAAAAAAACTAATTTCCTGCCCTACCCTTCCCTGCCCTGCTCTGTGCCATCATCCTATTGCCCTGGAAGGGACGTCTGCCTGGGCGTGTATTACCATTCTCGCCTGTGTTCTCTGTTGAATGGGAGAAGGATGTGTAGTGTGCATGAAAGTCAAGCTATTATTATCCCGATCACTTTTTAAGGCCTTTGTCATGCAAGGTGGTGGTATGGAAGGACACGAAGTGGGTTAGGGAAGAGGACGACATTGGAAGGGGCTGAAAACCTGTCCTTTTTGGATTTCTGTGTTTTTTGACTTTTTTTATTGTTCCTCTTCCTTAGGACAGAGGGAAAAGAGCCGGACAACGGCAGGATATAGAGAAAAAAGTAGAGATCCAATACTCCACAGAGGACAACGATCTTCTTTCTGCTCCGCCCGTTAGCGAACTGTCCGGTTTTTTATTACTCGCCTGAATGGCGCAAACACAGAGAGAGGAACATAATCTAGAAAATCTACAGTAAAGTATGATACAATTGAGCCATAGGAGCTCGAGACCATTCCAACCCGACAAAAAAAGGAAACGGGCATCTCTCCCCCCTGGATAGATTGATAGATTACACCGCTCTCCCTTTTGCCCATTGTCAATTTTTTTTTTTTTTTTTGTTAAATCGCGACGTTTTTATGTCTGTCTGGCGGCACTCAAAACTAAGGCTGTCAGTCCGTCTTTTTTTCCAGGCACCTTTTTTTTTTCTAGTACGCGATCGAGTCACGACAAGCAAAGGTGGACGTTATTTTTCATCGGCTTTAGTGCTTGGACCTCGGGGGGAAAACATAAAAAAAGGAGCATTTACGTCTTCCACCCGGGAGTGTTTTTTTTTTTTTTTCTGTTTTATTCTCAAATGCCAATTGTGTCTGGACTCTTAGTTCACATGCACACATCATACTTTGTCAAGGAGTGGTACTATTCGATTGCAATTTTCCACATGTCGTTTCACAACAACAGAAATCGCAACTACAATATCAACAAAGGGCCACGCCTATTCGCCGCGACCTGACTTCGCCTCTTTCTTTATTAATCTTTCTTCCGAGCGACCAGGTTAGATAGACAAGCAAAAAATGATCAAGGTTTCCTTCATAGAAAAGGCAATGTACCTCCGTGGAGAAATAAAAAAGAGCGAAAAGAGGGTTGTTGAAGGAGAGGTGTGAATAAAATTGAAGGAAGCTAACAACATCATTTTTGGCTCATTATTTGCAAGGATATGGGTGGGTGTGCACGCCGTCAGCATGCTCATCAACTTCTTTCGGTTGAAAAAGGAGAGAAAAACCGGTGAAGATGGTTGGTCGAAAGGGGAAGGGATCATGAGCTGGAGAGGCAGTCAATACGACAAGGGGACCAAGGAGCTGGGAAGCAGGAAAATGATATGTTGGTAAAATAGAAGAGTAGGGAAGAGAGAGCAACTTAGAAGGAAGGACTGGGGCCAAAAGGCGAAAGTGAAAGTGACGGCCACGCGGCGACGACGACGGCGGCGGAGGTGCGATATGATATCTTTTTGTCCTTCACTTTGCTTTGGGAGAAAAAAAAGAATTATGATGAGCCATTTTTGAATACTGTTGAGCACCAACGAGGTCTCTCTTTCAGGAACCAACCAAGGTTTGGCTGAGAGAAAGAAAAAAGACTTTCATTAAATGTTTGTTGGCGACGACGACAAGTGGAGTGAAAGGGAACGGCTACTAAGGATCAACTTTGGATTGCAGTTTGATTTGTTGCCTCTCTCGGTCGACTGTGTCACCTACTTCTCTCTATGCATTTATTTACTTTGCTTTACTTTCCAGACAGTCAAAAAAGAAACAAAGAAGGCGAAGAAAGCAAGAAGGAAATAAAAGGAAGTCAAAAAGCTAGAAAAGCATTATGCCGAGGAGGAATTTGTGAACAAAAAGCGACACGGACATCCGTTCCGGCAAATAAACAAAGTGTGTTTTTCACTGCGTTAGTTTAAGTTAACTTCCACCGTAGGTTTAAGTTATCAATCCCAAGATGTAAGCCACCCTTGCAGAAAGAAAAAAAGAGTCGATCAGCTCACAAGCATCTTGTGTTGAACAAGTATTGTTTTTTTTGCTTGCCTCAACCCCTTGCTGGGGAAAAAAGCCGCGCCATATTATCATTATTAATAATGGATTGGACAGATCGACTTCCTCACCACACGTACACCATTGCGGACAACACTATTGCCAGTCCTGTGCTCGACACATGCATGCCTAGAAATTATCCGAAAGGACGGAAAAAACCAACCAACCACCATCAACGACACCAGGCACATGTCCCTTCCCTCTCCGCATCCACATCTATGCCGGCCAGGCGAAGTCAAGGCACAAAAAAACAAGAGGCACCAACATTGTCTATTCATGGCCAGCAAACTCTTGTCCCATTTCCCATTTCGCAGCCAGAACCATCAGTTGTCATAGGCGTCCATGTCACCTTGCCGGACCCTCAACCTTTTTGACGAAGTGCGGGGAAACAGACGTTTCGTGGCGAGAGAAGGGGCTTGGGAGATAATACGATTTTCTTATTATTTCCTGTTTCCCCGATCAAAGCGAACGCCGCATATATACTTTTTACGTAGTATGTATCCCATGGACCGTCATCGTAGTTTATCATTATTATTATTTTTTTGAAGCGGGAAAAGTAAGACATTAGAAAAAAAAGTGACGATAGAGATTGAGAACAGATCTGGACACGTTCAATGTCGGGGTGATAAGTGGCTGCGTTCGAGGAAGGGGGCGAACAACTGTCAGCAAAAGAAAATTTTCTTGACTCGTCTGGAAGCTCTCCATCAACGCTTTCGCTACTGTTGTTCTCTTTCTGTTCTTTTTTCGCCTTACAAAAAAGCGTCACCCTCATCGTTTACTTGTTCCCATCGTTGGATCATCTCCAATTCTTGTCTCCAGAAGGCGAACATACGAATAACCAAACAGTGAACAATAAAAAATAATCAATAAAACAAAAACAAGGAGCAATTGGCAATGGGCAATGGGCAAAATGTACATGCATGCATCGTCATCATTCCTCTTGGCAAAAATTACATCCGTGCGGTAAAACTGCGAAACGTGGTTTACCCACACACATGCCGTATGTTTGACTAATACTAACCATTGAGATTGGAGGTTTTTTCGACTCCTAACCACAACAACCACTCATCCTGTTTTGTCATCTCACGCTACGTTCTTATGCTGAGATCCATTTGCCCCACACGCCACAGCATCCATTCATTTTTTACCTGAGAATATGAGTACATTTTTGTTCTCGAACCCATGCCTGAAGATTTATGACGCCTTCAGTCCTATGCAGTCTATCGACTTTGTTTTTACCTCCTGCATTCACTCATCGCTTCACAATCTGCAGGCTCTTAAGAAGGGTGATTCCTGTCCATGATCCTTGAATATTTTTCATAGTATACGTGCATATCCTTTAGGCTTGTCACATGCCACCGCGGTAGGGTTATGTACCAGCCCTCCAATAGAGTCTGGCGTTATTTGCAACGGTTTGACAGTCATAGTCCTGCAGGCCATTGCCGTTGCTCTTGGTTTTTTCATTTGCATACGGAGATCGCCATGCTTCTTGATCCACACATATCTTTCTCGAGTTATGTTCCCATTAAAGCAATGTACATACGATAACAAGTCCAAAGGTGTTATCGCTAACATCCAGCAATCACCTAGTTTGTGGAACAAAAGTCACTCTATATTTGAGGGGATCCTTATGAGATATTATGGATTGGGGTTGAGCGGGTAGTTGGTCGGATGATATACTATCTGTTGTAAGTTTCGTCCAAATTCCCAAAGCTCCACTTCGTCCTGCGAGTTTTGTATTTCCTGATACTTCAACTGCAATTGTCCGTGTCCTATCCATGGTAAGCTAAGGATGCGTTTTTGTTACTTTGCTACGCTGAAGGACTCCTCTGTCGGGACTGGTTCCTTCGGATGCTTGGCCTCCATGTGCTGTACGACTAGCTTGTAGTTTGCGATCATCAACTATTCGTCATTTTTGTTTTGTTGAGCATCCACATAATTGAGAAAAGAAAGGAAGTTGGTTATTGGAGTATGTTCGAATAATTGCACTTGTTGTTTGTTTGCTGATTTGCCACGAGTTATTGTTAGACCAGGGGGGCAGAAGGCAATTAAGTGGCAAGAAAATTACCATGCACTTGGGGCACTTGAACTGGTTTCCAGCAACCATGGCCTTGAGTTGACTCTTGGGAGGGGCGTTGGCAGCAGCACGCTTCTCGGCGTTGGCTCTAGTGAAAAGAGTAGACGTGCATGAACATCCAGGTCAATTGCATGGTTCAATTGATGTTCCTTGCCAAGATGGGGAACAGAGTAGAAAGACAAGTCCATAAAAATTGTGTATGTATCCAGCTAGTTCTCCTGTCCAAATGGTTCCTGCGTGATGTTGTTCTGCTGCGTCCTGTTTGTGTACCTGGCTTGTTGCTATGAAGTAGAATAAAGAGGGCAATGAAAAGAAAAAAGAAGCCAAAAAGCGTTAGTGTGCGTTGTTTTTGCAAAGCTAATCTCTTGCGCTTTTATTTTCGTGAGTTGCACTGACGTGCCGGAATGTTTGGTGTGTTTGATGAGCGAGTGAGTGGTAAGTACCTTCTGCAGTCCGCGAGCCATGGCGTGTGTGTGTGTGTGTGTGTGTGTGTGTGTGTGTGTGTTGTGTTGTTTGATGAAGAGCGAAGAGTAGAGAACGAAGTTCTTCCGAGTGATCTGTGGCTTGGAATTAGTTAACCAAATGGATGAGGAATTGAGCGCCATGAAGGGAGGTGATCTCTTTCTTCTTTCCATCCTTCAACTCAACTCAATTCAGCTCAAAAGCAACATTCATCCACGGACACGGAAGCAGACAAGGACACGGGATACTCCGTGCTCAAAGACAACGACCCACCGAGAACACATAGAAATAGTAACCACCCACTTAAGATGTTTGTTGGCGTAGTCGGTCCAAGTTGCAGTGGGAAGCACGAGGTTATGAACCTGCTTGCGACTATGTACCACTTCACATGCCTATACCTCCGGTCATCAACTAGCAAAGGCTCGCAGTCAGACCGCTCAGAGGAGCAAAAACATCACACACAAACGGGCCAGACTCGTATTGAGTTCGACACGATCGAGGCCTTGCTGGATCACGTCACGCTTAACTGGATGGACCACTTTGTCACCTGCGACGTCAACTCTGTCGAGGGTATCGCCATCTTGCGCAAGCGCCCTTTCTTCCTCCTGCTCTCTGTCGAAAGCCCCATGATGACACGCTTCCGCCGATCCGTTGCCAGGTACTCTACAGATTCGTAATCTATTATCAGTTGAGGTTCAAGTTGAAGGCGATCATTTTGATTTGGTTTGTCATATCAGAATAACTTACAGCCATGTCTGCTGTTACAATACCTAGATGCAATGGACAGGGACTGGATGCACCAACGCTGGAAGAATTCGTTGAGCAGACAGACGCCTCTCTCTACAACGCGTCAAGTCCACATCTCGCTATTGCCTTCAGCTCATCACCATCTCACACACCATCAGTGTTACTCGACGAGACCTCTCAGCTTCAACAATGCACCGCCATCACCACACCCTCTCCTTCATCAAACACCGACAACAAGATAGCTAGCAGCGGAGGCTCTACTCCATCAATACCCGATCAAGAACCCACCGTCATGTTACCGGTCCAGCTCTTCAATTCACCTCCGTACAAGCTACTCTCCATGTCAGATCTTTCAATCCTCAACCACTTCACTCACCTATCCTGTCTGCGGACTGCAATCGAGGCACTCGACATCACCAACCCAGATCTCCTTCGACCCTCCTGGGACTCTTACTTCATGTACCTGGCAAATCTGGCCGCGCGTCGATCGAACTGTATGAAACGTCGAGTCGGTTGTGTGCTCGTGCGTGAGAAACGAGTCATCGCGACAGGATACAACGGTACACCCAAAAACTTGACAAATTGCAACGAGGGTGGTTGTTCGCGGTGTAACCAGGCAACACCATGCGGAAAAGGTCTAGATCGTTGTCTGTGCATGCATGCTGAAGAGAATGCGCTTTTGGAGGCTGGGAGGGAGCGCGTCGGCAAGGAGAGTACTATCTATTGCAACACCTGTCCTTGCCTCGGTAAGCAATGTGATCTTTTGTTTTTGGATTTTCATGCGATAAAAAAACTTGAAGGATAAAACTGTCCGCATGAAGATATTCTAGTTTTGCTGATAATACCTTTTTTGTTTTCTGATAGGATGCGCGATCAAGATTGTGCAAGTGGGAGTGAGTGAGGTGGTTTACTCCGAGTCGTATGGGATGGATGACCTGACAGCAGAAGTCTTTCGGAACGCGGGAGTTATCCTTCGTCAGCATGCCACCCCAGGGATCAAGCTTGACCAGTCAAACCCTTGAGGCATGGGAGGGCCTTTTTTTGGAGGGGAGACGTGGCAATAATCATGGGGATGAACCCTTTCAAAGCAATAAACAAGAAACTGAGGGGGCTCGCTCTTTGCGCAAGTGCCATCGACGATATCCATGATCCAAGGATTAAGATTGAAAACTAACTGCCCGGGAAAACCACCACCAGCTCAAGTAAAAGGCAGTTAGTGGGGGAGGTTGACCTTCGATGGTGGTGATATTCAGGCAGTCTGTCTCTCGTTGAGGCCATTTTCAGGACCGCTGACGACAAGGAGAGAGGAGAGAGAGGACAGAGAGGACATGGCAAAATACAAAGTCGACAAGCGCACGATCTAACACACTATAAATGAGCGCCAAGTGGGTGACCCTGCTCTTGACATGGGTGATGGACCATGTATGAGCAATCGTCTGTCGGCTGAATACAGTAGTCGACATTTATTTAGTCCAGTCCACTACTAACGATGTTATCATTGTGGTTCGGCAATTATGGCCCGAAACATTCTAACCCCTTTCATTGCATCTTCTTTATTCCCTCATACCTTGCAATTTTGTTGGATGGGAACCGTTGGCAACGTGGGGTCGACTAGCTGTTGTGGTCCATGACTTTTGCTACTCTTGTTCGCAATGGCATTAGTCGGGCTCTCTTTTTCTTTCTCTTCTTGCCGTTCTTTCTCGTGTGCCGGCCTTTTGGGCGTTAGGTGTAAAAAAAGAAATATAAGAAAAAAAGGAAGAAAAGGAAGAAAAGGAAGAAAAGGAAAAAAGAAAGCCGACAAAGTAGTTTTGGATTGTGTGCTTCTTTGGAGCGTGGATGCAGGGAAAAAGAGGGTGTCACCAAAGCAATTGAACCTTACTCGGAGCCTTGTGTCCAGATGTCAATGGACAATCAAACACAGCCAGGCCGTCACTCAGCCAATGTCAGTGGTGGCAGGGCTGTTATTTGATCACTTTTATGTAACTATTGTAATGCTCCTCTATTCATAGCTAGTTCGTCTTCTTCAGTCGTTATCTTTGTTCCTTTTGTCAACACCTCTGTATTCTCCCGTTTAGCTTCTTCCTTTCCTCCTTCACTCTTCTCCTCCCTCACTCCTCTCCCTCCTCCTCCTCTCCTCCTCACTCCTTTACCTGCCGTCCCCCTTCTCTTTCGCTCCTCCCTGGATCCTTTTTTTTTTGTTGCCTGTTTTACTTCTTTGCCTTACCAGGACCACACCAACCACCACCAACAACAGCTGCATCCACCGCAGAGACAACCAACCCTATACACAAAACCTGCTGCCCTCATGCAGATCCTGTCGTTTTTCTCGGGGGTGTTCCGCAAGACCCAGAATCTGCGCATCCTCATCGTCCTCACCATCTTCTTCATTCTCGCTTCCTTCTCCCGGTACCATGGCTCGCTCGAACTCTCGATCGACGAGGACGGCCAAGTCCAGTCCATGCCCCAGCGCGACAGCAACGTGCAATTCACCCATCATATCGCCACCTACAACCATAACGACATCAAGCCCTGGACCCGTGGCGACTCTGCTGCACTCAGGACCGTCGAGGGCCAAAAGGTCGTCGAATACCTGACAGCATCGCCCTACCAGGAGGGCTCGACCATGCTCAAGTCTGATCATTTTCTTACCCTCACCAAGCGGTTCAGGATCTACCGGTCTCTCTGGAAATACCTCCAGGGCTACTATGATTCGAGTGTCGCCGAGTATCGTCAGGAAGAGTTCTTTTCGGCACCCCCCAAGGAGATTGCGGCCGATGTCGATTTCCTCCAAAGGTTGGAGCAGGCCAGTTTCCCTTGGATCGAAAGGGACCACAAGACCAGTTACGCTCTCTACGACAAGGTCAAGAATGGCGGCCGGGGCATCGTGATGTGTGTTGGCGACCAGCACGCCAAGTATGCACGGACCGCGATCAAGGCACTCAGGGAAGTCGTCAAGACCAAGCTGCCCATTGAGATCTTTTACACCGGCCCCATCGACCTCTCCCCCGAGAACCGTGCCTGGTTCGAGAGCATTGAGAACGTCAAGACCATTGATGTCACCACCTTGGTCAACAACGAGCTGCTCATCATCCAGGGATGGTCCGCCAAGCCCTTCGCCACGTTGGTCAGCAGCTTCAGTGAGGTCATCCTCATGGACTCGGACGTTTACTACATGATCGACCCCGAATTGTTGTTCGAGGACGACGGTTACAAGGAGACAGGAACGCTGTACTTTTACGACCGCACATTGTTCCCCGGCTCGGGAGGAGACAAGAAGGCGTGGATGGAGTCCTTCTTGCCCACCATGTCGAACCACCCTGCCAAGACCCGCTGGTTCCGCTTGAAGGGTGACCACGAGATGGAGTCAGGTGTCGTCGTCTTCAACAAGAAGGACCACTTCCTTGGCCTCCTCGCCATCTGCAAGCTGAATGATCTGCACGAGCGTGACCAGGTGACGTATCTGAAGACCTGGGGAGACAAGGAGACGTTCTGGATTGCATTGGAGATGATCCAGGAGCCCTACTCGTTCATCCGGTTCGGAGGCGGAATCATTGGAAACGTCGGCGATGCGATCCCCTACAAAGAGATCTTGCCCAAGGACGAGATCGACCGGTACAATCAGGGCGAGGACTTGGTCGAAACCAACCCCATCAACCCCAAAAATGGCGCGACGAGGCACGTCGAGAAGCCCAACCGGGACCGTATCTGTGGAAACTTGCTGCACTTTGACCCCATGGGCCAGCCTCTTTGGTGGAACTCGGGTGTTGTCCGCAACAAGTTTATCAGGAGTTCGCCCTACCTCAAGTATGCCGCCTTCATGCGAGATGAGGACGGTAACTGGGACTTTGATCAAACCTGTCTGATCCAGAAGAACCCAGGTGCTATCATGGAGGTGGACTGGGAGCAGCGCAAGCTTGCGTTTGAGGTGCTGAAGGTCGACCGGGAAGTGGCGTTGGAGTATAACAACCCAGGAACCAAGGATGTTCTCGACATTCCCAAGCTCCTCCGCGCTGACGGCGCCAAGGGAGGCCGAGGCAATAATGAGGCCGTTTAACAAACCCGTTCAACCATTTCTTACATTTGTATTTATCATTTCGCCCCCATTCATTTGTGCTCGCAAGCACAACAACATAAAAAAGAAACTAAACAGTCATAGTTTACTGTCTCACTCATTGACATTCGTTATGACTGTCATATATCCACGTTCATAAGTCCTTCCCAGAACAGCAAGAACAAAAGGACAATGACACAAGGTTCCAAACAACCACAACCACAACCAGGATAGGAAAATTAGTGGTTGTAATATTCTAATAGATCGAAGGAAAAAATCATGTTTGGTGAGCCTTTCTCACACTTTGTGTGCACGATGCTGGCAGCCCCTTTCCTCCTTCTTATTGAGCCTTCTGCTTCTTGATATAGCCACGGAAGAGGACGCCGCGAAGAATAAAGCCAACATCCTTCATGAACAAGAAGGTGACCCAGATAAGGGTACCGCAGGTGGCACCAAAGACACTCAGCGTGATAGCAATCGACCTTGTATCCATGTCGGGGTTGTTTTCCTTGATATCTGCTCCCAAAGCGTTCTCCCACTGAGGGCGAACCCAGGAGTTAATGAGGACGGTGTAGGCAATGACGGAGAGACCTCCAACGAGGCAAGTGTAGCGGAAGAGGGCGGTAAAGGGGGCGACGGCCCAGGAAGCGAGGGATCTCCGGCGGAGGACACAGTCGACTGTCCAGACTACTAGAGGCACGACGAGGTATTGAACGAACCACATGATTGGGATCAGCTCGATTAACTCGATGGGGTCCTGTTGTGTCTTGAACATGTCTATTGAGTTAGGAAAAAGAAGTGGAGGGTACATTAATGCAAGGAACAAAGGCAAGTGGGGGTGAAGGAAGGCTGCTAGGTGGGTTGAGGGAATGTGTGTTAGCAATAACAACTATAAGGACGTTGCCGTTGCTATTGCTGTTGTGTCCAGAGTGGTTGGTTCAACGTTGCTTGTCCTGAGTTTTTGTCTGCGTCTCCAAAGTGTACTACAATTGTCCGGTTTGCTTCCTTATTTTGCTACTCCTGAATGCCGCTGAGAAAACTGGTTGTCAGTTTCTTGTTATGCTCTGTACTGTTTTTCTTGGCTTTGGTTTCGGTTCTTACTGATGACACGCGGCACACCGCTGTTGACACAAAACTGGAGGAGGATGGAGGCAAGGAGGCCGTCAACGTAGTGCTGCATGTTGTGTATTTTGTTGTTGTTTTAAGAGTGGTGTGTTCCTTGTGCTTGACTTGGTCCTGAACGGAGGGTTATTGTCGTCGGTGTGGTTGTTATTCTTGAGGAAAGTGCGGGGGGGAGGGGGGTGAAGAAGGGAGGAGAGTGGAAAAGAGAGGAAGAAGAAGAAGGAGAGGGGAAAGTGGAAAAAGTAAAGGAAAGGGGACCGAGGCTCTCCTGAGATGAGAGAGAGAAGAGAGCCCTGTTCTCATTGGACCTTCGCTGACCTTCCACGCCAAACAAAGCAGACATTTGACCTTGTTTCTGCTTGATTGTTCGCCTCTGATTGGACAGATTTAGCTACGAACCTTAATCTTTGTGCCCACACACCCTCACTCTCTCACACTCTTTGTTTTTTCCCTCCCTCGGTCAACCAAGGGATAAAAAGAAGGCTGGGAAAAGAATGGCTGCTCGGAAGGAGCCCGATTAGTTTTCTTTTCTTTTTTGCTCTTCCCCTTGCCTTGGGCTGTTCCTTTTCTTTCTTCTTTCCCAGTCGTCCCCAACACACGCTCGCTACGCAAACAGATGGACATACGTACGTACCCGCTTATAGTTCATTTCCATCTCTCCTGAGAAAAATACACAACAACAAACACTCCCGGTAACAATTGTAGCTGCAAGTTACCATACAGACAATCGCTCAAGAGAAATACTTGATTCAGGCACACACATATATTTGTAACCCGAAAATGTTTCTTTCCTCCCCGTTGAACCTTTCTTTGCTCTCTGCTACTCTTTATTTACACCGTGCTGTTATTGACCACGGCAGGATAGGAGGGACAACATAGGTCATCGATTGTTCAATTGGTACACAAACAATGAGAAGCGAGAAAATAGGAGCTGACATTATTACAAAGAGATCGGTCCAGTCGCGACTGGATGAGCCCTAGTAGCACACTGAAACAACACTCTGGCCCTCACAAAAGACCCAAAACCCCACGCAAAAAGACGCAACAAGTGCTTTAAACTCGTAGTCTCCCGCAAGGACATTCCCCTACCCTTTCTCCAACAAAGGGCGCTGCCAATGAGATATGTAGACAATTGAGAAAAGAAGGACGTGGAATTGAAAGATGGATTTGGAGGAGTTGAGGAATGCGACGTGAGGGGAGAGGAACCGGATCGTGAGAGAAGTTTAGGAAGATGTGGATCCCAAATTAGCGACCTTTACTATGAAAGCCAGGAAGTAATAGGCAAATTCTTTTGCAACGGCGCTGTACATATCGGGTCTGTGCAAGATATGAGACGAATTTTGGAATAGAGGCACAACGCTGGTTGCAAGAGAGTTGGTTGATAGAAAACAAGTGCTTGCACTATACCGATCGAGATAAAGAGACCACTCAACTGACATACTTCATTGCGGGGCAAGGCATAGATGATTTCATAACCTGAATGCAAGGGCTTCATTGCTGGGAGGGAAAGAGGGGGATTAGAAATGAAATTAAAAGAGACTCAACTTACATACCCTTAGACGTTAGTTTGTTTACATGAAACCTGCTCATCTTGTACCTGAAAACGACTGGAATGAACCCCTTTTTGTCTTCTTGGTCTCACTAAAGGAGAGTAGCCCATCCATTCATGACGAACATTGTAACACGACAGAGACGACGCGTGTGCGGTGCTCTTTTTTGTGGTTTTTACATCCTGCGACACCATATCAGTATTACATGAGAACAATTGGTCTTGGTAACTTTTTTTTTAATGGACCTGTTTTTACTGTTCAATGAACTACCTTTCGGTCATTTGTCTCTCTTCAACAGGACAACGCAAAAGCTAAGACATTTAGTGCCAGCACTTGAAGGCTCCATGCTGCACGTCGTGGCAGCTCCAGAGGAAGGCGTTGTACTTTCCGATCTGGTCCAAGCCACAGGAGCCGCCATCGTAGTTGGCGCCGGCGTCGCCGCAGGCGTTCTTGGTCTTGGTCTGGTCGTTGCTGCAGGTGCACCAAGCGGGGAGGGTCACGGCCTCGGCACCCTGGCTCATGACGACGAGGGCAAGGACTGCGACGAGAACGAAGGAGAAGGTCCTGTTGAGGGCCATCTAATACATATACGAAGGGTTTGTGTGAATAGGGATACTTGTGGATCAGGTTGTTGCTTCGATAGTGTGTGTGACAAGGGATAAACCGGAATGGATGTTCTTACTGTGTTTATGTGTGTGTTTGGGTGGGTGGGTGTGGAGAATGTGGATGTGTTGGCGATTTGCGAGGAAGAATGAGGTTAAGTCGCTTGCTTTTATACCTGAAAAATTCGTCTTGGATCGCCATCGAGCGTCAGCTTGGTTTACTCTGGAGCTGCCCTTAGAACCTTGCCATATTGGCATTCAAGAGCTGAAAAGAACTCAGAAGCAGAATCAAAAATACCCACGTTGTGGGAAGTTGCAAGTTCAAACGGGAGGTGGAGTGACGAGGCGTAATTCCCTGATCTCTTGACCCAGATTGCCACCCAGGTATAATAAAACTGATAGGGCTTTGTATGGGTGCTACACTGCACTTAGAAGTTCAAACATCGGCAGAAGAGATGAGGCGCAATCTTGGTGATGCTCAAACTCAGACAAAAATTGAAAATCCACTTCCAACGGACACCTTGCATAGGGATTACCTGCAATGACAGATCGCTACCCTGGAATAAAAGTAGCCGGTTGTGTTTTTATCCGATGAATAAAGCAATTCACGCTCGCTACAGAGACCGGCCGCTGCCATGCATGCATACAAATCATGACACACACACACAACACTTAAAGGTAGCTAGTATGGTTATTTGTACCATGATGAGCAGCTATCTCAAGAGTTGAGGCTGATCGTGAATAGCCTGGTAGCTTTTATTTTGTACTTTCTACTGGACGCCTCATCCTTGCAAAATCGTTGATGAGATGGGGTCATGAATAGTCCAATAGCTTTTTTGTACTACCTTCAAAACGCCACTCATTTCCAACTGTCAATGACACCTATGAAAATCCTAGGTCAAGGCATGTCTAGGCTACTCCAGGAAAGGACAGCCAATGCAACCACAATAACTAATGTACTAAGTATCCATATATCCTTTTCTCTCCGCAACAACACATAGCCATGTCATGATACATGAGCCTGAAGATATATGTGCCTTGCTGCGCCCTTGACTTTCGTTACTGTGCCATTCGTGCCTTTCCCGATTCCAGGGGTGCTCTCCCATCCCCTTGTTCGCAAACATGATTCCATGCATTAAGTTCAGGGGTGTCAATGAGACGAGGCGCAAAAAGATGCTGCCATTGTTTGTTTGTTTTTGATGACAGAGAGGAGGGGCTCAGCTTAAACCATGAAATCACAAAAAACAAAAATGTGAGCAAGCCCTGAATGGCATTGGGGGCTGTATATTACTGTTTGTTTTCTTTAACGAGCCTTGCAAGGTACTTTGAGATCGTTGCTGGTCAATAGTTCAAGAGGCGGGCTTCGTATCTGCTGAGCTAGAAAAATCGACTCGAGCAAATGTACAAGTTGCGCAAAAAATTAGACGAACTACAACCCTCTGTTGTCCGCCCGCCGAAGTACATTGAAGGTGCTCAACTTGCTCGCCTTAATAGAGTCCGCCATTGCGCCTCGTAGCTTGAACATCCCACACTCTTAAATCATATGAAGAAAAGGTACATTCAGACCCTTCAGACCCTTCAGACTCTAGTAAATAAATGGCACAAGAACGCATCATCAAAGTCTACACCAAACCCTGGGAACACGTTTTCATGTCTGTCGGTAGAGTAACCCATTCGCCGTTCTTTCACCGAGAGCAAGAAGTGGCGGGGGCTGTATGTATATCAAAGTCGGATTGTGATGTACACCTCACCACTCTATCCTGTAGCGAACTTGAGGTGGTGACAATCGAATGATCGAGTTAAAGGCAATGACGTTGACCACCATTTCTCCTCACTCAACAACCACCTTCACTCCTCCAACAACAAAAAAAACGACTTCGTAACCTCTAAATTAACACCCCCTAAACGTGTCCATCCTCCTTCTCCAGTAGACCTCAACAATGGCCTTCAACAAGATCGTCCTCCTTCTCGTCGCCGCTCTCGCCGCCCCCATTGCCATGACCCAGGCCGCCGGTGGCCTTCTAGTCCCTGTTTGGTGCTCCTGCGGTGACATCGCCTCGAAGACCAAGACGGCCTGTGCCCAAGCCCACGGCAACTGGGACAGTGGCTCTTGTGGCATCGTCACCCCCCCTGTGTTTTTCAACTTCGTTTCCTTCTGGACGCAAAAAATGCGTCCGTTTCTTTCTGGACGCAAAAAATGCGTCCGTTGTTTCCACCATTTTCACCGGAAGCAAGTGCTTTGTTTCCACCGTTGTCAGTGGAAGCAAGTGCTTTGTTTCCACCGTTGTCAGTGGAAGCAAGTGCTTTGTTTCCACCATTGTCAGCGGAAGCAAGTGCTTTGTTTCCACCCTTTTGCGCTGGAATTATTTATTTCTGCCTAGTCAACACTTCTTTTTCTTGCAGGGCGGGAGACACCCTTTTCTTCTGGACTTTTTTTTTTGTCCTGACTTGTCAAACACACCTTTTTCTTGCAGGGCGGGAGACACCCTTTTGCGCTGGAATTTTTTTTTGTTCTCAACCCGTCACCCAAAAAAAAGGTGAGGGCAAAAATTGGTGTCTCTCGCCCTGTGCCTCGAGGTGTTCTCAGCGAACACTCAGCGAATTCTCAGCGAATTTATTTTTTTCAGCGAACACTCGGCTAACACCTGGCTAACACCTGGCTAACACCTGGCTAACACTTGGCTAACACTTGGCTAATTCTCAGCGAATTTATTTTTTCAGCGAACACTCGGCTAACACTCGGCTAACACCTGGCTAACACCTGGCTAACACCTGGCTAACACTTGGCTAACACTTGGCTAACTCTCAGTGAATTATTTTTTTCAGCGAACACTTGGCTAACACTCGGCGAACACTCGGCGAATATTTTTTTTGTTGGCGCTGTTACTTTTTGACACGCTGAGGAACACCCTTTTTCCTGTTTTTTTTTTTTTGGTAACGCTGAAACTTTTTTTTGGTAACGCCCTTATTTATTCTTCCCGCCATCAAAGTGAGTGCAAAAACATAATCGACAACCACTATGGAATTGATAATACGAGAGGCGAAACCAGAATGAAATGGCAATGTGGGAGGCTGACGTGAAAGTGGGAGAGGATGAAGGAGCTGAAGACGCTGAAGTTGCAGCTTGAGAGGCTGAAGGGGCTGAAGATGCTGAAGAGGGAGTTTGAGAGGCTGAAGGAGCTGAAGAGGTTGAAGGAGCTGAAGACGCTGAAGAGGGAGTGTGAGAGGCTGAAGGAGCTGAAGACGCTGAAGTTGGAGCTTGAGAGGCCGAAGGAGCTGAAGACGCTGAAGAGGGAGTTTGAGAGGCTGAAGGAGCTGAAGACGCTGAAGTTGGAGTGTGAGAGGCTGAAGGAGCTGAAGATGCTGAAGAGGGAGTGTGAGAGGCTGAAGGGGCTGAAGAGGGAGTGTGAAAGGTGGAGGTGGTCTTGGAAGGGATACCCACAGTTGGAGCAGTGATGGAAGGTGCCTCAATATTAGACCTCGGCTCTGACGGCAGATGCTGGCATTAAATGCCGAAAGCTTCGGCAACCTCAATTTTTTCTTCTTGCCTCTCGATCTTCTCTTCTCTTCTCTTTCTGTACATTCTTGAGTCTCGCTATTTGTTAAGCGGTGACAAATAAAAGGCTTCCTTTCAACATACAGTCTCACTCTCTCTTTTTCATCCTTTTTGACATGGTCACCACCGAATGACCAAAAAAAAATACTTCGATAGCAGGCCTCCCGTTCGTTCCTGCTTGTGTGTCGGAAATATGTCCAAAATGTATTATGTATTGTCGCGTCTATATATAATTTTTGCGAGTAGTGTTTGGTGTTATAGCATCTCCTACAAGAAGTCGGACGTATCTTTCGAATCCTGGAGACCGGAGGTGTAGAAGTGTGTACGTTCGAACCTTCTCCCTTATTATTGTTGTCGGGCTGGTCCTGCGAAGCCGTGTCTGGTATTTTTGATAGATGTCCAAATCGTTGTGGCTGTTTAGTGAACAGCATGGGGCTCCTACGAACATCCAATCATTGAGAGAGGCGAAAGAAGTTTCTTGTTAGTCTTTGTGCATACTGCGATCGGTACGAGAAGTTACAGCACAGCAACATGAGTAGCCTGAGTTACTTACGGCGGTGTCGGGGTGGATGTTGCGCTCGAACTTGGTTCCTCCAGGAGCAGTGGGAGCTATGGCATAGTTTTTGAAGGTGGCGGGAGCCGTGTTTAGTCGAGGGGATTAATGATTTCATTCTGTGCGCGATAGCAAAATGTGCGAAGGTAAAGAAGGTGGTGATCCGCGTAGTCGATCGTACAGTATCCAGTAAACTTCATATCTCCTGCACCTCAATCTTGGAAGACCGGTGCCTTTTCAATTCCCCAGCTGCCGAATGTCGAGTAGCAAGCGAAAATGCCGAGCAAATCCTGTCTTGGATCCTCCATGATGTTAAAAATGTCGAGTCCATGCAATTGAAACAACGTCTTGCGGTGACCATATACCTCCAACTGATTGTCGCTTCCCAACGTATTATCAGCCCTCTTGACGGTTAATGGTCACTCTTCCATGTGACTAACTCCCGTGTTTCACGTCCGGAAAGGCGATTACTGCTCATTCTTTAAAGACAGCAAGCCCATATCTGACACGCCTTATTCCCATGAAATCCCCTATGTCTCCTCTGTCGAGCATATGCTGTCTGTCGTATGTCGCATACCAATATAAGGGTCAGGGTGATGGAGCTCTGTCAATTGGCGTTCAGTTTCCTGAAGAAGTGATGCAAGCTGGCGAGGGTGACGGACGTTCCTGTTGGCATCGAATTGCATCCAGAGCACAACTGCTTTCCTGCGAAAGAGGTTTGTATCGACGTACCAGTCCTGGGCTGTCTTGAGCGACCGCCTGTACAATGACTGGATGATGCGGTGATGGGCCAGCTGTGCAGCTTCGGACATGTTGCTTATGAGAGCCGGGGTTGGTCGTAGGTTGGCTGATGCTTTCTCAAAAGCGATCCAAGTTTTTTTTTCGCACGTCTTAGCAATTTAATCCGCGTAAATGCTATTTCAAGCAGCTTGAAGGGTACTTCCACAGTGTGTAAAGTTGCCGGTAATGGGCAAGCGTCTCAACAACAATGCTTTTACCAGTTGTATGTTCTTTGCACATTTTTGTTTGATTTACTGGATATTGAAGGCGAAGAAAGCATGTCTAATCTGTTCAAGGTCCGGAAGGATTTACTTTGATGCATCCTTGCCACTCTTGGCAGCATCCTTGGTATCCTTGCCGTCCTTGGTGGCGTCCTTGGCAGCAGCAGCAGCGTCAGCTTCCGCCGTTACTGGCTTGCCATCCTTATCAACACCATCCATTTCCTCCTCTGCGCGCTTGTTCTCAATTTTGTTGTTGATGAGGTTGTGGAGAGCAATAACGGACCGAATCAATGACGACAGATAGATCACAAGAAGCTGGTCGTTCGTCTTGACCGAGAAACTCTTGATCGTGTCGGGATCCTCGAGGTTGGGCAGGCGGTTGAAGATGTCCTGCAAGTTGTAGATGATCTGGTGGTTGATGGGTAGCGATCCTGCGACGACCTTTCCCAAGTACTCCTGAATCTCCTCCAATCTCTGCTGCAGACCCTTCAATGATCTCAATTGGTCGCCCACGCGAGTCGAGAGCGTGCCGACAACATTATCCTTGATATCACGGAGCAAGTGTTCCACTCCAATCTCCTCAGCCTCCTCAGCCTCAATCTCTGAGGGCACATGCACAAACGTCTTTGTGGTTGCAGTTCCATCCTAAATGACATACAAAGACGTGAGACAACCGCGTTAGTGTCTAGCATTCTCTATTGCGATCTCTATATTCCGTCCAAGCAAAGTATCGAGTCACAGCCAAGTGTTCCTGGGCTTACATCGCGAATCTCCTCGACGGCAAAGTAGGCATCTGTTGGGATCTCCAGATCGGTGGGCTTGACGTCAATGATGACCAATGCTGGGTTAGGTGTGTACTTTTTGAAGAGCTCGTTAATCTCGAGATCCGAGGCGCGCAGCTTGGGTCCACTGTGATACCATCCGACCATACGCTCCTTGGCTATCATTCGTTATTCGATTGGTAATCAAGGTGATGTCAATACATGCGTTAACTCATAATAGTACTGGAGTCGAAGAGTGGAAAGGAATGAGCGTTGTGACTGATTGAAGAATATGAACATGGTGCATACCGTTAACCTTGCGGAACATGTCATTCATAGCCTCGACATAGTTGTGATCCAAGAACCAGACTGAGGGGTCCTTCTCGTCCTCCTCGAATGGCACTAATCATATTAAAGAGGTAGATGTGTGTGAGTAAACCGTGTTCTTTGAGTCCGAGTAAAACCTGTTCCCCGCAAGGCACCTGTTCCTGGGTCTTCAATCATGACGCGTCCTGGTAGATAGTTGTTTGTATTCGTAGCAACAAGGCTTGCCCTAGCTCCATGTCACATACCGGCAAAGGAGTTGGCGACGTTGACCTTGTTTCCGTGAGCCTGGCCCAAGAGGACACCGAGGGCGCGCTTCTTTGTGCTTTTGGCGACACGGTTGTAGTGATCGACCACAGAAAGGAGGACGAGGGGGTGGACGGTGACCAATGAGCTCTGGACGACAGCGACGGGTGTGTTGCTGACTGTGGCGGGGGTGGTGGGCGCGTTTGGGGTGGGCTTGGTGGGGGCCATGGTGTTGTTCTTTATGTTCCTGGGTTTATTGGTTGTGTCCTTGTCTGTGAATGAAGTAGCCTTGTCTTCTCCTCTGTGGGTGTGTGTGAATGTGTTGTTGTCGGTAATATCCCGCGTGTGCTGAGTGATGTGTGAAGTGCGAAATGTAAAGAAAAGAAAAGAAAAAGAAAGTAATGAAGAGGAGCAAGACCTTGGACTGATGCCACGCAAGGCTTCTCTTCTTCCTTGGGCGTGTTCTTTTACGCGTGCGTCAGTCTCCAGCCTCTTTGGTGCCTTGCGAACATCGATTCAGTCCGCGTCGGCAGCAAGTACCGTGACGTGTATACATAAGTTGAATTAAGGGCGAATTATAAAAGATCACAAGCGTCTTGTTTCAAAAGGAGGGACTAAAAATCTACACTTGCTCCTCCAACGGGTCTGCTCCCTTCTCGGCCTCTGCCTCGCCGTCATCCTCAACAAGGAACCCGCAGCTTTTGCGCTTCAGGTCCTTCGGACCCCGCATGTACACAAACATCGACCACCCGTCTACTTCATCACCAAGTATTCAAGATACTCCACGGTCTGCCTGTCCGTCAGTTCCAACCTGCCAAATTCATATAGAAAGGTACCATCGGCACCTGGATGAGAACCTGTGGGACCAGCCACATCTTGAACGCTGTCCAAATGCGCCGTGGGATCCTTCGAAGGATCTCGTTCAGTGCCATCGAGTTGGAATATAGAGTGTAGCTCGCCAATCCTCCGACAAGTCCCTGTTTCATCAGCAACGCCGTCTTAGGATTAATCTATGATTCGCTCAACGCAGCTAAGGAGTCTAATCGTTCAGAGGGCAGATCTTGTTGCACTTAAATGATCTCTCCTTTCTTATGCCACTCATAACAGGTTGGAGAGCTTCGACAGCAACAGGTTCATACCTGGATCTAACTCATCGAGAGTAGTTGTCCATATCCTTCCCCCCCTCCATAAGCTGTTTGATGGGGATGACCTCGACCTCGCAATCAATGACGCGATACCACCCATGCATGGTACTGCACACTTTTTCCTTGATGCCTTGTCATTAGGAGGTTTCGATATAAGAGATGCACATCTCCTCGTCAGCGATTCTCTCCATCATACCGTGAAGGTCTCCAGTCGTGAAGAACTTCTTGGGTAGGAGATAGATGACTCCGCCCTTGTGACGGGGACTGAACGAGAGAGGATGATAAGGAACAGCATTATTGTGGCCATCACCCTGGGAGCGGGAAAAGACCTCTTGGTGAGACGACCCACCATGGGAACACCACGGGGTCGCGGATCCGACGGCTGCGAGGAGACCAAGAAGAACGAATGAAAGGGCCTTAGTCATTTGAGGCGGGTTGAAATTAAGGATTGGACAGAGAGTAAACAGACTGCGCCTGGAAAAATATGCGCGTCGTTACCAGTCTGAACTCTGGTAAGGTAATGTTGGTTGCATTCTTTACTTGAGGAGGCAGGAGTACATTCGTAGATTCTTGAGTGTATGGAAGGAGGCAGGGATGGATCAGATATGGTGGGGTAGCAAAAGCGAAAGGCAGGGGATGGTTAAGAACAAAAAAAGACTGAGAGGAGGCACGGGTGGGACGTTTTTATACGATTGAAAACCCGATTGTTGGTTACTCTCTTCTTGTTGCATCGGCTGAAGAGCACATCGGCTCTCAGAGCTGCAGGAGGGAAAAGCGCATCTTTCACGTCTCATACTGAGGATGAACAGTTCTACGCAGCGTCCTCTTCGTGCTATAATTTATTTGAGTTGTTGCTTATTACACGTCGAGGAAAGTACAAATAACAAACGATATACCGGACGATCCGACATATGAAGAAATGTGCACGAAAAACTTTAGATCCTCTAATGCTATGGGGGCATTCATGCAATGGGAGGAGAGTGCGGTAAGGAAAGCTAGCAAATGGAGAGAGAGAGGAGTGTTATTTTTGCTGTTATTCTTTCACCCACGTTCCGTTTCTTTCTCTCGCACAAACCGATGTGCCAGGACCCGATCGCATAGAGAATGGCGAACCATTCCCGCGCAAGCCATCGTTTATCATAGGTTTCTCAAGTGGATATATAACGCTTTCCACAAAGCAAGAACAAACAACCTCCAACTTACTATTGAGTAACAGGCGGTGAATCGAAAACAAAACAAAAAAAAAGAGGGCAATGCATACTTGGATGCATCTGACCGAGACAAGGAAAACAGACAGATAAAGTAAACAGCAAACAACAAACAAATTTTCGATTCAATATCTTTCCTCCATGATGCATGATGGCAACCGAAGGTGCACTACGAACAATGAGAGGTGCCCATGATCGATAGACAAAGAGAAATCTCTTGCTTGTCTAATCCACAAGTATCTTGTTTCAAGACCACATCCTTCGGGTGTGTCTGAGAAAAGATGTGTAACCAACGTAAGAGGCACCGCTATAGCTGACGCGTTTCTCTTATGCCCGTTGAATGCAAATAGCATACAAGTGTGGGTTCATGCCTCGTAAACAAGTCAATGCATATCGTCTAACAAACTATGCTGCGAATATAAAGAACTGGTCCTGGTCCCGGTCAGGGAGCATTGTTGATGCTAGTAGGCCGGGATAACTGAGGTACAATCGCATACTTCTCAAGAACTATATGTCTTACGCGTTTTGACATATCTTCTCTGACCTATGGAACAGTGGAGAAGGGTTTACTATATAACTGACTTGCACAATCGACAGTGACTCGAGAATGTTAAAAGGATATGCACTTAACAATGCTGCATCGATTAGTGGAGAGGCAAAACACAATAACACAATAAAGGGGATGATTTCACTGGGCTTTGACAGCTGTGTGATGGTAAGGATGTGGAAGAAGCAAAAGGGGAAGACGAGCGAGTGGACGTGGCTGATATTTGAACCCCACAAATCGATCAATTGAGGGTGAACCCAAATGCGGAGTCAATGTCAGATAACATTATTTTCAGGGGCCATCACTTGTCTCAAGGCTGCACCGAGAGATCGCCGGGATCAATGGAGACGGTCCTGTTGATCCTTGAGGCAAAATATATCCATTGGTGGCGGTGAACTCTGCTGTTCCTGTGCAGGCCCTCTCATCTTTGCGCGACAAAAGCAAACCACGTGGTACAATTGAAGGGTAGGCCTAGATGCTCTCCAAGTTCTGTTACATGGCAACGTGCCATGGTGGCAGATTAAGGTGCATAGCCGTTTTCAAATTACCTGGTCTAATTACCCAAAGGAAAGCAACAAAATGTGAGCATCATTTCACTTCTCTTTCTTCTTTCTTCTTCCAATCTCTTCGCCCTCTCTTTTCATTTCTCTTCTCTTCACCCCATCCCCATTCACTCCCACTCCCCTATTCACTCTTGTCCTGTTTTTCATATCTATCAACGTACTCCTGTAACCCACTACCTCGAGCCTTGACTCGATACACTTTCGTCTCCAACAGCACGAAAAATACAAATGAACCAGTGCAGTCTAGTCCCTCATCACTTGGACAGTTCTGTGAACAGCTCCAGAACTACCAACAGTTCTGTCAGTGCATTGGATTTACAAATGGAACCCCTTATGGACAAACACAGCCATCGAGCCATACGGCCAGAACCCGTTCCAGATGCAGTGCCTTTCGAATCGTCGTCCATGGCAATTCATATTCCCGGTTTGGCAACAATACCTGAAACATCCAGGCCTGGCACTCGTATGTCCCTTCTTTGGGTTATCATGATATATTTCCTCTTTCTATTCTTATTGTCAACATGCAATTGCAGATGATGATCAACCGGAGTATCCATATCATCCTTTTTTTTGGTTGTTAGCTATCAAGTGGTACTTCAACACGGCCGCTAGACAACCCGGTGAAAAACACAACTGCAGCATGGTCAATGAGTAAGTCGATTGACTTTTTTTTTATTAGCTTAGGCCCTTCTCTCCTCTCGAAGAGTCGATGCTCACTCCTGATTTGTTTGTGCATTTGTGACCAATTCGAAAAATAGATATTAATCACCTCTGGGGGTGCATGCGTCTTGCCAAAGAATTAATGTGAGCACTCATGTTCGATAAACAAACGAACAAGGATGGAGCGACAACATGTTCTTCTCAACCTCTTGACTGAACAGCATCCTTTTTTTTGCATTCATAGTGGACATTGCTCGACAGGGATATGAGTGAAGGTCTCTATGACATTACTCTAGGGCTCTCAATCGAGGGGCTGATATTGGAGACTATCGAATCCATATCAATTACCGTTGTTATGCAGTCGCACACAGAGCCTACGGAGGTACTTAGAGCGCCAACGTTTGTTTGTTGAAAGGTCCAACGGAAACACATAATAGATATACTGACAGCTCTTACATCCTTGGCTTTTGCTAGATCATCACCAGCAACGACCTGAGGAACATGAAAACGAACCCAAGAATCCCAAAAGTCAGAGGCGCAATCAAGTTGAGACTCCACCAACAAGTCTTCAAAAGCAGCAAGGAGGAGAGCAAGGGCGATATCAAGTTTATCATGGACATCAGGACACTCTCAGACGCCAAAGTTGACTCTGGATCGATTGTGATGTACTACATGGAGACTTGCCGGAATGTCTTTGGAGATGACATCTCAGGTAAAACAATGATGGGTGTTTGTACTCTGCATGAACATGGAAGTAACGCCACCCTTCGCAAAGACTCATTAAGCATTTTTTGGCCTTCTTGTTTTCAGATGCTAGTACGATAAGACACCGACCATACATTAAGTCATTCAATCTCTATGGCAATGACAGGTCAAATTGCGATAAAGCGAGGCGGCCGTCAAAGTCATTCACTCATATTGCAGTGTCTGGAGATGGGTCCCATATCGTAACTCTGGCAACAATGGCAGCACCAACAACGCCAGGACCACGAGCACCACGGGCAACACAACTGACTCAGACAGGGTCGCTCGTAATGGAGGTGTGGGATGTCAGAAATCCTAGCAGCACAAACGACAATATCCCTTGCGCCGAAGAAACAATAGTCATGTTAAGCAACGGGTCGCTGGATGTCGCCGTGTCGTGGAATGCCTCCATGATTGCACTCTTAGACATCAGCCCCGTAAGGGTCGCGCACCACACAAAGCAGGACACCTTAAGCATGTTCAGAGTATTTACGCACGAGAGGAATGACAACGTCAACCAGCAATCTCAATCATTGTCGCGCTGCAACTTGAAACGTGTCGACTGCCGTCCAGACCTGAAAACATACATCGGCAACGGAAGATTTCACTTTGCTTCGAACCCTGGCGCGGAGTTAGACAAGGAGCTCTTTATAACATGCGACGGCAAGGCTCTCAACCTGTACAGTCCTTTCAAACAGTGGTCCCATATCCGCCGTATTCCGCTCGACGAAGAGTCTTCATTAGGATACTATGACCTCGGCGCGGCTCTATCCAAGCACCTCCGAGGAAGTCACCTGGCGCTCACCAGTAGGAGCAAACAACATGTTACCGTCTGGGACGTCGAACAGGGGGCCGTGGCGTCATTTACGGATCGCCCAACAACCAACACCTTCGCTCTGTCATCCGATGGGCTGCTCATGGTATTCGTACACCGACATCATATCAATCTTCATTCAGCCAATACCGGGGCTATGATCGGAGCTTGCCATCTGGAGGAATTGACGAACAAGCACCTCATCTCCAGCGTTTCTTTTATCGAGGGCGACAAACGGATCATGGCCGAGACGAACTACGAGGATCCGAACCTTGGCCCACAACACTTGGGATTCATCATCGATACCACCACCTTGGTTGTTGAGGATCGGTACTTCTTGCCCCCCAGGGTTTTTTCTCACCATGCTTCAGTGGACAGTGAACGTCTGGTGTGCTTGCATCACTACACGCTGGACCTAATTCATCTAAAGGACAGGATTGTCTCCACCCCCGCCTCATTGCAGAGGACAAGATGTGATAACTACTGCACAGATCAATTGTCCGCTCAGGGTACCCTGCCTACCGTCCTGCTCGTCCCATCGTCTGGTCTACATTTCAAGGCTCAGAAATTACCCGCATCGGCGTCATCCCCTGGATCGGTGGCTATCACGGCCTCAAAAAATAGCAACCCATCCGAGGAAAAGTTGATCTTCCAGGTGCCTGGTAATTACGATATCGCTGCCTTCCTTCCGTCTCATTCTTGCCTTGTCGTCCAGCGCTCATCCTTGATCATGATCTGGAAACTACCGAGGACCATCTCTGGAAACCACCAACTTATTCTTGTGCACAGTCTTGGATCTGGTCTGGCTTGGCGAGTCTGTCGAGAGCAAAGGATATTTTCGCACGGTCTTCATCCAAATACGAGCGAAATGAACGTATACTTGAATATCGAGCACCCATTCACCTTGGACAACAGCGAGTATTTCATGGGTGGCATGGCTGCTCTCGTCCAAATGTTTGCAGATGCGAATGAGACTTATCGGAGTCACATTTTCCAGTACCTCGGACGGCATATCAATACTTATCCAGACCCGCGGGACACCTTGACAAGTGTTCTTGGCCATATTTGCAGCGCTTGGTCCCCGGATGCCCATGAGTTGTACTGCTCCTTTTTGAAGGCACTTCTTTATTCCCCTTCGACGCGTAGGATCCCACGACCCGACCTTGAAAAGACCTGGAACCCCCTCATGATTTTCCTCGACCTGTCCAAAAAGAATGCACAGGCTATTGCGCTTGCAGAAATCATTATCGACTACTGCATTGACACAGCCAAAGCCAATAGGGACCCTAGCTTTCTCGCGCCTGTCTCACGTTCTCTTGCCACTTTGGTTGAACGCAATGGTCCTCACTCGGAACTAGCGCTCAAGACTCTGCGAGGTTTTGCCTATGTACCCGTCAGCCATCGCTCCTATGTGATCGAGCACCCTACCTGGCCTCTTTTTCGCCGTGAGCATAGCCTCGGATGTGTTCTTGTTTCTTGAGGCGGTCCAATATTTTAATAATCCCAGCCGCTACTTCAGGTAAGAATATTAACAGCATTGCTTTGCCTGCCTTGCTGTTCGTCTTCCTGTGCCTACTGACGTGTTTCTTTTTTCTTTTCTGCCCACTTTTATATTTCAACATAAACTAGTCCAACGTTCAGGACTTACAACTTTGCAGACCTACTGGCGTTCTTGACTCCCTTGTTTGGAAGCATTTACCAACTATTGATTATCTATGACCACGTATCTGGCGACACCAATCTGGGCTTCTTAAGCTACTCAGTTCTCTTCATTAGTTTACACATGGTATGAACGTATTCCATAATCGTCGTGGTGATCTTTGATGAGAAGCACGCGGAATATGACTATGTCTCATTAACACAACCTTCAATCTGCTCCCCACCTCTACCTTGAAATAGTTGTTCGAGTTACGGGTTGTCAAGAGTGTCTGTCATTTCGTCACGATCATCATCCAAGTCATCAGAGCGATCCGCGTATTCTTCCTTGTCTTTGCTGCGGGTCTCCTCGGTTTCACAATTGCGATTCTTCACCTTCTTCGCGGTTGTGTCAACAGCTCATGCTCCAATCTCTCAGAAGGGTTTCCAACAAACTTTCTCGAGTCCATCTTAGCCGTGTACTTTGTCATGGTACGAGCAAAGGCACCAAGAGGATGGTGACAGGACGACTCTCGACTTGTATATGTTTGATGGTTGCTAATTGTTGTTTGTGATATTTCTTCCTTTTCAATCTGCCTTTCTTTTCGTAGGGCGGTCGATATGATCCATTCGATAACAACTTTAAATCGGGCGGCTTCGCGTTTCACTTCATCTTGATCGTGTTCTTCTTCTTCACGGTCATCCTCATGTTGAATGTGCTTATTGGTACGTCGCTTCTTGCATGTTCCTAACTTTTGTCCTAGTTGCCAATCTTTACCCGCGTTGATTGATTCTAGCCGTATTTCTTTTGCCCCTTTCTCCCTTTGCAGCGCTAATCAATCTGGCATTCAACGACGGCGACCAGACATGGCGCCTAACATGGCTGGAAAACAGGATGCGTTATGTCGAAAGTGCCGAAAACATGACCTATATCCACCCAGGTAACACTACATGGCGTGTTTCGTCCTATGCGCTCCCCTTCACTTCCCGTCACTCGATTTCAATTATAAGCGCATACACACACTTACGACTGCAGCAACTGCAACGCTCATCGAGTAAGTTTCCGAGAAACACAGAGCTGCTTCCCATCGACAGTCTTTTATTCCGCGACGCCACAACAGGTCCGGGACTACGACAGGGAGACTAAGCAGTTGATCGAAGATTTTGCACCGACAGTCGCTCGACCTGATGGGGCTTCGAAGGGAGGTGGAGGGGAGGATGACAATACCAGCATGCAGCTGCACTTTGAGCAGAAGCGAGCAATTGACGAACTAAGGTCGGAGTTGAAGTGCGGGCTCAAGGAGGACCTGCAGTCTCTGAGGGACGAGAATGCGTTGTTACGGGTGCAGGTGAGCGAGCTGCAGCTGCAATTGACCACCCTGCCTGGTGAGATCGTGGCCCTACTGAGGGCATACGAGACTCAGCCCGGTCGTACACATTGACCTTCTTGGGTCTTTTCTGTGCAAAGAATAATAGAAGAGCAATTGACCTCGTTCCAATCCGTCCTTGTGTTCAGACGCTGTCCCTGATTTAAATCTTTGCTCCGTTGCTCCAGTCCTTTTTGCATTCCTGAACCACTGAATCAGCTCCATTCTCTTTGTTGGCTCCAACGTGATCACTCAACCCATGAACTCCATTCTCAACATCACTCACGGCGAGCGATGGACATATAATAGGCCATCATGACTTCTTTCAACAACCAGCAACCAACCAGCAACACAACAACACATACCCTCACACCTTGCCATAACACTTTAGTTATTCAACACAATGACCACTTTGAGCGCTATCCCAGACCAAACCTTCACAACTCCTTCCTTGGGTCTGGATGTTCAATCGATCCTCGCTTCTGAGTCGGCCACCCTGGACCCCTCGATGACCAAGGACCAAATCCTCGAGATCGGACAATTTCTCACCAACAACAACACTCACCTGACCCACCTCACCCTAAGCGAAGGGTTCAAGGATCTGCAAGAGGCCCTCAAGGAGTTCTTTGAGCTCCCTTGTTGCTCACAGCTTGAGTCCCTGGAATACAAGGCTGGTGGATCGAGTTTTGCTCAGATCCTTCTGGCAACCTCCTCCGCTGGCGCCAACACTCCAGTGGACCTGGATCAGGTGTCCGACAGCGCCATCGTGACCAAGAAGGTACCCTTTGTCAAGACCCTCAAGAACCTCCGTCTCGGATACAACTCTGACAGCCCCCAGACCAAGACAGACATTGCAGTCTTCAACGGTCTGCTGAAGCACATGATCGAACTGGAGTCGTTCATTCTTGCTCAGCCCCTCGATAGTTTGGCCCTCCTCGAAGGGTTGTCGACCTCCCTGCCTCATTTGCAAAAGTTGTCGATCGTATTGAACAACGAGAGCGGGTTGGAGGAGGAGGAAGTTGTGTCGAGGATCAAGGAGGACTTGTTGCCTGGGGTGGAGGATTTGGAGGTCGAGATCGATGAGCGCGAATCAAGCTATTACCTCAACCTGAGCCGGGATCGTCACTTCGAAGCTTTTATTCGTCGCTTTGGAGGCGAGCGCAAGCAACAAGCATGAGACGGGCAAGAACAGGAGCGTGGAGGGATAGGCCAATGCGTACAGCCATTAATAAATACCAAGCTCACTTTTAAAAATCACGCTCGGCTCGGATGATTCGATTTCCACTTTACTTTTCTTTTTCACTTCCCCACACATTCACACACACACACACACACACGACTCAAAAACTATGGCAAAGGAAGATCCCTCCAAGCTGGTGCTGGTAGAGAAGCGTGGTACTACCACCATCATCACCATCAACAGACCTCACAAACGCAACTGTGTCAACGGACCCACCGCCAAGGCTCTCTATCAGGCCTTCCTTGACTTTGATGTCGATTCAACCGTAAGTAACAGGTTTCATATGTCGCTATTCTTCTGTCGCAGGCTTCGACGGTATGGAAATAACAGTGCTTTAATAAACATCCTACTTCTAGGCAGCTGTTGCCATCTTGACAGGTGCTGGTGAGTGGTTAAGTTATCAACTGTGCGCTTGCAATGTAATGACCAACATCTATTACGGCGCTTGCTTACCTTCATTGTTTCCCTGTCATTCACAACAATAGGCGGTAACTTTTGCGCAGGAGCCGGTGAGTGACCCAATGCTTTTATCTCAGGCTCACAAGTATCTCCATAGGTGTCCAGATAACTCATCACGGCTCCCAATATCAACCCCATTAGACCTTGCGGCTGTCCTGAACCAAGACGAAGCCAACCCCATGTCAGCCGAGTGGGAAGACACACTCCCTGGCCCTATTGGACCTATGGGGTAAGATATCTCATTCTTGTTAGTCGTAATTCCTCTTCCATGAAAGTGGCAAGGTTTATTAACAATGCTATTATGTCTCCTTAACACTACAAACCACCAAAAAAATAGCCCGAGTCGCATGGTCCTGTCAAAGCCGGTGATTGCAGCGATCTCCGGGTTCGCGGTTGCTGGAGGGTTGGAACTGGCGCTGTGGTGTGACATGCGGATTGTTGACACAACGGCAACCTTGGGTGTGTTTTGTCGTCTGAGGGGTGTGCCCCTGATTGATGGAGGTACTGTCCGTCTTCCTCAGGTCGTCGGGCGCGGCGTTGCCATGGACCTGATGCTCACAGGGTAATGTCTTTTAATCATTGGACTTCGGTGCTAGTTTGCCTCGGTCTTCGTTTTCCTGATCACTCTCTGTTCCTGTTCTTGCTTATGTTCTGTACCTGAGAAACGTGGTATTAATTGCTCGTATCTCTTGAAATATGACTTTAGACGCGCGGTCAAGGCTGATGAGGCACTCAAGATCCAGCTGGCAACATGCTACCCGCCCTCATACGAGACAGTATCCTCAACACCCGCCCTCGAGCAAGCACTGGCACTGGGAGCCTTGCTGGCAGAACATCCTCAGGTGTGCATGCGCAATGACCGGTTGAGCACACACCTGGCGAATCCGATCCGTGAGGCGATGCTGAAGGAGTATGAATTGGGACTCGAGACGTTGACGAGCGGCGAGTTTGTGCAGGCGATCACAAAGTTCTTTGAGGCGACTGATGAGAAGAAGAAGGGCATGGGAAAGAAGGCTTCGGCAAAGTTGTAAAAAAGGAGTGACTCTTGAATTCTTTCAGAGGACGTAAAAAATAAAATTTGCAGAGGAAATCAGTGTGAAGTATACCATGCCCACACCTGCAAACACGAGGTATCACACCTGTTGTCAAGAGGTATTTCACCTCGTACCGAGCGGTACTCTACATCCGCAGGCCAATTTTAGCCAACAAAGCTGCAATGGTCTCTTGTCTTCTTTTTTCGCGGGTTTTGGAGAATGAGTGGCCGTTAAAAAGTTCCGCTGTGACGCCTGGCACATTTTTTATTTTTGATACGCGATTTTTACTCCAGAGAATAGCTTGTGGTGACAAGGGGATGGCATACTGGGAGAGTCTTCAGTCCGGTTCTGTTAACACTGGCTCTGAGCAACAATAGCTATCACCCTTCACGATAGAAACGGAAGAAAATACAAAGGCTATCTATTACTTCCATCTACTACACCTTCATCTGAGTACTTTACCGTGTGGTTGGAAAAGCTAAACTACATATCACGTGATCGGTTATTTAATGTATCACATGACTCAGTTTCTGATAATACTTTGGAATTGGAATAAGAACATTCCAAATATTCACATATACATCTGAAAATGGACTGCTGGCCCAATGGAAAGGCGTCTGACTACGAATCAGGAGATTGCAGGTTCGACCCCTGCGTAGTTCATTACAATAGAGTATGCGCTCTAGATCATTTTTGTTCGCGTTTCTTTTTTTTTTGTTTGAAACCGAATCCCACATGGTGAACAGAAGAAGATATTCTGACATCTAATGTCAAATTATCTTTTTCCCAAGAGGACGCGGCCCAAGCCCACCAATCGATTGAGAGTGGAGACCCTTGTTTACAGAGCGACTACCCAACGGCTGTCCTTCTAGCAGCAGTTTCAATCTCATCAATGACGCCAATGATCATTGGAGATAGTGCTTCAACTTGCACAAGTCAATGCGGAGAGTTGTATCCTTGCATACAGGGTGCTGGGGAATACTACACGCAACGCTGTGTACTTCGACGATCCACTTGCATTTTGGCGGATGATGGATATCATGGACAACTTCGCCAGTCTCTGTTGCCTTGCACGAATGTATCTCACTATCCAAGCAACGTCCTCTGAAACAGAGAAACTTTTTAGCGAGGCAGGGATGGTTTACACAGCAAGAAGGTCCCAGCTTTTTTGAGAATAACTTTGTAGCGTTATTTTCTTGCTTTTATTGCAAAGAATAACTGTGGCAAAGGTGTGTAGGAGGGGAGAGGGACCAACAACAACGGAAAAAATATACGAAAAAAAGAAACGTTGCGACGAATTGTCAGATTCATCGACATGGGCAGATCACATTTTGTGTTACGCCCATGCTAGCATGTATCCCACATGCAATTTAGACTGGGGACAGTGATCAATGTGTAGATGGTGGGAAGGAGAGGGAGGCGTTTGAGTGTGTGAGTATGTATGTCTGGTGTACGTTGCCCATGTCGACGGATCTCGGGGAGTTTTTTGCCTTATTTCTGAATATCTTACACTAACAAAGTTTACACCTCTGGTCCTTTACACAAGGGGAGGGTTTAAGTTCACATGAAGCTGCTGGCGATATTAAATAAACAAGATGCAACAGCAGGGATCCAACATGGTTATCTCCAGCGGCCTACCCTGACGACCGCTCACCATGGATGCACTCAACACACAAATGCATAGAAAAATTTGGTGAAACAAAGCAAAGTGCTGCCTATATCAAATGGGCATCCTACCAGGTGAACAGGCGCCCTAAGAAACAGAACGATGGATGGGGATACACTCACAGGGATCTTTACTTAAACCCAGGGCGGAGCCATCGAAATTCTTACATTCCTCTTTGGAGTGCGATGCCAGAGCTGTAGCCATGGTTTTTTCGCCACTGTAAGAAAAGCAAAATACCAGCGGGAGGTAGATTTCTTACAGTGGCCAATACAACGACACAGTGTCCATGCAAGCTTTTATTTTTACGAAGAAATCATTGGGAGCGACAGAAAGTAAGGAGGCGACCTGCAGCACAGAAAAAATAGTTTGTCTCAGTGTTAATAAGTTTGTAGTCAAGAAAAAGCAAGCGCGAAAGTACGACCAATAGTGCGCCGTTGAATTTTATTATTAAGAATTGGTATTGTTATCAATAAGTTATCATACACACATGTTTAATTTTATGCAGCGCCCCGTAATAAATGATCCATACAGAACGGGTTGGGTATGGTGTGCGCTCCTTTTCTTTACATTCACTCCTCAGGTACTCCTGAATCATTCAACCAAACAAGTCCCACCATGGCAACCAAATCAGCAGAGACAGGACGCGGTTATACCCGCAACAACACTAACAACCACAACCACGGACACGGTCATGACCACCACCAAGACCCCAAAACAAACACATACCGCGAACGACTCCTTCAAGCCGTCAACAAGTCCAAAACACTCGAAGAAATTATCAGCAACCCTGTCGCCGCCTGTTACCAACCTACAGACCTCACCCGACTCCTGGCTATGCCGACGCACAGTTACTCAGCCGTTAAGAAAGCCTTTAACAGCAAGTCATGTATCAAGTCCAGGAGTCGGACCTGGACGCCGGCTTCAGGGCTCGACCTCTTGCCCAAACTATACCAAGGAGCTACAAGTACTGGTACCCTCTCCACACAGGCTGCCACAAGGATCGCGACAACGACCCGAAGAGGGAGTGTTGCTCGTTCTATCGAGCGCTCCAAACTGGACACTCAGTTCCGGATCGGGTTCTCAATGGCTTATGGACACTCTATTGAACTCAATATGGAGAACGAGACTATCAAGGACGGGAGCGCGATCGATTCAGGAACCTACATTCTCGACAGAGACGAGTTGCCATACGCTAGCGTGATCGACAAGGAATGGCGCGGCAAACTCTGCGAGGAATGCTTACGCAAGTTACCGGTGGAGGATGACGGTGATGCGGTGCTGGAGTGTCGGAGCTGTCCGCGGTTAACGGATGGCAGTGGAGGAGGTGGCGAGGATCTTGAGCTTAAGCCAGCCAAGTTCTGCAGTCGGGAGTGTCTGGAGCTGGCATGGCGGACGTGGCACGGATACGAGTGCAAGTTTATGGAGGAGCTAGATCAGTTTGAGCAGGACACCCGGCTGACTCTTAGGATCTTTTGGAGGAATGGTCAGGAAGGCGTTCGTCTGGTCACTGGCGAGGCTGCAGATACCAAACACAACAGCATCGACACACTCACCAGCAAAGCTGCAGGATTTTCTCTCAACAATGCCAACGTCAGCAACGTCAATAAAATCGACGAAGCCAACAGGAAGTCTCGCGTCCACTCCAAAGACGGTTCCCAGATCTCGATACAGGAACTCTACCACAACTTTGACAGACTGCGGCCCAAGACCCAGATGGCCCTCCTCATAAAGGCGCACTACCTTCAAGAACTGATGGGGCTCTCCAAGAGTGCAGCGCGCGAGTTGGCACAGATCCAGGCCCTGGTCAAGTTCAATTGCTTTGCGATAAAGTCCAAAATGTACGAGAACGCTGACGGCGATGGGGGGATCTGTTATCAGGAAGAGTACGCGGTCGGATCTGGGGTGTACTTGTTGGCATCCATGTTCAACCACAGCTGTGCGCCGAACGCGATGGTGGTTTTCGGGATACAGGGAAAGACGTCTCTGAGAGGTGGTTTGGAAACTATTGCAGGTGGCGGTGGTAAAGGTGTTGACCCGAGAGTGTTGAATGTGCTGACGAGCAAGAGTCTGAAGGCTTACGGGAGCGTCCCTGCGCAAGTCGAAATCTCTTATGGTCCAACAGGCGGACGCATGCAGACGGATGAGCGGAAGGAGTGCCTGCGTCAAAAGTACTTGTTTGACTGCAATTGCTCCGCTTGTAACGACAGGTAGGCTAAAACATTTGTCTCTTCATTGCGCGAAAATATTTTTTGTACAGATTCGGACTATTGACAGTTGCCTTTCATTGGTGATATCAATTATGCGTAGATATGCAGAGACGTTCAGGAAGAGGGTGTTCAAGTGTCAAAAGGGTGGTTATGCGTGTCGACCTATGCTGGACGATGAAGATGAATGCCCCACCTGCGGCGAGAAAGTCGACCGCACCACCCGCAACAAGGTGCGTTTAAAATACACTTGAGTGATTGTTGCATCTGCTCTTCAGTTGGTACGTCCAAAACTCCATCGATGTACTTACAATGCTATTGCCATTGACATAATAGATGATGCAATTAATTGCACAACTCTTGGGCGACTCGAGCAACCCAACACTCCCTTTCTCTAGGCGGCTGACCCTCCTCAAGACCCTCGAAGTATCCCAGTCGCGACTCTTTGTCGACACCTACGTTATCTACGGTCACACCTGCGATCAGCTGGCAATGGTCTATACGCAGTCTGGAGATCTAGGCCAGGGGACGCAATGGTGTCGAAAGGCACTCAAGGCGGTCATGGTCAATTTCCCGCATGATTCGATTGAAGTTGCACAGGAGAAGCTTAAACTTGCTGGGTTGTTGTTCAACAAGTAAGTCGCCTTGTGTTTTTCCTGCAAAATGTTAGTGGTTGTTTTTTTTCCTTCTTTGCAAACCTCAGAACCTCACACTTTGTTTTTCTATGCGTGTGTCTGTTAGTCAACAACATAGGGAGGCGTTGAAGTATGTTCAAGCGGCGATCGTTCTTTACAGAGGACATTATGGTGCAGAGTCCAAGGAGCCCGATCTGTTGGAGTTGTACAAGATGGAAGAGGTACTCAAACCTATTGTCGGGGAGGACTGTTGAATAGCAACTAGTAAATGGTGCACTTGCCATAGTAAGCATTTTGCAGCGATGAGAATGATACCGCGCTAGGTTTATTCATAATTATTGTTGGTGCACAGCTGGTTCTTGGTCTCTAGTAGCAGTAGTAGTAGTAGCAGTAGAAGTAGTGGTAGCATTTGCAGTAGCAGCGCGGTTATAGGAACTAAAAGATCCAGAGCTGGACTTTTTCATCGCGCTCTTCAGAGTACCATTCCCGCTCCCACTACCGCTCGTAAAGCTGGCCGGTCGCTGTTGTGGTTGAGCACCGACAGCATTCCGAGGCAAATTGGTCGTGGATCCATAACTGCGTTGCGGAGGAGGTCGAGATCCTTGACTGCTACGGCTAGCATGACTTCCTTGACGACGGGATTTGATACCCTTGTCGTGGTACGGTTGTTGCTGTTGTTGTGCTCCAGGAGTGATAGACGAGGCATCGTTCAAGGACTGTGAACTATTGAACCGCCGCTCGTTTCGCTGGAAGGGCGATCCGTCGTGTGGTTGTCCTCCGCCGGAGGGACTGTTGGAGATGTCGCGGAAGGGGTCCTGGGGGTCGAAATCAAAGAGCTCATCGCGGTCCTGGAGGTCTTGTGAGGGTGTTTGGCTCTCAGGGTCCATGAGGATGCTGGCCTCGTCGGGGCGGTATCGGTATTTTCCAGGACTAGAGAGAGGTCGTTGGATGATGGACCGTTGCTGTTGGTCCTGTACGCCAACTGCTGATGGAGATATGGCTTGTTGTCGGTCTGGGTAAGGGAAGGGTTGGTCAATGTCGTGAAGAGGCGACATGGGCGCCTCGCGCGTGGCTGAAGAAGGTAGCTTTGCAGCTTGCCAAGGCTGCGCAGGAGGCGTACCATCATCCGTGAACCAAGCCTCAAACTCATCAGCGGGTGTAATAACACCAAATAGATCCTGCGACCACCTACCCAATCGCTCCAGTTCCCGAATGACATCGTCCATGACCAACGCATACGCATAGTAGAATACATATCGATCGTCACTATCATCTGCCATGACGACCTTGTTCTGGACCACAGGCAGTTGGCGGATCTTTTGGATCAACCTCAGCCGAGCATTGTTGGCTGGCGGGAGGTAAGGTGGCAGAGGGGTCTTGAGCCGCAGAGCTGAGGCAATGGTGTAAAAGTACAGGAGGACGTTTCCAACCATCTCTCTGCGCTCCTTGTTGACTGGGATAATGAAATCCCTGCGTGCACTCTCGATCCACTCGTCCTTGGTGATGACCAGCCGCATCGAGAGAAACCGGTCCAGAATGTTCTGACAGCTGCCCAACATATTCTTGTACGTGCGCACAGGGAACTTGCCCTTCAGGCGAGGCTCGTTCGGCGTCTCTTCCAGCAGGGCGTAGAGTCGGAGTAGTTGTAGTTGCAGTGAGAGCTCGATCGCCATAAACTCCTTGTTCATCCTGTCCATATCTGACTCTGTTGGATCCTCCGGCAGCTCCTCATGTTCATCCGGGGCTTGAAACCGTTCCTGAAAAGTCGACCTCCGCAGGATCTCCTGGACGCGCTGGCGGGGACCCCGGTAGGGTTTCTGGGGTGGAATCACATTGACCTTGTCTAGGTTTGTGGAGTATACAGAGACGATTCGGTTGTAGAGCCAGCTGATGTTGAGCAGCAGATCGGACAGACCCTTACGAAGCTCCACACGGGCTTCGTAAGGCCATATATAGCTCGTCACTCCTACACCGATAACAACGCCCAAACTGACTGCCACGGCACGATGGAGGGCAATGGTCCACACATAGTCGACATGGTTGGGGTCGTTCGGGTTAGCATCGCCCATTAGAGACCCCAACCCCCGAAGAACCTTGGAGGGAGTCATCGGTCGCCTCATCTTGTCGTCATCATCCTCATCGTCGTCTGGTGGCACGGTCCCGTCTCCGTGTCGTCGGTTGTACGTCTGGATCAACACCAAGTTGAAGGCGAGCAAGGTGACTTGACCGATCCTTGGGTATGCTGAACAAAGGACCAGGTAAAAATTGGGCACCGCAAAGAGGAAGCAGCAGGCTGGCAACAAGATATCGTTGGCGGGGAAGAGCAGGTACATCATGACTCCGGCATAACACCCAACAAGGGTGCCCATGATCCGGTAGATACCCACAATATTGGTGCCTCCGACAGTCGGGACCATGACAATCAGCATTGAGATCAGTGTCCACTCGCCTCGATACTGGACAAAGTAGGGACGCGTCCAGTCAACAAATGCCGGGATAAGTAGGACCATGGCACTGAACGCCGCCTTGGCCGCATACTTGATCTGGAAGGACCTGAAAACGTGCAGGAACTTCCATAGGCGTGTAGACCATTTCTGAAGGAATGTTGACGGTCGAGGAGTGTGCAGGGTGTCGGCTTTGTTGTGCAAGTTGGGTTTAGGGAACAGTCGCTGTTTCCGTTGGTGGCCGTGCGTGCCCTGGCTGCTGCTGGCGTTGTTGCTGTGGGTTGGGGTGTGGCTTTGGCTGGTGCTGTGCGCATGGCTGTAATGGCTCGCAGGTGGACGATGTCCTGGCTCTGGGTCTGGTTGTCGAGAAGCGGACCAAATTGTTAGAGTCAAAGACAGACCTCGTTAACATATCGCAGCATACCTATTACATAAAAAAAATCCAATCAACAACGTACCATCAAAGTCGTCAAAGGCATACTGGCGCATATCGGGTCGCCTCAGACGCCTTGGGAAACCAGTGAGCGAGAACCAAATCCTTCTCCACAAGGACTGTCGATTCCTCTCGATCCACATGGGCAACCCGCCGTCGCCGTCCACCAACTCCTCGACACAACTCACGAGATAGGACAGCTCCTTGGAGAACTCCATCAAGTTGAAGACAAAAAAGTAAACTAGGAAGATCTGTTCCCCAACTGGCGCCTTCTCAGCCAATGCATCCTGCTGGTTATGCATATCTTGCACAGATCCAGGAAAGGAGCCAATGCCTAAATCTTGAAGAGCTGGTTCGCTCATGGGCTTGCTCATGCCAAAGGGCCGTTTGTAGTGTCCAGATCGGCGCTTGTTCTGGTGGGAGTAGAACCGCTTCAACGCCTTGGAGTTCGCCTTCTCAAAGATGTTAAGTGCCTTGGCCAGGTTGATCTGCATGAGCACCAGACTGGGATTCTTCCTGAAAGTCTCGGTCGAGACACTGGGGTGGGTGTTGGAGGTGCCGATGTCAAAGGTTGAGTCGGAAATGGTCTCGCCGCTCTCGTAGTCGCTTTGTCGGACAGTATGCGACTGCGAAGCCCTACTCCGGGAGTTGGACAGACCAATGACTGCCTTCTTGTCGCCATCGGTGCTCGTAAAAATATCCTGGAGATGCTCAATCGTCAGCTTGCAGGTCAACGCCAGTGACTTCATGGGTTTGCCGACATGTTCCAAGAACTCGATCAGATCCGCACTCGCGCTCTGCTCCTGGTCGTGGTTCATACCCCCGATCGGGCTGAAAGATGACATTCTCTTACCGAACCCCAGGGCTCTCCTTCCTCCAGATGTAGTCTCTGCTCCTGTTCCGGCTCCTGCTCCATTAGATCCTGCTCCGACCGCAGTCGTCGATGACTGGGTGTTGGAAGAGGGACCTTTGAGATGCTCATCCCTCTTGAGCATGTCGTACTGTAGACCGCACGAGCTGCGAAGACCGTTGAGATACTGAGCGAGGGTATTGAGGGACTTGACACAGGCCTCGTACTTTTTGATGTCTGATCCAGGAAACTCCAACTGTGCCTCCTCCAGAGACTTAGCCAGGGCAGAGAATGACTTGACCTGAGCCTCGATCAGCTTTTGGACAGATTCAGATCCAAATGGCGTAGTGTCCGACTCGAGCAAGAACGTCTTCGTCAGGAGCTTGAGCAGGAGCCTAAACGATATCAACGACTTGCCCATATCCTGGCTATTGGACATAGATCGATGCATATAAAATTATGAGTGCATGAGCATGGTTACACTTACTCAGTCTATGACAATCAACAACAAGGACAGAGTAGCTTACCGAAGTTTCTCATGGGCGCTTTCGGGCCAGACGAAGATGCTGACGAGGGTGGAAATGGCCACACCCAAGAGCATAGACGTTGTGACAGCAAGTACACGAGTCATGTTGAAGTCGCCCAAGCTGAGTGCTCCTTCCTTGGTAAGAGTAACCAAGATCATGATGTGAGAGAGTGTGCATGCTATAAAACAGGATACAGAAACAAGAGGGGTTGAAAATTGCATACCAAAATAAAGGGTTAGCGTCTTTTTACTTGCATATCGGTTATTTCTATAACTCGAGGCAATACTTATCATTCCAGTAAAAGATAGGAGCGATACTTGCCTACGTTGACAGTGGGGCGGTTGAAGTAAGCCTTTGCATAGGCAATGATAAAGGTGGATCCGCCGCCGAAGACAATAACACTGGCAACATGTCCCCATATGTACAAGTCGCGCGAGTTAAACCAGATGGCACTGAGCTTGCTTGCCACAGACACCAAGAATCCAAAGGTGATTGCGCAGAGGCCTGCTGTCACGGCGTCGACCATCCGTCCCAGAGTCTTTGCTGGGTTGAAGAAGACGGCAGAAGTAGCAGCCAAATGGCCCGACATGCCAATGAAGGGCAGGAAGAACGGCGTGAAAGAGAGGAGACAGGCAAAGAAATAGGCCAGAGAAGCCTTTAAAATACGCTTGGTAGGGAGAGGGATAGCATCCCCAGAGATATAAGACCAGATGGTCTGAGAGGCGCTGGCGAGGTACTCTGCAAGCTTGCTACGCCTTTTGAATTGTTGAGGGTATAGTCTTGCACCGGCGCTGGCAGGTGTGGGGGAATAGTATGGGTGTTGTTTGTTGAGTAAGGGGGTGGTGGCGGAAGGGAAGGATGATGGTGTTGTACCTGAGCCTCCTTGGATGCGTCCTGGATATCCAAGATGGGAGTGAATGGCATCATCGGAATGGTGTGAGGTGTCGTGGTCGGATGGGCCGGCCTCTTGGTATTCCAACATCGGACTGTGCTCTGACCCTTCGTCGGTGTCTGAGCTCGACAGTTCACTATCGATGCATGCATGGATGTCAATTTTGTTTATCATTGTCTGATCACCGATGCGAATTGGTGGCAAAAACATAATAGCATATGATCCCTCGAAGAGGAATGATTTGAAAAAAAGAAAAATGAAAAGAAAAAAGCTTACTCTTCGTCTAGCTCAGTCGTTAGACTGAAGGTTCTTTGCTTGCGCACACCATCATCATACACAACCTCAAACTCACTAAGCCGACTCTCAGGCATGCTCGTCGCCATCCATGCATTCGATCCCGATCCCGATCCTGCTCGTCTGTACTGCTGGTGCGAGAAGGGCCCACCCCGCTGTGGCTGGAAATGCACTCCTGATGTGCTTGTCGTCGCAGCTGAGGCATTGGTTACCCACTGATCGTCCTGAGACCTTGCAGTACCGACAGTCTCAAGGACATGGACAAGCGATCGGGTAGGGGAGGATCCAAACTCGTGCAGACGGCGCGTAGGATAAGATTCTGCGAGGGACCGCCCCACTGGCGGGGATGAGAACGAGATCGCGTTTCCTCCGACTGTTGGTTCTGCAGCAGCTTCTGTCGTAAACGTTGAAGTGGGTGAGGCTACAATGGCGATTGGTGAGGTGAGGGTAGTTTCTGGGGCGACAGTGTCTCCACTGCGTTCCGTTGTTTGGACCTCTGTCTCTATGTCTACATGAGTGTTGTTGATGTTGGTTGGTTCATTCTCTATGTTGATGAGGTCACCGTCGATGTTGCCGTTATTGTTGTCGTCGTCGTTGTGAACAGTGGCCATGCGTCTGAGGATGTGGGTGTGAGTGTATAAGTGGATGCAATGGAGAAAAAGGAGACGATGTGGGTATATAGAGAAAAGAAAGGTAAAGAGAAGAGGTAACAAAAAAAAAAAAAAAGACGCCCAATAAAAAGAGAGCCACAATACCAAATGAAGAAGCACCTCTCCCACGCATGCAAACAAACAGACACAAGCACCCCGCTGATCTTTTTCGTTATCTTTTGTTTGTGGATGACATCGTTTCCCTTTCGCCTTCTCTGCTCTGCTTGGTCGTATGTGGCCCGACCGCAGACCGCCTTCTCTCTTACCCCTTCGTCATTCGAGAAAAGTACTGAGAGAAGAGAAAAAAAACCGCGCATCCCTATCCCTTTCCCTTTGTCGACTTCAACTCAGACACAACTCCGCATCCATTGCCTTGCTACTAGTAGCTTACCTGTTGGTCATCATGGCAATGCTATTCTCCTCCACGTCCTTTTTAGCTTGAATGAAAAACAAAATTCAGGGGACAACGTCTACCTCCTTTGCTCTTGTGCCACAAAACAGAAACATGCACACTTGACCAATGTTCAATCTCAGCCAGTCAATGTCGTTTTCGCCACTGCGTGGACAACCCTTTTTTCATTTCTAATCCATTGTTGGCTATAATCATGGTGAGAGAGTGAGGGGTAGGCTGGTTCATGATTCTGCGATAGGTCATGGCGATAGCTCCTTTGTACAATGCGCATAGCACGCCCACATCCAGCCTCTTCCCCCCCTCTTTTTCAACCACAGCTTTGTAATAGAGTGGGATACCTCACTATGAAAAAGGTAGAGGAAGGAAGAAGCCATAGAAGCGGAGATGTAATTGACCCGTTGTTGTGTAGTCTTTTGACGTAGTAATGGCAAAAAAAAACCACATATATCTTCAAGGTACTTTTGTTATTGTTGTTCTCGTAACGTATGTGTACCCAAAGCAGAGAAAGTGAATCGCTGACTTACAACACCAAGTCCATCACCGCAAAGTGTTTGTCATAGCTATGACAGAGCAGTCTTAGGGAAGGTGAAGAGGGATGAGTCGAGGAGCTGTATGAGATGTGATAGGGGGGAAAACAGAAGTGAAAACTATGAACGCGTTCCAAATCATACGCCGTATCTTTTCAAGCATTCGGTCAGTCGGTAAAAAAAACAACATCATAGTGCATGCTTCTATCATTCTGAACCAATATGTTCAGCATTCTTGTTGCTTCCCTGTCGCGCCATTGCTTTTGACACACTGTGTTCTCGTTCTTCCGACAAAGGAACGTGGGTACCTGCTGTACAAGCCCGCTTTATTCCTCCTTGCATGCTATCCTTTGGTGATCCGCTGAACGGTCTCGTCATCCTCGTCCAAGTCAACAGTCAATCTGTTAGCCCCCATTGAGTGCAGGTCCGTTAAGAACTTTGGCATTGCCTCAGTTGCCACGCCTAGAGGGATCAAACTTTTGATTCCCTCGATCACATTGGGCCCCTCAAAGATGATCTTGACCGGGAAGGGTTGTCGGTTCATTCGGCCCAGGTTAAAGTCTTTGGCTTGTGCTGTGTAAGGAAGGTTGAGTTGGAGATCGACTCGAGATAGATTGGGCTGTGCGTTGGGTCCAAAGTCCTTGGCGACGCGTAGGTCTCGTCGTACAATCTTGTTCATGTCCTCTGACTGAATGTCCTCCATTCCTTGTGCATAGTGTTTCCGTGGGTCTATTGCATAGAGATAATTTTTGTCGTGTCAGTGATGGTCTGATAGGTTGACGATGGTAGTATTTACAATGTCATTTCTATATGTACAATGTGCACGAATGTACACACCTTCAATTTTCCGCTTCTTTATGGTGCCCGAGAGGGGGTTGCTGTCAAGCTGGTCGAGTCGGTAGATACTCTGTGCTCCTTGTGAATCCTTTTGCAACAACAGCTCCGACAGCGATTTGGGTGAGTGTCCTGTCAATGGCCACTCCTCAATTTCCTGCGCCTTAAACACCCGCATAATGGCCTGCCAAGAAAGTATGGAGAGATAGGATAGATGCGCGTTAGGTGACAATTATTGGTACATTGTTGGTCCAACGATGAATATCCGGAGTTTCTCTTCCTTGTCATGTTGGTCGTTAATTGCGTTTTTACCTCCATGATAAATTCAACCCACTCCTTCTTGATACTGGAAGTCAGGAGATATTCCGAGTTTGTGAACCAGATGAGATATGCGACTGCTGACGGCATAGGAAGCACGTTGGGAGCCAGCCCATCGTGAACGCTTATCCTGATCCAGACCATCTGGCCGTCCTGCAGCGTTTGAATATGCTATGGGGTTGTTTGAACGTAAATAATGTCAATTAGCAACAACGCTTCTCGCTGATGTTGCAACAAGAAACCAATGCCTACACTAACTTCCTGATACTGATGGACTTACGTTTTTAAAGTAGGGATCCAGGCAGTATGAGAGCGTTTTTTCGATCTTAGCGGGACTCAGTTGCACTGCGTTAGCCCCAACTATTTTCATTGAATGGCGAGGTGGGAGATATGTTCAAATTGTGCGTTTTTTTCCATTTCAACAACCCAACTCCCGCTGGCAAAAAAAAGCAAACACAGAGGCACCAACTTACAAGAGTCGCCATAGTCCAGCTTAAGCGTTTTCCAGTCCTTGACGCTGGCATGCCGAGAATAATACATCAAATCCAGTTCAGCAACCTGACTCGAATTAAGTCCGTTCCGCCAGTCGACTGCCAACATGCGATCGGCAACCTTCTTCTTGGTAGTACTGGGCTTGTCCCGCATGAGTTCGTATCGTTTGATGACATGTTTCTTGTATTTGGCAAGGGACATTGTGCGGAGACGAGGCGGCCGCTCGTCGAGCTCCATGATGTACTCGTCGTAGTAGTCTTCTTCGTCAGAGGCATCCTCCTGGACGCGGGTGATGGCATGGATGGTGACCCAGCGGATGGCCAGGTCAATGAGAGTTTCCTTTGCGTGCCTGTTGACGGCGCGCCTGAGGGATGTCGAGTCTGGGAAGAGCTGACCGTCCATTGATCCTTGCTTGTCCTGCGTGCCGTTGCTGTAGGTTGTTGTGGAATAAAAGGATTCCCTTCTCGCGTTTGTCTCTGCTTTTAAATGTGCGAACTGGCACTGTGACTGGAATGGTGGCGAGTTCGCTGTCACGAGGAATGGGACCTTTCGAACTACTTGGTTGCCATTTTCTTCTCCTTTCTTTCACGCCATTCTTCCAACACGCTTCGACTCTCCTGTCATCACACACATCGCCATGTCAACACCACCCTTACTCCGCGTCCAGATCAACGGCATCCTCCTCTCAACCCTCCTCTTCGAATGCGCAAACGCCCGCGTTGACTATGTACGTTTACTTCACTGAAAAACCAAGGACGTGACTTCTTGAACACGAGATAACTCACCTCGTTGACCTTCAACTATATAGGAGGGTCTCATCCTGGGAGCAATCGTCTCCAGGACCCGGTCAGTCGCCGACGACGTCTCTGACGACCGCAAGAAGACCACATACACCACCGTCGGTGAGTTCTCCAGCGTAGAACAACTGCCAAGTGTATGAGAATGCCAAGCCTTAAATCACGATTTCTTACATGTCACTTACCACAAAAACCTTTTTCGTTGTAGTTGTACAGGGTGTGTACAAGCTGGAGCCGAATCTGAACAGGTTTTATGGGCGATCGGGAGAGATTCTGGAGCATGTCCTTGAAGAGTACAGCATCCCTTCAAACGTATGTTCGAGTACCAGGGCCTACTCTCTGCCTTGAGGTGTCCCTCTTTCGCCTCTGGCTTTTATTTCTTAATGGCACTGATCTATCAAGCTGATGCACTTTTCGATTCCGAACGCATATTAGCTCATGGTCCTGGGATACTTGAAGTACAGGAGGACAGAATCGCATCAACTCTCGTTGCGGGACAAGGCAGTGGCACTCAATCTCAAGATATATCTGGAAAAGAAGCGCGCGCTCTCTTCTTCACCCTCGAACCCCTTTGCGCCGCCTCGGGATGAACCCTTCCCAGTCACCATGGCTCTCTTCACCGCGAAAACCAACGAGAACATGTCGACCCATGATTATGATTACACTTTCTGGAACGTCGGCGATGATGAAAGGTAATAACTGGAAATGCTATGCTACAAGGGAGTCAGGATGTTGATACTGAATTGTTTTTGAAACCAAGAAGAACGACTTTCCCTGACACTTGACGTTCTGTTTTTACTCTTCTACCAGCTCGTTCGACCCTATCTCGGTCGAGACCTCGAATATGATCGAGAGTCCTCAGGAAGACTACCAGTCCTTCCAGTCAAATCTTGCAACGGGCGCCTCAAGGTACGCTCTCACGCACTCTAGGAGCTGAGATGTTTCGTATTAACGCGACAGTTCTTGAGTCGGAAAATTGTGCCCTAATTAATCGTTCATGGTAACATTTGTTCTTTGGACATCATGTTGTAGACACGCAGCGAGTGTGGGAATGATGAATACAGTCAGGACAGTGCCAACAACGATGCTCGTTGATGCGCATGAGGCCATGTACAAGGATTCCTTTGAGGCTACCAAGGTACGCCTTTCGGAACATAGTTCAGAACTAAGTGTTTGTGCCTCATGTGGCATCACCGGTATTCTGACGCTGTCTTTTCGATTTGCGAAACTATAGTCATTGACAAAGAACGTACTGGAATCAGAGCAGAAGGTCCGGGAGATTCTCAAGGAAGTCGAGCAGCTGCGAGCGCAGATCGAGTTCGGAAAGGCCAAATCCATGGTTGATCGTCAAAACAACCCTTCCTCTCAGCATTCAGCATCGGACCAACAGCAGCAGCAGCAGCAGCAATACCCCAGCGCCAGCAGCAACAGCAGCAGCGCAACTGTTACAAGTGCACCATCCTCACAGCAACAACAGCAACAACACCTGCTGCATAGGGCTCAGTCTCCACCGTTCGTGTATCAGCCTTCGGCGCCATTGTTGGACATGGCCACGCCCTCTGCTCCACCGGCTGACTCGTCGCCCAGTCCACCCCCGCCCAGGATCCAATACACGTCCATCTTCCCGCCACCTTCTCGTCCTCCCAACTCACCCCCAGATCTTCTCTACTAGACAAAGTGTCTTTCGTCGCTGAGTAGCGAGGAGAGAGATGGAAAAAAAAACTGGACGTGCAGATATACACAATTTGAAAATACAATCACAATGCGGGTTGGCTGAATGCAACCCCCTCAATTTCTGTGTTTTTATTACAAACGAGTCTTTCTTTTTTTGAAATCAAGGAGATAGGAGGAAAAAAAATCCTCCCTCCTTCATCTGACCAAAGTATCATATCCTCGAAGCTGGAGCCACTTGTCAGTCTACCACTGCATGGACTCGACGCTCTGACGAAGACCCTTGTGCGGGTAGACATCACACTTCCACTTCCAGACTTCATTCAACGCCTGCTGATAAATCTCTCCACCATCTCTCCACGGTTGCTGCTTCTTCAACTGGGAAGCAATATACGCCACCGCAATACTACCACTACGTCCATTACCATCCCGACAATGGACAAGCACCTTCTTGCCCTGTTCCAATTCTTGCTGAAGAAACTCGACGGCCTCTTTGAGGATTGCGTCCGAGATGCGGTTGTGCGCTCCGGGGGCAAGGGAGATAATCTTGTGGGTGAAGGGAAGCTTTTTCACACCACCGTTGATCGTGGCGGCCATTGATGGATCGGAGGCGAGGGAGGAGAGGATTAGGGAAGAATCAAAGGATTGGCGGGAGTCGTAGAGGCTCGAGACGACCTTTGCGCTTGAGGGTGGGGGGTCGGAAGAAGAAGATGCCACGAGGTGGTTGGCGAGGCTAGAGGTGAGGCTGTTGGTCGTCGACAACGAGGAATCCAGCGGGTGAGGGGCTGTGGTGGTGGTTGAAGGAGTTGGGGCGCTGTTGACGGCCAGAGAGGAGACTGTGGGCGAAGTACCTGAGGTGGTCTCTGTGGTCGAGGTCTTGGGTTTGTTGCCAGAGGCTGGAGGGAGAGCAGCTGAAGGGTTGGCAGCAGGAGGAGTAGCAGCGGCAGCGGCAGCGGCGGACTTTTCGGCAGTAGCTGCAGCCTTTTGGGCCCTCTTGGCTTGTCGTGGTGTAGGAGCAGAGTTTGTGGCAGCAGTGGCAGCGGGAGTGGTCTCAGCAACAGTGGCAGCAGTAGCACCATTACCAGTAGGGGTGGGGGCAATAGGAGGGGTGGCAGCAGATGTGTGGGAAGCCTTCTTGTTATGACTTTTGCTATTGGCCTTTGCAGCGGTGGTGGCGGACTTGGTTGGCGCCTCTGCGTCGAATTCGTCAATTGAAGCAATCGAGCTGACAGAGGCAGAGGAGCGACTCAAGCGTTTAGAGGAGTTTCCTGACGAGGACGGCGCCTGGACCATCATCTCGGTCACGGAGCTCTTGCGGGTGAGACGAGGGGGATCAACGGGCTCATCGACCACGCCGGCGATACTGGTCTCAGAGTTGGAGCCAGGGATATAATTCCTCATAAAGTCGGTCACCGATGACCGTCTGGTCAAACCCTGGCCCTGTTGATCGCTATTCGTCTGCTGCTGCGGGAAACCTTCAGCATCAGAACCATCAAGGCCATTGACGGACGAGGACCGAGAAAGAACCGAAAACTTCTTGGGAGGCGATGCCGCCATTGCCTGCTCCATCCAAGCGTTCTTGTTGATATCTTTGTCGGACTCGGGGATCTTCTCGTCAAAGTCGAGCACGTCGCTGACCAACGATAGCACAGACTCGTAGCCCGAGATCCGAGCCCGAGTCGCCGCAGCATGGTTGCCCAGGTAGAGTCCCGGTCCACCGACACCGACGACACCGCTGGTGCGAAGACCATGCTCGCCATAGACAAGCACCGACTGGGGTCCGATTGTCCAGGAGCTGGTTCCATCAATCGATCTTGGAACACGCACCGTCACCGAAACATCCCCATTCTTCTTCTTGCCCTCCTCGTCATCCTTTCCTGCAGACACGTTGTTGTTGCTCTCCTGCTTATCATTCCCTCCTCCAGTAATAGGAACCTCAGTAGGTGCCCACTGCCACTCCTCCATATCCTTATGCGACTTCCACCTGGCTGTCAACCCAAACTCTCCCCGACCAGTCGGTTGGAGCCTGGTCGCAAAGACGGCTATACTCTTGCCAGGGATTACATGCGACAGCTTCATCGGTAAGGGTGCCCAGACTTCGGGCCCGTCAGGGTTGAGTTTGTGGATGATGTTGGTCCAGACTTGGGCTTGGATATCTTGTGCAGGCAGGAAGTGGTCCTGCGGCAGTTCGAGTTCGAGTTCGATCGAGAACAGGTCTGGAGCCTGGCGAGATTGGTGCGACCCGAGCGACGGGGAGAGGGAGTGAAAGGTGGCCATACTTTTACTTGTTTGTTTGTTGGTTGTTGTTGTTGTTGCTTGGGATCGTGGTAGTGTGAAAGGAAGAAAGGAAGAAAGGAAGAAAGGAAACAGGAGTGGTGGTTGTGTCTTTTTTTTTATATTTGCGTTGGAAAGAGGAAGGAAGGCGACGAAGGGGGTGGTATGAGGGAAATGTGCAAGCAAATTGACGGAGACAGAAAAGTGGCGAGGATACGAAAAGGGTGTGTGGGATGGAAGGAGAGAGAGAAGTGAAGAGAGAAGAAGAGAGAAAAGACGAGAAAGAGGACGAGAGAGAAGACGAGAAAGAAGACGGGAGCCGAAGAAAGAGGGACAAAAGACGAGAGAAGTAGGGATGATGGTGTGTCTACACAGTCCACAAGAGCTAAGGGGTCTTTTTTCTTGGGCAGTAATGACTATGGCAAAAGGGTGTGAGAATAACATCCGCATGAAAAAGAAACACCAAATTTTAAAAAAACCGAACCTCGGACGAGAATCACCACCTTTGGGATGGGCGCACAAAAAGGGTAGGCCATGTAGTGTCATTTTTCCCGTCTATCCAAGCAATGCAAGGGGAAGGACCCATTCACCCATCGTGAAAAAGGAGAGACCAATGGCAAAAAGAGGGGGAAGGGAGAAAATGGAAAGGGTTATCGTCGTCGTCGTTGTTACTTGTTGAACAAAGGTCTAAAAAACGCAATTGGGAGACCGTGCGGAGGACGAGGAGAAACAGAGAGGGATGACAATGGCACACATGACGAGTGAGCTGAAGAGGTGATACCAATAGAACGATATATTCATTTAAACCTTACGGACAAGGCGAGTGAAATGGCGAATGGAGGGAAGGAGAGGAAGGAGAGGAAGGCTTGAAGAGGATGGTGGGACTGGAGAGTGGAAAGAGGCGTTTATTTTTCATAAGACATGTAGATACTCACAAAAGTCGTAGCTCAGAATAAGAGGCGGAAGGGGTAAGAGGGATTCTTGGCGCGGAAGAAGAGGATGAGGACGCTGTACATGACCGTAATGACGCCCATCCAGATAATCACTGCAAGACGCTGCTTAGAAGGGCTTTCAATCCGGGGGATGCTGCTCATCAGGGAGATTGCTCCTCCACACAACACCGCGTCTATGGAATGCATATAAGAAACGAGGGTAGGAAAAATGGTGGGAATGGTAGGAATGATGAGCAGAGCAACCACATCAAAATAAAAAAAGATAAGAGATGGACACAGACATGGGTATAGAAATGAATAGACAGACAGATAGACAGACGACCACATCTCATCGTAGCATCGATTGGATTGAATCGGGAAGGAGAGGAGGACAGAATCATGCATGCTGTCTGTCAATTACAAAAGAGACATGCTTGTGTGCAGGAAGAGATACGCCACCACCTTGATGGCTATAACTTACAGGTGATAGCAACAATCTGTGTCTCGAGGCCAAACTGGTTCTGGAACCCAGGGGCAATGAACCCAGGGCGACCATCGCGGCTGGGCATCGAGTAAGGAGGGTGGCGGATCTGGTTCCACATATGTCCTGAAATAAAGATGAATATCGAGAACTAGAAAGCAGACTGGTTAGTGAAGTACAATGACCATTCACAAGCAACAACAACGGATAAAAGAGAGTCGAGGCATTGTACCAGCGAGACGGCAGCCCAGAGATACTTGCTACGGATGACCTTGCCACCGCGGGTGAAGAGAAAGTGGGCCAAGCCCACAGTGCCTGAAAATCCCATAATCTTCAATGAGAAGGCGACAAAGTCGAAGGGGCGCTGGACATCAATCTTTAATCCTGACCTCGCATTGACCCAGTTGGCAAATGACTCTGCTTGGAATCCACTATAGTTAAAAACGTTCAGTACATGCGCGGTCTGTATTGTTAACACTCTAGCAAAACATGAACTTTCAGTTAAGTACCTTTTGCCAAAGTCGTAGCGGTCGAAGGAGGGGGATGACTCTGGGGAATCCGATACAGGGAAGTAGAGGAGTGACGGGGCGCTGTTCATGTTGAACTTTTGAAAGACGCTTTGGCCAGCCTTAAAGTCGAGGATTCCAAAGAAGATCTGCGACTTGTCAGGGATCCTGAACCAGCCAGCAGCAACAAGTCTGTACTCTGGATCAAAGTTCCTACAAAGTCATAGCATGCATGGTTCTGTGTAAGCCTTTGTCTTTTCATTGACGTGCTTGTGTTTCCTGCCTTGTGTTGTTTTGGCAACAATAGTTTCCGAACGCATGCAACAGAATGAGCGAGGAGACATACTTGCAGGGAACGCATTGGAACTCTGGGCTGATGGCGGTGAAGAGAACGACCATGGAGTAATTCCTCGGTTTGGCAAGGACGTCGTCGAATGCGAGAGAGTCGAGCTCGATTATGCCCTTGGTCTTTGTCGCCTTTGCTTGAAGTTCAGAGACCTTTTTGGCGATAATGTCTCCTGTGGTTTGTGCGTTGGTTGTTGTTGTTGTGATGAGCAATGTGAGCAGAGCCATAAGGGCCACTGTGAAGAAGAGGCGTGTCCTCCTGATTCCGAGTCGTCCCATGAGAGAGATCGCTGTGTCCTTGTGAATGTGTCTGTATAGTGTTGAATGAAGAGAGGAATGTGAAAGGAGGGACGCGTCAAAGGAGACTTTATGTGGGGTCAGGAGTGTGAGAAACTAAAGTGGGAGAGACAATGGCCACAACTCGATGCAGGAGTATGAAATGCCCTTAAACGAACCATGCAAACCAAGCGCCGGCCTGTGTGTATATGACATTGTATACAGCAGAAAAAAAAAGAAGACACACATCATAGTCTCGTCTTTTAACTCCTTGAACGCGTCGCGACGGAACACCAATTTTGTAATAGAACTTAGAAGTAATTTCCCATTCAAATGAACTCTTATTCTTCGTGCACCTGTCAGAGCCAGGTGTACAGGCCTTACGGCCTGAAGCTATGACTGTCGGACACCAGACTTCGGTCAACGGCCACATCGAATGTCGGCAAAAAGGGATCTAAATCGAGGTAACAAACACGCATCGAAGCCCCCACCTTGCAACAAAGGGAAACAAAAGACAAGGCGGAGCTATTAGCGCCCGCTTCCTTCTCTTCAAACCTGAACAACTGCAGGAACAGCACAGGAGACAGCGGGCTGAGTCTTAGCCACGCGAACACCATTTGATCGTTCCTCTCGCACCTTATTTCCTTCTTGATCAATTGTATGTACTATCAATTGACACGAGCATCCTTCTTAATGACATGCGAAATGACCCGCACCATCAGCCAAGCACAGATAACCGAGTCGAATATCCTCCTCCGTGAGAGAGACAAAGATACTACGAGCGTGGATGAGTGCGTTGGTGTTCTGCCAATTTTGTTCTTTGCTTTATTTTTGTACTCCCACCAGACCATTGCTCACTGTCAATACTTGCATCACTTGTCTTTTCGTTTATTAACCCACCTCTTCCTTCCTACTTTCTCGCCTCTCTTCCTCTTCTCTTCCTCCTCTCTCAACTTCACCCATCCATCACCAACAACGCTCTCCATTCTTTCTCTTCGTCAAAACCAAGCACTAGCCACAAACCCCACTAAGATGTCCTCACCAACCACAGTTCTAATCGCAGGAGCAGGACTCGGAGGACTCATGATGGCGATTCTACTGGATCGCGCCGGCATCGACTACATCGTCTTCGAAAAGTCCGAACACTTGCGCGCCCTGGGAAGCGCAACCAACCTCGGATGCAACATCCTCCCTCTCTTTGCTCAACTCGGTCTCCAAGATGAACTCCACAAGATCTCTAAACCGTCAAGTACCGTCAACGTCTACAACGAAACCATGGAGCGTATCGGGCACATTAACTATGAAGAGTACATCTCCACGTAAGTTTGTTGTGTCTTTTCGAAAACACAAAGTGAGAACAGTATTGTGGTAGTTGAAGTCCGGTCAGCTTTACATTGATGCCCTCCTTGTTTCCTCGAACGAATTAGGTGTGGTTATGTATCGAGGACGATGGCGAGACCAGACCTCCACGCTCTTCTCCTAGCCCAAGTTCCAGCATCGAAAATCCAACTCGGCAAAAAGATCCAAGAAGTCTGCCAAGATGCCTCCAAGGTGACCATCCTCTGCTCGGACGGCTCATCCTTCCAGGGGGACCTGCTCATCGGCTCTGACGGAGCCTACAGCAGAGTCCGCCAAAGTCTCTTTCATCAGCTGGACAAACAACACCTCCTGCCAAAAGCCGATGCCGAGAGCCTTAGGGCTTGCCACATGAGTGTCCTGGGGATCACTCGACCTGTTGATCCTGAGAGGTATCCTGTTGTTAGAGAGCCAGGTACCCGTTATGAATCTGTCATTGGAGCTAACAAACCCAACACTGTGAGTATATTGTCTGCTTTTTCTTTTCCTTTGATTGCCGAAGCATCGAAGCATTGCACGTTCATATGATTGCTGGACCTTGCCCTTTTTTTTTGCTTATGTACTTCAATTGCAAAAAGGAAAAAAAGGTACTCTTCACTCACTCCGCCCCGTCTCTCTTTTCGTTGTCCGGATTGTCCGCCAGTGGCGCTATTTTACAATCCCAGGCAACCGAATCTGTTGGCGAATCGACCACCACCTCGCCGCTTACGCCCCTTCTTCCACCTCCTCCTCTACAACCAAAAGCAGTAATGTCGACAACATCGCCAACGACAACAACAACAACGGCAACAGCGTCTCGCCTCAGCCCTCTGCCTTGTCGGCGACCAATGCATTGTCCGCAAACGTCTCACCAAACCCTCAAGCCAAAATTAGTTCTTGTACCACCATCTCCCTTTCCACCTCTTCAACAACCATCGCAAGTACCTCCATGGACACAACGACAACAACGACAGCCGTCACTGCCGCCGTGAACCTATCAGAATGGGGCACAGAATCATCTGACGCCATCCCAGAAGACTGGCGCAATTTCCCCTGCCCAATCGGGGGCACCATGGGCGACCTCTTTGACCAGACTCCTCGCGAAGTTGTCTCAAAGGTTGTACTGGAAGAAAAGTTGTACCAGACCTGGTACCACGGCCGTGTGGTATTGATCGGCGACGCCTGCCACAAGATGCTCCCCAATTCCGGACGAGGTGCAGTGAATGCGATGTTGGACGCGGTGGTGTTGACGAACGCCTTGTATGAAAAGGTGGTGTTGTCGGCGAGTGTTGAGAATGTCCAAGAGGCATTTGAGGAGTACTATAAGGAGCGGTACCCGCATGCTGTTGCGGAAATTGAGCGGAGCAAGCGTATGGCTCGAGTTGTCGCCGGTCAGGTAAGAATATGATCAAGCGACAAAGAACATGCGCATTGGAGCTCTGCAATGCTTAGCTTACGTATTTTCTGATACCTTTTCCCACTCCCTCTTTTTTCACTTCATAGACATGGTTTGACACGCTGGTCCGCAAGGTGTTTTTCACTCTCTTGCCAAAACGGTTCCAGGATAACAGCTACGCGGCGATGCTGACATACCGTCCACAGCTGTCGTTCCTCCCGTTTGTCATTGAACGTGGTAGTGTCCCTGCTCTCCCTCAAAGGAAGTCCTCGAGACCGGGTAAGGGGTTCTTCGACGCGCGGGCACTTTAAACAGGAAGAGGTTCGACTTATCGGGAACGAGTGCATAGTATGTCCCTCCCCTAGCTGTTTTAAGAAGTAACCCTGGTATATAAACAATAAGCCCACAACGTGGTCATAGTTATCCTCCCAAATGCATACAGAGCGACGAATGAACGAAGGATTGTGGCTGGTTTGGTTTTGGATGCATTGTGGGATCCAAGAGTACTTTTCTTGCATCCCAGAATGACTGTTATTCCTTGTCCTTTCTCCATTGACCGTTTGTAGTTGGCGGAGCAACCGTTAGAGAAGAGGGTGAGGGTGAAGGTGAGACCCATGGCTCACTGGAACTGAAAAAGGTCTCAGTCCATGCGTCCATGACATCAACCGTCAAACAAACCAAAAGTGGAGAATATCCTTTTTTTAAATTGCTCACAAAAACAAACATTACAGAAAACAGACGACCACAGCAACAGGACAAACAGTTAAACAACAACAAAAGACGATTCAAGTTTCGAGAATGACGCCAACAGAAACAGGGTTCGATGAGAAGATTCACTGCGAATGAGTGGCCACAGATAGCTGTTGTTGCAGGTGCCTTCTACAAAATCAAGACTCCACTTCCAGGCACTCCATGCTTGTCTGACCGACTACCGTCTCACCTTTAGCCTCTCGCAAGGTATCAACACTAAGGAAAAAGCAACAGCCCAGATTCACAATGCATGAGAAAATTGGCGTAATACCTCTTCTCTCTTCCTGTGACCATGCTGGACACAGACACAGGACTAGCAGCACAGGTCCACAGGTCCACAGGTTCAAGAACTCCAGTCAACAATAGCAGGACAAGTCTTAACAGCATTTATCCGATTTTTTCTGGCTGGTGGGCTTGCTCAAACGGTCGCGGTCAATGATCTGGATAGCAAAGCTGAGCTGGTGGGGTCTAGTTCCTAAACGTCCTCTTAACCAACGACAGCATATATCTTCAATTCATGCATGTATGCAGTGTAATGGATAGAGCGCGAGCTGAAGGAACGACGGAGGAGGATTTGAGAGTGGTTGGATGGGCGGATGGAGAAATGGTTGCATGTGTACCTGGCGACTTTGAGTAAGGGTTTGTTCTCTGGGCATTGAAGCGGAAGCTTTAGGGACAGTTTGCATGGAACCCTCTTGCGCGTTTGGTAAAGGATACAGTTGATTATTAGCACCAAGTAGAAGGTGTTGTCAAGAACCAAAAGCGATAGTAATAATCCATCTACTTTGTCTGTGTTTGTGCTTTTGTTGGCACTTTCGTCTCCCTCCCTCCCTTGTTCTTTGTTGTGGCCTAAGAACTTGGATACTCCTCCAGCAGTGCGCAAGAAGACGAGGCGCAGAGCAGGGGTAAGAGTGTGAGCACGAGCCGCCACCTTTTTCACATCCACCGCGCCCGTCGACTTTGAGCTGTTCCCCCCAACCTTTGCCACCACGCCACATTTTCGCACTAATAGACTGAGGACACTCCTCTTCCTCCTCTTCCTCCTCTTCCTCCTCTTCCTCCTCTTCCTCCTCTTCCTCCACCTTCCTCATCTTTTCTACTTCACAAGCCCTTTTCTTTTCTCTCTCATCATGCCTGCCATCGGACAACTCAACAGCCAGAGGTGGACCAGCTTCTCAAGAGCCATTGCTCAGCAATGGCCTCGTTACTCTGTCGGCGCATTCGCCGCCTGGGGTCTCTACAACGGTGTCTCTGCCCTCTGGCTTGGCATCAGCCTCTCCAGCTTTGTCGACAACCGAAAATTCCTTGGCGGGGGTCAGTCCTCTCCCTCTGACTTTTACTCGCACAACAGCCTTTTCACTCTCACCTCCTTTTCATACACATCTAACCTTTCTACTTCCTATTACAACCATACCCTCTACTCAACAATAGCCTTCCACCATGACGGCAAAACAAATATGGGCCCCGAAGAAGAAGACCGAATGATAAAGGCCACTTTCATTATCTTCGGTGCTCTCTTCACCCTCACAAACGCAATCGCCCTCTACGGTGCCATCCGCAGATCTGTCGCCGCAACCAAGGCATCCCTCATCATCTGGATTATCCAAATGTCTTGGTGGGCTATTGGCGCAGTTTTTGTTATTATTGGATTCTTGGGCATGTCGGATAGTGACCGGGATCAGATGCCTCGTCCTTCGGGTGGGGAAATTGTGGTTTTGGCGGGCTGGGGTGGGTTGACGTTGTTCCATGGGTGGTCGTTGTTTGTTTACTTGAGGGATTTGAGGAGTCGTCAGAGGAACGTTTGGGGCTTCCTTGTCAAGCACGATGGCAAGGGCGTGTTTGAGTATGAGCCCCTTGGAGCCTCCGCTGGACCCGTTCATTTGTAAAGCAAAGAACCTTACACCCCTCTTCCCTTTCTTCCTCGACCCTTTCTCTCTACACAAAACAAAATAACGCGCTCCTTCTCACGAAATGCAGATACGAAAAAGCAATACTATAGGTAGTTCCTTCACACACTCACACTCTTGAACTTTTATCATAAAAATCAAACAAAAACACAATCTAAGGATCAATCATTTGAAGCTGTGGCATCACTGCCAAGTTTATTTTATTAAGCTCATGTCGTTTGATCGGTTCCCTCTCTTTCTCAGTGAACAGCTAAGATCAAGGACGCTCTCCCTCTCTTGCGGCCATCAATACTTTACATGATGGATTTTTAGCGAGGTTTTACAGTGACACGTAAATAATGATGATGCTTATGGGTTTAATGAAAATGGATAATGCTATGGTACAAGGTGCTCTGTCTACCGCCTCTAGTGCTTCATCATCTTTTGCTTCTTGATGTGCGCATGGAGTTGGACCTATATGAAGAAGGAAACGAAAGAAGGTTAATTAGCAATGCGAAGGATAAAAAACAACAACAATAATAAACAACAAGCAACATGGACATAATAAAAAGAGATAAAGACGTACCTGCTTCTCTCTCAAACTCATCTTCTTCTTCTCGCGGACCTCGCGCTTGTGGGCAATCATCATAAAGTTCTTGCCCTTGGACTTCTCCTTGTTGGTCGACGATCCACGCTCGGTCGATCCCTTGCGCGATCCAAACTTCTCGCGGCCCTCGCGTCCGGTCTTGATCGACTCCATACGCGCGGCATAGTCCTGCTTGGCCTTCTTGCGTGGTCCGATAATCGATCCAATCGACACCTCGCCCTCGGCACGTTCGTCCGCATCCGAAGGGTTGGGGCGCTTGCCCGATCCTGACCGAACAGGGTTCAACTTTTGGTCTGCCTGCCTGGCCAACTTGAGGGCTTCGATCTTGGCGAAATCTGCGGGCGTCAAGATCTTGGTCGTGGCCAACAATTGAGCAGCCGCCATCTTTTCCTTGCGCTCGGCCAGGGCCTGGAGACGCTTGGCCTTCATCTCCTCGTTCTCCTCCTTGACAGCCTCGCTTTCATCGTCCTTGGGCAAAAGACCCTTCTTCTTCAGACGGCGTTCCTTGTTGACCGTCAAACGCTTGACCTTGGGCTTCTTGTTTCCGTCCTCGTCCTCAGAGCCCGAATCCTCGTCGTCCGAAAGCTTGATGTTCAAATCGTTCTCGTCATCCGAGACATTAATCCAGCCACCGTTAGCATCCTCTTCCTCATCCTCCGAGGCCTCCTCCCACTCATCCCATTCGCCCTCACCAGCACCCTCCTCCTCAGGGTTCTCGGCCAAAAGCTGAAGACCCTCCATGTCGCCGTCGTGATTGTTCTCACCATACTGCGATGGCTTGTAATCGCGCATGTTCATGGCAGCATTGCGGCCACGGTCCTTCTTCTTCAACAATTCGGGGTTGATCTCTCTGTAAAGACCGATCAGCGATCTCGAGGCCATCATGACTCCCTTGTCCCTGTGGTTCTTGTACTCTGTCAAATCCTGAAGCATGGTGGCCTCCATGGCAAGGGGGCAACGAGACGAGATCTCACGGATACCGTTCAAACCAGCAGCCATGACCTCGGCAGCGCAGTGCTCGGTGACAAAGTTGTTGGCCAAGGTCTGAATAACGGGCTCGATGACATCTGGGGGAATGAGATCGTGGGAACCCTGGGCGGCAATGGCAATGATCTGGGTAACGTCCTTCTGAGTGGGCTGAAGGCGCTTCTGGAGGTAAGGGTAGAAGGCGAGGATGGTCAACTTGTGAATACCAATGATACGGGAGATCAAGTTCATCAACATGAGCTGGACCTCGTGGCGCTCGCGAGAGGAAGCCAAGTGAGTGTACAGCTTTTCCGTGAATCCTATTTGTCATTGAACAATACATTTGGAAATGTTTAGTCTTATTATTCCAAAATCTTGATGCCATATATGCCGATGCCTTTAGTAGGTTGTGAGGCTTACCCTGGGGATCGTTCAACAGGTGAAGAGCGGAGAAGTTGAAGGTCTCGGCTCTTTTCTTGGCCTTGGACTTCTTCTTCAAGGCGGCGACCAACTTGTCCATCTGCTTAGCCTTGGACTTTGTCTTCTTGCTGACGTTCTGCCTGTGCTGCATAGCCTTGATGGAGGGCAGCTCCTCCTCGTCCTCCGAATCGCCTTCATCCTCGTTGTTGCCCAAGAAGAACTGCAAAGCGGTGACCATGATCTTGGTCACAGGCGAGAAACAAGCGTGAGCAATAACGTTGACAGTCTTTGCATCGTTCCTATTCAATGGATAATAAGCACATTAATTTTCAAATCTCCTTATGATATTTGCCATGCTGGTCGAATGAAAAGTCGATAAGAGTAGAGATCTTACCAAATGTTCTTGCGGTAGAGCTCAATGCAGACATCCAAACTGCGCTTGGCAGCAATGGCGTTCTCACTTCCAGTTCCTGCAGCACCCTCGGCAGAGGTCAGCATGGTGTACATGAATCCCTGGAGGGTCTTGTTCATCTTGTTGTTCTTTGCCTTTTGGTTGCTGGTCTTGATGTCGTTGACAATGTGGTTGTAGAGGATATCCCGAAGAATCTTGTCACGGCAGCGGAAGAGGGTGAAGAAGAGGGAGAGGAGGGCGGTCGAGGAGATCATCTCACGGTTGCGCAAGAGGACCAGAGCCTGGACCATGGTGCGACGGAGCTCGGCATCGAGGATCTGGTAGTGCTTTGACAGGAGGCTGATGATCTGGTCGGGGAACTCCTTTGTCTCCTCAGGGTAGCATGGCGAGACCTATTTGTTGTGGAAAGAAGGGGGATTGCGCGTAAGTCAAATGAACTGTTCAATTGGTATCCTTTTGCTTTGTCGACGTATATGTCCTGCTCGAGAAAAAAAATTGAGATATTGTACCTGGGCGATGAAGTTGATGAGGTCCTGAAAGTCGGAGGATTGCTCCTCAGGCTTGAGCTCAAAGATGGCCCTGGAGGACTCAAAGTGACGGAGCTGCTGGAGGAACTCTTCCTTGTACGAGAGGGGGTCACGTTTGATGAGGTTCTGGAGCTGAGGGATGTTTGTGGGCAACAATGCGGCCCTGTTGCGTTTTCCCATGGCTACTTTTGATGAAGGAAAGGGGTGATGGACAGAAGGGAAGAAGATGGTCAAAGAGAAGGAACAAAAACAAGCGCCGCCATTGTCTCTCCACTCTGCCAGCCAGTTCCAAAGGCACAAAAAAAAAAAAAAAAAAAAAGCATACAGGTGGCTTGGCAATTTATTCAAAACACATTTTACGCAGTCACTTTCCATTCACTTCGTAACTGGCAAGTACAGCTTGAACTCAGCCGGGAGCTCGTTCTCAGGAACCAGGCGGTCTGAAAAGTAGATCCGGCGTATCCTGCAGCTCGCATGGATCGTGATCCGCTGCGTCTCCACATATGCAGTCCCATATGCGCGCTTGACATAGTCAGCCAGGTTGAGCTGAATCTGGTTCCATCCCGGGTCCATCCTCAATGGCATCGTCGTGATATACGGCTTCACTCTAGTTGTCGTCTAGTTGCAAGAAAAACACAGCAGGCGCAGCAATTGAATGTTCTTTGGTTGTCAGTCGTATCGCTTTTGATAAGTTATTCCACGGAATAAATGCAGAAAGAGGTGTTGTCGTTGTCATTGTTGCTGGTCCTGAAAAATCAACTTCCTTGATACATGTTTTATATCTTCGAATGTCGATACACACAAGTCCCTACAACAAAACATTAGTAAACCCATCAAACGTTCAATTACAGCTCCAAGTGTCGATCAATAACAAAAGGTTGGACATAGTTTTCCCGACCTGGAAGTTGGATGCCCTGAACCGCCGTTTTTCGCCGCGGTCATCCAGAACTGTAACCTCGAAACTCAAGTATTTGCCCAGATTCTTGACCAGGAAGACAAGGAATGGTAGCTTGATGCCTAGGGTCCTGGTGGCGAGGGATGGCGTTGTGATGAACGTTGTGGGCAAATGGGTCGACAGGATCTCCAGAACTTGCGAGTTTAGTGTGTCGTCTACGACGAAGTCAACATGTGGCTCTTGTTGTTGTTCTGGCGGTGGTGTGGTGGACGAGTCTTCGTCGTTAGAACTTGATTGCGACTTTGATGTTGAAGTTGGTGGTGGGCCGACACGCTTTGCCCATAGCTGCAGCGGATCCGATCTATCTCGTTGTAAAAGGACGTGGTCATGCTTAGTGAGGCGTCCATTTCGATTGCACCTCCAATTGATACTGCAGCCATTGAACAAGTAGTCTCTTACCCAAGGCTGTAAAAGACTGAGAGAAAGCCGGACTATTGTAGTCAAGGTTGTGTGAGGCATGAAGGTAGTTGGTCAGCCATGTGTATGAGTTCATTCCTCCATGGGGTCATCAGTCAGCAAACAACGGGGCGACAGAATGGCACACGCAAGTTGCTGTAAGTGTCATGTTCTCTTACCTGAAAGGTATTCTTGAACATGGTTTTTTCGAGTAGCTTCGGTTGTCACTGCTTCCCGTTTCGTGGGTAGGTGTTAGTTCCGTGGTTGTTGTCGTTTCTTCCAGAAGGATGATGTCGAGAACTCGCTTTGAGTGTGCTAAGAAGAGGTGATTAACTCAAAAAGTGGGTCACCCCAGATTTGTCACTATGATCGAAAGCCGGTCACTCTGCCAGGGATTCGCGCTTGCGAATCACACGCATGCGCTCTTGTCGCTAAAGTCGTCTTTTCGCCCTTTATTCACCTCACACTTCCACTTTTCCCTCTCTCTTTCTTCCTCGTTCTTCCTCACACTCATTCGTCCCCTCCCCCCCTCACTTCCCCAAACCAACAAGCCCTCCAAAGGAAGCACAGACAGCAAACGCAACAACACCTTGCCTCGCACACACATCACGCTTACACATCTCTCACTTTACCTCCACCACTCACTTCCCGCCTACAGCCTTCGCCCATTCCGCACAATGTTTGATGGAAGTTTCAAGTCAAGGCGAACCATCAACCTCGGTGGCAACAAACAACAAATCGACAAGCAAAAACTCCTCAAGCAGGCACAAGAAGAGCGCAGAATAAGAGAAGCCGAGCGAGCACGACTCAAAGCAGCCGAACGTATCCAGGTACAAAACTACATATCATATATCATATTGTCCGCATACGCATACTCTATTTGCTTCTCCAGTACGAAAAACTTACGAAATTCATGCTAATACAAAATACCTTTTGTTTGCATAATGTCAATGAGTAGGCATGGTATCGCGGACGAACAGTTGCTGCGGGAGTACGACAGGACATCAGAGACACCTGGGACACGGAAACGATCACCCTGCAACACAACATTGGATCAACAGCGCAGCTGACACCCACTACCATCGCACAGCTCTCCAGTGCAGCACAGTCGTCTGTGCAAAAGCTGCTCATATTTTTCCGTCCAAGATTCGACCACCAGCGAATGGTCCAGCTCTGCAGCAACCTCCTGTTTACGACAGGTGCAACCAAAACCCGCCTTGTCGCTATACCTTTCCAGAGCACACCCGATCAGCAGGCATCATGGCAGCGACTGCTTGGACGACTCTTGTCAGTCTTAGTGCAGCACCTCGGAGCATATTCCAGTTGGTACAGTCAACGATCATTGCGTCGTATGTCAAAAAGCTTAGTTTTGCTATGATCAAAGATTCGAAGTTTAACTCTTCGCCGTGTGCTTTGCCTTGTATCAATCTTATAGGTCTGAACAGGAAGCAGAGCCAGTCTTCACACTCTTTGACACCCTCACGCTTATGGAAACATACCCAACAACACAGGATACCCAGGTGCTCCCTCTCTCAAAACACTTTTCTCAGACCCTCTCTAGCGTAGACATTTTCCCTCAGCTGGCTCGCTTCCTCAGTCGAATCGTAAGTCCATATGCTGCCTTTCAGAAAATCATCAGAATCAGAATGAACGCATTTGCAAGGCTCTCTTCTAACCACTACGATGAACCATCCCTGTCAACAGTCCATTGGCGAGAAAAGCAACCCATCGTTTGGCAAGGCGTTGCTGCTGGCTGTGCGTATCTTGCGAGCCAGTGAGCAGGCACTAGGGCGCGTGGAAACTATGGACCAATTTGTGAGTTATATCTTGACTGTGCCGCTTCTCCCCAACAGAATGCCAATTGAGACCCTATCAACATTCACCTCCAGACTTCCCCTGGACAACATCTTGCTTCAGCTCTCAGGAACTTCTCTCGCCACTATTACCAGTCTGCCTCAGTACAAGGCCATACCTCTGCTGGCCAACATTCTGGCGTTTGGATATCAACGTGTCGCCAAGATGAGCCCTGCGGTCTCGAACGCATACCTGCATGTGTTGACGGCATTGCTCGGCCTGGTTCCACGAGACTCGATCGAATCAGCGTCCAAGCGCGCAGCAGATGATGACGAGGACATGGACGATATTGAATGGAGATCAGAAAATTTACCAGGATCCTCGCCAAAATCACCATCCTCGTCAACAGCAAAACTGGATCCCAGGATGATGAAATGGCTCTCATTGGCGTACGACAGCAACCACTTGAACGATATTTTGGGATCCATTGAAAAGTCCAGCCCCGTTGCAACAACCCCCACAGGTGCCACGCAGGATGTTCTCTCGGCGGACTCTATTGGCGAGATCACCCACCTCCTCTTGAACTTGATTACCCTCTTCCCATCCCACAAGATCAACATTCTCAGCAACCTGATGTACTTCAAGTTCGGAAGTAAAACAAAGACTATAGCAGGATCCGGGACTGCCCAAGGCTCCAGCGGCAAGGTGTTCAGTGTTTCGATCATCAAGATCTTTTTGGATGCATTCACCTCAACAAAGTTATACGACCAGCTTCTCCAGTCGATGCAGCGAGACACACCCCTCAGTGTCCAATTGGTCATGGATCAGAGCCACGCCAAGGCTTGGAACCTACTTGCCTTTGTTGCTGAGCTCTACTGTCAGATCTTGGTGACCATGGGAGACGATGAATTTTACGACGAGACCAGGAACCCCATTGGTCTGCAGAGCGTTGTCACCCTTGCATCCGTTGTCAGGGTAAGACTGCGTCGTTAAAAGATGTCTGTGTTCTGAAGGTTGCCAACAGAAAACTAATGGGCTATATATTTCTATTTCGTCGTAGGATGTTGCGTTCTTGCTGTGGTGGAACGACAATGCTCTTAACATGGAGTCCAATGTTGGAGGCTCTATGGATCTCAAGGTCGGATATCTTCGAGACATCGTTACCAAGCTGACCAGACAACTGCATGCTCGAGAGTAAGGTTCCCACCCTGGTATCTGCGTGTGTCTGACATAGAATCGCGACACGTGATCTTACTACCAATGCTAACGCCTATTGTTTTATGAATAGTTCGCGAAAGGCATTCTGCCCCAAGGATCACTGGCTACTGTCAATGCCCCTGGATATGAGTGCGTTCAAACGTGCAGTCATCCAGGACGAGGAGAATCTTAGTCGCGACCAGGAAGTGGACGAGCATGATGGCGATGATGCTATTATGACGGACTCTGAACATGTTCGTGTTCAACGTTCGATCAACCGCCGCCAGAGAACATCCCAGCTGGCTCGTCTGAGTCCTCGCCTGGGTGTCTTGAACAACATCCCATTCGTGATTCGATTCGAGGATCGTGTCTTGATATTTCGAGCATTTGTCGAGTCAGACCGACAGAGGAGTCCAGGTATGTCTGGATTCCACCCGCACCCTGTCGGACAGGCGCAGATTCGCCGAGGAACAGTATTTGAAGACGGCTACGAGCACCTGAATCATCTCGGTAAGGTCCTTTGATATTTTCTTTGGAATTAGCAATGCTTCATTTCCAGATAACTTTGATAGCGATACTGAACGTACTATTGTCTCAACTTAATGATATAGGACCAAAACTCAAAGGAAGAATTGCTATCAGCTTTGTTGACCAGCATGGTATACCAGAGGCAGGAATCGACGGTGGGGGGGTGTTTAAGGAGTTTTTGACGTCGCTTGTTCTGCAGGCATTCAACACCAACTATGGGCTGTTTATGAACACGTCGGACCACTTTCTGTACCCGAACCCACATCGATTTGCACAGGAGAGGACGCAACTCAAGCACTACGAATTCTTAGGTCGGATCCTGGGCAAGGCGCTGTACGAGGGCATTTTGATTGATGCGGCATTTGCTGGGTTCTTTTTGAGCAAGTGTTTGGGTCAGGTCAACTACCTAGATGATCTGCCGTCGCTAGATCCGGAGCTGTATCGTGGTCTGATGTTCTTGAAGAACTATGAAGGCAACTTTGAAGACCTCTCACTCTATTTCACCGTCGACGATGAAGGTAACCTTTTTTCTACGCTGTGTTTTTTCATTGCGATATTTTTGCTCTCTTATTTACCAATACCAATATTCATCCTTCTTTTTCTATTCCATGAAACGAACAATAGAGATGGGACAGACGGTCACGAGAGAGTTGATACCGAATGGCGCGAATACGATAGTGACACGGGAGAACAGGATTCGATACATTTACTTGACGGCCCATTATCGACTCAACACCCAGATCGACCGTCAATGCAAGGCGTTCTTCCGAGGCCTGTCAGATCTGATTGACCCCAAGTGGCTGTGGATGTTTAACCAACAGGAACTTCAAGTGATGATGGGAGGTGCACAGACGGGTATCTCGTTGAAGGATCTGGCGCAGAATGTGGTGTATTCAAACTTTGAGAGGACAGATCCTACGATTGAGTACTTTTGGTCTGTTGTTGAGGAGATGAATGAGGAGGATCGTCGGTTGCTAGTCAAGTTTGTGACTTCGTGTGCACGACCGCCGTTGATGGGATTTGCGGAGCTGAATCCGAAACTATGTATCCGGAATGCGGGGCGGGAGGAGGACCGGTTGCCGACGAGCAGTACGTGTATGAACCTGCTGAAGTTGCCTGCGTTTACGAGCCGGGAGCGTCTGAAGGAGAAGCTGCTGTATGCCATCCATTCTGAGGCCGGGTTTGATCTCTCGTAGTTTAGATGTGTTTTGTGCACAGAGTAGAGAAAGACAAGATAAAAAAGAAAATAATGTAGAGGTACAGATGGCATGGCGTGTGCTGTTTGTTTGCAGCAATTGGGTTTGCATAGAACAAGAGAACGAACGCGCACGACATTTGCGATTTTTTTCGTCAATAATTGACCCTGGACCCTGCTCTCTGGTCGTGTGTTGTGTTGTGTGGGAGCGAGGATCTACAGAGAGGCAAGAAGGCGAAAGTTTTTTTTTTGATTTTTTTTCTAAAAAACTACTCAGGGGAGGAGGGACTGCTTTTCTACCCCGGATCAAATTGATGAGGCTCGATGAGTCCTTTTGTATGGCCCGCCTCTTATCATCAAAAGAAAGGTGGCCTCGCGTTGCCTGGTGCTCCCTTTGCACATGGAAAGGCTCCAGATAGCGTTTGATCTCGGGAAGATAAAAAGGACGCCTGTTCTTCTCTTTTTTTCTTTTTTTTTTTTTTCTTCTTCACCTGCACCTGCATCGCATTCACCTCCCTCATCCCTTCTTATTCTACTTCCTCATCACCTTCACTCTCCTCTCCACCACCCTCCCCACTCTCTCTTTCTCACACCTTTCCTCACAACTCCGACAACTCTCGGTATCCTATAAATCGTATCCCTTGTACAGTACACTACCCTAATGATCCCCCGCACGATCGTCGCTCGCCAGCTCACCCGCTCAGGACTCCTCCGGGCCTCGTCCTCATACCCCTCCAAGGCCTCGCTCACTGCCGCCCGTGGCCTCGTCAATGCCAAGCAGTCCTCCTGGCGGGAAGCAACCGCTGCTGCTGCAGTTCAGCAGCAGCGTGGGTACTCTGGAAGCGCCACTGCAGCCCAGTCTGAGAAGGTATAGTGGTATTCACTTGAGTGATTTTGTGTGAGAGAGGGGTTTTCGGGGGCGTGAGAGAATTGATTTTGAGGAGGAAGGGTGTTTACTTTGTGCTGTATGAGAGAGTTTTTTTATGAGCGGTTTATGGATTATGCATGTGCGATTGTGTGAGTGCATCGACCAAGAGCAAGAAGGTGGGTAGCACAGATTGGTTGAGTGGAAGAGATGTGATATAAAAAAATAATGAAGAAACTAAAAACTATGCGATCTGATTATGATCCTTGTACCTGTGTGCATATACACGCTAATGACGGGAAGGAAAAGCTGGGAAAGAGATAACACATCCATCTACTACACATGGTAACAATCAAATCTGCTTACGCATGCTAACAAATCTTCATTGCATCATTTCTCTATTCTCTTCCTATCTATGACCGATAATCACTTGACGACAAATATCAACAGGAGACGATCACAAAGCTGCTTTACAACATTGGATCGCGCAAGGAGGTTGAACAATACCTCCGCCACTTCTCATCCGTCGAGTCGCAAAAGTTTGCCGTCATCAAGGTCGGAGGTGCCGTCCTCACCGATGAACTCGACACCCTCGCCTCCGCCATCACCTTCCTCAACCGTGTCGGTCTCTACCCCATCGTCCTCCACGGCGCTGGCCCCCAGCTGAACAACTTACTTGAACAGGCTGGAGTCGTCCCCGATTACCACGATGGAATCCGTATTACTGATGAAAAGACGCTGGAGATTGCTCGCAAGGTGTTTATGGCCGAGAACTTGAAGCTGGTCGAGGCTTTGGAGAAGATGGGAACCCGCGCTCGTCCCTTGCCTGGTGGAGTCTTCACGGCCGAGTACCTGGACAAGGAGAAGTATGGATTTGTGGGAAAGATCACTGGTGTCAACAAGGAGGTGATTGAGGCTTCGATCCGCGCTGGTGCGTTGCCCATCCTGACCAGCTTGGCCGAGACCCCCGCTGGCCAGATCCTTAACGTCAATGCGGATGTTGCTGCAGGAGAGTTGGCCCGCGTGTTGGAACCCCTCAAGATTGTGTACTTGAACGAGAAGAATGGACTCTACAACGGCGACACTGGCAAGAAGATCGATGTTATCAATTTGGACGAGGTAAATACGAGTGCATGCGCCTTTGTTTGCTATTGTCCTTTAATTTTGAATGTGGAGTGGATGTGGAGCCTGGAGAAGGGATTTAGGGTCTTGGATTCACCCCCCGGCAGCCCATCCAATGAAAAGCCGATAAATCGTATGAGCGAAGATGACTAAACCCGCATCACTCCGACCACCTCTTTGTCTAATAGGAATATGCAGATCTGCTCAAGCAGCCCTGGGTCAAGTACGGCACAAAGCTCAAGATCAAGGAGATCAAGGAGCTCCTCGACCACCTTCCCCGCTCCTCCTCCGTCGCCATCATCTCCGCCGGACACCTCCACAAGGAGCTCTTCACCGACTCTGGTGCTGGTACCTTGATCCGCCGCGGCTTCAAGCTCTTCCACCACAACTCGCTCGAGCAGCTGGACAAGGACCGTCTCCGCAGGATCTTGGAGCAGGAGGATCCCCAGGTCCAGTCTGGCCAGGTCAGCGTCTCGTCCTACCTCCACGACCTCGAGAACACCAAGAAGGGCTTCAAGGCCTATGGCGATGAGCCCTACGAGGTCCTTGCCGTTGTCAAGAACGACGACGAGACCGGCAGCGGTGTCCCCAAGCTGGACAAGTTCATTGCCACCAAGGCTGCGGTCCTCAACAACGTCACAGATAACGTCTGGGCTCTGCTGTCGAAAGATTACCCCGCGTTGACCTGGATCGTGGACGAGAACGACTCCAACAAGGGCTGGCACTTTGACAAGGCCGAAGGCTCCTTCACCAAGAACGGAAAGACGCTCTTCTGGAAGGGCTTGAACGATGTTGGAACTATTGAGAAGGTCGTCTCGCAGTTCTTGGATACCCAGACTAAGGAGGCTGTCAACGCTGCTACCTCGGGATCTGCCTTTGCCAACGGCCAGCGCCGCTCTTTCTCGACTGGGTTTAACAGCAAGTCAGCTTCGCCCTTCATGGGCGGCCGCCGCATGTTCTCGACCAGCTCCCCTGCGCAGCGTGATGTCAAGAAGATCGGACTCATTGGCGCTCGCGGTTACACCGGTCAGGAGTTGATCCGTCTTGTCAACAACCACCCCTCGTTGGAGATCTCGTACGTTTCCTCGCGTGAGCTCGAGGGCAAGCCCTTGGAGGGTTACACCAAGAGCCCCATCACCTATGTCAACCTTTCTCCCGATCAGGTCAAAGAGAAGACTCAGTCCGGTGAAGTCGATGCCTGGATCTTGGCTCTCCCCAACGGAGTCTGCAAGCCCTTTGTCGATGCTATCGAGTCGGTCGAAGAGGGCAAGAAGATGGTCCTCTGCGATCTCTCTGCCGATTTCCGCTTCACGGACTCTTGGACCTATGGGCTCCCAGAGTTCAACCGCGCCAACTTGCCCGGCGCAACCCGTATCTCCAACCCTGGATGCTACGCCACTGGATCCCAGCTCTCAATCCGCCCTCTCCTGGAGCACTTGGGCGGCACTCCCTCGATCTTTGGCGTCTCTGGATACTCTGGCGCAGGAACTAAGCCCTCGCCCAACAACGACGTCAATCACCTCAAGGACAACCTGGTCCCCTACGCCCTGACCAACCACATCCACGAGCGTGAAGTTTCTCACCAACTTGGCCGCGAGGTCAACTTTATCCCTCACGTCGCCCCCTTCTTCCAGGGTATCACCCTGACCGTCAACCTGCCCCTTAACAAGACTATGACCTCTGGAGAAGTCCGCGAGATCTACGAGGCCGCCTATGAGAACGAGAAGCTCGTCCATGTCCTTAAGGGTGTTCCTCTTGTCAAGGATAATGCAGGAAAGCATTTCGCACGGGTTGGTGGGTTCGGAGTTCATTCGACCGGAAAGAGAGTTGTGGTTGTGGCGACGATTGACAACTTGTTGAAGGGTGCTGCTACCCAGGCTGTTCAGAACTTGAACTTGTCCCTTGGACTTGGCGAGTACACTGGTATCCCCCTTGATTAGAATTCCTCTATTTTTTGCTACTTATCATATACACTTTGCATGGGTCAGGTCCAAATACACTTCATATTTTATTATGACGAACTTTGTCCGGATGTGTTTCGTTGTGATGAGCATGAGAGGAGAGAGAGAAGAAATGAAGTCCCATCTCTCTGTGGGTTAATGGAATGGTAGCACTGTAGTACTGTTGAAATCAAATCGATTGATCAGCTCACTCCCATCCAGAGGGCGTGCCCAGGATAGTGCCCAGGACATTCAGTACATCCAAGGGAGGTACCGTATATTGCTTATTTGTTGACTAGTGCTAGGAAGCGTGGTTGTTAGGGAGAGTAGAGACGCGGTGGGGCCTGGTTAAAGTGGAGGCGCGGTCTGTTGCGAAGACCGGAGGCGAAGTAAGAGAGTAGTCTACGATACTATCACAGTGTCAGCGGAAGAATAGGAAGTGATCACTATGGCTCAGAAGTGGCTACTATTTAACGGAATATCATTGTTCATGGCTCTCGGATCTCTGTCGTGGGAGCGCGGCCCCTGTTTGGATGACTTGCTAACTGATGCGAACTGTGGGGATGCAAAAATTCGAAAGTTGACCGACTTCTTCAGGAGTGTATATTCAAGGTAGAGTGGAGTAGCTGAATTAGAAAGGCGTTGTTTATTATTTTCAATGAAGTGATCATTAGGCATTGGTCATTACTAAAATATGACGCCAATAATGGTCAGAGTCGAGTTGGTCCTGAGTGCCTCAGATAGCGCCTGTCTCCGATCGAGGTGTCCCCCAAGGACAAAGTGGTCAGAGTCGAGTTCGCCGTGAGTGCCTCAGAGAGTGCTTGAGCTCCGTTAGATTCGATAGGGTTGCGCGACAAGTCCAAAGTGGTCAGAGTCGAGTTCGCCGTGAGTGCCTCAGAGAGTGCTTGAGCTCCGTTAGATTCGATAGGGTTGCGCGACAAGTCCAAAGTGGTCAGAGTCGAGTTGGCCTTGAGTGCCTCGGACAGCGCCTGAGCTCCGTTGTCTCCGATCGAGTTGTCCTCCAAGTCCAAAGTGGTCAGGGTCGAGTTCACCATGAGTGCCTCATAGAGTGCTTGAGCTCCGTTAGATTCGATAGGGTTGCCCCTCAAGTCTAAAGTGGTCAGAGTGGAGTAAGCCATGACACTAAAAATTAATTTGTCTCTGGCAGATGTCGATGATAGTTTTCCATAGGCAGAGCTCTGAATCCTCAAGTTTTGTATAAGGTGCTTGTTTCTCTCAACAGATTCCATGCTGAGGACATTTTTCGACAAGACGACAGAGTTGTAGAGTGGAGGCGTGAAAGAGTCGTTCCAATCCTGACTCACACGCGCACAGGTCGCGAGGTCTTTGAGGCCAAGGCTGCTGGCAATTATTGAGCGAATCTCAGGTAGATCGAGGGGATGTGTCCGGAACATCTTACTCGTAAAGCTGAAGAACGTGATCGTGACGGGGATGACGATTAGAGTGATGATGGGTCACAAGAAGGTACAGTAACGAAGGAATGAGGGAATGATGGAGGTAAGGAAGAAAGAACGAAATGAAGAGGATAAGCAAGATGACAGTGATGTTGTTGAGTTGTCAATGACGTGGATTGATAAAGCAACAGAGCAAGAGAGTGTGAATGAGGGAATGAGCAAGAGAAGGAAGGAGGCTAGAAAGAGATCGCATGACATATAGTTCATGCAATTCATACGATTTGGCATCTTCCATGAGGTCTCCCTTTCTTCCAGAGCTACCACTCTTTCGAGACAACAGGTTAACATGGTCTACAGCTAACAAACGGAGGGGGTGTGAGGAATGTCAGAAGGGGCAACATAACGCAGGAGTATGGTGTACCATGGTTGCGCATTGAAAATTTCAAGGGAGCCGAGAGAAATTTCAAGGGTGCCAGTCAACCGATTACCTACAAAGTGCTCTGATGGTCCAGGTCCTGGTGCTGGTGCTGTTCGGGTCCTACCTCTTGTTATTTCCAAAGGGTAATGAGACAACGAAAGGATCCGATATGTAAACGTCGTGTCAATCGATTCTTCACTCCTTGCATGTATAGCCCTGGCGTATCCTATCCATTGCGTCGGACTCATTAGTATCACGAGGCTTGGTGTCTTCGATATTTTCTCGCACATGTTACATGAAACTTGAGGCCCCTCCTCGGTACTCTCGAGTCCCTCCAGGTACCAGTTACTGACTCCTGCTAACAATCACCCTGTAAGTATTCTATCTGACCCGAAAAAAAAAAGTTTCCTGTCAAGAAACCACACTTCGAATAACACATGTCGTACATACTTTTGATGTGAAAAGAGCTTCGAGCCAGCGATTCCTGTACTGTGCTGAATTCAAGAATGGCCTTGGATCCGTTCTGTAAAATCTCCTTAGACATAATCTTGAGGAATGCTCCTGCTGCTGTCCCGTTTCCCGAGTGACACTGGTCAAAGTTGGTCAAGTTGAGGCTCAAATAGGGCTGGCATGCATGGCTTCTTGAGAAATGGCTTGATGCTCGACACAAAAGATAGGTCGACGGGTCATGAAGCTTCGTCTTGACTTGCTAAAGATGGTAAAGTAGGCTGCGGTTCGAGACTGCTCATGCCTTTTGTTGACTGCGTGGACAAGGTCAGCGTTCACGGATTCTTGGTCCAGAAAGATCCTGGTCGCGTTCGAATCGTCGGTACTGGATAGCACAAAGGACAATGTCGTTCCGCCAACAGAAGCTTTGCTCGGACAAGTCCAAACGGAGGGACGAGGTCACCAAAGCATTGCAGGATTGCGTGCCAATGACGAGTCTGGTCGTCCTTTTCACTCCTCGGGACAAAACCGTGACACAGACCTTGGTAGGAAGTGTATCGGCCGTCTCCATACCAGCACCAGTGATGACTAGAAAAAAGACAGGTATGAAATGGGAAAATGGGAAAACGGGAAGGTTAGCGAACGACGCCAAAAAGCACAAGTGGGCAATCACACTGTTGCCATTCTTGCTCAAAAAACCGTGCAAAACATTACGTTTCTCGGGGCGCTCGGTTGTCAATGACACATTCATTATTCAAATCTTGACGTTTGACGGAGTGTAACCAAATGCGCCGTCAAGACATCCGCCATGGAAGTCCTCTTCTCGAGGGCTGATGTATTTCGAAATGCGCTTCGAAGGTTTGAAACTCCCTATTGAACGAAAGCCGAAGATGCATTCACCATCAGGCAGGCCCACTTGCACGTTTATTAAAAACGGGAAGTCCTTGCCCTCCACCAAGTAATCCGAAAAATCGAACAAAGCCCGCTGGTTGACATCTCCAGTGTATAGAAAGACAACAAATCCATTTAGCTTGAAGAAAATGCAAGTACTTTTCCAAGCAATAACAACAACAAGCTATCTCAACAGTATACATCGCCAAATGCTTAGAAGTAATGCGCTTCTTACATTCCTTGTAAGCACCAAGATGGCCTTGCTGCGGCCAGCTTGGACACATCGGTTGGTGAGAGTCAGCTTGTGGGGTGGTGGTGGTCAGGACCTAACCCAGTCGAAGTGCTCGACAGGCATGATCTCATCATCAAAATTGAGAAGTTTTTAACTTGATATAATGAAGGCTGGTTTGAGGTATGATAAGGAGAGGGATAAGGGTACAGGAAAGAACAGACAGGAAGGATCAGACGGAAAGAAATCGCGGAAAAAGAACTCTTCACGTATGATATTGTGATATCTCTGAAGAGGAATAATGTGGCTTTCTATCACCAGATGCTCACGCAAGATACTGTGATATCTCGGAGAAATATGTGACTTTCGATCACCAGATGCTGACGACAATCCAGCTAGACTACTAGTCTCGCGGCCAGTGTGTGGCTGGGGTCCTCATCACAAGCGTTTACGCAGCTAAGGGATATGTCGATTTCATTTGCCACCAAGGCTTGGAACGAGAACCCCCACCACACACGAGTGAGAAGGATCGGCCGCAACACTAAAAAATTTCCTCCCCTCACGTCGTGGAACATTAGTCTAAAACAAGGACACGAAATGTGCTATTCAATGGTGTGAAAGTGAGTGTGGTAATGGCGGTGTTTTTTTGAGCTATTGTCATCTTACTAGGTATGGCAGCAGCAGCTGCGCCTTACTGCAAGACCTGCATTTTTGCGTTCCCGCTCCAAAGGTGGTTGTGAGTGTCCATCTGCATGGCAAACAGCGACCCAACATAGATCGCATCCACTTCTTCACCTTCTCTTGGTCGTCAAAAGCGATGTGTTCAATCGGCAGTATCTCGCAAGCTTCCTTTACCTCATTATGATAGCATAATGCGGCTCAAGACACAAGTTCTGCATGGGAATTTTTTGCTGCCTGGGCAAAGTGAGTTATCATCACGATGGCAGTGGCACCTCTAGGATTGGCACTGGGAGTGATGGCAACAGTGTTGTTCGGCACTGTTCTCGTCAGCGTTGTCGTCGTGACTGCAGTGCAGGTACAACAATACCACCACCAGCTGGCCTTTCTTTTGTTTATGCAGCAAATGAATACCGATCCTGTTCTTTTCTCTATCAATCTTTACTTACTCCCTTTCCTCTCGTGCTCGTGTAAGTTGTCCTGGGCGTCATCCTTTTGCCGCTATTCCCTCCTGCATTTGAATTGCTTCTGGCGAGGATGTTGGTTGGATGGACGACAGCCGGGTGATGCTCACTCGGACACGTATGACATGAGCCCTGCGTTGTTATACATATGACACCGCGAGGAGGTCGCGGGTCAATTTGGTGCCCCAAATAAAAACAGTTCCCCCAAGCGCTTCCAAACGGGGTTGACTTGAAGGAATTAGAAAACAACCCCTGGCTTAGAACCCCACTTTTGGCGCCAAAAGCATCCTTCCTCACCAAATTGGAGCGAGGAGCATCGACCGGGGGGCCGGTCGGGCCGCGTGCTGTTTGTTCTGTCTTTCTGGTGCTGGTTGTCGGTGATGGTTGGGGGAGAGGTGGGAAGGGGTAGCGTGTCGATGATTGTGGAGGAGAGAGAGGGGAAGGGGAAGTAGGGAAGAGTTGGGAAGGGGATAGGCGGAAGGGGTATGGAGGGAGGAAGAAATGAAAGAAAGAGAGAGAGGGAAGCAATATATACCACTCACTTCTCTGATATGACTCTCTCTATCTCTCCCTCTCTCTCTCTTTCTCTCTCTTCTATCTCTCTTATCCAAAGACAAGGCAAGAAAAAGAAGGAAAGGAAAAAAGAAGGAAGGGAAAAAAGAAGGAAGAGGAAAAAAGAGGGTCGGCGTGGGAAGAGGAAGAGAAAGCCTCACATCGCCTATCTGGTTTTTCTTCACATGCATGTCATGTGCATATGCATTGAACAAGTATGTCCGGAAGTCAGGTTTTTAATATATCAAGCATGTTTATTGCGGACACAACGGTAGTTGAAAAGGATAATATCCACGTATATACTGTAATGGTTGTAGAGAGTTCTCATCAACGCTTCAGAAAAGGTGAGAACGTGCAAGATTGGCCACAGCTCCGATTGAGACAACACGCCCCTCCTTCACAATCCTGGTCTGATTTACACTCGTCGCGATATTCGTCACATACTCGGGTATCAGCGTCCCCGCACATGGGGATCTTGCCTGACGGTTTCGGTTTTGACGTTGGTGGGGTTAGTGTTGATGTTGTTGGTGAGGGTGGTCGTGTTGATGGGTTGGTTCCTTTGGTCGGGGTTGAGCAATGTCGTGGTGGTGGCGGTCGTGGTGAGCATTTGTTTCTTTTACTGTTTGGGTTCTTGGCAGATGCTGCGAGACTGACGGCGGCAAGGAGGGCAATAAGGAGGTATGGGAGAGAGGTTTTCATGTTTGCTTTGAGAGTCTAAAGAGTGGCGGTTTGTTTTGTATGGGACGGGCGTGTTGCTGTAAGAACGACGATTTAGTATTTTTGTTTGAGAGGAGGTGGAGGAAGAAGGAAACAAGAGTGGTGGAGAATAAACTAGGGGTGCCAAACTTTTATAGCAAACAGTAGACAAAGGACACACAGTCCAAACTCTCTCTAATAGCAGAAGATTGAACACACTCATAACCACGTTGTTACTCAGCCCCCGTCGTTGTTATTGTTGTAAACAATTGCGAGACTGTGAACAATGCCGCGCAAAAACATGACAATAGCAGAATAGAGGACCGAGTGGCTAAATAAGTTGCTGAGTCTCCCTTCCTCCCTTTTTTTTATTTACAACAATACGGTGAGTAATGCAGAGGCAAAGAACAAAAGAAATCAAGCACAACCCGCCACTTTCTACATCATTTGTCAAAAGTCGAAAAATAAAACGCGATATATATACCGCCTGGGCATAAAGAGCAACACCCTTCGCCCATGCCCACTTCATACCAACATTCTTCTATTCAATCACATATACAACTTCCTTCCCTTTATCCACGCACAAAATAAATCAACGGCCAATGCGGATCCTATTCCCCATCCTCCTGGGCATTACCCTCGGTTTCGGAACCCTCACGCACGTCGTGCTGGCTCTACCCAACAGCAGCTCGCCAATGCAGCCAACAACAACTAGCCTAACCAAGCTCATTACCAACAAGTCTAAAGCTACACCTACTATCAACATTCCAAAAGGTATAACCACCAACAGGCCCAAAACTGTGCCTACTACCAAAGATCCCAAACCTACGAAGAAACCCAAACCCGCCAAGAGGCTTAAACCCAACACTACCACCATCACAACCCAAACCCCGTCAGCACTACCGCCACCTCCCCCTAGAACTACAACTACTACTCTAACAGCAACAGGAGTGCTATCACCGCATATCGTTATAGTGCCTGTCGCCACTGCCAGCCCCACAAGCAGCAAGCCCCCGCTCTTTACCGTTCAGCATTGGCCCTCGATCAGGGACCTTCCGCTCGTCACTGTCCAGCCTTGGCCTACAATCAGAGGCCCTACTCTCATTACCGTCCAACCTTGGCCCACAGCCAGGGACCCCCCTCTCGTCACCATCCAGCCTTGGCCCACAATCAGAGGCCCTACTCTCATCACCGTCCAACCTTGGCCCACAGCCAGGGACCCCCCTCTCGTCACCATCCAGCCTTGGCCCACAATCAGAGGCCCTACTCTCATCACCGTCCAACCTTGGCCCACAGCCAGGGACCCTCCGCTCGTCACCGCCCAGCCTTGGCCTACAATCAGAGGCCCTACTCTCATTACCGTCCAACCTTGGCCCTCAATTAGGGACCCTCCGCTCGTCACCGTCCAACCTTGGCCCTCGCCGTCGCCGTCGGTCGTGGCATCACTGCCACCGCCCCTACCACCGCAACAAACACCAATTCTAGCCAAAAGAAAGAAAGAACGAAACCCACAGCTACAGAAGGATATAATATGTAATACGATCTGCAGACCCAACGTTGCAATAAGAAAAGTCTGCGGGATGACGCCAGAGGGTACCAAGTTCTTGGCGGACGGGTGTCTTGTGATGAGGTATAATTGTTTGTTTCCTGAGGATATTTTTACTTTAGTTGATACCGCCGATTGTTAAGCTCGATCTCGAGCTTAGCCCCGGCGCGTGTTTTAGGGAACGCGGGGTGCTTCTATTTTTTTGCGCGAAAGAAATAAAAATAAATGAGGGGCGAACGAAAAATCGCTGAATGCTAATAATGTTTTTGATGAAAAAAAGGAGGCTGAGAGAGAGAGAGAGGAGGATATCGTGTAAAAATAACATGGGGGCTCAGAGTGCTTTCTATTTATTTCTACTCTATTTTGATGCCCTAAACATTTGCATTGAGGCAGTTGACCAGTTGACGGCCGCCATCACAAAGAAAGAATGAGGTTGAATGAGGCGCGACGGTTAGAGACGAGTGGCTAGTTATATTCGGCAGCCTTGGGTAGATAATAGAGGTTGATTAAATTCAGTGGAGTCTTTTTTGTTGTAAAAACATAGAAAGCATCTAAAAGTTCCAGAACAATGGTGCATGAGGGAGATAACGGAGCCATCCGAGAGGAAAGAGGAAGGTCGTTGGGCCAGTCTAATTGTTATGGTTGTAATTGAGACGATGATTGGTTGGCGAACAATAGGACACGCCATAATTCTTTCACCATAGTGGCGAAGCAAAAAAAGGGGGGATAGACGCCTTTCGTCTTTTTTTCTTTGCTCCACAACAATAGAACAAGAGGGCAATAAAAAAAATAACGCGACTCGTTACCTGTGTAAGCAAAGGCGGGAAAACAGGCAACGTATAAAAGTCAATATGTACGCGGTTGTATCCTCCCATCACACTCAGCCAGAACCTGACCTTACACACTCAAAAACGAATCACAGATACAATACCTTTCCAAACCATACAACCAAATCCCGCCGCCATGCCAAACCCGCGTGTCATCCTCCTGAGAATGATGCTCGCTATCGGAACCTTGTCAACCATCGGCTGTTCTGTTCAAGCTGCAGCGATCGGTAATGGCAACCCGTTCAAGCTGGTAACAGGAAACAGTCTTACACCCTCAACCTCTGGACATTCCGCCACTACCACCACTCATAACCGTAAGTACATTTCTCATTTTAAACGTACAGGAACATAATCTGATATCAGTAGATCCATCTAACCATCTTGGTTTATTGTTCTTCAATGTTACAGGATCCATTGCAATCACGCCCACGGGAGGTGTCAACCGCACGACTACGGCCAAGACCTTATCCAAGACTACTACTACCACGTCACTTGCCCGTACTCCTCCATCCCGAACTACAACCGGGACTATTACTACCAAGCGGGTCACTACTATCACTATCAACAGCCCTACATCCACTTATGAGACGACGTCTTCCTGGGATGGAGATGATGGCGATTATGACGACGAGTGTGAGGAAACTGACGAGGATGATGATGAGGATGAGGATGAAGATGGTGATGGGGATTGTGGGGAAGGCCATGACGATGACGACGATGGCGATGACGATGGCGATGATGACGATGGCGATGATGACAATGAGGAGGAAGAAGGAAGAGACGACGAGGGTGAAGATGAGGATGATGGCGACTATGGCAATGGCGATGATGACAATGAGGAGGAAGAAGGAGGAGACGACGAGGGTGAAGATGAGGATGACGACGATGGTGACGACGAGGGTGATGACGATGGTGACGGTGACGATGGTGACGATGGTGACGATGGGGATGATGAGGAAGACGACAACGAGAATGATGAAGAGGACGACAACGAGAATGATGAAGAGGACGACAACGAAGAAAAGACCTTAGAGGAGGGTGAAGAATTGATCCCAGAGGATGAGTGTTACGAGGATGACGGCGGGGTATGTCCTCATACTCCCAAAAAGAGGCGCCAGCTTGTTGACAAGAACAAGTGCCGAAAGCTCTGCACGCCAACAGGCAACTTTGTCAGAGACACTTGTGTCCAGGGGGGCAGAATCAACAACTTGATAGGTAGCTGTGAGGCCAAGATCTATAATTGTTTGTACCCGGAAGACGCCCTTGTCATCTTGGATATTTCCGAGTGCCCCAATCCGGACAAGGACTAGTTTACAGCATACAAAACGCCTTCTGCTTCAACTCAAGCTTTGCCCTCCGCCTCGACGCGTGCCCTCGTTCCTTGGATTGGCTTTTCTCGAGGACGGGCACTGCGGGTTTATCACATATCATTTATTTACTTTTTTGCTGCCACCGTCTTTCAGCTATCATTTTTTATCACGCCTGGCAACGAATAAAACAAACATCAACATACTCTATCACGTCGCGACTGATGTTTTCACATAGATACTTAACGATGCTGGATCGCGAGAACTGGGGCTGAAAACAAAAGAACCAAAAAAAATGGCAGAAGTGAGAGGAAGGGCCTTGCTAATAATCGGTCCTCTTTCTCTTTTGATGTTTCTTTGCAATGGCGTTTACTATCATTTTCCGGAACAAAAATGGTGAGTTGGACTGGATGGTTTTGTTTTACTTGCAAGAGCATATGGCTAGTCATTGAATAAATTGAGAATGAAAACCGTGTGTTGATGAGAAGTGTCAGGGGTGAAGTACGTTTTTTTTTGTTTCACTCAGTCGTCGTGCAATAATCGAATGCATGATCAATAAAAAGAATAGAGGTGGCTGAATGAGAAGGAAATACTTTCTTGTATTGTTCGCGTTGACAGGGACAATAACTACCAAAGGATGTTAGCATGCAGCCCATTCGCATTGTTGACGATTCAAGAGTTGGAAGATATGGCTTACAAAAACGAGCGAGGAGACAATTGTCACCAAGAAAAGAGAACGAGGTGGCTAGGGGTCTTTTGCTTTCATATTTTTTGTTTTGTTATTGTTGGTGAACAAGGATAATTGACAAAGGTTGTATCGAACAAAAGAAGAAACAAAAAGAGAACAATAGAACAAGAAATAGAACGCTACTCGCCACCGAGCCAAGGACATGGACGAAAAAACCTGAGGTATAAAAAGTGGACGCGCAGGCGACTATCTCCCTTCAACAATCACTCGCCTAGAAGTATCTCACAACACAGAAAAACATCCTCTTTTCAAACCGCCTTCTCCTCCAAACAGCCCTAACCAAATCAAGCAACTTGCATCAACATGCTAAACCCACTGCCTGCTCTCCTGAGCATGATGCTCTTCCTCGGAATCCTATCCAACGCCTTGCCAACTCCCGTCAGCGGCGTCCCCGGAACCACCACCACCACGGCCATGGTCAAGCTCAATTCCACCAGCATCACGATCATAACCACTAACACAACTCGCGCCATTACCACTACTACGGCCAAGGCCACAACCACTCCATCCAACACTCGAACCCTGTCCTACCCGGATCCATCTGCTTGCACATTTATCCTACCAGAACTACCATCGCCCATCACTCCTACAAAGCCCGTCTCTGCCACCATAACCAAGAACAAACCTACATCCACCACACGACCAAGACTATCATTCCTTACAGCGCTACCCAAGGAGAAAACGATCACCGGCGGCGAAGGCTATCCAGGCGAGGAGATAAAAGTCGTTGACCCTGCCACGAAAAAAAAGGCGATGGAGGCTTTGAGGGCCAAGGTTGCGGAGTGCGAGAAGGAGTGCTTGACCACTGACCCCGATGTCTGTCTCAAGGGCTTTAACGGACGGAACTATCGGATGAACTCCTGCAGGTTGAGGGTGACGCCTTGTTCGAGGTCTAATGTGACATACGAGATCATCGATATATCAGAGTGCCCCGACCGGGAGCCGCAGAGGGCCGAAGAGTAATGGCTCCACCATCTCTCCCCATCCTAGTCCTTTTCAGAAGAATAGCCTGCGCTCTGCTTGTCCCTTCGTTAGGACTTGAGTCTTTGTTTCTGAGGATATGCGATCTTGTCGTATCCTTATTTTTTTAAGCCTATCCCTTTTATTATTATTTTTTAGTTCTGAATGATATCCATGATAACGTTTCCTTTTCATGAATAAAAGAAAAGAAACCTACTGCTTCGCACCATCATAACCTCAGTTTAACTAGAACAATTGCCACCATGAGAGTCATCCGCGATGACAAAGAGGGTGAAGGGTGAAGGCAACGTTAATAACGCACCTGCTGGAATCCGTAGTAGTGACGGCAGAACCTCACTTGATCCCCACTTTTGACCTGTTTCTTATTTGTTATTGTCAGAGCCTCATCCATCACGTCAAAAATCACATGCATATCTCAAAAACATCGAAATGAGAGACACGTCCTTCGCGTCAAAAAACACACATATATCCCCGAGGTGGTCACGGTGAATCGAAGGAGGAGCAAGAAGTCACATTATTGCGAACGAACGTGAGGTGAACAGCGACGAATTACAATCAAAAATGCACAGCTGTTCCCTCTCCAACTTGTTTCTCTTCTTTGTTCTTTGCATGTATGCCTGCAAAGTGAGTCTTTTATGATTCAACCCTTGCCAGTCAATCCAACGAAAGACTAAGATTGTCGTCTAGCCACTCCTTGCTCGCTACTCAGTCATTATATTCCATCGTCGCATTATTTTCGTTCTTTTTGTCAAGCACACTATTGTTCACAGAGGGGAAGGAAGACTTCTGCGTGAAGACAAACCAGGACGGATAGGCATTCATGGTGGATGTTTGTAGCATAATGATGTTTAATTGTATGAGCCCGGCGAAATCGTTTACTATGGCCTCCAAGGATCAATGCTTCTAGACTTCCTGTAACGGTCACTCTTGTGTTAGGTTTCTTTATGGCACATATGAGTGAGGACCAAGGATGTGATGGTGAAGGGTTCGTTGTGAATAGACGCCACTAATTTTTTTTTGTTGATCAGCAAGGGACTTTCTTATCAGTCTTGGATCTCCACCGATGATCGAGGAAAAGAAATTGGCGCCTCGCCCTTTGTTGATCAGAAATTTTTAAAAGCGCGATTCTGAGAAATGGTTGGCGATTGAATAGGTGCCGTACAGTACTGTACCGCATGGAAGGGGTGATGGGTAAACCAACATGCTTAACAAATACTCATCCCGCCCGGCATTTTTGTCTTCTGTCCCAATTGCAAAGGAAATAAATGAGAGCCAACCAAAAATTGGTTTTACCGTCTCTCTGTCTTCTTTCCCCTTTTTCTTCTTTACGTAGAGAGGTTCAACCCAGAACACAGGAAAAAACACCCAAATGTAGAAAGGACAATCTCACTTTAGGAGGGAGCAAGCACAACAGGGAAAAATAGAGGAAAGGGGAGAAGAAAGTGAAGGTGGCGGAATAACAAAAAGAAAAAGCGCCATGATGTCATAGGTCTTGCCTTGCAGGTGCACATTGACAAGGGCCAAAGTCCCACACATTTTTCATTTTTGCAACACTGCAAAGGGAAACCTCAGATGCCCATGCGTGTGTACTTTTCTTCTTTTTATTTGTTTGTTTGGTTATTTGTTAGAGAGATAGTGCTTGTTTGTTTACTTTTTTTACTTTTGATTGTGTTTGTATGGCGTGCGTGCGTGTGTTTTGGATGGGGGAGGGATTGTCAATGGCGTGTTTTTCTTTCTTCCGTGGCGAGGAGAGGGAAAGAAATTTAGTGAGAGGGAGAAGGAAAGCGAGAGTGGGATGAGGAATAGCTAAGAGGTTGGATTTTCTATGACCAAAAACCATTTTTTACTCCGTTTTCCATTCCCCTCCTTTACTCCTCCCCTTTGTATGTACTGCCGTCCCACAAAAAGGCGCGCAGAAACTGAACGAGAATAAGGGTGCATTATGTCTTCTCAGCCCTCATTCAGAGCAGAGCGTATTCAATCGACCCAACTCAATAAGCCTTTGACCTTTGATCACATTTCCCGTGCTTGTTGATTTTGTATTCCTTCTTGACCTTTTCCTTCAAAAGCCGAGTGTCAACAACAACCAACAAACAAACAACAAACAATCACAGCAGTTTAGAGTAAACAAACAAGTCCAACAAGAATCTCTTGGGTTATTACGAAGAAAGACACGGGTGAAAACACAAATGGTACTTGTGGGTTTTTTTAGTTACCTTTTTATATGTTTTTATAATGAAGGAGGTCTCAGGATGTGAACATCCTTTGTACTCATCAAGATGTACCGTTTCAATACCACAACTAAACTTGTTCCGAGTGGATGAGCGACGATGAAAAAACCAAAAGAACACATGAAGAGGGTGGAGGAGGAGAAGGAAGAGTTCTTGTTTTGGTCATGACATCAAAGACGATAAGCAAAGGGCAAGGATAGTTGCTATGTTCTTGTGTTTGGATATGTGGTTTTTGTGCCATGTTTTTGTTTTCATCGGTTGACATGACATGGATGCCAAGAATCATGGAACAAGTTGGATACGTATCAAACTTGTCCTTTGGATACCCTAGCAGGCGGACGGTTTGAATCCTTCCTTCATTCGGGTATCTAAGACGATAATACAGCTTTCTGTAGGGTAGGATGTGAATATGACTGCCAATTGATGTTAAGTGGACCTGTCAATTCTATCACCATGCAGTCGTGGGCATGACTAGGCGTAGAGGCGTTTTTTTTATTTGCAAGGATGGACTAGTTTTTATTTCTTTTTTGTCAGCACAAAAAAAAAAAGGAGACAACACGATCGTCGCATAAGGTACTCTGCCCTCAATTGAATCCTCTTCCCGTTCGCTACTCCTCTCTATACACAATCGTTACCCCTTTTTTTTCTCAATGCTGTTCACTCAAAAAAATAAAAAATAAAAAAGGCGCTGATATGGGGAGAGAGTGTGTTGAATATTTATCAGTCCTATTTTTTTTTTTTTCGTTGGTGCCCTTTTGTACTTTTTATGTGCTTGCGTGTTGAGCGATTTTATTTATTATTTTGTTTTACTCAACTGTGAACTCAATTCAACTCATTCCCCTTCCTCCTCATTGCGCTTTTATTCTTTAGATTGTCTTGATGCACGAAAATCACAAAATAGTAAAGCGCACTTCGCCAACTAAGGATGGAAAAAGGAGTTTGAAAATAGCGAAAACGAAGGGAAAGGAAGGGAAAGGAAGGGAAAGGAAGGGAAAGGAAAGGAAGGGTGGGCCATCTGTCCGTTCACATACACAAACAAACAAACAACAAACAAACAAACAACAAACAGAAGGGCAGGCATTGATGCCAGGAAGTCGCATAACGTTATATTTTTTTATTTTAGATTACAAATGAATTAAACCCATTTTTGGAATAGAGAACCCGCAACTAATGCTATTGTCAATCATTGTGCGAGTCATGTCCCAAAAGCTTTCTGACAACTGCTCGAACAACCGTTCGTCATCAAATATCGGTGCGACATCTTCATCCTTGTCTTCTGTCTCGGAAACCTCGCTACCGTCATCAACTTGAGCAGGATCCTTCGCAGGTCGCTTGGTCTCCACCCGCTTGGTCTCCGCCGACAACATGAACCTATGGCCAATCTGAATGCTCTTACTCCAAACAGAAGAAACGTCGCCTCAGGAACTTCAGAAAAATAATAAATCGACGACCTTTTGAGCGTGAGAGACGTGTAGCATCCCATAGTCTTGGCGGTAATGGTGTTCTTGACGACACCCCCCAATTTTCTCAATTGGCTGAAGCTCGCAATGGTATGGGGGCGTCTTCCGAACGATGTGATCTCCATGGTCCCTTGCGATATCGTAAATGGTTCAGGAAGAACTCTTGATGACTGCTGCAACAAGCCCATCTAGCTGTGAGGACTTTGGTTTGTTAGGGAGCGATCGGCAGTGGTATCTCCGCATCCAACTCAAGACATCCTCCCTTTTCGACCACTCTAGGGGCTCCGGCATCATGGCGTCTTTTACGGGCCTGATCGCGGACTTGTGGAAGTGATAAGAGGCGCCGTCCAAATGGATACGACATTTCTCCAGGCCCAGGCTCTGTAGATTCTTGCAAACGCGAGTAAAGAGATTGTCGAATAAATCCGAATTAAAATTGCTATGGTGGTTATTCGTTGGAGCATCGATTTATGCTTGTCGAATCTCGGCCAGCACATCATTCCATGGCTGCGAGTCGTGTTGAGTCGTGGCTGTTCTATCAGGCCAGGGGTGGGATTTTCCGATAAACGGCCAAACATAAACACTGCCTTTGACAAATTGAAACTTGAGCTGCCGGGTACGGCGGTCGAACCAGACGATCGATCCTTCCGTTCAAGACTCTCGAACCATGCTCTGACTTCTCCGGGTGCTTTGACGACGGGATCATAGACCTGCGCCAGGATGAAATACTCGTTGTAGACCATAGTTGATCGCTCGCGCTGTGGAAACCTGTATAGCTTCTCAAGCGAGGAGGAAGAGGAAGGACCCTTGGTGATGTGATTCTGGTTCTCGGTGTCACCTGAATCAAGAAATGGGTTGTCTTGTTGTGCCACAGAACGGATGGTTGGACTAGGAGGGTGCTATCGAAAAAGAGAGATATGATTCCGAGGAAACTCGTCAAGGGCTAGCCTGGGGAGTACCGGTACTATCGCAGTCAATTCAATCGGATGTATTATAAAAATTATAACGTTATGCGACTTCCTGGCACGGCCTCAAATAACAAGATGGGTTGGCTTACTGTTCTCTGTTTCGCTTTTCCAATTCAATGCATGCCACGGGGATGAGGGAAAGGAGAGAGAGAGCGACAGTCAAACAGACAAAGAATGGAGACAGAGGGGAAAGAGACACAGAGGGAGATGGGACAACAGAGAGGACCAAAAAATATATAAGAACCAAGGCCTTGTCCCCCCATCTGGGCAAGATAATTTTGGATTGTCATTGCAAGAACATGTGTGCTGTAGGGGACTACTTTATTCAATTCATAATTGATCTTGCTTGTGGAGTGACCTCCATCCATGGCTTTTTTTCTATGAATTCTCAATTGCTGCTGTATCAGTCTTCATTAGCCTTGTCTTTCATCTAATCACCTCTTCATGGCCCCATCTGGGTAAATTACATGAAGGTCACCAAGAGCGATCCTTCCTACAAGACACGAAAAGGTAAAAAGTGTCTTCTACCGCGGCATGCAGTCGTGTCTTTCTCTCGTTCTTTGAGAAGATGGTAGACAATTTGGTCTTTTTCAATCTGAACATGTCTTCATTTTTTGAACAGCACATCCTTCTGTACAAAGCAAACCCCTGCGTCCTCTTTCTTACGCCCTTTCCTCCGCTTCGTTATAATCGTTGCATGCGTCAAGGAGTACAAGAAAGAAAAAAATGTTCCCCTGCACGCCTCACACACACATACATACACTTACAGATACGCAGACATTTGACGACACGACACGACACGACAATGTTTTTCTACCAATTGATGATTCAATGACATTTTCTTTTCTTTTCTTTTCTTTTCTTTTCTTTTCTTTTCTTTTCTTTTCTTTTCTTTTCTTTTCTTTTCTTTTCTTTTCTTTTCTTTTCTTTTCTTTTCTTTTCTTTGTTTTTTTTTATTATTGGCGAGTGCCAAAGAGGTTCCTTGTTGTTATTTGTTCGCACGCCAACAAACAGGATTTGCTGCTGCTCAGCCTGGCAGGACAGGAACACCGCCCCGCCTTATTCCTTTTTCAATTGCACCATTTCATTGCTTGTCTATTCGTCGTATTCAATCCGATCTTTTGTGCTCCCTGGCGATTGAGTACACCCATGATAAAAAGCATGGGATGTTGGTGATGTTCTCAGTTCATGTACAGTACCTGTGCAGCAACAGTGTTCACCCCATCCTTCACCCATAACCCATCCATATCCTCATACCCCATCTTCACCCCATCCTTCGCCCCCTCCTCCTCCTCCTCTTCTTCCCTTCTTTTTGCACCCCCTCCTCTTTTTTGTTGTTCTTGTTTTCTTATCCCTTGTTCCTTCATATCCTCGTTCCTGTCAAACCCCCATGCAGCAAATAATAACAGCTAGAGCAACTGAATAACCGACATAACATACAACCCAGGCAGCCTTCTTGTCCTTGCCCAAATAAAAAAACCCCTCTTCTTAATAGCCATTCAATTGCAAAGCAAGAAAGGACCTTTTTTCCATGCTCTTCTGTTGTTTTTATAACAGAACAAGCACTGTCCCCTCCCACCTTTCCCTCTTTTTCCCTTGCTTTTTTTCATTTTCATCTCTCTTCTTTTCTCTCCTTGCGTCCTCTTTCTCATTCCCACCCTCGTCCTTCTCTCTTGTCTTTTTCTCTTATACATCCCAGCTCTCCTTGTCCTTATTGTTTGTACATAGTCATCTCGTTTACTCTCACTCATCTCGCTGACTGTTGCATAGATCATCAGCCCCCATCCTTTTCCTGCTTTTCTTCATTGTCACACTCTCCCCTCGTTGCCTTCTTTCCCTGTCGCCGTGCAACTCTTTGACTTTTCTGTGCTCCCTCTTGTATACAACAAACAACACTCTTACACACTCTTGCATACGCCCACTGTAACTCACAACATACGCACACACGCGAAAAGAAAAAACCAAAGAAGCAAAAAAGCAAAAAAAGGCACACCAGCAACTGCAAAGACATCCAATCCATCCTATTAGAACGGACGGAGAACAATTGACAATGTCCTCGTCACAACCAGGGTTCTCTGTACCGCCCCTCCGGTACGGTGAACAGCAGCAGCCCTTTCCTCACTTACACCATCCTCACCATACCCAGCAGCTGCAACAACAAAACCCTTCTCAGTTGCAACATCCTCAACAGCAGCATCAACAGCCGCACCAATTGCCACCACAGCAACAACAGCTGCACCACCACCAGCAACAGCAGCAACAACACCCATCGACTCCTCCCCTCTACTCGCACCCCCCCAACGGACACGGCCATAACGGTTCTATCATGACCCCTCCCGTCTTTACCACCACCCCGGGCATCCTATCCCCACCCGTTAATCCTCACACCCCATCCGACCGCGTCGTCAGTCCTGGGTCGCCAGGTCGCGGTGGGCGGATACCACAGGGTCAGGGGGTTGAATCGGTTGTACTTGCGGGTGGCCATCATGCCCCCCGACGTGGACAAGAGTCCAATGATTCGTACTTTACACACCACCCGCACCCTCACAGCAACCGTCCCCCTCCCCACTCTTACCATGGCCACCCTCAGTTTCAACAGCAACAGCAACAACAACAGCTGCTGCATTATCAACAGCAACAACAGCAACAGCAACAACAGCAACAACAGCAACAACAACAACAACAACAGCAAAATCAGCAAAATCAGCAAAATCAGCAAAATCAGCAACAATATCAGCAACAGCAGCAACAGCAGCAGCATCCAGGCAACCATGGGCATAGGCACACTTACCCTCCTCCTCCTAACCAAAGTCAACAGCAGCATGTTCCTCCCCTTCTTTCTATTCAACAACAACAACAACAACAACAACAGCAGCAGCAGCAGCAACAGCAGCCCCTGCAACCTCCTCCCCTTTCCCATCCTCACCCGATTGAGCATCCGCAGTCACAGCACCTTCAACAGCAGCAAATCCACCACCAGCGACAGCCCTCGCTGACCACCCCTCTTCAACCCCCAGATCACCGTCCATCGTCGTCCCATTACGCCGCCTCTCCTTCCCTCCGCCCACCTACTCCTTCCCATCCTCAAATGCTCAACCATCATCACCATCCTCCCAGAGTAGACCAAGGCCATCCGCAAGGTCAAACGTCTGAGCACCCCTATGCTCCTATTCCCCCGACTTCAAATGCGGCTGCTGCATCCTCTGCTCCTTCCACCTCTTCTTCTAATCAACCCTCTTCGCGGCAACAACAACTCTCTGGGCAACTACAACAACAGCAGCAGCCTCGGCATCAACACCATGCCTCAATATCATCAACAGCCTCGTCTGATCAGTTTGCAGAACATGGACCCTCAAATCGTTATCCACACTCTCGCCCAGCCCCCTTTTCTCCTATTGCTCACCCTACCACGCCTACTGGACATCCAGGCAGTAGTGGGTCCTATCATATACCCGACTCTAGCCCACATGGTTCTGCTGCACCCATCAGGGTTTCACGTCTAGAGCGACCTTCATATGACGATCTAGGAGTAAGGTCCAGGGAAGACGAACGACTTCAGCCAGAGAACAATTATCACCAGCAGGGGCCTCCTTCATCGTCACATTCACACGGGTATGGAGGACATGAGCAGGCGCACGGTCAAGGTCTCCACCCTCAGCAACACCACCAGCAACATCAACAGCAACAGCAACAGCAGATGCAGATGCAGCAACAACAGATGCAGCAGCAGCAGCAGACTGGTCCACCGCCAGTGACAAGAGTCTTGGCACCAGGACAAGGACATCATGAGAGCATGGAGCGGATAGACCCACGGCAGCAACAACAGCAACAACAAGCCTTACACTCGAACCCGCCCCAGTCGCACCATGTCCGGCAACTGTCGCGGGAACAGTTGCAAATGCGACCGCAGAGTCCGTTGAATGACTATCCGCTGCGCGAGTCAGAACATCGTCAGGTAAAAAGAGGGAGGGGTTGGTTTTGTGTTGATTATTCATCCACTGCTCTATTGTTTTTGGTGGCGAGGAGGTAGTGTGCATCTCATCCCAAAATGGAAATTGACCTCCACTGCCTTTATTATTTATGATTATTGTTAGGCGCAAATGATGCAACAAAGTCAAGGTGCACACCATCATCGCCCAGACGAGCGACAGCTTCAATATAGGGGGGAGCCAGTCGCACATTCAGTGCCAGTACCAGTACCAGGACCAGTACCTGTCGAGATCGAGAGACCACAACCAGGACAGGAGCACTACCGCAGACAGGACCACCAGCAGTCGTCGCCGCCCGAAAGGATGCCTTATGACGACAGTCGACCCCCTGTTCCTTCAGACCAGCCTCATCATCATCAGCATCCTTCTCGGTCAATGCAGCCCTCACCTGGACACCCTGTGCCATACCAAGGAGGCCCCCCCCCAGACCCACGGTTTCAACATCACCGTCATCCCTCTGGTGCCCTTATGCGAGAAGGTCAACCCACACCGGAAGAGAGTCGAGGACGCGATGCAGTAAGTCTTTATTATTTGACCCGATGTTACAATGATGAGGAGAATAACAATTCTAATCTAGGTTTCTTTTTGCTCGTTCTCTTCCATTCATTAATTAGACATACCCACAAGATGAGAGGTTACAGCAACACCCACCCCAGAATCTTGTTAATCAGGATGGAGTTGATCCACGAAGGACACCAATCGCTCAGCGCCCTGCCAGTGCAACGGAGAATGACCATCGAGTAGCACCACACGATCCTCGCTACCTGCCTCCAGGACCAACACAACACAACTCTGCATTTATCGGGCATGAGCGTCGTGAGTCATACCCACAACACCCACAGGATGCTCCCCCGATGCAGCCCGTCGCTGTGCACCCAGGGACTGATGAGAGGCATCCGCAGCACTCGTCACACATGCACCGCGGATCCCTGGATGCTGCCTACAACCCCGTGCGTCATCCTCAGCAGGAGCCCTACCCGATACAGCCTGCTCATCCGCAACATGACCCTCGTGGTACAGGAGTTGTAGGACAGCCTCCTCGCCATGTCCCGCCTTACCCTGTACATTCGCCCGAGGGACGTCGTCAGACTGCTAATGAAAGCATGGCTTTTCACCATCAGAACCCGCCGCACCAACAGCAGCAGCTTCACCAGCATCAGCAGTCGCAATACCAGCATCAGCAACCGCCTCAGCCACAGCACAAGCAGCCTCACCAGTACTATGCCCAGCACCAAAACCAGCAAGACTACGAGCAACAACCAGTGCCCCAAGAGCCTGAAGGTCACCACTCGGGAAGGAGTTCATTCTCATACCAGGCACCACCACCACCACCACCTCCTTCATCGCAGGCCTGGCAGGCAAGGGATACAGAACCTTTGGATGAACATGGAAGACCCATCGATCCCCGGTATCCCAGGCCAGACTCTGAAATGCGTCTCGGAGTTCACGGTCATAGGAGTGCAGCGGAGCCGATTGAACATCCTCCACCCGAGCGAGTGATACCCGGGCGCGAACCACCATCGGCCATGGCACAACCACCATTTCCTCCCAACGGCCTGTCACAATTTCCTGCGGGACCGGAGTCGCTTCGTAGCGGCATGGTGTCACCCCGAGACGGAGCCTTCAACGAGACACCTACTGGTTCCACGCGGTCTCTTTCACCAGAGTCAGCTCAAATGGGTCGAAAGCGTGGAAGGCGTCCAAAGTCGAAGCTCGATGTCGACATTGCAGGCCCTATTCCCGTAGCGAACTCTCCGAGCCCTCTTGTGCCAAGACCTGGTCTCGAGATTGCCCCAGAACAACAGAGAAAGCGGGGGCGGAAGTCAAAGGCAGAACCGGAAGTTCCTCAGCGGAATTGGAATGTTAGCGCACATGATCCGCATCGACAAGCCTTTGGTCATGCGGATTCTGTAATGGACAATACGAACCAGGACCCCACAGGCGACGACAACCAGCTCAAGTCAAAGAATGGCCATCGCATGGAGATAGATCATGGACAGCCGATCAGCGGGCATCATGAGCGACTTGGCCAGGATGTTACCCCTCAGGACAAGCGTTATTTGGAGGATGATGCAGGGCGACGATCTGACCCACGGTTCGAACGCCAGCACCCGCCATTTGATGATATGTCGAATCGCCCATCTGGGAATTTTACTCCAGGATCTGTGGAGGAGTTTGAGCACATTCAGAGACTTCGGCAGCAGCAGGAGCAGCGGCCACCAGAACAGTACTTGCAGCACCCACAGCTTCCTGATCAGCATCGACAACAGTACTCGCATCCACAAACTCCAGCGTCCCCTACGCGGTATGAAAAAGGCCAAGTTCACGCTCACAGTCTCGAAGCGCGTTCTGGACATGGATCAATTGAGGCTCAGCCACTAGGACCTGCAGGAAAGGAACCAGAAACTGTGCAGCTTCTTGAGGCAGACGTGGCGAATGCTCTTGTCAACATCCAGCACGAGAACAGATTTCAGTCACCTGACGGCGCATCCTACTCCGAAAGTGATCCCAACAAACGTCTTCGCCTCGAGTCTCCCGGTCACCCCATTGACCCTCATGCAGGACACGTCCACCATCGGCCCAATCCACCGCAGGCTGATCCACAGGCGGGCCCAGCTCCAGTTCTTGAACCTGTCGCTATTGGTCGCCGCGATCTGGCACAGGATGAGCAGGACACTGCCATCATCTTGCAGAGTATGATGAACAACCGCCAGGCCATGGAGCAAGGTGAATCATCCCTTCTGCATCAAGGACAGGCATCCCAAGAGTCCCAACACCCACACTTTGCTAATGGATACCCACCTCGGCCAGCTTCACCACGGGCCCGAGGAGCGTCTCAACACGGCGATCCACTGCAGCATCAGGCTCGTCATTCACAGCATGGTGATTACCCGCCTGTTGACCCACATCCGTATGGCCTTCGACTGCAGGACCCACAAATGCAGTCGCCTCATTCGCCTTATGGGCACGGCCAAGCATACCCATCATCCGACCCAACCCCACATGATCCTCTTCATGTCCCAGTGAGCGACGACCATGCTGCCCATCAGCAGCATTCATCAATTGGTGGCGCCCCTCAGCCCATGCATCCGTCGCAACGTGGCCCAGAAACGTCCCATGAGCATGGCGGAGAACATAATGGAGTTTATCATCCCTCGGCTTCCTATCCTACTGGTGCGTTATCTTTGCAGTGTCATAATCTAAAGAAGTGTGTGGATGTTTTTTATCATATGTCTGTGATTGTACTATCACCCTTATTAATTATTTACATTGGTTATTAGACCCCGTAGAGAGGGATGCCTCAGGAGGACCACGACGGTCTTCCAACAACAATACTCCATATGCTCCTAGTACATCGCAGCCGAAGGACCAATGGCGCGTTGGATCTCCTCCCCGTGGCAGAAACGATGTAATTGAGCCTAGCTACAATGGCCATCCCATGGATCAACAACCTCCTCCCCAGCACCATACCCAGCCTCCTCAGGGACACTGGCCTGTTGATCGCCCCGACAACCGTGGACCACTTCCTCCTTCCCACTCCTATGGAGGAGATACCAATGCCGCACCTGGCAGCCAAGAGTTGGCTGCAGCCGCGAGCGTACTTGCTACCCCAGTCAAGACCAAGGCGCGAAGAAAGGCTAAATCTGGCGGGATGATGTCTCCAGAAACCGCTGAGCGGCCCGACGTTGTCATGTCCGAGTCAAGGCCTCCTGCAAATGAGCGCGACTATGATCCTCGAGCACAGCAGCAATACCCACCGTCCCAGGAGCACGGAATGCCTCTTCACCCGCCTCAACCCACCGGACAGTCAAAGTTGCAACAATCTGATACCCCGCTTCATTTTGGTCAGGAGGCGAAACTTGACACTGGAGCGCCTTACAAGGTAGAGCCAAGCGGAGGAAGCAAACCACAGACGGCAGAATCAAAGCCGACCTCAGCATCAGGAAAGCGTCTCGCGACCCCGAGTGAAGGTGTCTACGGACCATCTCAAACTACAGTCAATCAAGTCGTACCACCTCCCGAACGGCCAGTTCCCAACAGCCTTCTCTTTGGATCTGGCATGATCTTGGTTAAAAAACTGCATGATGCCTCAGGTTACGGTACTTCCTCGGGCTCGGAGGGGTCGACCAAGTTCCCGCCGTCGCAACTCTCGATCAAGACTGGGTATGATCTAAGCAAGGCTGCCGGCCCCGCCTCATCTACATTTTCGCCATCGACGCCTCTTTCTGCAGTTGCTACTGCCCTTGCTGTGAAGAAGAAGCGCTCCAAGCTGATCGACATCAAGGATGAAGTGATTTTTACCTCGCCAGGGGCTGGATATGGCAAGAACGATCCTCTGCCCCCACCCCCTCCTCCTACCAAGGGTAAGGGTGGCAACCGCGGTCGAAAGGGTCTGGTCTTGGTCGGAAGTTCGGATGCGGATATTGAACGAAGCAACCAGATTACTCGATCAGGAGGAGGAGGTCCAGCTTGGCTGAGGATGGGGACGAACGCCGCGTCGAGCTCATTAAATGGAACAATTGGTGCAGGAGCAGGAGCTTCCTCGACAAGCGCCTCCGCCACCGCGTTTCTCGCTGCTGATGGCCCAGCTTCTGCCACAAGCGCTTCGAGTGCCGCTGATGGGCCAGGAATCCGTCGCAGGGCACCCCTGTCGCCGTCAACGCTCTTGATAGAGAATGACAAGCGCAAGCCAAAACGGATCAAGATCGACGACAAGGATGTTCGCCAGGTTCAGCGGACTTCCTCGACTCTCACCGACGCCACCGATTCTGACAGAAAGGACAACATCTCCAGCACAAGAAAGTCGGCCGAGGATGATGAAGTTGACAGCAACGCCGAGGGCGCTGGAGGCGATTGCTGTTCGAGTGGTATGGGTTCTCAGAGGAGACGTTTGCCGGAGGAAGACGACGAAGATTTAGGAGAGGAAGAGGTCAGCAGAGGAACCGCAGGGAACGGTGCTCATGGACGGCGCCAGAGCCAAGGCCAGAGTCAAAGCCAGAGCCAGCCCCAGAGTCAGGACCAAGGAAGTCAGGGTCCCAGTCAGGCCGCTGCAGGAAGCAAGTCCATGAAGCGCAAGTCGAACGCGAGCCTTGCTGGTACCCAGCTCAGCAAAAAGGCCAAGGAGAAAGCCAAGGCTGTCGATTCTGATGTGGAGCCACCAGTGAAGTCCAATGGCAAAACTGAATCTCCTCTGCCCATGGGACGTTCGGTTGTGATGGGAATCCCACTGAAGAGAAGTCTGTCCATGGGTGGTTCAGGAGCCGCAACACCTTCAGGAGACACGGATGCAGAGTCTGACCTGGCGATGGAGGACGATATCAAGTGTCCACATATCTTTGGACTTGACTCGGAGTCTGAGCACGAAATTGAGGAAGGACCTGATGATGATGCGGGCAATGAAGACGATGATGATGGCAAGAGTGCAGTGTCGACCCCCGGCAAGGCCAACGGCTCATCTGACCAGGCAGGAAGCAGCAGTAGTAGCAGCAGCAAGGTGGAAGTTCTTGATCCTTCAGATCCTATTCAAGTGCAAGGACTGAAGTGGGTTAAGACCCTGGGCATGTCCGAAAAAGCCTGGGTAAATATTTTGCTATTACATGCTGTTGTCATTGTCTTTTGAACATTTAGTTGTTTTGCGTCGACGATCTAACGCTTGTTTGTATGCTTCTTGGATAACGATAGGAGGAGACATTCAGGACTTATGAGAGAGTCAAGAGACTCAAGGAGCTCAAGAACCGACAGCCTGTCCGGAAGCGAGACGCCATCTTGGCAGCGATCCTTTACATTGTCTGCCGTGACGAGGGATCTCCTCGCACGTTTTCAGAGATCTGTACAGCCTCAGGAGTGAGGAGGGGCGATATCGGTGCCTACTACCGGTTGATGCTTAAAGTCCTCAAGCCCTCCAAGGCCTTCACTGCCAGCGCCCGAGACACCGATGCCGAAGCCTTCATGGTACGTAGTTATTTTCATGCATTGATTGCTGTGGATGTTAATTGTTGGTTATGTGTTCTAAAATACGAACAGGTGCTAATGATGATCTCTTATTTTTTTTGGTCCATGTTAATTAGACGCGTTGGTGCGAGTCCCTTTCTTTACCACCCCAAGTCCGACAGGCCGCAATCCATGTCTTCAGCCTCGCTAACACATTGAACCTGACATCTGGTAAATGTCCTTCGTCCGTTGGAGCAGCAGCGATCTACCTGTGCATCTTTTCATGGAACAATGCTCGTCGTCTGGCACGGTGCAAGCGGTACCAGTGTCCTGGCTGCCAGGGTCTGGTCTCGACTGAGCATCCGGGCGCCGATCAAGACGAAGGATGGATCCGGAAGGAGCAGAAGGATGTTGCGGTTGCTGTTGGTGTTGTCAGCGCCACATTGATGGGCTGTTTCCGGAATCTGGCCCCTGAATCGGATCGCTTGGTGCCTGCTGACTTTTTGCGTGCTGCTGAGGAAGGTGTTTGAGCAAAAGGTGTTCATCTCTGCATCTCGTCGTGAATAAAACTACAAAAAAAAAAGGCAACATTGACATTGTCTATGATGAAAAATGCAAATTGAATGTATTATGAAAACGTTTTTTGAAGAGATAAATGAAAAGCAAAAGGAAAAAAAAAAGGATGGAATGGAAAGGAGACGTAAAAACAGAAGGTGAAGAAAAGGGTAACAACAAGGCTCTACTTCTTGACGCCGACGATGGCCTTTTGGCGCTCTGGTATCCTGTCCTTGAGGTTCTCCTGTTTGGTATGTTTCCTGACATTCTCCTCCTTTGTCTTTCTCGAGTTGATCATAATCGACTTTCTCTGGGTCGCAGTCTTGACAGATTTAGGAACATTGCGATGACGATTGATACGACGGATCTCGGGAACGTTTGCAAACTTCTCCTTGAGCTTCTCTGCGTATTCGAGGTGGGCGCGTTCACGGTAGTCGCGGACGCCCATCTTTTCAGAGGCCCGGGCTTTCCAGAGGCGAACGTTGCCGTCATCGGAGCCCGAGACGACGAATTTGTTGTCCATGGTGTAGATGACAGAGAAGACGCGCTGCATGCGGTTTGTGTGGTAGATGTCCCGGGAGTGGCCTTGGCGGGCGTTGAAAAGGCGAACTGTGCGGTCATAGGATCCTGTGACGATTTCTTCTCCCGTTGGCGAGTAGTCCACCGACATGCTATTTTTTTTTTTTTTGTAGGGAAGGGTGTGTTAGTTGTTAATGTTTTCTCAGATTAATTACGCAAATAATACCAATCTTATCGCAAACAAACACAAAAAAGGCCAAAGAAAACAAAGAAATGGGAACATACACAGCGGAGACGTGGTCTTTGAGGATGTTTTGGGCCTTATCCATCTTGCGCATATCGAATCCATAGACATTATGATCTTCATTGGCGGCGACAAAGTTGAAGGCCTCCATGGGGTTCCAAGCAATCGCATTCGTCCTCATGGCCAGGACCAACTTTGTAATAGGCTGAGAAGTACGAAGGTCATACAAGATAATCGTCCTGTCAGATCCTGTGGACGCCAAGATATTGGTCTCGGTCTGGTTGAACTTGACAGTGTTGATGGTATCAACCCCCCAGTTGAGGGTCTGGACTGGCTCGGCACGGTCGTGGTCCCAGATATCGATCTCGGAACCCGAGGTTGCAAACATGTTGTCGGACCGATGATGCGAGATCCCTGAGAAAGCATTCTTGCCGGTATACGTCGCCACGGGCAAATGAACTGATTTTGAATGACTATCCTCCAAGGCCACAGTCGGATCCCAAATCTTGACCGTCCGATCATTCGAACAACTCAAGAACCGGTTTCCCTCCAAAAAGCTCGAGACTCCCGTAATCATGGCCTTATGAGCCTGAGTATTCCAAACCGACTTCTGATCACTCAACGACCAAAGCCTCAAATCACCATCTCCACCACCAGAAACCAACCAGTCCAGTTTAGCAGGATGTTTGGCCATGGCGTAGACACCATCGACGTGGCCGGAGAGGGCGCCGACGAAGGGTTTGGCAAACATGCGTTCGACTTTTGTGGCGTTAAGGGCGCGGGTGTATTCGCGGGCCTTCTCGAAGGGGTGGAGGGTTGGGTCGAGGTTGCGTTGGAGTTTGTGGATGTCATTTGAGCGCGAACGGGTCTGGTCCTCTGTGGACCTCGACAAGACTTTTACTTTCTAGATAGCCGAGGGTGAAGTGGGAAAGTTAGAGACGGTTATGGAAGGGAGTGGTGTATGTCGTTGAAAGATAGGAGCATTGGGCTGGCGGGCGCAGAAATGAGACGTACCATGGTGTGAAAGGTATGTTATGTAGAGAGGTTAAGTGTGAAAGAGGGGAGTGAGGTTGGCGGCGGTAATGGGAGGACGAAGAAGCGGAAGTGCGATGCAGTACAAAGGTTCTGATGAAGATGTCAAAGGTCAAAGTTGGGGTTGCAATGAAAAGCAGGCACAGATACACACAGTCAACGAACAAAGAAAGCCCAAAGCTCCCCAAGGCAAAGTCCAAAAAAAAAAAAAAAAAAAAGAAACGTCAACAGAGGCTAAGCCACTCGACTACTGTTTTGATTTTTTTTTTTTTTTTTACTTTCTACCACACAGTTGTCACATACACCTTTTGCTGGACTTCTTTACTTTTGTTCACAACCCCTGTCGTCCATTGTCAACACATCGCTCACCACCCATCCACCCACCACACGGCACGGCAACACTCTTTCCCTTTTCTCTCCCTTTCCTCACATCTTTCCCCTTCCTATTAACATAACGACATAATGGCAAAGGCTAAGAAGGCGACTATCAAGTACCAGAAGAACCACCTGAAGGGTGCTATCGAGCAGCGCAGAAAGAAGCAAAAGGCCACCCAGATTTACAAGAAGCGCAACCCCCAGAAGTTTGGTCGTGGTGCCAACGCTGGATCTGGCAGCGGTGGTGCCGAGGGTGAAGAGGGCGAAGGTGCCGAGGGTGAGGAGGAAGAGAAGCAGGACTCTGGTGATGAGAAGTAAGTCTTCCTTTTCTTTTTTTCAGTTGATATCCTGAATGCAATTGCTCATTCATGTGATCAATTGCTAACAAACACTCTCAATATGTAACCAACAGGTCCAAGGATATGGGAGTGGACGAGTTCTTCAACAACGACCTGGACTCGGATTCCGATGCAGAGCCCGAATCCGACAACGAGGACTTTGTCGGGATCGACACCATCGTCGAAGAAGACGACGGCTCAGACATGGACACCCCTACACCTAAGAAACAGACCCCTGCCCAGAAGAAGAAGCAGGATGCCAAGGAAGAAGCTGCCAAGAAGATCCAGCTTGATGCCTTGAAGGAGAAGGATCCCGAGTTCTACAAGTACTTGCAGCAGAATGATTCGGAGCTGTTGGAGTTTGATGGTGAGATGGAGGATCTTGAGAGTGAGGAGGAGGATGATGAGGATATGGAGGATGATGACGAGGAAATGGAGGGTGATGATGAGGATATGGAAGAAGAGGAAGAAAAGGAGCAGCCCAAGAAGGTAAGGAAGGATTCTTAGTATGAAGACATGGACATAGTTGTTGTAAAGCATCAATTGACATGAAACTAACGCCTCTTTTTTTAATATTGCAAAAAACGACTAATTAGAAGGGAAAGAAGGCAGCATTGGAGGAGGAGATGATGGACGGAATCCCATTGGTGACCAAGGATATGGTTGCAGCATGGCAGTCGGCTCTTGTGGAGAAGCACTCACTCAGGGCTCTCCGCCGTCTCTTGCTCGCCTTCCGTGCCGGCGCCCACTTGCACGATTCCGAAGATGACAGGACCTACGCCTACAAGATCAACAGTCCCATTGTCTTCAACAAGTTGGTCGTCACCTGTTTGAAGCACGTTATCCCCACATTGGACTACCACCTTCCTGTCCAGACCACCTCAGGAGGCAAGCCCAAGCCAGTCAACTCTGGATCCAAATACGCTACCCTCCAGCCCTTGGTTAAGTCCTTCCTCCAGAACACCTTGTTCTTGCTCAAGGAGTTGACTGACCAGGAGATGATCTACTTTGTCATCCGTGAGTCCGAGAAGGCCATCCGCTACCTTGTCGGCTTCCCTAAGATCGCCAAAGATCTTTTGAAGGTACTTTCCTTGACCTCTTTTATTTGTTTTTATGTATTTGCTTTCGAAGCGACGTTCAAAGACGACACAAACTAACAGTTATGTTTGCACATTTTGGTAATGTGACAAATAGCACTTGTTGTTCTTGTGGTCGACGGCGACGGACCGTGTGCGTATTATTTCGTTCTTGACGATTCGCACGATTTCCTTGCAGTTGGGACCTACATACTTGGACTTGTCGTTGAAGGGCGTGTACTTGACCTTTGTCCGCTACGCCAAGACAACGACGATGCATACGTTGCCCAACCTGCACTTGATGCAGAACTGTGTTGCTCAACTCTACGGCATGGATTTCGACCGCTCGTACCAGCACGGATTTGTCTATGTCCGTCAATTGGCAATTCATCTCCGCAATGCCGTCTTGGTCAAGACCAAGGAGTCATTCAAGGCTGTTTACAACTGGCAGTACCTCCACTGCTTGGGTCTCTGGGCCCAAGTGATCTCGACACACGCACTCAACACTGCAGGACAACCGACTGCTCTTCACGCGTTGATTTACCCCCTCGTCCAAGTCTCGCTCGGTGCCCTCCGTCTGATCCCCACCTCGACCTACTACCCCCTCCGGTTCCAGATCATTCGCAACTTGATCCAGTTGATCGAGAACACTGGCACGTTTATCCCCTTGGCCCCCTTCTTGTTTGAGGTTCTCGAGGGCGGAGAGATGAAGCGCCCTGGTCGCAAGGGCACTCTGAAGCCATTGGAGTGGGACTTGGGATTCAAGTGCAGCAAGGACTACAAGGGATCGCGTGTCTACCAGGACGGCACAGGAGAGCAGGTGTACGAGTTGATGACAGAGTACTATGCGCTCTTCAGCACATCGATCTCGTTCCCCGAGTTGGCAATCCCCGCGATTGTGCAATTGAAGCGGTTTATCAAGAAGTCGAGCCTGGTCAAGTTGACAAAGCAATTTGCCGGATTGGTCGAAAAGCTGGAGCAGAACTCGCGCTTTGTGGAAGGGGAGAGGAACAAGGCTGATTTCTCGCCTAGTGATGCTGCCGGTGTGTCGGGCTTCATGAGACATCAGGACAAGGAGAAGACCCCTATGGGTGCCTACTGGAAGGGAGTCAAGCGGAGTGTGATGGCCAAACGTAAGATGATTGAGGAGGCACGTAAAGACCGGGCGGATCGTGAAGACAAGGATAGCTCTTCAAGGAATAGCAAGGCCGAGGAGGACGAGGATGATGATGAGTCGATGGATGAGGATGATTTGGAGGACATTGAGGAGGATGAGGATAGCGAATAGAATCCCTACGCGCTTTTTGGGAAAGAGGTAGAAGGGGTTGGGTGAAGAAGGTTCGTGCCAGGCGCTTTGAGGGAGGTGGGCTGTAATTCTATGGCGGCTCATCGTTCTTTTTGTTTGCGTCTCGGCACGGCCCTCCGTCATGTTTTGCCTTTTTATTTGTCTTGTACTCCCTGACCACTCTCTCTTTTTCTTCTACTCACATGCACATCCCACTTCAACCACATAACACACTACCAACAATTCACCCATTATTCTTCTATTCCACCACGCATGCATTTCATACATAAATTTTCATTTGTTTACTTTTTGTCATCTTTTACCCTCCTTCTCAGGCACAGGACCCTTGTACTGAATTGAGTACATCGAGACTTGGTGGCTGTAGGGTAGGGTAAGGTAGAGTTGTTGACATGCCAATGACTGGCTGGCCAATGAGGGTCTATGTTGTGTCACTAAGGTTTGCCTTTTTTTTTTGTTTTATTTGGATAAGAAAAAACACGGCCAACTTTTTTTCCTCTCTTTTTCGCGGTTGTGGAGAAAGGTGAGGGGGAAAAAAAAAGAGGTTAAGTGGGACCTGTGAGGGTGGGCGGGGGGAGTCTCACGGAGAAACCCTGCCTGTTTCGGGTATAGGTATCTGGCGCTGAGATATGAACCTTAGAGCCAGAGAGCAGGAGCGAGAGCACTGAGAAAAAAAAGAAAAGAATGAAAGGAATGGGTGAACCCCTAAAACTCGATCATACAACAGCTCTATTTGTTTGCTCATTTCTAAAAACTCTTTTTTTTTTTTGTCCACATAACAGAGCAAAAGGTGTGCAAAGGAATAATTCTTAATGATTTATTTTCCGTCCGCCTAGATCAGCATGGTGGTGCTTCGTTGGCAAAGAACCGATCGACTGGCATGGTTGGGCGCAATCACTGTCATAAGAGAAAAGATGGAAAAGAACGTGGCGGAGGAAAAAAAAAAAAAAAAGAACTAAAGAGAGATGGCATGTAAGTGTGTATGCATGCATGCAGTCTGCGGTAAAGTAATTTATCTAGCAAATGAGGTATGGCGTAGTTGACGTCTTTTCTGCTTACGCTACGGTAGACACGAGCAGACAAGTCAAGAGTCTAGGCAAAGGGCAAAGGGTCTGGCGAAATTCTCGTATGATGCGAGGTGCGGTGCTGGCCGAAAAAAGTTCTTCCCTTTCTGGTTTATCTACTCTTGCTGTACGCTCAACAGCCCTCTGGTGTTCGCTCTCGCTATCGTCACCTCCTTCTTTTTTCCTCGGTGTTTCGGGTCCAGCGAGGTGCCTGGTGGCGTTGTGGCGTAGAATAGGGTAAGGTAAGGTACAGGATAAGGTAAGGATTAGAGTGGCACGGACGGTATTCGATGCTGATTGACTAGAAGAGAAAAATAAAAGGTTAGGGGGTTGGAGTAGGCGGAGTAGGGAGCAAGGGTAGCTGGGTTATTTGGTTGAAATGGCGGCGGACCTGTGTGTGTGTTTGTGTGTATGTTTGTGTGCGTGTTTGTGTGCGTGTTTGTGTGTATGTGTGTGTGTTGTGTGCTGGCCAACAAGAAGATGGAAGGAGAGATCAAGCAGGGGTGTAGGTTGGTGCATGGCTAATGATTGGTCGATTGGTCCACTGTATTTTTTTTTCTTGGAGTGTGTTGTTCTCTTCGTCCTGTTGCTTTTGAAAATCCTTATTTCAGTAAACACACAGTGCGTTGATAGGGCGTAGAAGGAGTGTAGGGAGGGTAGGGAGCGAAAAGTGTAAGAAGGGCTGAGGGGTTTAAGTGTAGGAAGGGGTAGAAGGAGGATCGGGTGAGGCCTCTCTTTCTATTACCTTAGCCTACAGTTCTGAGGGCGATGAAGGGCTACTTCTCTTGTTTGCCTTTTGTCTTTTTAGGTTATATGTGTGGCGGGGGTACCTTTCTAAAAAGTCCCCGACGAGTTCAAAGGGCGAGCGCATAGAAAGTCGACTGGGATGATATTCATGACTGTACTACAGAGGTGATGATAGACCAGTTTGGTGCCGTTGTTTCCAATATGTTCTTCCCGCCATGATGTTCAGCTGCCCGGTTGTGTATCGAGATTGCGCGTCATTGTTATCGTTAGTCATCTTGTACATCCTTCCCGCGCTGCGTGTATATCGTTAATGTGTTTCCATCCCTGGTTGAACAAGAGGTGCATGGGTATGGTCGCACCTGGATGGAGAAAAGAATCATTTAGCATGGTACAATGATGGATACATGGGACAATGAGGAAGACGGAGAAAAAAGAAGGAACCCTTGTTTTTTTTCTTTGTCGACGAATATGCCTGTGCTTCCGCTTCGATGCTCACCATGGTTCTTTGTGTCTACTTTTTTTTCCCCTTCTGTCCTGGCGAGACATGTCTCTGGAACTTTTTTCTCTGTCGCCCTTTCTTCCCCCGTTCCATTCCTTTCCTTTGAATTGTGTTTTTGACCATGTGTCCGCCACGATCGAGTGCGAAAGGATAGAATAAGAGAGATGGTAAACCTAATGGGGTCTGGACATCGTCTTTTTGCTTTTGTTCGTGTCAACAAAAACAAATATGCCTTGTTCTTTGTTTATTTTCTCCTCTCCGCTCTCACTCCATCCCTTGTTCTTTTTGGGCTGCAATTTTGAGAGCACATTGCTCATTACATCCACCACACAACACACACAAACATCTCGACACACGAAAGGGAAGGCACGCACATATCCTACAAACCCTATCCTTGTCCTCCCCTTCACTCTAATCCGCTAATCATCCACTTGATCACCCACCCTTTTTCTTTTCCTTTTCTCCCTCCTCGTCCTAACCACACTCCTCGGGCCTGCAGGTCGACTCCGCTTCGCTTTTTTTTTTGCTCTGTCTCTACTCTCTGACTCTCATTTGCTCGTTGTTCACCTCTCTGATTTTTTGCATTTAAATACGGAGCCCTCTCCCGGCTCTTTTTATTTTTTGATTCTTTCCTCTTTTTATTTTTTTTTCTTCTCCTCTCTGCACTCTCACTTCTGAAGTCATTTTGCCACCTCCTCCGCCCTCACTTCCTTCCTTCGCTCGTTCTTTTTCTCTCCCTCCCAGAACTTTTATTACTCCATCCTCGCTTGCGTGCCACGGCTCAATTTACCCGTCTCACTTGCTTCTTGTGTCTTTGCTTCAAAACCAGGACCTGTAACGACTAATCCGGTTCCCCTCTTCACATAACGTAAGGTCTCAATAATAACGTCATTGGCACCAGTTGACGTCGTTGACGCCACCCTTATTCTGTCCTGGTTTTGTAGGTCATAGACATTCTTTCCTCTTCACTGACTCTCTTTTTCTTCTTTTTTCCCTTCTCACTCCTCTTCGCATTATTCCCATTTCACTTCACTTGACTTCACAACACTCCACTTCACTTCAATCTCTCTCACACAACAACCCCCTTGTACATACAACACACATTGACCGTTACGCCCACGCTATCCACCTCTCTTCATTTAACTCCCGCATCATCTATTCCCTCACCTCTCCCTCACAGAACAACAAAAACACACATATGACGACGGCACCCGAAGGACACCAGGTGGTGTACAAACTCTACAAGGCCCGGTACTTTGGCCTCTTCTCAATCGTCCTTCTCAACATTGCGACCGGGTTCGTCTGGCTCTCATACTCGTCCGTCCCTGACGCAGCACGGGACTACCTCAACGCCAATGACTTCTTGGTCTCGCTGACGTCGATCCTCTACTTTATCGCCTACATCATCATGGCCCCCGTCTCCGGATGGATGTTCGAGAAGCATGGAATCAAGAAGTCCCTCATCTTTGGCGCCTCGATCCAGATCGTCGGCGCTTGGCTCCGGTATTTTGCCAATTTTATTGACTCGACTCCCGATAACAACACGGGGCGGTTGGTCTTGACCATGGTCGGCCAAATTATTGCTGCAGGCGCTCAGCCCTTCTTCTTGAACTTACCTCCTAAATTCGCGGCGGTCTGGTTCTCGGAGAATGGACGGACAACGGCGACGATGATCGGGTCTGTCTCCAACGCCCTTGCCGCCGCCCTAGCTCAGCTCATCATCCCCATTGTCACTGACAACAAAGTCCCCAGCACAATGTCCAACACGACCTTGTTCACTGCCATCCTAGCCATTGTTGCTTTGATTCCAGCTCTCTTTGTTGCTGACCGCCCTCCTAGCCCACCTTCCCCCTCTGCGGCCGAGGCGCTTCAGGAGACTGCAGAGGAGCCCTTCAAGACATCGCTCAAGAAGACCACCTCTAACAAGCAGTTCCTCTTGCTCATGATCACCTTCGGTTCCCTCGTCGGTGTCTTCAACACCGTCACGTCACTCATTGCTACTTTCTCCCAGCCCTATGGATACACTGTCAACGAGGCTGGATACTTTGGAGCCGGAATGGTCGTTGCTGGACTCATTGGTGCCGGTATCTCGGGCCCCGTGATGGACAAGACCAAGCAGTACAAGTCTCTCTGCAAGCTCGGCGTCCCCGTCGCCACTGCCTTCCTGGTCGCGCTGATCTTTGTCGTCCGCGTCAACTGTTTTGCGGGCATCATGGCCGTCATGGTCTTCATTGGCGTCTCTGCTTTCGCCGTCCTTCCTGCAGCACTTGAGCTCGCCGTCGAGATCACATACCCCGTCACTCCTGCTTCATCCGCCTCGGTCCTATGGGCGTGCGGTCAACTTGTCGCCGTCATCATGCTGTTCGTCTGCACTGCCCTTCAGAACAACGACCTGTCGATCGAGAAGGGTCTCAACCCTCCATTGATCTTCCTCGCCATCTGGGCTGCTGTCTTTGGCGCCGCCCCAATCATGCTCATCACCTCACCTTACAAGCGGTTGGAGGCTGAGGCTGCCAAGCGGAAGCGTGATGGGGCCGACAGTCTGACTACTATTGACGGTGCCAATGGCGGCAAGCACGAGTACCTTGAAGAGAAACAGTCTGCTAATGTCGTTTAAGTGATACTCTGTCCATAGTGGAGGTTAATTGGGACATTTTCTTTGGTTGGGAAGGCCTAGTGCCAAATATTTTGTTAATAATAATACCCCTATTTTTTTGATCCTTGATGTACTTGGACATGTGTATATCCATGGTGCGACCATGTTATTTGCCTTTTGTGGTACGATGCGGATGAATGGATGGTGTACAGTACGTATGCTGCAAAGGATACTTGTTGCATGCATAATGTTTGCCTTTTGAGATGGGAGATGGTGTTCAAATCTATCCTGCAAGGGAAGTGGGGAGGAAGGAAAGCGGGACAAAGATGAGGTGTTTTGTGTTTCTTGTTGTCTCGTATGATATGTGAACCCACCTTTTTGCCTTTTTTTTTTCGTGTTCCACTCCCTTACACTGGACTAGGACAATCGATTATTCACAATACTGTCAAGCAGAAAGCCATTACTTGGTATCACTTTTGTTTTGCAAGTACTGTGAGTTGTGAAAGACGCAACAGGCCCGATGTGACAGAGAATGTAGCCTCTTCTTTGCCTGATCGACATTTGCTTCCTCAGTCCCCACCCAATGCACAAAGCCTGACTTGGACCTTGTCAGCAGCCTTATATAAGACAAACAAGAGAATCGCTTTTGCAATGAGACTTATTAGTAGACTAAGCTAGCGCGCGATAGACCGATGACTCGGCGTCGATTATTCTCGTCCTATGCATCTCGATGACGCGTTTGGGAACGAAGGGTTTCTTATCACCCACGAAAACCGGCCACGACGATCTTCAGACATTGAACCCGCGGACCTGCCCATTGGAGGCCAAGGAGGTGATTCACGCTCCACCACATGGTTTCCCACCACCGCACGCCCCGCGCGGCTGCGGTATCTTGATGAATCATATCGTCGGATCGAGGCGCAGGCGACCAGCCGAAAGAAATGCAAGAAGTGACGGTGAGGGAGGAAAAATATCTGGCTTCAAGGTGGATGTTCATGGGAGTACATATCTTCACAGGTACATAATACACAGGCAATCAGGCGTGGAGAGGCCTAAACTCGTTGTCCACTATGGCGACCACGCGCGGAGGATCCATAACTAAGCGGTTGGTATACAGTGTTGTCGTGGACAAACACATTGAGAGGAAGGAAGAGGAGGAGGAGGAGGAGGAGGAGGAGGAGGGGCGGGATCGGTCCCTGAAGTGTTTCTTGAGATGACCATATTTAGCGGAAAAAAGATAAGAGAAAGGAGGTAATAGGGCTTGAATATCTTGTGGAGGAATGATGAAGACAATGAAGGAAAATAGGTGAGACCTTGGATATGGGTAATAAGGGAGGAGAAAGTGCGAGTTGACATGGGTGGGGAGTGTCGGTTCAATGTGGCTTGTGAGCATGTGTGAAAGTGGGGTGAGGGATGGGTTTGTTGTAAGGACATGTCCTCGAGTGAACACATGAAGGGATACCATGCCTTTTGTCAATATGCATGGCAGGCCCCTGTTGATTGTTTTTTTTTTTTTTTTTTTTTGGCCTTTGTATAGTTGCAAGGAAAAATACTCTGCTGTGGATGAACCAAAGCACGTCCAATCCGGACAGTCAGGTCAATCTCTTCTTGTTCATATCAGATTAGATCGTATCTTATCTCTTCATCGGCCTTTCCTATTTGATAGAGTAGTTTCTGATAACCTTCTTTTTGATCTTTTTATTTTTGTCGACTTCCATCACGACAGCTGCAGAGGTGTGCAAATCCTTGCTGAATAATGGAAAAAAAAACATATAAAGTACATGCAACACAAGGACCCTATGAAGGCGCGATGCGAAGAAAGAAGGAAAAAAAAAGAGAAACAGAGTGCATGCTATCCTTCTCAAGGGTTGTTGGTCACATCCATTATTAATAAGAAACATGGACCCCGAAAAAAAAGCGGGAGTGTGCTTTGAAGAGAGGCTATCTGTTCTTTCTTGTTTCTTCTTCCACTGCCCCTGCATATCTCTTCCCTCTAACAACCCTAACTGAGTCTAATTTCTTTTCCCGTGCAGCTCGAACAAGTCATTCTTTGATCAACCTACGTTTATTTTTGGCATGCATGGTACCCCTTTTCTTTGTCTCTGGCTCTGTTACCTTGATCTGCTAATGTGCGGTACGCAACATTCAATCCAAATTGTGGGAGCGAATGCCGAAAAAAGCGTTCACAAGCAAGCAGAGTTTATACGGCAAAGGTAGAGTTTCCCTATCCCTTATTGCGCAGGAACCCCCCGCCGTCGCATTGCTCGTTAGCAGAGCACAAGTAAGGCGGACGCGTGGTAGAGAGAGAGATATTTACCAAAGCATTGATTAACCAAGCGGCTCCATTTTTCCTATAGTATGGTTTATTGGGAGTAAGTGAAGAGGAGGAAGAAAATAGTGAGGAAGGAAGTGTAAAGTGAAGGAACAAAAAAGAGAGGAAAAAATGGCACATTGCGCTTGCCTTTAAACTAGCAACCTCGCCCTACTCACTTTCCCACATGCCTGCCCAATGCTTGCAAAGTCACTCCGTTGCATTCAGACTATCTCCGCCAGATACCATGAACCTTTCTCCTTTCATTTCAGGTATATAAAAAGGAAAACCATACTAACTCATTGACTATTCATATCTAACACACAACTGCATGTTATCTCATCTCCAAACCAACTACCTCCGATTGCAACGCCATTTGTACCTATTTAATAATGGGCAAATCTTTGTCTCTCGTCACCCTCAGGCGCCTTGCAGCTGTCGAATCCAACGCTCCTCTGTGCTCTGACTCTGGGTCTCTTTGCCGCGATGCCTCCGAGGCCCTTCCTCTCCTCCCCCCCAAGCAAGTAATCTTCTCGCACTCTGAGATCCATGGCTTAGGTCACCGTGCGCATCGTCTGTCTGTTGGCAATGACAAGTATACAGACCCCATCACCTATCTCCCGTCTGGGAAGAGCGGCACCAACCAGGACCTCGACCAAATGATACAGGGCGTTATCGACACAAACATGGAGTTTAGATACAGCGGCGACAGGTGCCACAAAGCCCTCCTCGGCGCCATCTGCAACCAACGTCCAAGCAACCTCGATATGTTTATCGTGAATGCAAGATCAAGAGCATCTCAAATCCATCATCGAGATCAGTCCTCGCCTTTTGCATCGTACCTCACTCTCGACTTTGACTATCTGGCATGTGATATCATCGCCTAGACCTTGAACCACCATATACCTTTTTTCATATATCTCCCTTTGTCTCCTTTTCTCAATATATCAGCCTACAAAGTGTTTCTTTGGAATAAGCGGAACAAATGGCAAAACACATATATTGTTATCAGCTGCCCATCATGCCACCACGGTGGCTTCAGCCCAGTGCTCAACTCTGCGGTCCTATCCTCTTGCTCACCAAACTGCCTCTTCTCTGCCTCAAGGTACTTTGACCTGGCCGCCGTGGTAATGCCTGAACTGGGTCAACAGCGCGCTGGTCTTCTACCATCCCCTCATCCTTCATATGTCAATCCTGCGCAACTTAATCATACCGCCACTGCATTCGCCGCAGAAGTAAGCAGGTATGTTCATCCACAAATTGACGCGTCTTTTATGCTCAATTTACCAATCAACTTCGCACTTATCAAAATGAAAATCGCATTTTAGCTCGTAATTGTCGCGCAATGATAGCATGCTTAGCTCTCGCTTTTTCGAGAACGAGCAAAAGCAATATTACCTCCATGAAAGAGGTATTCTAAACCTTGAAAACACAGTCTCGAATATATAGTGCACATGAGCATTGACGCACCTATGCACAGAGAAAGAAAAGGAAAGTCATGTTATATTCATGTCCATTCGCAACTTCTTCAATCAACTCTTCATCCCTAACGGCCGTACAAGCACGCACAAGGTGTTTTACTGCTTTTCGGACCTCCTCCTTCCTTCCTTGGCCTCGCTCCCCACTCTGTCGCACTCGCTTGATACCGTCGATTTTGAGAACATCACTGTCTCTTGCCAAATGTTTCAGCGTCTCGATAGTCGCATAGATATCTGTGTCTGCGATGAGTGAGCTTCCAGGATCCTCGTGGCTTGAGCAATCGCCAGTGCTTACTTGATCACCGCCCACGCTTTCCCCTTCTCCACCCTCCTCATCCATTTGTCGTAGCTCCTCCTCGGCCTGCTCATCCCTGCTTTCTACCGCTCTGAAACCCACTACATTCGCTTGCCCAATCTCAGCGATGATATGTTCGAAATATGCCTTCTCCTGCTCTTTGTATCGTTCGTGCTGGGTAGACTGAGGTTTTATCTGCTGCTCATCCTTAGTTGGCCATCGTCTTCGAAGCTCCTCGGGCATTTCTGTTGGAAGGACAGGGGTTTTGGCGAAGCAGTTGTGCAGTGTGGAAGGTTTGATCTCACCCCATGCGTCTGGGATCAGTGTCTAAGCGCGCCCATTGGAAATAGTCATAGTTTGGTCGAAGTTACGAGCAAGATATATTTCACGGCCAAGCTTCTCCAGAAACGCTCGTTCGAAAGCACTGATAACGCCGGCGTCGAGAGGCTGGGTAATCGATGTTGAGTTTGTGGGTAGTCGCCGGATGCAAAGATACTTCCAAGGAATTCCATGTTGATGGTCGCGCATATCGATATCATTGTGTGATCCTGCGGAATCTAGAAGGAGAAGAATTGGCTGTGAGAGCTCATTATCCAACTGTTGCAGCCAGCGTACGAATACATCGCCGGTCACCCATCCTTTCTCCGTCTCTTCTTCAACATCTCTAGGGATGTGTTCGCCTAACGGGTATCAAGCAGCCATAAAGGTTAAAATCTAAAAAAAGAATGCTGTCATTTGTAGCACTGTCATACATATAGTATATTACCGATAACCACTGGCCTCAATGACTGTTTAGTCTTGGCCAAGGCGAGAGACGTGCCAGAGGCATTGATGCAAAATAAAATGGATACTTTGCAGTCCCGGAGAGCCTTGGCGCCAGATTTGAAAAGCGATGTCGTGTAAGATTTGGTGTCCAGTTCCTTTACATACGTCCCAGTCTCATCGCAAATGAAGATAGTGTCGGGAGTGTACTGGGCGCAAAACTGGCGAATTTCAACGAGCTCGGGCTCGATTGCCTCCAAATCGACCGATCCCGCCTCTCCATGAAGCTGACAATACGAGATACGATGCTGTTTCCTGAGTGAGTCGAACCAATAGGCCGAAAAAGATAACGGCACCTCGGATACAGTGCTACCCGAATCGTCCTTGAGATCGCAAAGAACCATACATGCGAAATGAGCTGCCGACTTCATCATCTTGCCCGTCACAGGAACATTCTTCTTGCGTTGATCGTGCAGCCAGTAGAGCAGGGCCTGCTCGATCACTAGACCTTTCCGCTTGACGATGTAATGAGCGTCATCGGGAAGTGTCTTAGCTGCAGCACGTAGCTATTGATTGACATATTGTAAGTAACAGGAATCTTAATAAATTACTTTTGATGTATACAGCTCTTGGCAGCTTGTTGAAAATAATAATATACCTTATCTTCTCGGCTCAGCATGCGTTCAAAAGTTTTTCTTGGAAGGTTGACTCCTATCGCAGTCCCAAAGGAGCGGGGGGAAAGCTTGAAAAATGGGATGTTCTCCTTCCGTTTTTCGAGATAGTGATATATGTCCAGCAGTTCGACTTGCGCTCGTAGGGAGCGAGAGACTCTTGCACGCGGAATCTCGAACTTGTCGGCAGTAGGGAATACAATGACAGCAGCCATGTCATCGTTCCTGGCGCTGTTCAAAAGGTCGTTCTATCGCAGTCGGTGAGTGGCGTTGATCTCTTCAAGCTTTCGGTTGGTGTATATGTTTTGTCCTTCTTGGAGGTGAGCTGAGGAGGGCGGGTTTCTGTTTTTGGGCTCGCGTCTTAACCTCATCCGCAAACGAGCGGCGTCGACGCTTAACTTTATTTGTTGCCATGGTGAATGACGAGTTACTGAAATGTATAATGTATAAGATGCGTCCATGGTGAATGTAAGAGAGATGTAAAACTACATGGACATGGCTGCATGGCTGCGTCAATGCTCACGTGCACTATATATTCGGGACATGTTTTCAAGTTTTAGAATACTTCTTTCATGGAGGTAATTCAGTCCGTTTGTTTCTTTTTTCGGTTCATTTTCACTAGTAAAATGGGCCCAAAAACCATTGTCGACTGTACTCACTTATACAAAACATGGCCGCAGTCATTATGATGATGTAAATTTTGGACGATTGTGCGGTGGTCAACCACAAAAGACAACTGTTGCGTACCACACTTGGCTCTAATTGTTTCTATGAGCTGTAAGCCAAGGGACAAGTTTCAATGCTGTATTTTTTCATGAGCGTGGTCTATGAGCTTTTCCATGGTGTGGACAAACAATGTCTACAACGGAGTTACTCGATGCGAATAATTTTTTCTGCCTTCATTATGCCTTGAGATGATGCATTCATGCATCCTGTTTCTACATTCCATCTCCTCGCAGTTGGTCTGATAGTTCAACAGGGGACATATGCGTGGGACTAGCTCCTTTTCCAAGGTAGTGTGACTAGTGTCGAGTGCGAAAATAAACGGCGCATGCCGTTTTCAATCCTGTGGGTTGTTGCTTATAGTCAGTATTAAACAAAACGTCGAATAACACCTGTAGCGTTTTTTACTTTCTTTTGTGATATTTTTTTTTCTTCCCCCCCCCCTGCAGATATTTCTTGTGGGATTGATTGATTTCTTCCCCTGTTGCATTGGATGCATAAGTTCGGCTTGGCGGCGGCCTCCTCATCTATCATTCTGACCGCAGCCCTGCCTCCTCGTCAGTCATTATGACCCCGGGAGTATTTGTACAAGCCATTTATCGCCAGACCTATGCGCAGGCAACGAAACATCGAGTGCGATGCCGTTATTATCTTGGAAAGGGCTGGTAAAACTTGATTATGTCCGTAGGAACTAGGACCTCGGCGGCAAGTGAGGTGGCTGAGGTGGGCTTGGATCTATCCAAAAGACGTGACAGGAAATTTTGGCTGTATTGTCATGAACGAGGACCACGACGGATAAAACTTTAATATGGTCGCAAGGAACAAAAGGTGAAGGAGGCGAAGAAGATGAAGGAGGAGGAGAGGGATTGCGTTTTTGTACAGTTCGATTTGGTTCATGAATTCTATCCAAAAAGCGACGTGAATGAGATAACTGGATGCGCGTGTGTGTGTATGTGGGGTGTTCGAGAAGTGTGTGTTTGTGTGATAGAAAAACAATAAAGGTGAAGAGGACAAGTGCAAGAGAAGGGAATGCTGTACCTATGGGTGCGAATTGAGTGTATACACACCCAAAGGGAGCGACGGATGTCGTCAGGGGAGTGGTGGGGAGGATGAACGAAACCCTCACTTTCTGGTGCTCCTTGTCTGTGGCTTGTGTGCCTAGTAGGGAATGATCGTCCTGGGCGCAATTAAGCAGATACGCAGAGTTTGATCTTTGATCTGTTTGGCTCAGAGGGGATACATTTCCCTTTGATGTAACTCTTTCAAGGGGCATTCAACAGAGATAGATAACTAGGCTTTTTGTACCCTGCCCGCCTGCAAAAAGTCACGTGCTCTGTCTCGACACAAACAAAAACGTTTTTTCTCTGTGTGTTCATGGATCTCCTTCACCTTTACATCCTCCTCTCTCATTTCTCACGCGCAGCGCGGAAAAAAAAACTCAACACTTTTCGACCATGGCTGCCCAGTATGATCTCACCTCCAAGATGATCCCCTTCTTGGATCTCCATCTCGTCTTCCCCCTCTTGGAGTTCCTCGAGATCAACGAGGTAAAACAAAGGGCAAAACAACAACAGTCAGAGGAACCCTTCATCTATCTATTCAGCACAGAGCACATAGCCGCAGAGAGCAACGAACGGCGGCAGCAACAAAAAACAACAGCTAGGAGTGAAATCCACTGGTGGCCAACGACAACAAAACATCAAACCTGCGCTGCATGGATCGGCTGACAGAGGTGCACATCGATCGAGGAGCAGGCCAGCAAGTAGAGCCGGCACAGCGCAATGCAGACCTTCAGGGACAAACATAACCATCAGATCGCCACGAACGTTTGTTTGAGGCACACACTCGGCCAGCTCTTCAACTATAGTCGAAAGGGAAGAGGAACAAAGCAGCACAATGACATGGTGTACACCCGTTGACAAACTGCAGCAACGAAAAGCGGTAGACGATTGAGTTGTCAAGATATTGCCGTTAAACATGTACCTATTTGGACACCATCATTACCTTATAGCTCTTCTACACCCCTACCACCCTGTTGGAGGCCCGTTATGAGCTGTCCCTGAAGACCAGCATGATCGACCTTATCGACAAGCTTCACGGCGAGTTGAAGGATGCCGGCGTTACCACCGCTCGTAAGCCCTTTCAACATGATGGTTGGCTGTTATCTTGCAGGTGTATGTGGCTTGCCAACAACAATGCGTACCTAACTGACAACTGAACGTTCCCTACCTTGAATATGTAATAGCCATTGAGCTTGTTGAGAGACGCAAGGAGGTCTTGGAGAAGTTGATGAACTCCCAGGCCGAGGCTCAGAAGGTCATGGATGTCATTGAGAACCCCGAGGTTATCAACGCCCTTCGTCAGGACAAGCTCCAGAACTTGCAGTTCTTGAAGGACAACTACGGCGTATGTCCTACTATCATGCTGCTTATTATGCTAGGATTACTACAGGAGCACGTCTTTATGTGCATCTTGTAAAAGCAGACTTGTTAACCCTTTTGTTTGTTTTTGCATCGGAAAATAGATGACCGCTGAGATGATCCAGACCTTGTACAAGTTTGGACAGTTCCAGTACAGCTGCGGAAACTATGGTGGTGCCGCTGATATGTTGTACCATTACCGCGTTTTGGTATGTTATCATGCGAGCTGCTACATCCTGACTTGGTTCTTCTGCCCACGATATGATTCTAGTAACTGACCCGTTTTATTTTTGTTTTCAAACTATCATAGTCGACTGATGACACTCTCGGACTCTCTGCTCTCTGGGGCAAGTTGGCTTCTGAAATCTTGGTCGGAAACTGGGAGGTCGCTTTCGAGGCCGTTCAGGAGTTGAAGGAGATCATCGACAAGACTGTACGTTGATTATTTTCCTGGATCATTTTCCTGTCATTTTTACTGCGGCTGACTCAAACTATCAGCAGGAACTCGAGCCCAAAATTTAACACCTCCACATATTTCTTCTTCGCAAAATAGCACTTTGCTTCGCCTCTTCACCAGTTGGAGCAGCGCACCTGGTTCCTTCACTGGTCCCTGTTCGTCTTCTTCAACCACCCCAAGGGGCGTGATGCTGTTGTCGACCTTTTCCTCCAGCCTGCCTACATCAACACCATCCAGACTTCGTGCCCATGGATTCTTCGTTACCTCACTGCCGCCGTTGTCACCAACAAGCGCCGCAAGAACTTGCTCAAGGAGCTCGTCAAGGTTATTGAGCATGAGACCTACCAGTACCGCGACCCCATCACCGAGTTTGTTGAGGCTCTCTACGTTAACTTTGATTTCGACCTCGCCAAGCAGAAGCTCGCCGAGTGCGAGGAGGTTCTCGAGAACGACTTCTTCTTGGTCGCCATTCAGGAGGATTTCATCCAGAACGCCCGTTGCTTCATCTCGGAGACTTACTGCAGGATTCACCAGAAGATCGATGTCGCTGAGTTGTCCCAGACTTTGAACATGACCAAGGAGGAGGGTGAGAAGTGGATTGTCAACTTGATCAGGGATACCAAGGTCGATGCCAAGATCGACTACAAGGAGAACACTGTCTTGATGAACAACAACACCCAATCGGTCTACCAGCAGATCATTGAGAGGACAAAGGGTCTTTCTTTCCGCTCCCAGGTCTTGGCCACCTCGATCGAAAAGCGTGAGGCTGCCCAGATCAAGGCAGCACAGCACGAGAAGAACCACCCCTCGACTGCCGTCTCAGAAACCGCCACCAAGGCTTAAACTAGTATTTGCTGACATAACTCCATTGCCCCCTTCCCTACCCATCTCACATTTGTCTCTTCGTAGCTTCCCCTCCGTAGTTTTTTTTTCTTCTCACTCGTAAACAATTGTCTTTTTTTTTGTTTCCCATTCACGAACTCTGGGTACTCTTACCAACCTTACTTGGTTCCTGAAATTGGTCAGTAATCGAAATGTTCGTGATTAATTCTCCGTTCGTTGACTTTGTACCGTTCTTTGAGCGACCTGCTGTAAATGACAGAGCGTTCATCGGCGGAACAACCTTATTTTGGCACCCACAAAAGGACAAAAGAGAGCAGGGTGCGCCTCCAGAACGTCCAACTATAGCACAAGCAGACAAAGGTTGGCGTTATCAACTGGTCAGTCAAAAAAAAGCAACACAAACAATAACCGATGGTACGAATATCCTCCTAGGCATGACTTTGTTTTTTATTTATCTTATTTGTCGACATATCCTCCTCCAACCCAAACATTGCTAAACGCCCTTCCCTTCCATCTTTTCCTTCTCTATCTCTCTTCCCTCTCCTTCCCCCTCCTCCTCTAGTCGTTTTCAAGTTCTCTGTTCCCCGCTTCTTCTTTCGCTTTACTTCGACTCCCTCACACATCTTCTAATTTCTTACCCACTTCCATTAAAAAGGAGGACGATAGCTGATCTTGTAATTGATCTCGGATGAGGAAGAGGCGGTTGTGGAAACGCATGGATCCAACAAATTGGTAGTGAAGAAGACCGCTCATTCAAACCATTGTACGTATTCGTCACTGAAGCTGGCGGCGACATTTATGTTGAGAGGTAGGAAAAGCAGGAAAAGGAGAAAGAGAAGAGGAAAGAGGAAGAGGGTGATCCAGTGGGGTTGCGCGGTTGGTGGACGTAATGCTCCGAAAAACAGGTGGACGTTGGGCGTGCCAACTCTGAAAGTCAGATAGGGGATTTGCAGCAGCAGGTAAGGGCGTAGCAACAGATGCTGCTCCAGAAATTGGCCAGTCGGAGAAGTGAGAGGGATGGTAAAGATCGGCATGGGCGTGTGCGTACGAAGGTAGGTGTAACATATATAAAACTGGATAGGCGCGCTGATTGGGTTATGATGAGAGGGTTTTTAACCGAATTTTTTTTTTGGTGGATCGTGTCGGTTAATCGGTCAAAAAGTGGTCTTGATTTCTACTTTTCGGACGCACGACCAAACGCAAGTGTATTTTAGATGGAGAGTGATCGATTAACGCGTACCAATATCTACACCCGCTTCATGACGCATACGCCAAGATCTTCAGCTACAATGAAGGCGAAAGGGAAAAAGCCAGGAGAACGACAGCGTATGTGTGCATTGCAGCGAGAAAGTGTCGAGAATGCTTTGATGGGTCGATGGTTCTAGTTCCCTCATCTCCCAACTAAAAGACATGGGGCGGTTTACTCTCCCGCGGAGGGCGGAAGGACATTTAAGATTTTTGTTTGCTCACCCCGAGGAAAAGTAAAAGTGATGCAGGGAGGGCGTATATGAAGTGCATGGTTAGTATGCAGCCAAGGTCTAGATTCTTTTATGTCTTTCTTGCCCCAGCCTCATGCTCTCACATCTATCGCAGCAAGCCCTATGGGGAAATTCTTATTTTATCTTTGTTTGCTGATTGACCTCTTTCCACTCTCTTTCTCTCTTCATCTCTTCCTTTTCATTTTTTCTTATCCCACCACACCTTCCCCCCCCTCTCTCTCTCTCTGATTCACAGTTCCAAACCTTGGACACCATCGTACACACCCGCCTGGATATATTTTTCCATTCTTTCGCATTTTATACCGAGTATTCGCAACCATCTCTTCACACCACCACGACTACCACCACCACATATACGGCCCCTTCGAATGGCAGATTTCATCGTCAAGATTTCGGAAGACTCTGATGTTGAGGCTGTGCCACTGCTCTCCACAGATTATCAGGCGTCCTCGGCTGTTGTATCTTCCTCACCAAGCACCATTGCGACCAGCGGAGCAACGGCACCATCCCGGCCGCCCAAAAGTATGGGTCGACAGAGCCTGCGCTTGTATAGTCCATAGGTCAACTTTTCAAAGCTGATACCTAACACGTCCTCTTTTCAATTTGACTTTGATTTAATAGCATATCGGTGGTATTTGCATGATTCTGACGACGACTCAACCCTAACTGAACCTAGCCTCGCCTTGGACGACAAGTAAGTCTACTATCAACAACAACGGCTTGCCACATACGCTAAGTGGTGTTGGCCACAGATAGGTACATATGCTTCCTGAAAAACAACACTCAAATCCTCTCCCACTTCTTTTTTTGTTCTAGATACCATGAACCTGTCAAGATCAGAGCGTCCAATAGGTTGATCAAGGTAAGCTAGATAATCAGTTTGAGAAAATGACTTATGTCTGTGTTTTCAGTCTGCCATCGGAGAACCGAAATGTTTACCCTGTTCACTTCGTTTTTTATGTTTAGTGGGAGATCGTGCTGCCTTCGGACCGCGAGAAGGGAGAGTTCTACGATATCGTCCTGGGCGTGTCTACACGAAGCTTAGACATGGATGCCATCGAGTCCATCCTCATAAGAGTCGAGCAAGAGAGGGCGACGTATGGAAGTTTCGAGTGCGAGGTAAGTTTTGGCACATTTCCAGTTGACATTCTATTGCTCAGCGCTGCCAGAGTATAGTGCCGTTTCATATTCTAGCCAAATACCTTTGTGTTGTTGTCTTTTTTATAGGTTTTCAAACGTCATGAGTTAGAGCGAATGTCTATGGTGGATGAGGTGTACAAGGGCACGGACAAGGACACGGACAATGGTACGGACAAGGACAAGAACGGCGTGAAGGAAATGCATGGAGAGGAGATCGAGAAGAGTGTTACAGAACTCAAGTGGAAATTGTTCACTCGATGCTACGGGTTTGGCGACAGAGTTTCGATCACCATGGAGATCAACACATGGCCGGAGCTGCCTTTGGAGTTCGGGTCCCTGGCCCTCCACTTTGTTGAACTCTGCACCGATTCAACTGTTCTATACAAAGCAGGTACGAGGATGCACATAATCACGTATTTATGGCCATTGTATCATTTTTGCTATCGAAGTATTGAAAAATAACACCAAATTTACTTTTGCAGATCCACTCTTTAAAGAGCATTGTCCATATTCAACCTGGTTGGCCGACGTCAATCGCAGTGAATGCCACGAGTATGATTTACTGACAAGAACATTCAAGCGAGTGACACACACCAGCTATTCTGGTGATGGACGCTTTATGGTCATCAAGACACTTGCGGGTGAGGATGAGTTCTTGGAGGTATGGGATCTGCTGGACCACGAGATTGCTAAAGTGCTTGGTGGAGACAACTCTGAAAGCACCAAGGAGGCCATGGTAAAGCCATACCGAGCCACACCGGTCGCTTGGATGCCCTTGATTAGAGGTGGAGAAACCGATGTCTCCATCTCCTGGGACGGTTCGCTCGTGGCCCTCTTTGAAACAGAGAGGCCAGAAGCCACCGAGGACGACAAAAAAGATCCTCTTGAAAATTACGAGGGCCGCTTTGCGATCTACAAGTGCAGTCGGAACGATAACGGAGCATCTGAAAAGCCATCGTCGCGGATGAGTCTTGTCCGACATGATGTTCAGCACACCTGTCCAGGACTCAAGAACTACATTGGAGAAGGAGTCTTTCACATAGTTGACAAGTCCAACCCGAATCCCAAGGATGAGCTCTTTGTCGCCTGCAACGGCATCACCATCGAAATCTACAGCACTTTCGAGGACTGGACTTACCAGCGTAGCATCGTCATGGACTCTGCCTTCGCCAGGCAAAACCTACAGTTCGACATGGCGTTTACCATGTTCAACCAGATCCAAGGACGCTATCTTATTACCACCAACGACACGGTCGCGTTCACATTCGATATTATCCTGGGAACTCTGGTGTCCTTCTCAACGAACCTATCAAATGCCCAGGTCACCTTGATGAACTATTTTTCCAGCGTCAGCGCGGATGGAGACTGGGTCGCGATCCCAGGTTATGGACACGTGAATGTCTACCGGACTCAAACCTGGACGTTGCAAGGGTCGTATGTCTTTGACGAGGTGGAGTCAGACGAGAGAGTTACAGAAGTAATGTTCATGGACAGTGGCAGACTACTCTACATCATGGTTGGGTTGATTGCGAATATGTACTGGCAAAGACGACCTGGATACATCTTGGATGTTGCAACAATGTCCGTCGTAGGTCGGGTGGCCCCCACGGGGTGTGATTCAGTGAATTTAGCGCGGCTGGATGGATCGGGCCAGGACCTGATTTGTTCTGGATATACAAAGCGGTGGGGCACGCGCCTTACGGATCTTCGAACTCATCGCTCTCCCACCGGAGATGTCAGTCGTTGCACTGACCGTTGCAACCATCCAGATTCCATCAATTCCGGGGTCGGGGAAGGAACGTCTCCATCTGGACTGCGCCTCAAAGTCCAAAGGACAGATACCTCTATCGGTTCACAGCTCAAGCGCGACAAGAGATCGTCTGTAACTGTGACGATGACGGATACGACTGGCACTCAGATCAAGAAAATGGTCGTCCCCCTGCCTAGAGGATCCACCCTCGAGCAAGCCGCCTTCTTTGCCGATTGTCGATATCTTTTGGTCGTTGCCAAAGGCACATTCATGGCATGGAGTGTTCCAGCAACGGCTGAAGGAGAGTTCCGCCTACAGATGATCCTCCAGGGAGAAGACGACAAGGAATGGACTATTTGCACCCACGGAATCGTTGGTAGGAGTAGCGACGAGGGCGAAGAGGGACGGCATCACGTCGGCCATGTCAGGCAACCGTTTACCGAACCTCTTGCGGCGGAGTTCTTGGTTGGACTGGGAAACATGGTGGCGTTCTACGAGCTCGCAGATGTTGGGTTGAGGCAGGATATTCTCCGCTACTATGGACGGCACATCAACTCTTACCCTGACAAGGCCAAAGAATACTGGAACGTGCTGGGCACTTGTGCCTTTATGTGGAGCCCGGACAATCACCACACGATGTCCCGCTTCATTAAGGACCTTCTGTCCTTTCCCGGAGTGCGCTGGGTTCCGCATTACAGCATGTCCATCGAGCTGAACCCCTTGGCTGCCCTTCTTGATAAAGCCAAAACAGAGCCATTTGCAAATGCCGGTGTTCAGATCATCGTCGACTATTGTCTCCGCCAGGCAAAGGCAGCGCAGGACCCACATTTTCTGTCGCCGATCCTGCAATGTCTTCCCTCCATTGTCGATTCCAAGCAGCTATACTCCGCGATGGCCCGGACCATATATCGAGAGGTGGCGTTCTTTCCCGCTCAAGGTCGCGACTTCATCATCGACAACCACATCCTCATCAACTCGTCGACATTCCGATGGAAATTCTGGCAATCTTACCCATGGGGTCTTCACCAATACAAGGATCAAGTCCTGCAGTTCAACACCCACAAAATCCCCAATCCACCCAAGGGCAATTTCACCCGCGACATTTTCCAGGCATCGTTCGACCTGCTCTGGCACAAATCTGAGGATGCGGGGTCTCAGGATAGCTCTGCAGGATCACAGGGGGCAACCATCGCCAAAGCCTTGTTCTCCTGGCCCCATGCTATTTGGACGATGGTCTTGAGAAAGTGCACGCTGCGCTACAACACGACAATCGAGTGCTATCCTTTCGAGCTCGAAGCACTCGACAACCCTGCACTCATGGCTCTGGTCGAGTACAAATGGTAAATTTCACTTCGTTCTCTTTGATCTCGCTTATTTTCATGCGTTTCTTGAACTACAACAATGTATTGAATCTTTATTTTTCTCTCACGGATTCACGAAGGAACACGATTGGGTTCAAATACTGGTTTATTCGATTCCTTGGTGAAATGTGCTTCTACCTCATGGTTCTGACGGCCATATTTTTTCAGATATATGTGGAGCCGAATCTCGTGGAGGAGAACAATGGCAGGATCGATCTTGGTCTGGAGAGCCTCTTTGTTGCCATCATTGTGGTGGCGTTCATTTTCCTCTGGCTGGAGCTGGTTCAACTTCTGAGGGACAAACGAGACTACATCCGGTAAGTCAGCCAGATATAAGTTCATTGATTTGTGAAAGCATCCGCTGGTAGCACAAAATAGTAGGTAGAACTAACCACCTCTCGCTTTCCATGCCCAACACTCTTTTCTCGTGACCATCTCATAACAGATCCGTCTACAACTGGGTCGACTTGCTCGTGTTTTTATTGCCCCTTGCGGGTGCGATCAACCAGATCTTGATTATCCAGGGCGTGATCGAGTTGGGTCTGAATCCTGGCCTTCTCAGTTTCTCGGTCCTTTTCATCTTCCTTCACTTTGTACGTTATGCCTTGGTTTACCATCACCGACATACTTTGGGGCTCACAAAAACCACACGGATTCTAACCCACCACTCTCTTTTTCTTCGTTATTTATTTTTCTCTTAGTTGTTCGAGCTGCGAGTGTTCAAAGCTGTCTGTCACTTTGTATCGATCATCATCCGTGCCATTCATGCGATCCGCGTCTTCTTTTTCGTCTTCGCCGGAGGTCTTTTGGCCTTCTCTATCGCTATCGTCCATCTCTACCATGTCTGTACTTCCGACGAGTGCTCTTACCTCACGGATGGGTTCTCAAGCAACCTGCTGCGTGCCTTTTCAATGACCTATTTCATGATGGTAAGCACGGTTGATATGTAAATGCTGAACCAGCACAAGTTGTGTGAAGTAATTGAGATGCTAACCAATAAAAAATGGCACTTGTATTTTGTGACCCTGATAGGGGGGCAACTATGACCCGGTCGAAAATGGCTTCTCGGGCAACAACTTTGCATTCCACATGATGATGATTGTGTTCTTCTTCTTCACTGTCATTCTCATGTTGAACGTTCTCATTGGTAAAGATCTTGATTGTGTTGTGCCAGCTCACGTCCCCTTTTTATAGTATCATTTGTTTTTTTTTCTTTCTTGATTTCATCAGCTAACTATTTCCTTCTCTTTCCCGCTGCATAGCTTTGATCAACAATGCAATCGTCGATGGCGACCATACCTGGCGGCTGGACTGGCTGGAGTACCGTATGCGATACGTCGAAAGTGCTGAGAACATGACCTACGGCATCCCAGGTAAGTACTCGCACCCAGAAAAAAAAATATGCGATGGCGAGTCAACGTAATGGGTCTATTTCCCAGTCCTTAACTGACAAATTTATATCTTCGCCCCCCCCTTTTTTTTTTTTACTTCGTCCATAGGTTTCCGTGAGATGGATAACTTTTTCCCCGATAAGATCTACTACACGGGCACACCACAGCAGGTGCGCGATTACGAGAAGAAGACGAAAGAAATCGAGGAGCAGGGTGCACCAGATGCTGACAGTCTGACCAAACAGGTCCCTGAATCTTCTTTTCCCACGACCTCGGATGTTGTTGTCGCTGCGGCTCCAGCCGAGAAATCGGAGCTAGTCCGGATGGCGACTCGTCGTCGTGGTCCAGCGACCGATGCTCAATTGACGCCGTCAGGAGAGACTGACCTGCGGAAGCAATTGGAGTCTGTGCAGGCGACCTCTGAGAAGCACATCGGCGAATTAAAGCTGCAGTTGAAGGAGCAGCAGCAGATGTTGGTCCAGATCTTGGCCAAGCTGGATCGATGAACGAGGGATGGGTGATGGTGTTTTGGAGGACAATGAATAAAAGTAACATATTTAAGATTCGACTGATGAGCTGATAGGAGTTGAGTGACACGGATACGAATGAGTGAGACCTGTGACCTGAACAGTACACAACCAACCAGAAGACGTTTGCTGAGTTGAGGAGGGAGCTTAATTTCGTCAAAGGAGCAGTTACGGCCGGGGGAGGATAGATTCATGGATGTGTAAGCCGTAGACATGTTTATTTACTAAAGGGTCGCGCTTTGTCTAAAATCGGTGTTAGCTGTTCCTTCGCTCCTTCTCATACTCTTTAATCTCTTTCGCCGTCGCTGAGTAGTAAACCACATCCGCTATGATTTCGTGATACAGAGAACGTAAGAATTAGTATGAAGGATCTGCCTGTTGTCGTAGTCGCGCAAAAAGCGACAACCAAAAAAAAACAGAAGGGCATAAAAAAAAGGGAGGGGGGGGGGGGGTATACCTGAAGTCTTGTAGGACATGTTCTCGGCGCTTTCGACAGTCTGGAGTCGATGCCTGAACCACTCTTGCTTCCACTCGTCCTGACCCCCTTTCTTTGACGCATCCTGAATCATAACTATGTAGTTTGACAATAGCAAGTCATTGCTATGATGCGTTAAAAACCAATGATGAGATCCACGATCGCGTTTCCATCTTCCTTGTCCCGCTTCTGTGGTATCAAGTAGGAGGAAACAAACTTACCGATAGCCATGTTGATGAACATGATGACATTGAACAAGAAGAACGTTAAAGCCAGGAAAAAGTTTGCCCAATGGTCGGTATAGAACAACCCACCGCCATCCCATCCACTCCGTCCGCTCTACACATCAATTATATAGCAAAAAGAAAAAAAGAAACGCGTGTTAGCAGACAAAAGATCCTGGTAGGAACATATATTCTTCCGCGACACAGCACATGATGGATCATTTGTTACCAGTTGAGTTCCAGACACGGCTGCAAAGAAATCGGATGGCGTGTAACTCATGAAGGAGGAGGGATTCTGACAAGACGCAGAGTCAGGACAAGCGGGGATCATGTGCATAAACGCCATGACGAAACCCAACACGCCCAGGATGTAAACGCACAGGAATGCAGCGATGGATTCGATCCCGCGGGTGGTGGACCAGACCACTCGGGCTACGGGTTTGAAAACTCGTAGTTCGAATAGCTATTATGGGATTGAAGGGTAAGTGATTGGGTTAATAAGGCTGACAGCGCAAACGGGGAGTTGCTTGCACGGGGAAGGGAGGAAGAAACGATTGAAATGTGCAAAGCAAACAACTAACTTACAAAGTGGAGGAGGACAATGAGGACAGAAAAACTTAAGAACCCAGAGTTCTGTCCCGGAGGGGTCAGGACGCCCATCAGTGCGCACAGTTGGTTAAGACTTCCCGCAAACGGCAACACCAGAACCAACAAGTCTGCGACATTGAACACCGATCTAGAATTGTCCCACAAAAAAAACAGTTAGCATCTCGACTAGATGAGCTCAGACCTTATACAAGAAAACAAAGAGTCGAAAATACACTTACCGAAAGTAGGAGAACAAGCCCTCTCGGAACATCTGGACGACTTCAACGCACAGAAAGACGGCGAACGAGGTGATCGAGATGTCAATGAACACCCCGATCCAGTTGTAGACTACAAGGCCCTCGGCGCCGACTTTGCTCTTGCCATAGATCTGTAGTGCCACTGCTAAGAGTACAAGAATGTAGTAGCAGCATCGGGCCATGAACTGCCTTCTCCAATATGCGAACCCTACTACACCCCTAACGAAAACAAGGATAAATAAATATGGCTGAAGTAAGTAATGAGTACAACTTGCGACAACCTCTCCAACAAAAAACAGCATATGCTTACCATTTGTACTCGGCCAGAGCCACAAGGGCGGGGTTGCTACACTCCAGGTATGCAGAAGGATAACACCGGACAGTGTCCTTTCTCAACAACTTGAAGTTGTGCGCAATCATCCTCCACAGCACACCCAACCACGAAAAGATCATCTTCCCATTGCCGCTGCTGCCTTGCCCGCCACCGCCACCGCCACCGCCACCAGTCACCGCTGATCCAGAATCAATCTTGTACCAGAGCATATCACTCGACGCATAGTATAGGTCCTTCGAGAATTTATCTTTCCTGAGACCTAATCCTGCCCGCGTCCCGGCCCATTGCAGCTCCTGCTCCTGATCTGAAGGGCCGATAGGTAACCGCACTGGGCGTACTGGGAGGTACGCGAATCCTCTGTACAACTGCGCTACGAACTCCTCCATGCCCAGAGGCTGCTCCTTGTCCACGACCATCAGTTCTTGAAGACTCCGGAGAATCGGCACCAAGAAATAATGGTCCTTCTCGATCCTAGCCCTTTGAAGCAAGTACTCGCCTAGAACTTGCGCCACTTCCATTGCTTGGGATTCCGTTCTGGCCTTGTTGATCATGCACAGGATTGGATTCCCTTCACCTTCTTCCTGGCCATGGACGACGGTATGAGGTCTCGGGACCCACCGGACCGAAGGGTGAGTGTTCTCGAGCAGCAAGGCACGTAGGAACAAGACTATTGCCGAGTGTTTTGTGGGAGTCCAGTTCTCGCAGATGTGTGGAACGATGCTGCTACCGAGGTGATAGTCGGAGAGCTGGCAATTGATGTACTTCCCGACGTAGCGGAGAATATCCTGTCGTAGAGCGTCGTGGTCGTCGTCGACAGCGGTAATAGTGGCGAGTTCAAAGATTTCGACGAGGTTAATAACACCGCTCAGGAAAATGCAAGGGTTGCCTTCTTTAATGGGGTCGAATATGGACCGATCGTAGATCAAGCAGTCGTCCTTGTCCTGTTTGCCGCCGCCGTTGTTACTGATGCCGTTGTTTTTGTCGTCAGAGGCTTTCCACCCATAGAGCTGGCTATGCGGACAAATTTTCCACGTGGTATCACTCTCACCATGCTGAGCCCACCGTAGAATAAACCCTCCTCGTGCAGACTTCGGCGTGCTCCAGACCATGATCCACTTGTTCAGAACAATCAATAGATACGAACATCCATCCTTGCCGCCCACAAACCTCGCGCTGCGGAAGACCGCTTCTCTCGGAAGAGGTGTCGACATCCTCTGAATGAGAAGACCATTGCTGTCACGAGCTTCCACGGCGATAAAGGGCAGCGTCTCGCGGCGTCCGTTGATGACGATTGGTTTCATGATCGCCTCGGCCCTGAACGTCATTCCTGCTGCTGGCAAGAACACCTCCTTCCTCCCGGCAGAGTTCTTGAATGACGAGACTAACGTGCAGGATGCGTCGCAAAGATCCCGCAACTTGGTTGGCGATTGGATGATCCGGTTCTGAAGGTCAAACAAGGACACTTGAGAGCTCCCGATGCAATAGACCTGTGGGTTCGTCCAACTGCCACCCATCTTGAACGAGAATACATCCGATCCTTGTGACACGAAACGCTCCACCACCGCCATCGTCTCAGTGTTGATTATGTAACCCTTGTTCTTGCGATAGAATGGAACCTCCTCCGAGTCCGAGCCAACGCCAACACCGACGACGATCTGGGTATCGTTTCGAATAAAATGAACATCACCAATGGCCTCCGTGAGCTCCATGCTGTCAAAAGCGCGTGTGCCAGCCAAGGTCCAAGTCGCCGTCCAGAAGAGATCGATGTGTTGTCGTCCAGGAATCACAATCAGCTGCCCGTTTGAAGACATGGCAGAAATCCTGCTGATGTTATATTTTTGTTCGGGTGTGAGACCTGTGAAAGACGAGACACGGACACCTTGCTCGACATCCCATGTGCTGACCATTTGGTCTGCACCAGGCTCTTCGACGACGAAGTAACGTCCACGGAGCTGCTTGGACAGGGCCGAGTAGACGTTGTGGATGAACTGTGGTCGGTTCCGGGCGGGATTCATGAGGATCGATCGGACATGAGTCCACTGTTCATAAACGCTGTAGATCTCGACCGAGACACCGTCGCAAGTGATAAACATCTCATCTCTGATATCCTGACCCATGGCCGCAATAATGTGAAACTGAGCCCTCCCGTGAAAATCCTCGAGTCCTGCGGTGGCGCGTATCCTCTCAGGATAATGCCTCACAAGCCCAGATCCTGCAACAGCTCCTTCTGCCGCCTCAATCTGATTAATGTCGCACCTGTAAAAAGTACTGGTGGTCCTGTAGTTCTTCCTTTCATCTGGGGAGAGGCTCAACGGCTCCAAGTCCAGAACCACAAGCTGCGATCCATCCAAAGACAGTACCAACTCCAAGTTCCACGTCTTCATCGTCGCAGGAAACTGCATCCACGCCACCAGCGGCGACCCAGACCCCTCTTTCTCCTCCTTCAAGGATACAGCTTTCTCCGGCGTCGATGGTGATACTGCAGTTAGATCGCGGAAGTTCCAGAGCTGCAATGAAAATGTTGTCTCGCCCTCTTTCCGTCCAGCGGTGGTTGCGACAACGACATGTGAGCCATCCTTCGACACACAGTAGTCGCTGATGATTTGCGGGTACTCCGCCGTGGTCGAGTCCAGGAACTTGTATCCTGTCCTGTTGATATCGACACAGTGAATGAACGGTTGATGCTCCCTGTACCTCGGATCTAGATAGTGATGAAAAGCAAGATATTAGATACATTCGCAATTTCGTCCGCAATTGTGACAGCGCACGATACAGTAAGTTAGTCATGTTCTACCCTTGGAATAATAGTCTCGCGCGCCGGTCATGATCTCCACGAAATGCAGCCCAAACGATCCATATTCTGTTGACGACGAAGCACCACCGACACTAACGCATTCGTCATCGGCATCGTCATGGTCATCGCCGTAATGACTCGCACCAAGATCCCGGGTCTTGACCTCTATGGCCACCTCCAATGCCGATTCCGACAGAAACACCTTCTTATGCAACCTCCACTTCCAAACTTCACTATTGCCCTCCTCCGGCTCCTCCTTCCCTGCAAGGTCCGCGTTCTCGCTATCATATTGTAAAGCAAGCACCCTCCTGGATAGCCGTACAAGTTCCTTTGATGTTATGACCTAATTGGCCAGCATGAACGATGGGTATTAGCAAACAGCCACTAATTATATATTCCTTAAGGCATATCCTTCTTATAATCCCCCTTCCTTATTTACCTCTGATTGTACATTCTTGGCGCCAGTGACTCGGTTGTATGTGACGATAATAGCCTCGACGGTGTTAAGGTTCAGGTCCCGAGTCGACACGCCCAGAACTATGTCGTAATGTGTCTCCCGTGCTGTGCTTTTCGGTATCGTGAACTATGACAACGTGTACAGAGGAGAAAGGAAGGTAAGCGAGAGGGAAGACAAAGTTCGTTTTTGTATAATTGCATTTCTATGCTCTTGCATTTACTTTGGTGTACTTGGTTGCAGCATGGATAAGGATTGTAGGTTGGATCCTGTCGTTGAACAAAGAGAGAGTGTATGTGAGAATGCATGGTTATGTGTCACAGGTATGGTGTGTGTTGAGTATACATGTCCGCTTGATTGCTTTATCACTTACTCTTCTTGTTCTACTACGGCGAGAACGAGCTCTCTACGATCGACGTGGCCCTCCTCCTCCAGCACCTCCTCTTCCTCCTGGTCGTCAGCAATGCGTCCACCCCGTCTGAAGTACCATCTCGTTCCTGAATTAACAAACATTGTTAAAAAAAATTAATTAGTGATATGCACGTTGATCAATGGTCGAATGGAACAAAAATTATCAATATCAGGAACGGGACATTACGAGCTCCGTTGTTGTTGCTGCTGCTGGTGAGTTTGTCGAGGTTGCTGATTGGAGGTTCTGTCCTTAACTGCGGCGGTTGCTGTGAGGGTATCGGTGCCAAGTCATCGAGGATTACAATAACATGTTCCGACATGGGTGCAATGAGAGATGCGAGCGAGGAAGGAGATCACGGTGATGTAGCAAAAGAACGCGAATCAGGATGAAGAGCCAAATCTCGTTGATGTCGGGGGAGTGTCAAAAAAATAAGCGCTTTTTAGCTCATCGCCTCGCCGCCGTCGTTGTCTTCGAGAGACGCCGTCCGTCCGTCGTGGCGAGTGGGAAATGGAGGCTTTCGGGACTCTAACCAGTGAACGTGCGCTGCGAGTGGGGAAGACAGAAAGGAAAAAAAGAAGAGCGACTCACTGTAGAGTACCTGCCATTCCTCCTCCGAGGGAGTTTTTCTACTTCTCGAGGGAGTTTTTCTACTTCTCGAGGTCAATCGTAGATATAGACGTTGTTGTTTGTTTGGAAATGAGAGTAATAAACCAGATCAGAAAAAATTAAAGGTGCCTAGCGGACGAAAGGAACGAGGATTATTGCGTTCTTGTGTGGTGTTTTGGGTCACTATGATTGGGCGCTAAATGTAATCGTGTGAGAGCGTGCGCAAGGATTTGAGAAGAACAAAAGACATTCGAGACTGGAGATTGAAGATTCTTTCCCGCATGATGTACGAAATCGGCAGATGAATCAGCGCACAGGATCTCGACGGGTGAAGGTCGATGCTTTTGCAAGACAGGGGTGAACAAGACTAGACAGCAAGAAGCATGAGAAGTAGTCACCAACTAGGCATTGGTCGTGCTGGTATGTCTAGGACGATAACCGGGTTGTGTGCAATGGAAAAAGAAAAAAGAAAAAGGGTGGGAAATATTTGCTCGTGCGATCGCATTTGCCTGGGAAAGAGTACAAATTATTCTTCATAGACTTCGCACTCGTCTTTCCTTCGCTGCTCACCCAACAATCAAAATGCCCTTTTTGTTGCCCTCTCTCGTGCTTCCGCCATTCATTAGTGCTCTCGACACAGACACACGCACATTCGACGCATTGGTCCTTCTTTTATCCATTCCCCGTCGATTCGTCTTCTTTCGCTCTCCTTCTCTTCCTTCTGTTTTCACACAGACATTTAGACACACTTCCCACCCCTCTCTTCTCTTTCACATTCGATATCCTTTTCCTCCTTCTCTCAGTTCACCCACATACACACACCCACTCTAACGATCAACGATACCCACCATACCTCATCAACACCATTAATCAACATATACCTCCACTACAAAGATGCCGATGCTACTTGTGGCTATTCCTCTGCAGAAGTCATGGCTCGGTCTATCCTACTGGAGAACGCCATCCATCATGGAGCTACCCGTCGAACTAGAGGTAGCTACACCTCTTTCTCCCTCCCCTTCAGCCTCCTCTCATTCTTGCACACCTCCAACTAAATACCCTTTTCAAAGGCTCGCACACTCAACGACAAAGGACCGACTGCCTCCTCAACTTCTTCCGTTGCATGAACAACTTAACTGTTCGCATGGCAGCTGTTCAGGTCATGGCCGAATGAGCAAGCAACAGTGAATAGTAGACAATGAACCAAGGGTGACAAAAAGAGGAGCGAAGACTCTCGGTCCCCTCTTCAGGATAAACATCATTCTCCCATTCCACCCCTTGATGTCATATTCCCTCAAAGGAGGAAGCAAGTTGAAAGATGGCACATGCACCCAACGGTCTTTTTAGTATCTTTCTTGCTTCCCCTTCTTCCTTGCCCCCCTTTATTTACTACTGCCAGAACTCGATACAATTGTGTTCCGTGCCTTGTGCTTGTGGACAGGGTCTGTCCTTTCCAGGGAACAATGCCTAAAGGAACAAGAGACACAACTCTCACACTCACCACATCTCCAGAGCTCTCTTGTCCAATGCAATCGTCAACCCCAGAATCTCAAACCCATCCCTCACCTTGACTAACGCCCATCTTTCCTTACCGCCAAATATGAACCGCATCCCATAGTACATACCCTACGAGGAATTCGAGGAAAGGTTCTCGAGACTGAACCAGATAGCGAGGCCCACCTACCCAACCATCTGGCCCAATATCCTAATGGTCTTTATCTTTGGTGCCCTGATCGTAACTGCTGCCGTAGGAATGGCTCGTAACCAGTCTGGACTGGCTGTGATGGGACAAGTCGCCTGTTTTGTGATCCCTATCCTTGCCATTCTCTGGATCCGGGTTCGTAAAGAAGGCAAAGCCCGCGCACGGAAGCAGGTATGGAAGGAGGAAGAGGGGGTTGTCACTTGTGATGTTGATGTGCGAAGAGATGAACCTTCATGACTGATTATCGGATCTGACACACGCAATCATCTTTATTCACGATTTGAACCCTTTTTCTCTTTTCATTTCTTTTCTCCTATTCCTCTCTTTCTTTCTTTCCTTCCTTCCTTCCCTCTCACACCAATTGAAACTCTCCTAACCCTTCAACCTCATCTGAAAACAGTTCAAGAGAAGGTCGATAAAGTTACTCCGGGAATGGACAGAACAGGACACAACAGCATTCGCAATCCAGTGGAAGCTGCGCTTGCGAGTGTGGAACGATGTCCGCCGCAGACGGGCTGCTGCGGTTGCTGCTGCGGGGTCAGATCATACTCAGGAACAGGAACAGGACCAGGACCAGGAGGTTGATGATATGCAGGAACAACTACCAGCGCAGCAACAGAGTGTTCCTATTCACATCGAATCCGTAGACGGCAACAACAATGACACAGATACCCAGACAACAACGACGATTCAACGCCCACCACGCGTCGCAGACGTCTATGCAGCACTACGACTTCCTACACCCCCCAACTATATCAGCTCCGACACCGACGATACTCCCACACTCTCTACACCCTCACTCACATCGACGACTACGCCATCCCGCCGTCGTATGAGAACACCACCATCACAACAAACACCGCAACAGCAACAACAAGAACCAAGCAGCACTCAATCGACCTCCGACTCACCGCACACACTATTGGAGACTAGCCGGCGGTCTTGGATTGAACAACTACGAGATCTTTCTTCTCGCTTACTGTTCACAGAGACGCGGGTGTGGATGATCGAAATTTCGAGGAGGGATGGCGTCATGGACGAGTATGCGTTGGCGGTGCCTAGTCCTGTTTATTGTGGGTACCGATTACCGGGGTATGAGGATGTTTTGTTATCTCAGCAGTTGCAGCAACAGGATCAGGCACAGTATGCTAGGGGAGGGACGGGTGGAGATGCGGTGGCTATTATCAGCGGAGTACGACTGTCGCCTTCAACCACTGCTGTGAATAGTGTATCACAGCAACAGCAGAGTCGGTATGGAGGACCGCCTCCTGCGTACTTTAGTGACTCGGAGGATGAAGATGAGGAGGATGACGACGATGAGGAGGAAAGAGTGCAGAGCGGTACTATTACTCCTGCGGCTGGTGATAGTAGTAGTGGCAATGGAGGTATCAGCGGCCCGGTAGAATTGTCAACAGGAGGAGTGACAACGAGTGGCACACTTCAACACCAACGACCTATAGAGATGACTACTGTTACTCTATCATCCGGTCCCACCATTCCTTCTGCTGCACCCAATGCACGGATAGGAGGCCACCTAGGTCGACTCGGAAACCATCATCGCCAACAGCAAGGATCGACAATGAGTGGGAGCACGATGACAATGTCGTCGACCTGTTCTGCGGCGACCTCTCGGACGACTCTTGCCTTGACCCTCGCCGACAGGGACAGGGACGGCGACGAGGATGATGTGGGAGATGAGGATGTCATTTCTTCGACAAACAAAGAAGGAACCAAATAAACATCACCCTATTTAACTCATCATGGCGCGCAAGAGTGCTGTTGTTGTTTTTGCAAACATGTTTATTGTTCATCAATTCCTCTTGTTGTAGGGTCGTTTTCTGTTCCCTATCTCCTTTTCATTCCTTCTGTTTGTAATATGCTCCCCATGTGTTCAGCTGTTTGCAACAAGTAACGAAGAAGTAACTTTCAGATATCACACGACAAAAACAGATGCATTGCCCAATCAAATTACTCTGAAAAATCTTCTCGCTCACTTTCCAACAGTTTTTTACACCCATCTCACCCGGCTGTCTGTGTGTTACCCTCATGATACCTACTTGAAGAATAAATGTAAATGGTGCAGGATGGCGACAGTATTCTAAGAAAGGGCAACTTGTCAAATCCAGTAGAAAAAAAACTAGCAAGGGGAATGTGGTATCGCATAGCCGGCTTGTTTGCCTTTCTCACCCCCTTATTGTTACCTCCCATTCCTTTCTTCTTTTCCCCAAAAGAACAAAGATTTAACGGGGATAGGGGGAGAAAAACTTTCGGTGGTGTATGCTTGTAAGCAAGAAGACAGGTGCAGCTCAAGCAAGAGAGTGGACAAGACAGGGCATCCGTTTCGATGAGAAGATTGGTGATGGAGGAAGAGACGAGTGAGAAGGTGAAGGCGGTAAGGAGATGATCCAATGGTTTAGGTGTGGGTATGAATGTGTATGTGTGTGTTAGAGGAAAGAGGACGAAGGGGAGGATGAGGAAAAGAGATCGAAAGTTGGAGACAGAAAAGTGAGTGAGAGAGGGAGGGTAAGAAGAAAGAAGGTTTTGACTTGCGATGACTCGACATGAGATACTCAGATTCATCGTTTTAGTTCCAGCAGAAGTAAGAGGCAGAGAGGGAAGAGGGCTCTCTTTCTAACAGAGCACAGATGGACGACAGAGGAAGGGCCTTTGAATAGGAGAGAAGAACAGGGCTGTGAAAGAAGAGAACGTGAAAGGCGACCCCATTCGCCCATCAATCTCATGGCCATGGGTTTATTGCTTATCTTGACTTGACCCCTCAGGACGTATAAATACTCTCTCTACCACCCCATCCTCGCCCTTTTTTATCTTCACTCTTCACTCTTTTCTTTATACCGTTTTTCCCCGTCTGCTCAGCAATTTGTTCATAGTCCTTCTTTCTCCTCTTTTTCGCCGCTGAACCCACTCTCACCCCAGACAACAACAGGAACTCTTTTGTTTATTCCTCTTCTTTTTGATCTCTCTTTTTTCTCTTGTATATAACTCATTCATCGTTTTCGAGATCACCCCTTCATTCTCTTTTCTCACTTGTCTCCCCTTTTCATTCTCCTTCAACAACATCAAAAACTGCAACACACACACACACACACACACACACACTAACCGATGGTTGCACACACAGTCCTCTACTGGCTAGCAAGCCAAGGAGCCACCTCCACCACCGCTTCTACAGTCGCAGCCACAGTCGCAGAAGAGGCCGCCGTCCCTCTCAAAATATACCTCTCCAACATTGCCGGTTCCTTATCCATTCTCTGCTGGTTTATCGTCTTCACTCCGTAAGTTATTGTTCCTCTTTGTTTTGTAAACAGCAACGCTCATTCACCTCACCAAAAAAAAAGTGAGTGAGCGATCTCGAGGATTATTTTTTGCCACCAACTCAATACAAAAAACTACTGGCGAACAGAGCAGGAGCGAGTGAGAAAAAATTTGACTTCACCGACAAGCGATATCTACCAGCACAAGAAACAGGGGAACATGGAGGAGGGAGCATAGGCGGGACAGATGTCGAGGGAAAGGAGATGGAGATGGGATAACAGTAATAGTAACAGCAACAACTATGGAAAGAGAGGGAGTGACTCAAAAGGAGACAGAAGAGATAATGATGCGAGGAGGGAGTGAGAGCAAACAAAACGGGAAGATCGCATGCAAGAATGTATTGGCGAGAAAGAGTATGTGTGTGGCGATGTATGCCCAGTTCCATCTCCAGCTGCATACATGCAAAGGAGGAAGGGACAAATCAGGCGCACAACATGATAGAAAACTATAACATGCAGGCATACCTTTTCTTCATGTTGTTGTCGTTTGATTACACAACAACTCGAGGAAACAGGCAGGTGTTTACTCCACGGAGGATAACTAAATACGACGGCCATTCGAAACTAACACAACAAGGACAATTTGGACACAAAAACATGGATATACGAAACCGCCGGTTGGTGGGAGATACTGAATCAGATGATACTTCAAACACACCTCACATGAACAAATTCATCAACAAAGAGCAATGTTCAAAGGAAGGAAAGGAACACGACAAGGAACAACAGGGACAGTGCCGACAAGGATACCTGCCTTACATGGAACACAAGTGGGCACTGACTTGAAACTAAGAAACAAAGAACAAAAACACAAGGAAAGAGCGGGGGCGAGTCTGTCAGCAAAAAAGGAGGGAAACCTTGTTGGTGGTGCGGAGTACTTCTAAACCGCACAATGAGTCCAGTGGCGTATCTCTCTGCTTTCTCTTCTCACTCTTCGTGTGTGTGTTTGCTCAACCCAGGAACGAACGGCGTCGTTGTTGCTGTTGTTGTTGTTGGCTACAAAGACTAGTCCAATGAGTGTCATGAGTTCGCAACTCTAATATCACCGTGCATCGCGTTCGCTCTAACGTGTACCTTTACTCATGTTTTTTTTCTTTCTCACGCCTACCTTTTAGTCAATTCTGGATCAACTACAAGCGTCAGTCAGGAGAGTCCTTGTCGCTCGTCTTTCTCTACATCTGGCTTGCCGGTGATATCATGAACCTGATCGGCGCAACCATGGAAAACCTGCTCCTCACCATGGTAAGCATCCCTTACGAAACCTGCCGTTCCTGTTATTGTTGTTTTATTGTACCACCAACAAAAAGTTTTCCTCCTTGCTTCTCGCGCTCTCTGAGCAATCTTTGCTAATCTCCTCTTTGGTCTCTTCCTTCTCACTTTTTATCTGATTAGCGTGTCCTTGCGTGGTACTACACCATTGCTGATGTAAGTCCTCTGGCGCCATCATCAAGCGTACCTTTTCTTCTCTCCTCTACTGTTTGTTGGGGGCATGCACGTTATTTTTGTGCGCCTATATGTACGCAGTACACCAGTGTCCCTAACCCCTTCTCCTCGTCTCTATGGAACATCCATCCTTATTATAGGTTGCTTTGATTGCCCAGATCTTTTATTACCGAAAGAACTCGGTCAAGGCGAGCTTCGAGTCCGTCATCACCCACGCCAACCCCGACGCCCTCCACAGTGCTGCTGCTCACGGCGAGCACGCCCCCCTCATTGCAGGTTCGACGGCCCACAACTACTCGAGTATTGCCCCCTCTGAGCACGTCCACGAGAATGAGCACGACCGTGTGATCCACCAGGCTGCCATGGTTGCCAATGCCACCGCTGCCACGGGACACTACAACGACGATCACCACCCTATTGCTTCTGGACTCCCCACAACTGCCGAATACCACGGCCAACGTCAACGTCGCCCCTCTGCTCACTCTGCCTTGACTTCGGGTTCTGGACGGTATCGATCCAAGAAGGCCAAGCGCCAGCAGATGATTCGTCGGGTGGTAATGATTGTCTTCCCCATTGTATTGGCTTCATTCTTTATCTGGGCTTACTACGACTGGCTCCAGTGCACCATTGGCGAGGATACCGAGGAGGGCTCTCGTTGCGGACGCGGAAACGGTGGTGGACATGGCAAGCTCCCTCCCTCGCCCAAGCCCCCATCCTCGGATGACGACTCTATTCTCTCGGTGATGAACAAGGGCGACGGCTCTGAAGAAGAAGACAAGACGGGATTCATGCAAGTCTGGATGCCATTAATCCTTGGCTGGGGCAGTGCTATCCTTTACCTGGGTTCTCGCCTCCCTCAGATCTACAAGAACTGGCGCCTCAAGTCCTGTGAGGGTCTGTCGATCATGATGTTCTTGTTCTCAGTCTTTGGCAACGTCTTTTACGTCGCCTCGATCTTTTTGAACTCGCTCGAAATTGACTACTTGATCAAGAACATGCCCTGGTGGTTGGGTTCTGGTGGAACCTTGGTCTTTGATTTCACAATCTTTTTCCAGTTCTATATTTACCGGAATAACAACCCCCTGGCCGAAGCGTTGAAGGAGGCGGCCGAGTCGGGCGAGTTGGACCAGAATGCGCTTTTTGCTACTGCTGAGGATGATGGGTCTTCGTCGATCAGTTCGAGCGAAGGGGAAGATGAGATGTCGACGACTGAGACGTTGATTCCTCAGCACAAGAAGTCCAAGTCCCAGCAGCACCTTGCTTCCGGCTCCTCCAACGTGTAATGACTCTTCTTTTTTTTCGTTCGTCTTTTTCTTGCACTGTACCCTCTTTCTTTTTTACTTTTGTGGCCGCTGCACAAAAGTTGTACAATAGTGTTTTCCCTTTGTTCTCTTGTACTCTTACTAGAAACGAATAAAACAAACATTCCCCTTCAACAAACATAACAAAAACAAACAGGCATTTGCACGCTTGAACGAGTGTCAATTAACAATATGGGTGTAATGTATTCAAAATAGTATGATAATGTGCGAAGAGGGGGTAGATACAAGTTACATGGACTAGATTAAGAAAAAAAAGAACACAACAAAAAGAGCTCAAGGCATGTCAAGACGGACATCACTACGTGGTACTCCACCACCAAAATCATTCCTCAAAGTGCTCGTCCCACTAATCGTCGCAGCCGGGACGGGAGTCTCGATCCTAGGCGGCATCGACGCATCACCCCTCAATAGCGAAATCTCGCTCGTCCCCGAAGGACCTGGGGACCCATTGTTGGCAGACCCTGGGGATCCACCTCCACCGTTTCCTCCGATACCGATACCGATACCACCAAGGAGGCCACCGCGGGAGGAGGTGTCGATGTTCATATTCCCGACCCCTACACCGGTATTATTGTTGTTGATCATACCGCGGTCGCGTTCTGTGCCGCCCATGACGTCGCCCATGGATCCTGTTGTTGTTACTACTGTTGTCTCCTCATGGTATTTGATGTTCTATTACGATATACGGTAGGATAGTGGACAGGAGAGAGAGAGAGATAGGTTAATTTTTGCTCAACTTTTTTTTTTTTTTTTTTTTTTTTTGGCAAGCGCGCACATACGCGAGCGAGAATAACAACAAAAGAAAAAAGAAAAGAGAGAGAGAGATAAACATACCTTCCAGAAAGAGGTCCACTCCTTTTCTTCCTCCTCGGGCTTCAAGTACTTCAGCTTGAACTTGAACGTCCCAGTCTTCTCAAACCGCAGAATGCGTCCAAAGATACGCATTCGTGTCACTTCTCCTCCAACCTTGGGCAGCAACCGATCCTTGACCGTCGAGCGGACAAACAAGAGGACCAAAAACCCAGACGCCGCACAGGCACTAAGCCAATAAAAGTTGGCGTTGTAGACCTCGGGTGATGCGGCAGTGTAGCCCCGGACACGGATGAGGTGGTTATAGATGAGTGTGAAGAGGATACCACCTCCGACACCGGCGATACTCCAAGCCGTGAGGAGGATTCCATGGAGTCCCGAGATATTGTTGACGCCAAAGAGGTCGTGGATGAAAGCCGGGATGGTTCCGAAGCCGCCTCCGTAGGCACAGGTCAATGTCCAGATCGCCAACAGGAACGCCCAATAGTTCTTTGTCAAAAAGATCAACGGCAAGACAGCCAGGATAACAACTTGAGTTCCCAACATGACCAAATAACTCGGCTTGCGTCCAATAACATCCGACAATGACGAGAACATTAGTCTTCCCACAAAGTTGAATCCACCATTGATCGCCACAACCGTGGCAGCAGTATCGGCCGACTTATCAAACACATTAATACACATATCTGCCAGACGCGAAAGGATGACCAAGCCCGACACCAGATTCGCCAGGAACATCAAGTACATCCCCAGGTACTCATACGTCGTCAAGGCCTCCTTCAACGTCAAATCAATCGCCGGCTCAAACACAATCCGATTCTGCGCAACTCCATGTCCTGGACCTCCATACGCATTCCCTCCAATACTCCCACCACCACCCAACCCGGGGATCTTCCCATCCCCCACCGTGCCTCCCAAGGGCGGGATCGACTTTTCAGCCTCATGGCCCGACGAGTACTTCAACTGTTTGCGCGTAATAAACAGGGTCCCGTTCCTATAAATAGGCCCACGGATCCTGTTACGTTCGGGTGGTGGGAAACGGAAGACGACGGCGCAGAACATGAGAATGACCCAGTAGACTGCCCCGATGACGACAAATGTCTTGGTGAGCCCAATGGCGCTGATGAGGGGGAGGGGGATCTTTGCACAGATCAATCCTCCAATTCCGAATCCTATTAGGATGGTTGTGATAAAGGTGAAGAAGAGGAGGGAAGTTGAGAGGGGTTAGTATGTATGTGTGTGTGTGTGTGTGTGCGTTTAGATGCCATAGAAGGAGAGTGTGATGCAAGGACAGGGAAAAGAAGGGGCGTGCTTACCACAGACAGAGAGACCTGCTCCAAATCCTTTACGTTCCGGGAACCATTTCTGCAACGCCGAGATAGGACTAACAAGTAGATAATCAAAATATGTGAAAGCCATACGTTAGCAGGCTAGCAGGGGCAAGGTGAGAGGAGCCATGACGTGTGACTAGTGTAACAATGCAGCGGACTAAGAAAAAATAGTAAGATAGCATTGACATAGCGACGCATTGGATAATTACACAAACGTTCTGATGTGGTGTAAATGTGCGTGTGTGGATTGCTTACCTGATGTAGCAGAGTCCAAGACCAAGACCTGAAACGACTCCGTATCCAAAAAAGACCAAAGACATGGACTAGTGGTCAACAATGAGCGATAATAGATGTGGTGGGAGAGCGTATATGCATGCATGCATGAACGGTTATTAGTTGGAACCACGCAAAAACAAAAACGGTAGAAAAAACACAGACAGAGATACGAGCATAGGGGCGATAGAGGGAAACACAGCGAGAAGGAAAGCAAGAGAGTATACACCATCCACTTTCCTCTTCATCTCCTCTTCCCTCTCCTTTTCGCAACTGTTCAAAGGGACCATCTGCATGATCGCGAAAAAGAGCTGTTGTCCGTGTGTCCGTCTGTCCTGCCCGTCAAGAAAGGGGTTCAAACGAAAATGAACCCCTAGGGACAGTGTATCTGCAAACTATACCTTGAGGTGGATGCCAAGGGCCGCGATCCAGTGTCCAATGCAGAAGAGAGTTCCTCCTATGATGGCAGCCTTCTTAGGTCCGTGCCGTTCCAGCCAGGGACCAAGCAAGGAAGCAGCCAGTCCGAGGCATCCAATGTTAATGTAGAACGTGATTGGTGCTACTTTCTATTTTGTTTATTGTGGGATGTGGTTCATGTGTGTGTAACAGGGAGGTGCTGTTAGATGGGCATTGTTGAAAGTGAAGGGAGAGTTTAATGCGTGAAGAGGTATCGAGTTGGTAGGAGAGAAGGAAAGGCAGGAAAATTTTCAAGGAGGTGGAGAGATGGAAGTGTGTGTGTTGTTGTGATGTTGTGTGTAGAAGAAAGTGAGGGGGGATGGACATAGGGGAAAGAAGAACCGCGAGAAACGATTGGAGAAAAAAAGGAGAAGGGGCAGAAGTGAAGGGAGAGGAAGGCAACTATAGTAACAAAAGCCAAACGCGAATGAGTAAAAAAAAAGGAGGAACCCAGAAAACAAATGTATATATGTTTGCTGCTGGATGGGGATGAAGGGGTTAAGTAGGAGAAGAAGGAACTGTTGAACAAGAATAACAAAGAGAGAGAAAAAAGAAGAGGGATGGGCAAAAAGTATAATAGCAAACAAAGTTGCAAGGTGTGGTCCTAATTGGACGACCATGGCAAAATCGTGTGCTTTGCTTCTGGCTCCTTATATCGACCTCCACTCAGAATAACCTTGTCTTCATTACGCTCTTACTCGCACAATGGATGTCAAAGAAACAGAACAGCAAAGGCAACGCCAAGGATTACCTGATCGGAACCGTAGATGGCAAAGTCGATGGGGAGGTTGAAGACGGACCAGGCATAGACAGATCCGCAGATGGCCTGGAAGACCATGGCAGCGGGGGCAATGTACCATCGCTTGAACGGTTTTCCCATTATTGTCCTGTCATTTTGGATTGATTGCGGTGTTCCATTGTACTTTGTCTCGCCATAGTAGTTCTGGATCTTGCCCCACAGGTAGCTATCCTCCATGCTTGTGTAGTTTTTGCTGGAGGTTGAAGGTCGTGTTAATGGGTTAGATAGGAGGAACAAAAGAAGGGAGATGTGTTCAACTCTGAGGTGTCAAGAGATGAGTGTGACTCAAGACAAGGAAGAAGGGAGGAAGAGGCAGGTATGACGAAGCGGGGCGAATGGGTAGTGATTCGTTGTGAATGGACAAATGAAAGGAAAAGAGAAAAGAATGGAAATAGGGACGAAAAAGAGAAAAGGAAGGAAAGAAGAAGAAAGAAGGACGGAGAGATAAAGAAATTAATGAAGGGAGTGAACTATATAGGAAAAAGGTAGCCGGTTGTAGAAAGAGAAAATGAAGTGAGGATTATAAGGAGAAGGGGATGGGGCGGAAGTGGAAGGGATAAAGGAGGATGGTGGCAGGACGACAACAATAATGGCGCGAAAGAGGGTAGGGTAACTATCATAGCAAAAGTGAGTAGAAAAGACAAAGGAAACCTGGTGGTTAGATATTGAATGCATGAATGAACTATGAATGAATGAAGAAAAAGGGTGTTATCGCAGAACACGCACGATACAGATGCTATTATTGCTATGGAACAAAAGTAAACGTAAAAGATGATCGTGTTCTTCTTTCTTGAAGCTCTTTCTCTTTGTGTCCAATGCTAATTAACCAACATATTAGAGGAGAAGAAGTTGGTGCTTTGGCAGTGGTTGTGGAAGTAGTAGTGGGTGCAGAGCTACAATATCAAAAAAGAGAGATGCCCAATTGACATGTCGACGAGGACAGAAAGGGCATAGCATAATCGCGGAATACAAACGCAAAACACACAGTCAAGAGAAAACATAGATCTCGGCGCCAAAAGCAAATAGGATGATCCGGGTTACTGGTCTCCGAGAGCGGTGTTGAAAATTGCGTGTGTTTAGGCGCTGTGTATTTGAAGATAGGAGAAGAGAGAGGTACAGTAAAGAGGGGTCGAGTATAGGGAACTGATGGAATTAGCCACCTAACAGTTTCTTTTGAGGCAAGAGATGGGCGAAGACAAGTTTTGGGATGGTGTGACAGGACTTATTAAGCTTCTAGGATATGTGTGTGATACATACGCGACTGAAACAATTACGACCTCGAGTTTGTTGTTGGTGAAGGATCGGAACAGGGTAAAAAAAAACAACGAGAATGCGAGATGGAGGAGATATGGGACGACGGAAGGAAGGAGGGGAGAGAAGGAGGAAGAGAGAAAAGAGAGGAGAGAGAGGTAGTAGGCAGAAGAATAAGGAGGAAAGGGGAGGAAAGGAAAGGAAAGGAAAGGAAGGTAAATAAGTAAAAAGGGCAAGGGCACCAACCTGGCGAATCGATTTTTATTTGGGGACACACCAGACGATAGATAGAGAGAAGCAGCAGGAACTCCACTCATTTTTTGTTTTCTTCTTTTCTGGTGGCAAGTATACCACTACTTGCTTTTGTCACTTAGATAGCCTTTAAAATGGGATTGCTCGCAAGGGTCGGATGCTTCGCATAAATGTGCACTATGGTGCATGAGATCGATCCCGCTCTAGGTGAGACATAGCAAGAAATCGAAAGAGAAAGGGAAAAAGAGTATTGGAAGTAGAAGAATATGAGTTGAGGGTTGTAATGGAAGGTAGAGGGTGGATAGTGACGAAAGTGACGAGAATGGGATAAGATAGGAGCCAAGGTGGTTACCAGAAGGAACAAGAAATTACTAACATATAGAAAAATGAATGAGAAAGTGGCAGGCCCCGTCAGCGAAAAAGTGGCCAATACATTCCTGTAAGAAAAGGTGCCCAAGGCATTTGTAATTGAGCAAAGTCAAAGGCAACGATTGACTGGTATGTGACCAGATAGGAACAGAGGAAAAAGAAAGGGGGTGGAAGGGGGTGTGCTCATTGGGAAATGTGAGGGAGGAATTGACAGACAAGATGTTAAAAATAAGGGAGGGGCATGCAGAGAGGTGGTTCCAAGAACAGAAAAAAAAGAAAAAAAACACGGACGTAATAAGTAATGGATGTGTGCGGGGGACATACCTTGGGGTACATTCATGGCATTACCTATGCACACGACATACCTCTCTTGTACCTCTTGCTGCTTGGCATAAAAAGCGATTAACAACGAGGTTCTCCATTGACAATAACTGGATCGGTTAGACTAACAGTCTCTTGTTGTCGTTCAGGTGGAAAGGAGGCAAGGATGTGGTCCCTGGTTACAAATGGCAGGTATTACAATGGGTTGACACTATTGTGCCTGGTGACTAGAGAAGTTGATGTGGCACGAAAGGAGCATAAAAGGTGGTCTATGATGACCGCGAAAAAAAAAAAACTCCCGGTATTTAACCTCGCTACGAGGGAGGCCCCTCCTTCACTGTATCTCAGTTATCCTCCGTCCTCCCCACATTCCTCCACCTCCTTCCTTCTCTTACCCATCGACCCTCTCTCTCTTCAAACGAAAACAAGGAAGATTCATACGATTAGTAAGAAAACAGGATTATCATGAGCCAGGGATCCTTTTTTTTAGCACAAATGTACTTGCCATTGTGTCACTATGGAGACATACGTCGAGCGAGCGTTCGAGACAAAGAGACAAGAGGACAACGAAGAACGGCAGAACGGTCTTTCTGGAGGGGAGAAGGAAGACAAGGGACGAGGAGTGTGAGAGATTAAGAAGAGATCGGTTGTTTATCACGTCTCTGCCGCCTTAGTCCAGGCTTCCCTGCACCTCACCTCCCATGAAGGGCGCGTCTTGTGAGAGTGAGACTATAAACTAGATCGACAGCTTACATACATACTTGAAAAAAGAGAAGGATAATGGACCGTTCTGTTCTTTTCTCGGTGCAGCAACGGTTCGTGCTGGGAGAGCTGCATTGTAAGGCTGTTTTCCTGAGGAAGCCAAAAAAAAAAAAAGATCACGTTTCGCCTTGAAGAGAAAGAGTCCAAGCCACAAGATGACTTCCCTGTCCATGGGAGAAGAAATCTTGATAGAGCGACAGAGCAGAGCAGGTCCTTGCATATACATCTCGTCCTTCTTTCTTTCAAGACAAAGATTCGATTGTAAGTCTTGTCTGCCTTATCCTCCTTCTTCGCTTCTCGCTTATCTTCTTTCTTCATTGACAGCTTCAAACCTCCAAAGTCCCAAAAGAAAACAATCTCCATTGTCGACTTATTTACACCAAAGGAATGAAAAAACAGAGCACACCGCCTCCCCTCCCACGCCCCCCATCAAACAAGAGAAACGGTCAATCAATAACAACAAGAGAAACATGAAATGAAAAAAGCCCGGGCTTGCACTGCCTTGCATTTTTATTTTCAGGAGAGAAGGTATCGACTCTAAACCTGTGGCGAAAGTCCACTGGGCTTGGTAAGTGCGATCCAAAATAGCAGAAAAAAGACAGAAATGGGGGGAGGAAATGGCGTAAAAAAAACAAAAATTCGTGATAAGAAAAAAAAAAAAACGGGATCATGCTGTCGCGCATGTTATGTACACTTCCCTCACGCCCCACCCTCAGCTTTCCTGGTCGTCATGTTCTCTTGTTTATTGTTTTGGTTGCTGTATGCTTGGTTGCGTTCGTGGTTGCGGTGAGTGCGTGTGAGCATATGAAAGAAGGATAGCAATACTAAGCGCAGGAGAGAGAGTGTGTGTGTGAGAGTGCGAAAGAGTAGGGGGTGAGGGAACATCGCCGATTGGGCTGCCAAGTGAGAGAAAATAACAACGGCAAGCAAACTGTCAGCGACAATCATACAGTGAGAGAAAGGAGGGAAAATAACAGGATACGCCCACTTGCCCGTCTCTCGTACTCTCCGCTTCAGACCCCCTCGCCCCTCCTCTTCTTTCCCCCCTCGCCCCACCCTCTCTCGATTGTCGGATAATACCCCTCAGCCTGTATGTTCATCCCCCCCCTCCCAACGCAACCCTTTGCTCCAGCTCCTTCGCTTTCCATTTTTCGCACACAACCCCTCCTGTCCCGTTCACCCTCAGTCTTCGCCCTGCCAAAATCCCAATTGTTTCCACTGTCAAAAACACCAGCTCTTCGCCCTCGCCCGCCTTCCCCTCTTTGTGTTTCTGTATCAGATATGATCAAGACATCCATAGAGCTTTGCTTTGCTAATTATGCTCACTCTCGTCATTTACCTACTCCCTCCACTCCATTGGCACTCGCCAAAATGTGATATTCCAGAAACCTCATAGCTCACAAAAGAAATAAACACCAAGAAAAATGACATATGATAGGTCGAACTGGCAAGGTGTGTGTGCGTGTGTGTGTGTGTGTGTGAGAGAGAGAAAGAGACTGGCTCGATTATCTCCGCCATCAAAATCGGGCGGGTGGGGAGAAGGGAGAGACAGACAGACAAAGAGCGCAGACGAGGGAAGGGAGGGACGGAGAGACGAGACATGACAGAGAAGGAGAGAAGGCTAGCACATTCGATTGATTTTTTTATTTTTCTCACAAAACAACAAGATGAGAGGTACATACACAGAGGACAAGAGAACCCATGGAAATATCGTCGTTCGTTTTGTTGTTTATTATTTTTGCGAACGACAAGAAGGAATAAGGAAAGGAAGGAAAAAAAATGTTGGGCGATGACAAAGGCGTGTGGACTGCAGACAACACACCCCTGCACGCTCTCACACCTCCTTCTCACTCACATCCTTTGCCCCTTCTCTCATCGTCTTTTTGCAGCTACACCCCTTTGCTCATTTGGACCTCCCCCTTTTGCGGGATGAAAGGGCCAATATCAACAATGCTATCGTTCCTCGACTTCCATCGATTGAGGCTGGTGCTACAGCTCCTCCTTCTGCTCAGTTTCATCCCGGGTTTGGAGTGGCGTTGCTTGAAATGGCTGTTTGGACTCTTTTCTTCAGGTAGACGAAAGACGTGGCTACTGTTGCTGCTCCGCCATCTCGGTGTCCACATCCATTTCTTCATCCTCTTCCTCATCAGAATAGTCTTCCTCGTCATAAGGATGGGACTGATGAGGGGGGGAAGAGAGAGAATCACCCGTAGGAGAAGTAGACATCATCGATGCAGCGGCACCACCGTCATTGTCCGCGTCACCATGACCACCAACTCCACGGGATCCGACAGTGACACCATGCGCAGAGAGCATATGGCGGACTCGGGGCTCTATCCGACGGAAGGCTTGAGGGCACATGGGACATTTGTAAGGCTTGTCGTCCTCGCTCTGACCGTGAATCCGGTGATGTCGCCGCATGTCGTAAATTCTCGCAAACGACTGGCCACATTGTGGGCAGGGAAAAGGTTTGAGGTTGGTGTGGGTCAATCGGTGAGATTGGAGATTGCAGCGACGAGTAAAGATGCGGGAGCATTCTGGGCAGGCGTGCTGCTTCTTGGGCTTTGGGGTGCGTGGCGGCTTGCGCTCTCGTCCTGTCGGTGTCATGTTTGAAAGTGCTGGTTTGGGTTTTGCTGTTGGTGTGGGTGTCGTTGTTGCTGTGGTTGTTGCTGGAGCATCAGGAAGGACAGGGGCGTCTGCTCGTGGCAAAATCTGGCGTTGGATTCCTGCTGCTATTGTTGTTGCAACTGTTGCCGCTATCGTTGCTATTGAACCTGATGATGATGACGATGATGGTTCCGACGGTTGCTGTTGAGGAAGTTGCTCTTCCATGGGCTCCACTTTGGTTGTTACCGTTGGAGACGAAGATCGTCGTTCTATCTTTTCTTGTCGGTAGTGTTGTTGTTGATTGTCATATTGATGATGTCTGGTTGGGTAAGGGTATTCATGGGCTGCGTCTGGATAGTCTTGAGCGTATCCTTGCAAATGTCCATGACCGTACGCATATTTCTGGCGCTCATAATGGCCGTATTGTGGATAATAGTGCTCGTACTGGTGGTTGCGTTCGTGCTGAGGATAATGACGTCCCTGGTGATGATGATGATGATGATGCTGATGTTGATATGGACGATGTTGCTGCTGCTGATGCTCTGCTACTGCAGAAGATGAAGAAGCAGCAGAAGTTGAAGCGGAAGCTTGCCCTGGCGAGGGCGTCCGAGAGTAGGTGTTGTTGTAGTCGTTGTAGTTGTGAGTTGTGGACAGGGTCGAGCGAGGACGGGTTGGGGCCAGAGGGGAGCGCGAGCGCGAGTAGGTGGGTGGAGGTGAAGGAGAGCGAGAGTATTTGTAGAAGTATGCACGCGAGGGTGGAGGAGAGGGCGAAGGGGTGGTTGTCTGGGCGGCGACGCTTTTTGTGTAGACGAGGTGCATCTGTTTCTTTTCTCTGTTGGCGAGTCGTATGAATGAGAGACGGACGGTTTGCGGCTTAGTAGTTGAGCTTGAGCTTGAGCTTGCACTTGTGCTTGTGCTTGAGGTTGCTGTTGATGGGGGGTGGTGGTGTGTTGAGGTTGAGGTTGAGGTTGATGCAATAGCAGTTGATGTGCTGATGGAGGAAGAGGACGACGAGGTTAAGGAAGGAGGAGAAGGAAGGGCGGAAGAGGAGGTAGAGGAGGAAGTAGAAGAGGGGGCCTGGTGGGAGTTCATGGAGAAAAGAAAAAAGAAGAAAGAAAAGAGAAAAGAAGGAAAGAAAGAGTGGGCGAGTGTTTATGTTTGTGTTGGCGATGAATGAGAGAGAATGAGTTGGGGCGAGGGGCGAAGACGAAGTAGAAGGTAGACTTGAAGAAGGCAACAGCATAAAACAACAAGTACACAAGGTCAAACAGAAGTAAGAGAGAGGGAGGGCGAGGGAAGAGGGGAAAATCGAGAGACAGAGTACAGAGAAAGGAAGAGGAGGGCTAAGACGCAAAAAATGGACGATGACGTGCAGGGCTGCCTCTCGCTCCTTAAGGAAAAGTCATGTCATCGCCGGACGATCAACTGGTCAGGTGATGAAATAAATCGTCGACGAAGCAAGAAACGAACGTACTTCTTACGCCTGGGCCGTTCTTGTTCTTTGAAAAGAAAGACATGGCCTTCGCCCTGATCGTTGTCCAACGGCCAAGCAGGACACGTTAGAAACGCACGCAAAGGAGCTGCGCAAAGCAAAACCCTCCTCAAATGCACATCTTTTCTACCTTTAAGTCCTAATCCTGGCCCATGATCCTGTTTCTTTGCTCACTACGCCCAGCGTCCTTGCTTGGCCAAAGGCACATCGCAACAATGGCTGCCAATAAAATGCATGCTGTTAGAGAGAAATACTGTAGACATACCACAATGCTTGAAAGAGCGATATCTTCTGAGTGGATTCTTATCTATCTGCTACGCCATTGGTGGTTCTGTACTACAGGAGTTGGAGAGCTATCACAAATGAAAAGGAGTGAGCGCACCAGCCTTCCTTTTTATACATTTTCCTGCGAAGTTTTGGCGAAGACATAAGACTTCGACCAGGCTAAGCCCGCCTACTCTTATCCCTTTTTATAAAAGACGTTGTCGGTGAACACGTCAGGATCCCTTCCTATTTATTCCTTCTATTTTCTTCTCCATTTCTTCTTCGCCTTCGTCTTTCTCCCTCTTGCTTTCTCTCACCTCCTTTCTCTCACTTCCCATTTGTCGCCTATTTCCTTCTACCTTCACATCCCAACTCTTTTTCACTCGCCAGCTGACTATGTTACTATGTTCCATGGAAGGATCTGATAGACAAGAAAACGCCCATGGCTACCTCGCATAGCCCTGCTCACCGCCACGGCCACCTTTTCTCTTTATCTGCAAAGTAAGCATGTCATGCATTCCCGTTCCTCCCCAATTAAAAAGAAGTTTCTCTCATCCTACGTTGTGGTGGTGAAGTGTATCCCGCCAAGCCCGTCCCGCCAAGACCTTTCTCTGTTCAAAGCGCCCTTATTTTACTCACCCATCATTCTACCCTCCCAGGGCGCAATACCCTGCCATCCATGTTTTCGATATATCTCTTTTTTGTCCCTTTCCAGTCTTCCTTCTTTCTTCATTTTCCTAAGCAATATGCAACACAACACATACACACAACACATACACACGACACATACACACACGTACATGCACACACGCACCCACACTGACATCTGTTCATTCGACCAACCCCGTCCCATACGCCCTCGCCAATCTTATTAGAAGAGTCGACAGAGAATTCCCTCTCTCACCCTACTTGCCTGACTTGGCACGGTTCGCTCTCTTACTTTCATTTTGTTTATTGCAATTTTTCCTTCAGTTCGTCCATCTGTTCCCTGTCCGTCTGGGCATCTCCTTTCTTCCGCATGACATGCATGACAACAAAACAAAGCAGAGCAGGCGGGACAGTGTACAAACTCGAGCATTTTTGCTGTCTCACGACGTGGAATTATAAGTCTTCGCCAAGCAAAAATTACGTCTCTCGTCCCTGTAGTTCTGCACTGCGGATATTGAGACAGGAGGCACAGCGAGGGAGGAGGAAGGTAAGATTCTGTTACACGTATGAGCCAGCAACAGACCATGAAGGGAACACACAGACACAGCTAACCGTCGCCTTTTGTGCAAGAGTGTTGTTGCAACCATCATATACCAACATACCAACACACTAACAGGTCTTTTGTTCTGAGGTCGTTTTTCATCGCAAATAAGTATGATAGTTTATTATAAAACGTTTTGGGAGGGGTATAAGGTTATAAAAAACATGAGAGAAAAGATACTGTACAAGAACGAAGCTATGACTATGCAAAATAATAAAGGACTGCTCCTACTTGCCAACCCATCCATGAACAGACTGACAATGTCTGTTCCTGGGTTCAGTCCTCTTGAACCTCAGGGAGCAGCTAGGGTCAAGGCAAGGATAGGGCTTATCCTCAAGCTTGTTGCTATGGATCCGTTTGTGGCGCTGCATGTCATACACGCGAGCAAAGGTCTTGTCGCACTGGGAGCAAGCATGGGGTTTGAGGTTTGAGTGGGTCAGGATGTGGGACTGGAGGTTGCAGGCGCGGGTGAATTCGCGCTGGCATTCTGGGCAGGCGTGGACGCGCTTCTCGCCCTTCTTGGCACGGGAGCGGGGGCTTCTGGAGGATTGGGAAGCGGGCGATGGGGGTGGTGGTGGAGATGTGGAGAAAGAGGAAGAAGGGGAAGAAGAGAGTGAAGGAGTAGGAAGCAGCTGGATTGGGGTAGAGGAGATCATGGGGACAATAATGGGGGCGACGACGACCTCGTTGTCGCCATCATTGTCACAGTCGCTGTCACCATCGCACTCGTCGTCATCATCATCGTTCTCGTCGTCGCTTGACTCATCAACGTCCATGCCCACTGATGCATTCTCGACGGGTTCGTCTTGTACAGATACAGGGAAGAGAGGCACTTCTGAGGGGATAGCTGTATACTCGGGCTTGGGGCACGGGGGGGCAGCGACAAACATGGACAGCTTCTGGTACTCCTCGACGTCAAAGGGGACATCGTTTTCGACTCCAAAGTCCAGGAACCCACAGTCAAAGTTGAGAAGGTCGTCGTCGGGGTTCTCGAGCTGCTGTTCGTAAGGAGAGGAGAGCTCCAGGCCAGGGTAGTAGTATTCTTGACGGGTGTCGAACTTCTTGTTGTCGTTGTTGTTTCTGTTGGTGCGGTTGTTGAGAAGGTTATTGTTGCTCTCGACCAACTCGTCAAAGCTGGAGTAGAGGACGTTGTGGCGGTGGTGGTGACGGAGCGCATGGGGGTTGCTGAAGACAACAGCTGGTTCAGGGGTGGCAGTGTTGTTGCTATGGGTGTTGAGGATAAGGTTCTGGGTGGCCTCGGAGGTCATGTCGATGAATGGAACGGGGCCGTTTAACAACTGTTCGAGCGAGGCGGCGGACAATGCGGCAGCAGCAGAGGTCTGGGTAAAGTCGAACAACGAGTCCATCATGAGGTCGTCCTGTCGGTCGGGGATCGGCTGACGAGGGAAGGAGAAGGTGAATTGGTTTCGGCCGCGGTGGAGCGCGTCGAGTCCAAAGTCGAATGCCATTGAGTTGAGGATGGGGGGAGGTAAAGATGACAGAGAAAATAAGTGGAAGAGGAAGTGGTGGCAGTAGTGTTGTTAGCGAAGGAGGGGGTTTGAATAAGAAAGAGAAAGAAGGATAAAGATGGTGGTTCTTGGGTAATAAGGAAGTTGATAGTCAATGGTTGTGAGAAGGGGAGAAGTGGTTGTGGAAGAAAGAAGAGAGAAGAAAGAAGAAAGAGGAAAGAAGAAAGAAGAAAGGAGAGGATAGAAATAAAGAAAGAAGGAAAGGTATCAATTAGACACAAGGGAGGAAAGAGAAGCCTCAATTGCTATGAGCCTGGCAAAGCTGAGCAGGGTGGCCCATGGTATCATCGGACAATACGATGGCACAGCAAAGGCACACACAAACCAGCCACAATGCGAAATTGGCTTGTCCTGGCAAAGAAGTGAGCCAAGACAACCGTGTTTTGACCAATCAGGTTGCAGCGTTGGATTCGCCAGAAAAGATGGAAGAGAGGAAAGAAAGAGTCAGGTCCATCCAAAAGAGAGCAGCAGTGTGGACGGACCCTCCAATTTCTTTCCCTTTTTCAGACGAGAAAGAAGGCTATTGAATTTGATGGCACAAAACCCAACAACGGTTATCAGTCATACCTGATGGTTGCTTGCTCTTGCTCTTGTCGTTGACTATCTTGTCTTACCTGCCCTGTGTTAGTCCACCAACGACTGGTCCATACGTCTAATAATGATTCAATCACTCGAGGATGTGTCCTCCCTCCGTCTACTTTGTATGGCTAAAATAAAAAAATCCAGACTGATACCACCACACCACTACCACAGCCTCCACTTCTTCTCGTCCCTCTTCCTTCCTCTTCCCTTCCTCCACCCTCTGCCATCGCCTCTTTCTGCATCCCTTCCTTTTCATTCTTACTTCCTATTTCACCACCCATGTCATACTCATCCCCCACATCTCCCTCTCGTAAGTAGTCCCTCTCCCACACTCCAATTATCACTCTCGTCGACTCTCTCCTCTTTGAAGCTGACCCAACCACACTCGCCAAACCTCTTCACGTAGGCACGCGGAGGTACTATGAAAGAAGCGCCACGACCCCGACCGAGGAAACATACTTTGCCGTCTGGAGGTACATTTGCTCGGCAGTCATCATAGCATGTGGATGTTCATGGGCGTGTCATAAACTCAATTATACTCATTCGACTTTGACTAAACTACTGCGCTGGGCATCTCTTTAGCGCTGTACCGCCCATGACCCTCACCTCGGATACAAAGTACATTAGGGTGAGTAGCAAGAGGCGAAAGTGCAACATAATGAGAACACAAGTGCACAAATATATATATTAATACGAAGCTCTTTCTTTCATAGTGGAATGTCCCAGTGCCGACGAATGGTGGCGCATACCGCGACATTGTGTTGGGTGTCAAGGTCAACAACCTGCAGTTTGCCAATATCGAGGCGATTGTAGTCTCTGTTGACCAAACCGTCAATGAAAAAGTGATCTTCACCTGCGAGGTAACCGGGAACTTGTTGTTACATCACATATCCACAAATCAAATAATGCGGTCGGCTACTTACGACACATTTTGTGTATGCCGGTGTAGGTCATTACTCCAATGGAGCTGGAACAGATGTGCGCAACGGCCAATGACAATACCACACATTACTCGGACTACTACGGCGACCATGGAATCATGAAATGGAAGCTGAAGGAGCGACTGCTGGAGTCTGAGGGCGAGCTCCATGTGGCGATGGAGGTCAAGACTTGGGACGGAGCACCTCCGGACTATGGATCTATTGAGATCTACTGGGTCGAGACACACATCAACTCACGGGCGTTCTACCAACATGGTAACAGGCCCAGCAAGTTATTTAATTTGATGTTCTTTTTTGTAACTTCCTTATGTATTTCGCATCTAATTATTGTTACTCCCAATCTGGCATATAGACCCTTTGTACAGTGAGCACCGACCATATTTGTATTCACTGGCCGTCGACAACACAGGACGACCAGAGATTGACAATCTTGGTCGTGGAACAAAGCTGGTCGAGTCATACGTCTACTCCAAGCAAGGAGCACATGTACTGGTCAGTGTGCGAACCACACCAGGGCTCATTATTCAGCTCTGGCAGATCCGATATCTTCCCGCCTCTGACCCACGATGCGTCCGCCAATTCGACACTTTAAATCTGAAGGAACAGGATGACGAGAAGGCGTTTCAACCCAAGGTCGTGGCGTGGATGTACCTTGCTGATGTGCCAAAGTTTAAATCGATTGACCTTGTTCTGTCGCATGAGGGGACGCAACTTGCGATTGTGGATGAAAACGTTCCTGTTCAGGATGGAGGCGAAGAAACGCAGCTATTAGGAGGTGACGAAGGGGAGGCAGCTGAAGGAGAAGGAGAGGAGGAAGAACAGGAGGCAGCAGAGGAAGGTGAAGATGGTGAAGGAGAAGAGACATCGGACAAGGAAGAAGATGAGGAAGGGGAAGGAGAAGTGAAAGAAGTGAATACTGTAGAAGGAGGCAAAAATGATAGTGAGAGCTGGACGGCATTCTACAGGTTCAGTCCCGACATTATTGGAACAGGAGAGACACCGGCAGGAGCAACATCAGGATCTGGACTGGTGCGGATGAATGTCGAAGAGACCTGCCCTGGCCTCGCTAACTTTTTCGGCCGCTCAGAATTTCACATCGTCGCAACAACGGATCAGGATGTCAAGGACGAGATCTTGGTCGCGTGTGATGGTGTGACGATCGAGGTGTACAGTGTCTTTGGGGAGTGGAATCATGTCCGGACGATCGTCATCGACCCCACAAGGACCAACCCTAGCTTCAGGAGAAACGTCTTTGCGGCACTGTTTAAGCAACTGCGTGGGAAATACATGTTGCTGGTGGATGCCGACGGGACCGAGGTGACGACGTGGAACATCGAAACCGGCGAGGCGGTGGCATCCAGCACCCGATTTGGCGTCTCCGAGTTCTGGGCACTGCGACATCTTGCAAACGTGACGCGGGATGGACGACTAGTCACGGTTCCGGGACACCGAGCGCTCGAGATCTACGAAACAGCTACGTGGGATATGGTGGGGTGGTACCAGTTCCCGGACGTAGGGTATGGCGAGTTTGTGAGCGAGGGGTTGTTTTTCCGAGGCGACACACATATCATGGTGACAGTCGATTCAGAGCAGCGGCCGTTTTATCGCAACAACCGCGGGTTTATTATTGACCTGGGCGATATGACTGTCGTGGAGTACTATGCGAGTGCGGGACATGGGCGGTTCGAGTTGTTACCCAAGATGGATCCAGAGGAGGAGCAGTTGTTCTTGGCGGTGGACACGTCTAGTGCCTGTGTGTTTTCGATGGAAGGGCGACTACTTATGGCTCCACCTCCTCCACAGATTGACGACGATTCACAAGGCCCATAGATAGTTATGTGAATAAACAACTCGCAAAAGTATGGCGCAGACCTTGCGAATCAAGAATGACGAAAAACCCCAAAGAAATGAGGCTTGGCGACGATGCGGAGGACTTCAAGGTATGTGGCAAGCAACTCACATCAAGGGCCTAGAACCTTCCAATGGTTCAAATTGTGTTTGTTACACAGAGCAAAGAAGAAACAGTCGATGTTGTTTTCCATGTCTAATCTTTGCTTGAGTCAAATGGACCGATCACTCTAGACCTTTTGGGCTATGCAACCAAAGCATATCATCGGTGCTTTTCTGCACAAATCGTTGTTGCGATACGGACATAATGTATGTTACCAAATTACTCCCAATGATCCCCTATGCATGCCTCCTCTTCCTCTCCCTTGTCTTCCCTCTCCCTCTATTTGTTTATCTCAACCGCCGGTAATGGTTCGCTCTTTCTCTTCTTTTTGTTTCTTCTCTCTTACTTTTGTCTCCTTTCACCTCACCAATTCATCTAATCATCCCTAATTTCTTCTTCTCATTACATTTTTCCATGACTGATCGATCCCTCAATACTCCAACAAACCTTCCCTCTACGACAAAAAATACTTATGACACGACACATGTCTTTGCCGAAATACCTCTCGACGTACAGATGGACAATTCTTCTGAGTCTGTGGAAGAGGAAAAGGGCTCGAACGAGACTGTCACTAACTTGAATGTCACATCACCACAACGCAGCGCACTGGATATGATTTTCGTCAGTTGTGGATTAATCTCGTTGTTCCTCGCAATGGGCTCTGCTCGAGATCTGTTAGAACTGGCTTGTCTTGGAATGAAACCTAGAGAATAAATCTTTCAGAGCGTATCTCGCAGAGACAGTGAAGGCATGCCCAAACTTTTCGTTTTGTAAGCTTCGTTCGCACATTCTACAGTAGTTTGTTGTGTCAATGCAGGGGCGGGAAGAGGCGGGAGAAGGAGAGATATTTGACTGGTGTGAAGTGAGAAACAAAAAGTCTGAAGTTGTGAGGATCGCTATGTGAAGAACTAATTTTTCTTCCTCGATTCCGTCTCGTCCACGCCATCCATCAGTGTCCTCGCCACTCACAATCGTCCTCGCCCTCTCGACCGTGACTTGCTTTGACCATTTTTTTTTCTTTTTCATTTGTCTCAATCACGCACACATATCTCTTGGACCGACCTCTCAATTATGCTACGGCCTCTCCTTCTGAAACAGGGGCTGAATATACTAACTTCATTGTCGACATACCCCTCACCGCACTCAGGAATTACCCCTCAGCTCCAGGGCAAGTCGGGGAGACGGGGTCTACTGTATCTTGTCCATTATCTGAACCAGCCCAACGCTCAGAATGGTGGGTAAAACAGAGCGAGATGCATGGTGAGTGTTCTTTGTGTGCTAAAGATAGTACATATGGGTCAGTTATATTTGCTGCAGGTCGTGGTAAAAAAAAGGGGGAGAAAGGGGACAATGCTGGACGCACTAAATCCATGTGTGTGTCTGTGTGCCACGAGGGAGGACAGCAAAGAAAAAATGAGAAGAGACGGGGTTGTCGTAATTCCTTCTCGACCCAGTCCTTAACAAACAAAGAAAAAAAATGGCTGGACACATAGGTAGAAACACATGGGGTCAGTTCGTTTTAGTATGTAAGAATGAGCTATTCTGTCCCTGGTATTTGACAAACATGAGTATGGTTGCTGACCTTTTTCTCCTTTTTCCTTTCATTGTTACCGCTCATAAGCACATCGATGGTTCTTCACGGACACGGGATCAGGGTCCTCTTCTACCTCTCGACACCTTCAACTCGTCAATGAGTAAAGAGAATGGGAAGCTGATTTTTTTTGTTCGTCATTTGTGTAACAAAGAAAGCTTTCATCGTTTGTGTTGACGGAGAACTGCCATTGCTGCTTTCTGTGATCACTTTTTCTAGGAACAAAGGACCTGTCGCCATCAATGTTGTTACCAACACAAACACCCAGTCCATTGAGGTAAACAAACGCATTACCCGAGCACAGTTATATTTTGTTCATCAGCTGGTTAGGTAACGCACAAAAAAAGGATAGCAAACACCTTCCTCTTTTTCCCTGCATTTGTAGTGGCAAATCTCACTTGGCAACCTCCCTCAAGGGCCCTTCGAGCTGGTTCTTGGGATCTCGTCACAGGACCTGGATCTCAATGCTGTCGACTCTATAACTGTTGGTTATATCAATGGACCCAACCAAGCCCTCAGACGCCCCAGTGAGGTACACAGGAACTGCTCTTTTTTTTTTCTGGGAGGGACTATTTTGTATTTGTGCCCCAACATGCGAACGAACTGACAAGGACTCTCAATTTTTGTAGGTGATTCCGAATATAACTCTTCGCAACCTCTTTGCGACACTCCCAGTTGGGGACAATGTTCTACGGTGGAGGCTCTACGAACAGATCGCAATCGAGTCTGGAGCAAAAGGGGCGATCAGTGTCATTTTGACCATCGAAACCTGGAAGGGTGTATCGCTGAACCCTGGAGCCATTGGATTACATTTTCTGGAGCTGCACCAAGACTCGCTCACAATGTATCGGGATGGTATGTTTATATGGCTACAAGGCATATCAAGCAATGAAGTGATTGCACTACATATCTGCAGAATGCTTACCCAGGCCCATTTATTATGTTAGACCCGAGCTACAAAAAGCACCATCCGTTTACTTGGTGCATCGATGTCAACCTCACGGTCGACAATCCTCCCAATGGCACTGCAAAGGAGATCATATCCTACCACTTCTCCGGTGATGGTGCCTATGCCGCCTTGCTGACATTTTCTACCACAGGTCAGCATTTGGAAGTCTACCGCATCGAACAAGATTGCCCCTCCTCACCACTCACAGCATCATGGGTTCTTTCGCCATACTCAACTACAGTGTCCGACATATCCGTCTCCTGGAACGCGACCCAGATCGTGGCATTGGACCTCACTGACAAAAACTTCACTGCCATCTATGTTCGTCAGAATAGCAAACACGGGACCCGAGACTTTGCTACCAACGCCCCAGAACTATCAGAGGAGCAGTACATTGCTAACGAGCTCCACCAAGACCTCGGACGCTATAGCGGTAGAGGCATGTTCTACGTTTCTGGAAGCCTGAACAAGATCCTCAGTGACGAGCTCTTCGTTACTTTCGATGGAATGACTTTGGTAAAATATTCTATTTGTGGGAGGTGGGAAGAGGCCACAACGATAACGATTGGTGGACCGAAGGACTCGATTGACTTCTACCCGTACTGGAAGGAGCACCTACGAGGAGACTATTTGGTGTTGCTGAACACAGAGAGAGCCTACGTGTCTATATGGAATCTCAGGAAGGAATGCTCAGTGACAGCAATGGACATACCGACCACAATATCGGATAACCCGTACATCGTTGCTTGCTTGTCAGAGTGTGGGTGGCTTTTTGTGATGGCTACAAGGCGACATATCGACGTTTACCTCACCGAAACTTGGACTAGTCTTGGATCTTGGTGCCTTCCAGTCACCGAGCAGATGGACATATCTGATGTTTACTTTACGGGTGAGAGTGATTACATCACCGCCGACACTTCGAATCTTGCGCCCGTCATTCACACTCAAGGATATGTCGTCAACATCAACACCATGACTACCGTGAACAAAATCCACTGCAGGAACCTCCATCCCCATTCGCTTTTCGCCCTCGACTCGGTTGATCGCTCAGCACCCATACTGTTGTACCAGACCCAGACGACATTGGGGGCTCTTCCATATGCCGATCGTGTAGTGAGAATATTTTCCAAGGCGGCGACATTGTGTACCCACGACTGCACTCCTCCCCTATTCTCCCAACCTACATTGTCGCCTATTTTACAAGCCGAGGTTGTAGAACGAACAATCGGACCCTGGGATAGACTGATCACACTGCGCTTCATCTCCATTACAACAAGGATGCCCACTGATGTCGCCGTTGAGGTCATGTCCGTCCCGCTGCCAAAAGGATCCGAGTTGCTGAGTTTGAGGTGGACATTGGTCGATGACCACTACTTCTTGGTCGTGGCTATGAGTTCTTTGGTTCCTGTGTGGAAGATCCAGGCGACACTGAATGACGAGTACGAGTTGCTTTTGGTTAAGGAAACTACAACTGATGCGGACTGGAGGATCTGTCAGCACCATCAACTGCATCGACATGACAGGATCACTAATATTATCACGGCAACGAACTTACTGGATCCACGCATACACGATCTGACTGGCTTCCAGGATGGCATCGTTCAGTTATCAAGGGTATTCAAGGACGCCGACGACAAGTCAAAGCGTGGCATTATACAACACATGGAGCGACACATAAACCATGGCCTTGATTCAAAGAACAACTCAGCAACCGTACTCACCCGCCTCTGCTCTTCATGGTCACCAGAGTATCACGAGCACTTGTTGGCTTTCATCCACGCGCTCTTTGGATCGGCTTCCTTCCGCTGGATACCAACTACTGACATGAATCGAGAGACCAACCCTATCTCGATCCTCCTCGGTCATCTGAACGCTAGTGTTGTGGTTGCAGACATTGTTGAGATCATGATCAGCTATTGTGTCCACCAGGCCAAAGCCGACAGCGATCTACGATTTCTCGATCCGGTCTTTCTTTCTCTACGAGCCGCTGTCAAGTCCAAGTATATCACCCCCGGACTCCTGTCGAAGACAATGCGGACCTTTGCCCATTTTCCTGCCCGCGACTTCCGTTTCGCGATGGACCACCACGCGTTCGCCTTGCGCATTTTCAAGTCCCGCGAACGGAAAAAGATGCTGCACGAACGGAAAAATCCTACTCTGTATTTGACATCCAAGAACGTTCACAGGACGGGTAACGAAAGACTGACGCCTCACCTCTACGTCGCATCTTTTGACATGCTCTGGGTCATTGAGGAGATACCATTTCCGAGGCAAAGACCTCTTGCTATTCTCCTTCGCATCCTTCTCTTCGTCACGCTTACAACCAGGAAACGGTATGTCTGCCATCCTTTTAGTCTGAGAGACTTGGACAACCCTGCATTGGCTGCCTTGATCCGGTTCAAATGGTAAGTAATTCCAGTGCTTGACTGAACTCGCTTTAGTTGCGTTTGCTTCCTTCTACCTTTTCCTAACTTTTGTTTAAACTCCTCCAGGACACAATTCGGATACGCCTATTGGATATACAGGATCGTGTTCTACAGTTACATTGCATGGTTCTATTCAGCTCTCATTCTCAGCAATCAGCTCTCCGACAAAGAAGATGATGGGCCAATGGGAAATATCTACAACGCCAATGTATGTCTGTCATGGTTGTTTGCTCTGAGCTCCGCTCGCGACCTGGTGGTATTGATGTGCCTAAAAATGAAGCCTCGAGAGTAAGTGTGCCGATATTTTCAAAGAATGTACGAGAACCTACTCGTTCATTATGTTTTCCCGCATGATGACACCTGCCACGACGTGCGCACACTGAATTTTTTTTTTTTTTTAAATGTCAGCTTTGTGTACAAGATTGTGGAGATCCTTGTCGCTTTCGTGCCTTCGATTGCACTAATGGCTATCGCGTTTTCGTTCAACTTGGACCTGTATTACTTCGTCACGGCACTTTCAATTCTGATACTTCTGCTGCAATTGGTAAGTACAGAAGGGTTTGTTCCCATCAGGCGAGCAAACTATATTCACCAAAGGTGTCATTCAGTCCACTTACGCGCCTTCCGATAACAATTGTATTTTTTTTTTTCTTCAGCTGTTCGAGTTTCGAGTGATGAAGACTGTAGGTAGCTTCCTGTCGGTATTGTGGCGTGCGCTCGAGTCGGTCAAGATCCTACTTGCGGTCTTTGCCTACATTATCGTTGCATACGGGGTTGTCTTTTATTATTTGCAATACCTGGCCTGCGAGGATGACAAGTATCCCAAGTTACAGGACAACAACTCGGCCGCTTTTTGTGAGCATTACCACGACGTACTTTATGACTGTGAGTAGTTTTTGCCTATGAGACTTTTTCGCTGGAGAGGAAACTGGCATTCAAAACTTTTCTGCGACTGTCTTCTCAATTGCTAAAACATTTTTTTTTTTTATTTCTTCTTTCTTTGTCTAGGGAGGGATGTATGCTTTGGTCGACGAGAAGATCAAGACAGGAGACTGGATCATAAATGTTATTATGGTCACCTTTCTCTTTATCGTCACGATCATGCTCAACATCCTGTTCGGTAAGTGAGCTAAAGGCATGCAAGAAAAACACATAGCTCTTGCTTTTTGAGTGGCCATTGCTCGCCACTAACTTTTTTCACTTTTTTTTTTTTTTTTTTTTTTGGGCCGCCGATGAATGATAGGGACGGTGAACCACGCATTCGGTAACCACGACCGCACGTCAGAACTGGCGTGGATGGAAGACAGGATGATCTTTATGATGAGAGCAGAGAACCTGTTCCGGCGGATAACTTGTAAACGTACTCAGACTACAAAAAAGGCATCTCGTTCCTGGGCTCTCAAGTTTCCATCGTGTTCCCTCTGCCTTATTTTTTTTGCGTTCGCTAATCTATGCGTGTTTTTTTCTTTTTTTCTTTTTTTGTCTTGCTCATAGATCTTCGAAACAATGGGGCTTGGTTCCCAGAGAAAATCTACTACACAGCAACGCCTCAGGAGGTCCGCGATTACATACTGGAATCACAACGACTAGCCAAAAAAGCAGCGGCCGCTGCTCTCCCGCTCGAGGATGACACCCAAGACAAAACGCCAGTGTTGAATGAACCTGCCGAGAACGCTGTCACTACCGAGCAACAAGTTTTGGAAAAGCAGCAACCTTGGGTGGATCAATTGAGGGTGGACATGAGAGCAGAGTTCAAGGAGGAGTTGAGGGAGCAGCTGGAGGCCCAGAATGAACAGATCGCATAGCTGCCAGCCCAATTGAGCGAAGTCTTGGCCGTATTGAGGATGGGATCCAGTGCACCAACATCTTACTTCAAATGACTTTACCGTCTTATGTCATTCGTTCCGTTTCGTTTCGTGTTGGTTGGTTGGTTGGTTCTGTGTTGGATGAGGTTTTTCTTTACCTTTTCTTGCAACCTCCTTACCATACCATGCATATCAACAATAAAAAACAATATTCCTATAACATTTCCTTCTCTTCTTTCTCATTTTCCTTTTTTGTTTTCCATCTTTACATCTCACACCAAACAAACAACAAAAACACAACCAATTGATGAGAACAACGGAACTTTCTACACCCAAATTTGCTGACTTCAAAAAGGGTTGTACATTGTGGAAGAGTTTTATGACGCCGACGAGGCGCTAACTGGACCTTTGTTGATCGGATGTTATGGTGGGACAAGGCTCCTCTAGGTTTATCATGGCGATGTTGTACCAAGAATAGTGCGAGCTATCGTCGGTTACGGTACGATCCGACCGCGCGCGCGGGCGGGCCAAAAGGCGCCATCTCCCGTTAACCGAAACCTACATTCAATGCTTGAGGCCCGCAAAAAAAAAAAAATTGAACTCTTCTTCCAGCTACTGGACGAGAGAAAGCCAGTCGAACAGTTTTTTTTTTTTTTTGTTGGGACGCTAAAACATCGTATGCGGGGATCGACGCAGCTTTTGTTCTCAAACATGTCCTGTCAATCAAACGTGCGTGTTTCTTTGAAAAGGTCGGGTTCTGATAATGACAATCAAAAAGTCATTCGCATTCAAGGATGTGAACTTGGATGCATACTGGCCTAAACAATTGCCTATTGGTGCTGATGATAAAAAATAAAATAGCAAACGCTTTTTGTGTTTATTTATTCAAGTCGCCTGCAACTTCTGCAAACCCCCTATCCTGACACTCCCTCTCTCCCCACACTACCATGCTCAACAATGAAAGCAAGTTGAAAAAAAAATATGAGCAAAAATAACAAAATACATAGTGCAATTTTGCCTCCGCTTTTTTAAGCCCTGGCCCTCTCTATGACCAGAAATGATACAGGATTGAAAAATCATCTCGGTGAGAATAAAGCCAAAGATGCTTCTGCCCACCCTCCTCCTGCCGGACCTTGAGCATTGCTTCTCGGATCGTGATGCAGTAATCGCGTTGAGATGGGCTCAACTGATCGAGTACATTCTTCCTGAAGCTCTCATCCTCCGCCACATTGCACTGCGCCAGCTTACGGATGTTGTCCTTTGACAGATCCACAGCCAGTACTGGAACCGTCGCATTGGCCAAGCTCTTGGTCACCCCCACCAAGTTGTTGATCGCTACATCATCACACATCAAAAAAAGGACAAGTTAGAGTCAGCTGCAAGTGCGATTATCACATGTAGATCTGAAAAAGAAAGGTTAGAGACTCAACATACCTTTGTCGATGAGCATTGTTTTCTGCTTGTGCTTCAGCCGGTTCCTGGATGAACTGACCACGTTGACATTAAAGTCGGGCTGGATCTGAGGCGACTCTCCCGACGAGTTGTGGTGGTGATCATGTCCGTGTCGCGCTCCACCAGATCCGGCTGTCGTCTCCAGCGTGTGATGGTGATGATGATGCCCGCTCGTCATGTCGATAAACTTCCGCGACTTGAGTCCGCCTCCGGATCCAACACTGGCGGCAACCATGTGGTCGAGTCTCGTCTGCTCAGCAATCTCCGCCTTTAAAAGAATGCAGAGCTCCGACCGTAGAACTTCCTCCTCCGTCTTGCGTAGCACATTCTTGACCTTGACCATGCCCATCATATCCCTGTTCATTCGCTGGTGAGAATCCTGTTGGTTCTTGTTCTTCAGGATCACAATCCAGTTGATGCACTGGTGCTTGCATGTCGTCACCAAAGTTTCTGGAGTCAGGTCCGTTCCGTCCTCGAGCATGTAGTCGGCCTTGATCCCATGCGCCCACAGCTCCTTAACCAACTCGAGTCGTTCCTGCAAAAGAACCTTTCCAAAGCTCGCCACATACACATCGCAACGCTTGGGAGCCCAAAGCCCAAATGACTTCTCGTCGTCATGTCCAGAGCCGGCGCCGCCGTTCGAAGTTCCTCGGCTCTTGTTGCTGGCGACAAAGTACCGAAAGTGTTCCGACTGATACTGCGACATTGCTCCAATGATCTTTTGCATCGCAATATTGACTCCCACGGCGAAGACCTTGCGATGAGGCCCACCAATGACGGGGTGTCGAAACTGTTGGATCAGCGAGTCGTAGCGTCCTCCGGCTGCGAGGATATTCTTCCGTTTGGCGTCATCCACCGCCTGGAACATCATCCCGCCCTTGTAGTACTGGTTGTTGTACCTAGGAGAACACAAGTCAAAGTTAGCGAGGTTAACTGCTGCTTGCGCAATATCACTTGAAATGAACTGTAAATGATGCTTACATGAGTAAGGGGCTAAAGACAATCTTGTGGCGGACCCCCAGGGTCTTGCAGTACATCATCAGCAGTCGAAGCTCGCCAAGGGCATCCTTCAGCTTTGTCTTCATGGGCTCTGCAGAGACCAACTCCTCTAAAGCCTTGACCACTGTCTCAAAATCGCCCTTCCTGTCAAACAGTTCCAGTTCATCCAGTACACTGCGCGGGAGATGATAGACCGACATAAGATGGTTCCTGACCTGCGACATATGCTGATACTGGCGCCCCAGTTGACCGAGGATTGTGTAGACCCCAGGTCGAATCTCTGAAGGTATACGGCAATTGTCGAAAATCGCCTCTACAACTTGAGTGTGATTGACCAGGAAGAACACGCCGTTGGTCGATTTGAAGGGCGGGAACTCCTCCAACAGCTCATCGACCACCTTGATCATCTCGGCGTCCGTCACCATGGGGTTCAGGGTGTTGTGGACAATATCAAAGTCGACCTCGTTAACGATCTGGGGTTGCCCGCCAACGGTGTTCTCGCGGTAGACCCGTCCAAAGCAGAAGCGCTTGAGCTGAGTAATCCCGTTCCTGCAGATGAACCGCGCAAAAGGCATCGTCAAGTCGTACGGAAGCTGAACCAATCCTCCAGTCGAGTCCATCAGCGCCACAGACTTTTTGTCGGTATCGTGAAGGTCACTCTTGGGTGTCAAAAGTGGCGTCCCGAGCTCCACAGCGCCATGGCACCTGAAGACGCTGATCATCTGGGCGCGGACCTTGCCGTAGAACATTGCAAAAAATGGGTCGTAGGGCTTATTCTCCGAGTTGAAATCGTAGGTGTAGTCCTTGTGTTTGTCTGCGTTTTGTGCAAATAGTGCTGACATGAGGCGGTGGTAGTAAGGAGTATTGGGGTTGGCGATTGTGCGAACACACTCTTGGATATACTCGTCCTCCATTTTGGGTGGCAGCAAGTCGCTCTGTAGCAATTCCAGACTGTTGGGGCGTTCCTTGAGATTGTGGTTCAAAAGAGCTCGGATGACCTGTGCCTGCGTCGCCATTTTGTCCATGGGGAATTCCTTGGGGAAGATGATCTCGGGCTGTTGGAGGTTGCGAAGGGTCATGGCGCGCTCCATGCCTGTCGACAAGGGGAAGCACATCTCAAAGAAAATGATTCCAAGAGAGTACATATCCGCCTTGGAGTTGTACCGCACGCCATTGATAGCTCCATGCAGGACTTCTGGACTGACGTAAAACACCGTTCCGACGCCCGTGGTGAGAGAAAGGCCATCATCGTGAGCGCGATCGTAACTGGTGCTCCGGCTCATAAGAATCGTCTCCGTGACAGCCTGGTTCTGGGTCTTGAGGTCGCTCACTAGCTGAGAGTTGCTTGTGGCAAGTCCGAAATCTCCAATCTTGACATCACCATTGGCGTCCAGGAAAATATTGACAGGCTTCAAATCTCGATGGATCATGCCCTGTGAATGGATATGGACAAGACCTTCCAGAATCTGTCGAAACAACCGCCAGCCGTCCTCAGGGTCCACGCCAATGTCGATCAGGTCCTTCAGTGTTTGTCTCTCGCAGTACTCCATCTGGATGTAAAGTGTCCTTGAGGGCTTCACGGCTCGGCGTTTCTTCTTTTCAGGTGCAGCCTTGATCCTGGCCCTTGGGTCGCTCGCTGTGCCATCGGTCGCCTCGGACTCGAATCGAATTCCATTGTCAGAAACTGAATCATCGTCAGACTCGGACTCAGTGTCGTACTCGCTCTCCGATCCTGATTCCGATCCCGACTCAGACGATTCCTCTGAGCTGTCGAGCGCCAAACCGTTCATGCCAAAAGAGCTCTCGTCGCGTCGGGAAATGTCCCTAGACCGACCGAAGTGGACGTTGGGGTAGCTACGGTTGCGATTATCTGACGCCTCCGAAAGAAAGTCGTATTTCAAGTCCTTGACCATCCTGTTCGAGGTGTCATATGATGACATGTCTTCGTCGTCCTCGTCCGAACCCTCATCCGAGTCGTCGTCCTCTGAGTCGTCCTCTGAGTTCGACTTGTTCTTGCTCCATGCGCCACTGTTGTCATCCTCAAACCATGTCGTGAAGTAACGCACCACAAACTGATGATGCAGTCTAATGATAATGAAGATGAAAACAATCGAAGGTAAGTTACGAACTACACACGGGGAATGCTGTTCGCAATTGGATTAATAATGTTCATGAGACTCGCCTTGAGAGGGTGGTGACTTCACGGAGAATCTTGCGGTTTGTGACATTGTCCTTGGGGTCCAGTTTGATCTTCTTGATGGCATAGAATCGCCCATCCAGTTTGTTCCTTGCCTTCACGACCTCTCCGAAACCACCGCGTCCCAAGAATTCAATCTCCTCAAAGTCGCTCTTGTACCTCGAGTACAGATTGTTGCCAGTTGTGGGCGATGTGTTGAGCTGGTTCACAGAGTCGTCGACATACATGTCGTCCAGTCTGGATGACTCCCGTCCAACTCGAGGAGGCAGTATGTTGATTGCCGAAGGAGGATGCGAACGGCGAACGCCCAACTTGGAGTTGTCCTCGGTATCTATAGGCACATTCAAAGACCTGTTTGTTAGCTATTGTTGAAGCTGTTGTAATACCGATTTCGAAAAGTGAATGGCGAGAGCTTACCATTGTACATATGGAACTTATTGAATGTGTCGTCCGTATCAGCTGCGTCTCCAAGGAATGGATCGTTCAGCAGTTCTGCCGCAGTTGGTCTCTTCTTGGCATCCCTAATGAATACAAAAAAGTCACGATCAGCTCAAGGTTGTCAAAAACCATGTAAAGCGTCTAAGAGATAGCCCGTCGATAAGAAGCCAACATACATATCGAACATCCTGAAGAGGATATCCTTAGTCAGCTTGTGAATGTTGGGCTCTACGCTTTCCAAGAATAATGCAGGTGTCGAAAACGACCGCGTCACGTCGTTGCCCCAGAGCATTTCAACAAGAACTTGTCCCAGGCACCAAATGTCGTGTTTTCGCGTGTAGACAATGGACGCCTCTTGTGGGTCGGGTGATGGCCACGCACGCGACACCTCCTGGCCAGCATCGTTGTTGAAAGTGAAGATCTTGTGCATGTCCAGTAAACGGCGGTGGAAGCTGGGATTATCCAGTTTGATGTTTCCGTTAGGGTCCAGGACAATGTTGGACAGTCGAATATCTATCATCCAATGAATAAATAAAACACGCGTAAGTCTCCATTTCTGTTTTGTTGCATGCCACTGATAGACAAGTGATCAATGGCGAGTATGGTGCCTCACCCTTGTGGATGACGTTGTTTGCGTGAAGGAAGACGATGGCCTGCAAGAGCTCCTTGAGATATCTCCTGGTCATGGCCAACTTGACACTGCCGGCAATGTTGATGAAGGACTCGAGGGAGGTCATGTTGGCGGAACTTCCGTCGGTAAGCACATGGAGATTCCATCCTGTCGAAGTCCTCTCCAGGCGTGATTCCAGGATGGACACAAGGTGGTGATGACGAAGTAGCTTGAGCCTCGACAGTTCCTTTTCCACGTCCTGGAGTTTCTTCTTCCCAAGGTGAGTGCTGTAATGTGCCGCTGTGATGTCGAAGGTCTTGAGGAGCAAGAAAGGGACGTCGGCAGATGAATGAGGTCGAGCAGTATAGTTTGCTGGTAATGCCGAATACGTCGAGCTGAGGAGTCCACGAGAGAGACACGAGCCCCGGATGACTGATCTAAAAGCCGGAGCCTTGGATAACGAGAAGATAAGAAAAAAATCCGAGACGGCTGTCAATATTCAAGTTGCGGTCGCGTTTCTTCTTTTTTCAAACTCCTCTTTTTTATATGAATCATCACAATAGAAGTCGCCTTTAGGGTTACTCACCTGTGAATCGTCGGGGGAGAGCATGATGGGCATTTCAAAGTTGACAGTGACAGCGTCTAGACCGTATCCGGATCCCCCTCCGGAGCCGCTTCGATTACCCTCCAGATAGTCTCCGCCATACTGCTCCTGTTGTTTGGACATTAGCTCCCTCTGACGCTTCTTTTCTTGCTTGATTTTCTCTTCTTTTCGGAGCAGGTCCTCCCGAATCTTTTTGTCGAGCGTCCGGTCGGCGTCCAGTTTGGCCTCGAGTTCCAGTTCCTGTTGTTTAGTCATTGCCTCCATTGCTCGTTCTTGCTCGTCCTTGGTCGTCTTTTCGACGCGTTGAAGCATTTGCTCGTGGAAACTGGAGTGCTTGATGAACATGCTGGAGTTGTTTTGGGTGATGTACTCTTGCACATACTCTGCGAGCAGATATATCATTTCCTGGCCGAGTAGAGTCTTTGCGCGAGCAGGGACCAATTTCGAAAGTTCCTGGACCTGTGCTTCTGAGAGGCCTCTGGGGTTTTCGATCTTTAAGTCCGGTATCGTTCGTGGGTATGTTTTTGTGAACCTATAGCGGACCATGAAAGGATGGGTCATGGCGAGTCAGTGGAAGTATTGAATATCTCGAAGTGTCACCTTGAACATGAGTGAGACACAAGGCTGCAGTAAACAAAATAACAACACAAGAAACTCACTTGACGCGCAAGTCCACGGACACATAGCGCTTCAACTCCTCCTCCATTGGCAGAAGGTGCAACCGGAACTCCGGTGTCGTTGGGACCATCTACAATGTTGGCGTGGCAGTGTTAGTCAAATGAACGTGGAAAAGAGACGCAGCGGTTTATTATATCAATAACGAGAGTACATACCTTCCATGCTGAAGGGATCGTTATAGGCTGGTAGTCCTCCATAAAAATGGCTAAGATATGAACGATGCAGGGAGGACAAAGCCATTGGTTACGAAAGTGGCGGAAAAGAAGTAAAACAAAATAAGGGGTGCCGCAGTGTGCACTGTAGTTCCATGAGCCGCGTAGAAGCTTGATCCCTCCTTTTGTATATTGTTGTTCCCATGCCAACCGGTGTTGTTTGTGGAGAGCATGCGCGTGAGACGAAGCAAGAAACTGGTTTGTTGTCATTACCTCGAAGAGCCTCGAGTTCGTTCTGTTGGAGTTCGATGATTTCATCCTGATTCATGTCCGTCATGACTTGGCCTTCAACATCAAACTATGGTGTGAGGTCGCTGTTGTTGTTGTGTGTTGTGCGTGTATGCGAGCGTCAAATGACTTGGGTATGTATGTATTTTGTTGGTGTTTCTCGCAGTCGATGGGTTTGTTGGCGTGCTGTGGCGGTGTGTAGTCGACCTATGAGAGATCTGCTTGCTGCTGCTGTTGTTTCTTTTAGTTTTGCTCAATGGGTGCTTTCTGAGTGGTATGAGTTTGTTGCTGCGTGTCTTCCTGTGGTAACAAGCAGCTGTGTGTGTGTGTGTGTCCGACTCAGAAACTAGGTCTCCCTTTGTTTCTGCGTTGTGTGAGAATGTGAAGAGGGAATGAAAGTGAGAGGGTGTGATTCCGAAAGAGTAAGTCAGAGAAGGCAAAAGAGTAGTTGTGCAGAGGAGGGGAGAAGAGAGAGAGAGAATGAGAGAAGGGCCAGGTGAGAAGTATCCTCTGTGGAATGTCTACACGAAGTAGACGGACGCCATCTTGAGTTAAGGTGAAGAGAGGTGTGCTGGGTTAATGGAGAGGGGGAGAGGAAGAAAGGTGTAAGAAAAAAGAAAAGGAAAGGGAAGGGAAATAAACAAAAAGAAAATTGAGAGCCAGATATTGAAAGGAAGGTCGCGCGTCTTGACCAACTCACCATGACTGACAACTCGTCAGACCAGCGTCTTCTCTTTCTGTAGTAGTCATAACGCACATGTTATCTTACATTCTAACCTCCATATAATGTTCTATCGATGAACGACATGCTTTCCGGACTGGGGGGCAACGGTCAGCCCCTCTTGATGCCTTTGATCGGACCATAGGTCTGTACGTACTGTAGAGATGTTGAACCCATTGACGCCCAAGAAAAACAAGCTCTTAATAATGCACACCCAATTGACACACAATCGTACAGTATTACCTTGCAAGTACACCCTGGCGGATCCGGGGGAAAAGAATGGTTGATTGTATTCCTCGAAACTATAACGGAGCCTCCTTGACTCGTTTTAGTGCATTGGTGCTGTCTTTCATGTGGGCCACTGCACCAAGTCTCCCGATCTGTACCATACTCTGTGAAAAGGGGTTGACCATGCGATTGAGATTGCTACTCTATACCCCTCAAGTGTTGCCACTAACCCTTTCGCCTTTTCACTTCTAAACACAACATTCGGTTCTCCTGCGACCTTGTGGTTCCTCGCTCTGAGAAGGAAGCGTGTGTTTGCGTATTCAAATCACGTGCTATTTTCTTGCCGCACCAATTGGAGCGACGGGAATGCACGCCACAGATCAAAGGAACCTATCTGCCTCATTCTTGGACACTTTCCCATTTCATCTTGATAGAAAAAAGGTTATCTACTTCTTTGACGACTCAATTGCTATAATCAACAGTCGAAGGAAGGGAGGGTTCAATGGATACGCCAGAGCATATCAAACGCGTCTTTGACTATGAATGAGGCGAACAGGAACCCTATACAACAACCCCGGCCCGGGCTGACTTCCGAAATAAGAAAGTAATAAAACAATGACTCGCTCTCTTTTCTTTCTTCCCTTCCAATTACATGGCAAAGACTACATGTGTGCCCACTGCCCGTGAGAAATAACAAAAGAACACAACAATGGGACATGACATGGGCTATTTTGTCCTTCTCCCCAAAAGAAGATATTTTGCCGATCTTTTTTGGTTATTGTTCTTTTTTTGCTTCTAGACAACCAAACAAATCCAAATTGAATTGCCGGTAAGAGGCAGGTCCAACCTCCGCCCGCCCGCTTTCTCTTCCTCCTTACCAAATGGGATTCCATGGATTCCATGGCGGGACAAACATAGCCTTCCCCAGTCCCACTTTTTTTTATTCTTCTCCCGAGAAATCGAGATCGAGATATTGTGTGTGCTTTGACCATTTTCCTGGATCTTCATCCTCCGTCCGAGCTTCATTCGTTTTCACTCATTTTAACTAGGAGAGAGGACAATGGTTGCCTCGCCTTCGTTGATCCACGTATCGAATCCGCCTTCAATTGATGTCCACAGTGAAGAAGAAAAGAAGGAGAAGCAACGGTATAGATTGGCACACAATTGCGCGACTTAATTCGACATGTTAGCCATTTGACCCTGTTACAGTATACTCCAACCTGTGCAGCACACTGAACACACCGCAAATGGAAATTGATCTCCCATCTTTTTATTTCTTGCTCCTTGCTGATCATTATTCCTGCAGAGTTCAATTGATGAAGAAGAAACAAAAAAAAAAAAAAAAAAAAAAAGAGCGAGGGATGATCCGTTTGTTGGAGTGAATGAAAGGAAATCATGAGCAAAGACAAGGAAAAGAACAAAATAGAAGACGAAAGAAGCTGCTCGAAAGTACTAAAGCAACGTCACATAAGGGCGGGGCATGAAAAAAAAAAAAAAAAAAAAAAGTGACTTATCTTTTTTTCTTTGATGCCGGTTGGCACAGACATAAAAAGGAGGGCGAAAGAACTGGTCCTTCTTTCTTCTTGTCCGTCCATCCTCCTCATCACTTTTTTTTTTTCCTTTCACGATCAACGTTCCTCTTCCCTTCTGTTCTTCTCTTTGCATCGCATCCGCACACCTCCGGTACTCTACATCTTCCCATAACAACAAATATATAATTCATCATGTCCGTCGTTGGTACGTTCCCTTTTTTCAGTTTGCCCTCTACTGTTCAAACAGAAGCGGGAAACAACTGCCTGTCAGCTAGCGTCCAACAACAACGACAACGACAACTAACCCTTCTGTAACTCTTTTATCGCAAATAGGTATTGATTTCGGAAACTTGCAGTCGATCATCGCTGTCGCCAGAAACCGTGGAATCGACGTTGTCTGCAATGAGGTTTCCAACCGCTTCACTCCCGTAAGTCATTTGTTTGTGTTTTTTATGTGTGATTCCTTGCTATTCTTGCTCAGAGAACAATCCACCTATCATCACAACTACAGGAACAGTTGCAACACAGCAACAACTAACATATCGATCAAACTGGATCCATGGACGTATGGATAATGAACAAGGGAGTGTGTATGTGTGTGTGCGCTGTTTCTTGATAATATTATGGCGAGGATCCCCGATCAAGATTTCTTTCTTTCCCCCTTTCCCAGTGCATGTTCATCAGAATGTTTTTTTTCAACTGGGCAACCCTTCTTTTGAGTCTCTACCTGTCTGCTCATGCAATCGGCATGAAAAAAGGGAAATAACAACAACAATCAAACACAACAATCAACAAAATCGGTATTTTAAAAGAGATGCACGCAGACAGGGGTAACACTTAACAATGCAAAATTACTGTAAGGGCATTATAGAGAAAGAGAGGCGTCATCACATCTGAGGGGTAAAAGAACAAAATGATGTATTGCGAAAGGCAACATAAAGGCAGAGAAGAGAGAAGGGTAACATACGGAAGATGATGAACAAGGAAAAGAAAACAAGATAGCAACTGCATTCGCAAGCCCAACAGATAACACCATGGCGACAACGATGATACTAACCAGCTCCCGTCATCACATCCCTCTTATGACATAGTCATTGGTCTCGTTCGGCCCCAAGCAGCGTTACCTCGGAGAGACCGCCAAGACTCAGGAGATCTCCAACTTCAAGAACACCGTCTCGTCGTTGAAGCGCATTGTTGGACGTACCTTTGCCGACAAGGAGATTCAGGAGATCGAGAAGCAGTACTTGACCGTCCCCCTCCTCGACGTCAACGGCCAGCTCGCCGTCAAGCTCAACTACAAGGGCGAGGAGACCACCTTCACCACCATCCAGATCTTTGCCATGTACCTCACCAAGATTAAGGAGATCGCCACCAATGAGACAAAGATGCCCGTCTCAGACTGCGTCATCGCCATCCCCGCCTGGTTCACCGATGTCCAGCGCCGCGCTGTCTTGGATGCCTCCGAGATCGCTGGATTGAACGTCCTCCGCCTCATCAACGACTCGACCGCCGTTGCCCTCGGTTACGGTATCACCAAGACCGACTTGCCCGAGGACAAGCCCCGCAACGTCTGCTTTGTCGATGTCGGTCACTCGTCATACACCGTCTCGATCGTCTCCTTCATCAAGGGCCAGCTCACCGTCAAGTCGCGCGCCTTTGACAGACATTTCGGTGGTCGTGACTTTGATCGCATGTTGGTCGACCATTTCGCTGCCCAGTTCAAGACCAAGTATGGTATTGACGTCAAGTCGAACGGCAAGGCTATGATTCGTCTTATGGCCGGATGCGAGAAGCTCAAGAAGGTCCTCTCGGCCAACGCCGAGGCCCCCCTCAACATCGAGTCCATCATGGAGGACCGCGATGTCTCGTCGATGATGAAGCGTGCCGAGTTTGAGGAGCTCGCCCAGGAGTTGATCTCCCGCGTCGAGGCCCCTCTCCAGAAGGCTTTGGATGATGCCGGTTTGACCGTCGATGAGATTGATGCCGTCGAGGTTGTCGGAGGCTCCACCCGTATCCCCGCCCTCAAGGACCGCATTCAGGCTTTCTTCGGAAAGGATCTCTCCTCGACTTTGAACCAGGACGAGGCCACTGCCCGTGGAGCTGCCCTCCAGTGCGCCATCTTGTCGCCCGCCTTCAAGGTCCGTGACTTCACCGTCCAGGATATCACCAACTACCCCATCAAGATGACCTGGCAGCCTACCCCCGAGGAGGAGGAAACCGAGCTCGTTGTCTTCAACAAGAACAATGCCATCCCCTCGACCAAGATCTTGACCTTCTACCGCTCCGAGCCCTTTGACCTCGAGGCCCAGTACGCCGAGCCCGAGTCGATCCCTACCGGCATCAACCCTTGGGTCGGTCGCTTCTCGATCAAGAAGGTCGAGCCCGTCAACGGCGAGGCTGCCTGCGTCAAGGTCAAGGCCAGAATTAACATTCACGGTGTTTTGACTGTCGAGTCCGCCTATGTTGTTGAGGAGGTTGTCAAGGAGGAGCTTGTCGATGAGAAGGAGGGCGCCGCTGAGGATCCCGAAGCTCCCTTGACCCGCAAGGTCAAGAAGCTCGTCAAGAAGGGCGATCTCCCCGTCGTCAGCGCCACCTCTTCCTTGGACCGTTCGCTCATCAACGAGTTGCGCGAGAAGGAGATGGAGATGATTGCCTCTGACAAGTTGGTCGTCGATACCGAGATGGCTAAGAACGCCTTGGAGGAGTACATTTACGACACCCGCTCCAAGGTCAATGGAGGCATCTACAAGGACTACATTAACCCCGCCGACAAGGAGAAGTTCATCAACGACCTGAACGATGCCGAGAACTGGTTGTATGACGAGGGTGACGAGACCACCAAGTCTGTCTACGCCGCCAAGTTGGCCGAGCTCCAGGTCGTCGGAGGCCCCGTCATCCAGCGTTACCGCGAGTCTGACGCCCGCCCCACTGCTGCCCGTGAGCTCCGCGAGACGATCAACCAGTTGATGTCCCAGGCCACCAGCTCCGAGGAGAAGTACGCCCACATCCCCGAGGCCGAGAAGAACTCGATCGTCGAGAAGTGCTCCAAGGCCCAGACATGGATCGAGAACAAGGAGGAGCGCCAGTCGATGATGAAGAAGTACGAGGTCCCCGCCATTACTTCGGCCGAAATCCGCAAGCAGCGCGACGACCTTATTTACTTCTCCACCCCTATCTTGAACAAGCCCAAGCCCAAGCCTGTTGTCGTTGAGGCTCCCGAGCAGCCTGCCACCCCCGAGCCCAAGGCCTCGCCCGAGACCAAGCACGACGACTCCAAGGACATGGACATTGATTAAATCCTTGCGCGACGCCCTTTCTCTTCTCAGCTTTTGCGGATCGACCAACACATTTCTCTTACCCCACCTTGCTTGCAGGGACATATTCCCCTCATCCCCCCCCCCCCCCCATTCATCTTCTTGTACACAATTTTCTTTCTCACAATAAAAATGCACATATGAACAGTAACAAAACAGTTGAACAAAATTGCACGGTCATGTCTCACTTTGCACTCTCCTTGTCTGATCCAACTGGCCCCTCTATCGTCTTTCATTGTCTCTGAATGCACAATGTCTTTTTTTTATTTTTATTTCAACCTTCTTCGACTGCTGGATAAATTCTACTTGTGAGAAAGAAAGAAAAAAAATCACAGAATCTCTCTCTCCAGTTCATACATCTCCTGCGGCGGTAGTCTCGGCAATGACGCGCAGCATATCGACCACCTTGCGTTCCGAATACGCCAACACCATCGCATTATCCACACTTGCCGGGATATCCAAGTTCACCAAGAACTGTCTCTTAAACTTTGTCGCTATAAAAATAAAAATAAAAAAAGCATTGAAAAAATATTGAATGAACGCGTAAAGGTTAGAACCGTTGGTGGGTATCTTAGGACCGATCAAATCGGTCCCCCCTTGTTTTCTTCTCGTGCAGCAAAAGAAGCGGCATTTTCGCAAAGAATAATATATATATGACATTTACCGAGTCGCCGTGCGATACCAGCGGCCGTTTCATCAATTGGGCTCCCGAGCAACGTACTCGATACCGGGGTCTAATTAATTACACCCATGAAAGAAAAAAAAAGAAAAAAAGTGTGAATGCTTTATCTTACTTCACATTACTTCCTTTCACACACACACACATCTCAAACGCGACCAAAAAAAAAAAAAAAAAAATCTCTGTGTCGCGATCCCATCAAAAGGTGTTGTACCTGTCCAGCCCGGAAGGCAGGCATAGCCATAGCCAAATCCCCAAACGCCCCCGTCCCCGCACCTCCAGCACCAGCACCAGCACCAGCACCGCCTCCTCCTCCAGCACTCCCACCACCCTGAAGAGCATCCTGCTGTTGCTGTTGCAACGGGTTACCCCCCGCTGACGAGATCCACACCCACTGCGAATTCTCCATCTCGATCACTTGAATATGTACGGGCTGCTGATTCATAAACATGAACGTCTCCTGGAAAACTTTGAATTTGGGTGTTGAAGGAGTTCCTGTACTTGAAGGGGGCACTTGCTGCTGCTGTTGTTGTTGTTGTTGTTGTTGTTGTGGGTCATTGTTGTTGTTATTGCTGATGGGTGTCGACTCGGATGTTGATGTCATTCTGTTGGTTTGTTGAAAGGATCAGTGTATGAGGAAGAGAGGGAATGAGAGAGAGAGAGACATGTAAAAACTGGGTTCATCTTTCTTTCAGCCGTTACGAAACGCAAGAAAACGCGCGTCCAAGAGTCAGCATGCAAGTCACGGCGAGCGCCACTAATTTGACAATGGGTTTATTATGTACAAGGGGTTTTTGGAAGAACAAAGAAAAGAAAGAGAATGATATCGGTCGAAATACAAATGAATGAGTAAAGAAAAGAAAGAAGGGGAAAAGACCATGGCATCCTTCAAATAAAAGGCCAAAGGTTGAAAACACACCTTACTCCACCTCGGACGACGACGAAAAAAAAAAAAAAAGGAGAGGAGACTTAGGCAGGGCCTCCGCCACTATTAGGATCCGCACTATTACCATCAACACCACCTCCTGCATTAGGATCGCCTCCAGCATTCGATGCCGCTTGAGCTGCTTGTGCCTGTGCCTGTGCTTGAGCCTGCGCCTGTGCCTGCGCCATCAATGCCGACGTCGACTGCAGGTTGTGTTGCTGCTGCTGCTGCGCCTGCTGTTGTTGTTGTAGCTGTTGTTGGACCTGGGCTTGCTGGAGCGCATGTTGCTGTGCCTGCAGATGCTGCATCTGCATCATCATCAAATGCTGCGCTTGCATCTGAGGGCTCTGCATCATGTTCTGCTGCTGCTGTTGCTGCGTCAACTGAGGGTTCTGCTGACGTGGAGACTGGATTGCCATCCTTGGTGACTGCAAGCGGGGAGACTGCAGGACAGGCGACTGCAATTGAGGACCGACCGCACCACCTGCACCGCCAGCGTTAGCAACATTCCCAGTATTGACTCCTTGTCCTGACTGCTGTTGTTGTTGATGCTGTTGCTGTTGTTGCTGCTGTTGTTGTTGTTGTTGTTGTTGCTGTTGCTGTTGTTGCTGTTGCTGTTGCTGTTGCATCTGTTGCATCTGCATTTGCAGCATCTGTTGCTGCTGCTGTTGCTGTTGCTGTTGTTGCTGCTGTTGCGCCAATGTCGCGTTTTGCTGTTGAAGTCGGTACTGCTGGAACTGTTGGGGCGTGATGGTCTGACCGTTGGGTAACAAAAGCACCTGTTGCCCAGTCGTCGGTGAAATCACCATCGAGATACCAGGAATACCAAGCATATTGGACAGTCCCGCCGCAACACTTGTTGCCGTCGCGCCACTGGCAGATGTGACTCCGGCTCCTCCGGCACCATTGGCAATCACCGCATTCATGTTGACTCCAGAAGCGCCAACCGCCGGGCCCGTACCGACAGCGTTCGCCACTCCCGAAACTGCTGCGTTCAACGGTCCATTAATCATCTGACCGCCGACTCCGCTGACAGCCGTCTGGCCTATGATGCCCTGCGTTGTCATGCCTCGTCCAAGACCACCAGTTCCAGCCATGCCTACCACACCAGGAACACCGGTCATCATATTTCCTCGACCCAGACCGCCAGCAAGGTTCACACCTCCAATACCACCTTGACCGACAGCGTTGGGAGGCACCATTCCTCGGCCACGCCCCATACCCATGTTGACACCCCCGGGTAAGCTGAGGTTCATTGTCGCCGCGTTGTTGTTGAGCAGACCGGCGCCGTTTGCCAAGGCTGGATTTACGCCCGCGGCAGGATTGACACCAGTGTTTCCGGCGACTGCGTTGGGGTTGCTGGCATTCCGCATCGCCGCCAGTTGCTGCCCAACCTGCTGAGCCGCTTGCGCCTGCGCCTGTTGGGCCGTCTGCTCAGCCACCAAGATCGCCTGCTGGGTCAAGATGGATGGCTGTCGTGTCATCAACTCCTTGATCATGTCCGTTGTAACGCCGGCAGCGCCAAGTGCCTCCATATTCTGTTGGTGACTAGTGTGCAAGATGGTTATCTGCTGCTGAAGTACCATCGTCTGCTGACGAAACTGGTTGGCAAGGACCTGGCGTTGCTTCTGGACATTCTCCAGGTTGACTCCTTCAGCGGGGTTCTGCATGATGAGACCAAACTGCTGGAGACGCTGCTGGTAATGCTGTGTGGCCTTGTTAAGACGGAGGCGGAGACCTTGGAGCTGCTGCTGCATCGCGATGAACGCCTGGACGGCATTCTGCTGCGGAATCGACATGTTGCTGGCCGTCATGTCCGAGTTGCCCGTGCCCGTGCCAGCGCCAGCGTTGACATTGGTATTGGCTGCGCCAGCCGTGTTGGCTACACCGGGGTTCGCGCCAGCATTATTAGTGTTGGTGTTATTGGCGTTGTTGGTGTTGGTGTTGGCATTGGCATTGGCGATAGCGTTGACATTCGCGGTAGCATTGCTGGGATCAGCTGCTCCGACAGCTCCGACAACCCCTGCGGCGCCTACAGTAGGGGATCCTGCAGGCATGGCATTAGCGGTGACTGTAACATTCGTTCCACCTCCACCGGGTTGACTCGTGCTTCCTCCTGCGGCCGCTGCTGCCGCCAGGGCAGCCTGTCCGGCCAAGAGATGTGCTCCCATGGGTGAGTTCATGCTAACACCAATGGACGTCGGCGTTGCAGTGACATTAACATTGGCGGGCGCTTGGATAGGCGATGCGAAAGGCGGTGGCTGCATGGCACCAGGCTTGGGTGAGCCAGCTGCTCCTCCAGCTGCGATTGAGGCTGCCCTCATAACAGGGGTAGAGATAGTACCATTCTGAGGGACGGGGCTTTGAAGCGGGTTCTGTTGCTGTTGTTGCTGGTTTTGTTGCACTTGCTGATTCTGCTGCAATGGCGCTTGTTGAACTTGCTGTTGTTGTTGTTGTTGCTGTTGTTGTTGCTGTAGCTGTTGTTGTTGTTGCTGTTGTTGAGTTTGCTGCTGCTGGGCTTGCTGGGCTTGCTGGGTCTGGAGGGCTTGGTTCTGCATCTGTTGCATTCGCTGTTGATGAAAGTTCTTGACCTGTTGGAACTGAGCCATAGAGATGTTGGCGACTGCAAGAATTTGCTGAAGCTGGGGCGAGAGCTGCTGAGCTGAGAACATTCCAATGCTTGCCAGTTGGGAAGCAAGGACTATTGAGAAAAGAGAATTCACATTTGCATTAGTATACAAAGTAATTAGCAGTAGTGCAGTTTCGATTTCTTAGTGTATTTTTCGAGCAGTGAAACTTACTGGCGATGGCTGCTGTGCCCGGATTGGCGCCATTGGCTCGTCCTGCTGCCGCCAACTGCTGGTTCTTCTGAAACTGGTTGAGAATCAACTATAATTTGAATAAACAAAAACAAAAGCATTAGCAACATCACAGAAGCGTATTGCGTGAGAGTATCCAAGCACAGCCTAGCAAAGTTCGAAATCTCACCTTCAAACTCTCCTGTTGACGCTGGGCAGGGTTCTGACCGACAGGAGCTTGAAGGGGACTGGAAGCCATAGCAGGGTTTATATTGGGCGACAACATTCCAGCTGCCGCCGCCGCTGCTGCTGCATTTGCGGCAGCGTTGACATTGCTCATAGCAGGGGTACCACCCTGAGCTGGGTTGGCCATACTGGTGGCATCCTGAGCGCCTGGAATGCCGTTGGCAATCGTGTTGGCAGCCAGCGAAGGAGACTGCTGTTGCGCCTGACCGAGTGCCGCCTGGTGAAGCTTCATCTGTTGCTGCTGTTGGATACGTTGCTGCATCTGCTGCTGCAACAGAACTTGCTGCTGCTGCTGACGCTGCTGATTGCTGAGAGCTGCCATTCGTTGCTGCTGTTGCAGCTGTTGCTGTTGTTGCTGCTGCTGCTGCTGCTGCTGCTGCTGATGTTGTTGTAACTGGGCCTGCGAGAGTGTCGGCGTGCCTGGAGGAGCCACGCCATTGACATTGGCATTGGCGGCCAAAGCTCCGTTGGATACTGTCCTCTGCATGGCCAGTGGAGATCCAATAATTGAGGCCGCGTTGTTGAGGTTGCCCAGAGGTTGAACATTGCTCTGCAGAGGAGTCGCTCCGCCGGCCGAAATTCCCATAGGGTGCATTTGATTCGCCTGTTGGGGTGACTGAAGTTGAGGAGCCTGTTGCTGCTGTTGTTGTTGCTGCAACTGCATCTGCTGCTGCTGTTGGAGCTGCTGTTGCTGCTGCTGTTGTTGTTGGAGCTGCTGTTGCTGTTGCTGCAATTGGAGCTGTTGCTGTTGTTGCTGATTGAAGGCAACCATCTGACGCTGAAGCTCCTGGTGACGTGCATTGTACATCTGATTCTGCTGTGGAGTCAACTGACCACCCTGTGCCTGGCGAACCCGCTGATGCTCCATCATCAACTGCTGCATCAGCAAGGTGGGATTGTTGATAACAGGCTGACCTAGTTGCGCCTGGGGCTGAAGGACTCCTTGGCCTTGCTGCTGTAAGCGAAGCTGCTGTTGTTGATGCTGTTGCAGAGTCAACTGTTGCTGCGCCAACTGCTCCTGCTGCCGCTGCTGAAGCATAGCCTGGTGCTGCTGGAGTTGCTGTTGACGAATATGCTCCTGCTGGAACTGTTGCTGTTGTTGCTGTTGGAGTTGCTGCTGTTGCTGTTGCTGTTGCTGCTGCAACTGCAACTGTTGCTGCTGCTGCTGAGTTGGCAATGCTTGGCTGGTCTGTTGCATCATCTGCTGCTGCTGCTGCTGCTGAAGCATTTGCTGCTGTTGCTGAGCAGTCAACTGTTGCGGTTGTTGCGGTTGTTGCTGTGGTAACTGCATGGCGCCCATTTGAGGTGTTTGTGGTACAGGGGTATAACGCGTCTGGGGGGCGGATGCAGCGTTGGCGTTGGTGTTGGCGTTGGTGTTGGCGTTGGTGTTGGGAACTGCTACATTGGCGGCTGCATTGTTGACCGGAGCAGCGTTGGCGACATTGGCAGCAGGAGCGGCGACATTGGCTACAGCTGGTCCTGCACTGGTGGTCGCGTTCGTTATAGTAGGGGTAGCAGCTGTGGCCACTGGGGCAGTAGCAACTGCGGCATTGGCGGGTGGGTTGGCTGCTGCTGCGGCTGCGGCTGCTGCTGCTGCTGCTGCCGCGTTGGCTCGTGCGGTGTTGGTGGATGTTGGCGTTGTCTCGCTGATAAGGGAGTTAGGGGAGAAGTACATTGACTTTAAACTCTGAACATAGGCATCCGCGCACTGCTCAGGACCCAAATGGAACCTATTCGTACAAAATGATAGTTAGGTCATTGGTTGGTACTCCATGGCATCAACTATCGCACACCCATGAATTGCTCCTGTTTTTCAGACGACATACTTGCGAATCCCGCCATTGACAGCTGAATCGGGTGACGTTCCATAACGCATGATAGCCTCGAATGACAAATCCGGGCACTGCATAATGTTGAACATGAAGTACATTTTGTCTATGTGCACAAATGAACCAAGTAAATAATATATGTTAGTTGTCTTCACAAAATACACTGATCTCGCGCTTTCAGCAGTTGAAAGAGCAATATATGCTTGTACAACTTACATCCACGCTTCTTGTCCTCCCGTTCGAAGCGAATCGTCCGCACAATTTTCCGTCCATCGGGCAAAACGGACATCTCCTGACGCTTCGCCTTGGACTTTTTGGGATCCAGTACTGGTATGACTTGTGTCTCTTCCATCTTCTTCTTTTGACGCCACTCCTTGAGAAATGCGAGCCGGCCAAAGTTTGGCTGGAAGTCCACCAGTGCTTTCTAAAACAATGTAGATTAACGAAGAGAGGGAATTTGTGAGTGATAGTGGGCCTTCCTGACAAGATGGATGGTGACGCCAATCATGAGCGATCATCATGTACGTTACCTCGTCCATCATGCTCATGAGCTTGTCTTCCTCGACCTTCCTTGCCGCCTCCTGCTCGCGTTCCAAGGAGTTCCACTTGCGCTTTTTCCTGGTACGCTGCGTGGCTGATGTCTGGTGGTATGATATCTGGTTGCTCAGTACAGTGACCATTGGCGATGGGTCCAGGCACAATGGTTCTTCGGTAGCAATCTATTTTCCCCATATACATGCAATACCAAAGAAATTCACTGTCAGAATCATTTTTCCAGAATATCAAATCTCCCGAGGCCCAATGCTTATACAGAAGGTAGGTGGTGCAGCAGGCATGTAGTACAACATGCAAGTAATGCAGCGCCTTACCAAAATTTTTGATTCGACATCCAGCATCAATTGACTTGACCAGCCCTCTCCCGATTCTTCGTGCAGCAATGAAAGGTCCGCCCAGAGCGTTTCCTGTGATGGCGACAGAATGACGCGCTTCTTAGAAGGTTTGTTGTCCTGGGTTGCCTTTACTCTGTGATCGACGACTTCCACAATGAGACGACCTAAGAATAACAATTGCAGATTTAGCTTTCACGTATCTTGTGGACGATATGTCCTTTGTCATTACGATCCATAACAACACTGTTGAGTTTCGTCCGCACCTTCATAGTATGGGCACTGGGCGCTCTTGATGATGTCCAAGAGACCAGATGGCAACCGCCTTTCCTGTATACTCTTCAGAAAGATCTATCAAGCAGGGCACAAAGTAAACAATAATAGCAACTTAGAATGGAATATCTCTCATCGACTGAGGTGCTTGAATATCAGGTCTGACGTAGTTTCCACACGGCATACCTTCATAGGTGAGTTGAACAAAAAGACTCCATCCTATTATTTATTGAGGTGAAAAAAGAAGTGTGGGAAAGTGTCAGAGAAGGAACAAATGGACATTACAAGGATTGCTCTTCCAATGTAAAAATGCAGCGTAGTAGTGGTTTGTTGTAACTACCTGGTTCTCAAACTTAAAGTGTGTCTCGTAAAGGTGAATGACGAAGGATGCTGGACTGTTCTTGTACTTTTTCAGCAGATCTACAGATTCACAAGAAAATATAAGTCGTCAATGTATTATCCACGCATGTCGAATCCTGAGCCCTACAACATACGGAACGGATAAGTAGATGTGTACCTGTTGGCCCAGTTGACTATGAAAACATCACAATGCCGACGCAGTGAAAGAACGCGTTCATATTAGCAATTAATAAAACAACTGAAAAGCAGCCGTGAATGCAAACAACGTGCAGGAACTATTGAGCATTATAGACCATATCCAATTGAGTTTTACCTTGACAGCGGTAATATCTTCTTCGCGACTTCTCTTGATTCCTCGCCCTATACGCTCCAATATGGGTGAATTCCCCACGCCACCAGGAGATGACATGGCTGTGCGTGGACTCTCCGACTTTGCCGAGGATGAATGTCCCGAGATCTTGGTTTGGAGCGACAAGGATGCCTTGGCGGCGGCGGCGGCAGCTGCTGCTGCCTTTTTACTTTGACCACCTCCACCACCACGTCCGGGGCTTGTGAGACTGTTAGTCAGGTTGACAAGAGGCGACTTTGGTCCACGCGAGCCAGTGCTATTCAAGTTGGAGGTTTGGATCCCGGCGACTCCATACTGCGAACTCTGCGGTTGCTGTTGATTGTGATGTTCGATAGCAGTGACCATCGTCGAGTTCATTCTCTCGCCCTGAGACAGAAAAAAAAGGGGTGTGTCCGCTGGAAGGGTATTGTGTCGAGTATTCTCCTGGAGGAATGTCAATTCCAAGTAAAGGTTGGGAGAAAGTGTAAAGGTTGAGAATTGAGATTCAAAGAGAATCGGTCGTCCTGGAAAGATATCAAACCGACGGAGTGGAGAGGTTGAGGGTGCTTGTGGGGAAAAGAAGAAAAAAAAAGCGCGAAAGGGAGAAAGGAAAAAAGGAAAGGGGTTCAGCAGCAGTGGACAAGGACTGTGTTGAGATGGTTGGCAAGAACAATATGGCAGGGGTAGAGGGAGAGAGTTGATGCCGTGCGCGAGGATATGGTGAGGGAGGAGTAAGTAGTTTGCGTGCCCTGAGGAGTGATCGTGAAGGTTAAAAGAAAGTGTTGGTGTGAGTGTGTGTGTGCGACTAAGAGAGAGGGAAGAGGAGAAGGGATGAGGGAGAAAGAGAGTAGAGAAGGGTGATTATGGATTATGGATTATGGCTGAAGGTGTGGAGTGTAAGCGGAAATAAGTTACAAAGACAAGAAGGAATGAATAAAAGGTAAAGAAGGATGGAAGGAGGGTAGGAATGGAGATGGGAGTGGGGAGGGAGGAAGGGAAGGTGAAAGAAGAAGGGAAAGAAAGAGAGGAGAGAAGAGAGAGGAGAGGAGGGCAGTGATCAAGTTATTTTGTGACTTCGTCCTTCTTCCCACCTTGAATTCGTTGGAACAGGAAAGAAGTAGCAGGTACTTTGTAGGGGGGAAGGAGAGTCAGAGGTTGCAAGTGAAGAAAAGAACAAAGACGTAAAGCGGATGTAGACACCTGCAACTTTGTCTTCTTACTTTTCAGCCTTCGTGGTCGTCGTGTGTGCAAGTGTATAGCAAAAAGAAGAGGCGAAACACAAAACGAAAGAGGCAAAAGAGGGTTCGGTTCATCAGAAAGACAAATGCAAACCATCGAAAGGGATCGCCCAACTGAACCAGACCCATTCCAATACGCAGTCCGTGCACGAATTATCAATACCGTGACGGTAACATTTTTTTTCTAGTCGTTGCTATGCATGCCACTTTCTCTTTTTTGTTTCTTCTTTGTTTGTTGTTAGAGTAGGTGTGCGCTGTTCTTTCTAAGAAAAAAAAATGGTAGATGACAATGGAAATGAAAAACAAAATACTACTCTTCATACGAGATTAATCCTTGCGTCTCTCAAGGTTATCAACGCGTTCGCCAAGACCCTTGAATGTCGCGTTATAATCTGGCCTCGTCTCAGGCTGGTCCTCGTCCTCAACCTCCATCGCACTCGACGCGTCCTGGTTCTTGTTGAACGGTGGTGTGGGCAGAGTTCCATGCTTGGGCGAAGAGCTGCCAGCATGAGGTGGTGTAGGCGAAGACGTGGTCTGTTCCATCGTATCCATTGGGAGAGGTCCTGAAGATGCTGACGAGGACAAGGACGACGGTGCGCCCACTCCCGTAGCCCCTTTCGAGGTTGGAGGGGTTGTTGTAGGGTTGGGAGTCGACTTGGGCTTTCTGGGTGGAGGAGTCAGGCCCTGATGTTCCTCCAATTGGCGAACGCGAGCATTCAAATGCTCAATGTCGCCCTCGAATCGCTCAATGACGCCCCTCTCCAGCTCCTTGAACTGGCCGCGTACAAGATTCTCGATCATCGTTCCACTTGCTTGAAGAGTCTGAAGCAACTGGGCGGACTTGCGGATCTGCTCCTCCAGGGTATATTTCAGACTGCGGCTCGAGTCCACAGAGTCAAAGAGGTTCGACACCGTTTCCATAAACATATGCTTGGGGTTGCTGCTAAGATTGTTGAGGTTGCTGTGGAAGGGTGTTGGCGGGTACATGGGCGAAGGCAGAGGTCCTGTATGTGACGATAAGATAGGTGCTGGAAGTGTTCCTGAGCTGCTATTTCAGAAGGCGTAAATAACAGGTTAGCGTGATATGCCCTATATCTTCCATCTGGAAAAAAACCAACATGCTAACGTGCTGTCGAGAGGGACATACCCATGCTCGCCACTCGGCGCATGAGTTCCGGGCTGGCGGAGGGTAGCACGCGAGGGCTTCTTGGCATGTCCGACTGCGCGAGGCGAACGCAAAGGTTGTTGAAAAGACCCTGGTTGAGCATAGGGGTGGTGCTGGTGACGGGGGACAAGGGGCTGGGATGTCCGGAGGCCCATACTCATAGCCTGGTGACTCTGAGATGGCTGCAGGGGTGCCGATTGGATCGAGAGGGACGACTCTGAGTAAGAAGGAGCGAAAATCGTGAGCGACTTTGCGTTCTTTGGGTTCTTGGGCGAGGGTTGAGGGCGGCGATTCAACATTGCAAAGGATGCGCTTCCATGAAAGACTCCAAGTCCGCTTGAGGTTGTCTCTGTGACGGGCTGGTTGCTGCCATTGGACGAAGTGGGTCGACCATTTCCTGATTGCTGAGGAGATGGCTGCTGCTGTGGTTGACCCTGACCTTGACCTGGACCACCACCTTGCGGGGCGCCTTGTCTGGACACGATGAGAGCCCTCTGTTGTTGCTTCATCTTCATGGTAGTTCGCAACTGATCCATCACCTCGGGTGGTCCACCAGGCGAAGAAGAAGGAGGCGACTGTTGCTGATGTCCGCCCTCGTGGCTTTGCAACAATCCGGGAACCGTGCGCCGCTTCTTGCTGTTTCGGATATCATCGTCCTCGTCCTCAGAGTTTGATCCTGGCAAGGGCGAGTCTTGACGATAGCGTGGAGAGGCGCCACGGTGGTAGTGGTCCGAAGAAGAGCGCATATCGCCTCGACCAAAAGAGCTATTGACAATGGAGAAGAAAATGAAGGCGTGGCGCACAAAATCCGTTAGTTTGTTGTGGGAGAAGAAAATAATGTAAATGACGACAGGAGTAGGCGCACCAGAATTTTATGGCATTAGACCATTCAAGAGAGGGAAGAGGGAGGGGAGCGATAAATCAAGGGAAAAAGGACGGAGAAAAAAGGAGGAGGAAGGAGATTGGAACAGCCATTAGGCGAGGAAGGGATGGGAGGGTTTAGATGGCGGGATGGGGGATAGGCGCGAAAGGGGAAACACAAGAGCAAGAGAGTGAGAAAGAAAGCGAAGGGTTGCATGAATAAGCAATGCATGCGCGGTTGTTGCACCAATAACAATGGTAATATCGGCCTTTGAGTTAGTGGATGGATAGATGATGAAGAGGGGGACGAGAGAGGGAAAGAGGAGACAAGGTCTGCACACATGCAATTCATCCATTATTTTGTGCTTTGTTCTTATTGTTAGTGTAGTTGCTGCTGTTGATGTCGCTTGCTTTTCTTATTGTTGCCTATCCCAGAGAACAAGAACCACCTGCCTTTTTCTTTGTTTGCATCAAAGTAAACGCCAATGTCAGCCCTGCGTGCGTGCGTTGTTGTTTTTTCTTTTTTGACATACGTCCATCTACTGCATGGAGTAAAAGTACCCCATCGCATTAAACATGCTCTGGAAGCTACGCCCTATTGTTCTCTCTCACTCTATGTTATGTTCCTGCTATATCTTCCGCCAGCATACTGCTGCGATAAAAAGACACGCACGGCCAATAACAATGGCAAAAACCACAAAGAACGTTACATGTGGAGAAAGTGCGCCACCCGAAAAACCAAAGAGAAAGATATCCGGAAAAGTGTCGCCACGCCCCTCTCCCCCAATAGATTGCGTCGTCTCTTTTCCAGCGCAACCCAACGCAACCCAGCTCAACTGTATCCCTGCCCTGCTGATCCTCTGTTTCCCCTTGATATTTTCAGCCCCAGAAAGCCTAAAAAAAAGTACTCCAGTCTGGATAAGAAACAGAAAAGAGAGAGTGATGACTCGGAGGCTGGCGTCTGCATTGCTTACCGTGAGGGGTGAAACCCTGATCCAGTGCCCGCCATGCTGTTGCTGCTGCTGTTGTTGTTGTTATTGTTGGACGAGGCGGGTGGGTCCGAGTAAGGGTAGTCGTCGGGCGAGCCTCTGCGTCTGTAAGGTGGCGAGTCCTCTTCGCCATAGGGATGCGGGTGCTGTTGCTGCTGCTGGTGGCTCTCAAGGACCTCGTGGATGGCCATGCGGTTGAACTTTCGGGTGGTCGTTGGAGTGATAGGTGAACGCCACGCGGCGCCAGAGTCAGGATCCTGCGAATAGGACGAAGGCTGGGACTGCTGGGGATGGCCACGGCTGTCCTTGGGATATGAGACGTGAGAATGGTGGTGCTGCTGCTGCTGATAGTGTTGGTGCTGCTGTTGGTGGTGAGAGGACGAGGACGACGAAGGAGGTCCTTGGTATCTGTCTGACGAGTGAGGGCCGGGGTGTCCTTGGGAAGGGTACGGGTTGTGGTGGCTTGCTCTCGAGTCGTCCATCTTTTTGTTTTTTGGTGAAGTTTAAAAGAGAGGAGGATGAGATCAAGATGAGGAAGGGTGCGTGTGGAGGTGGAAGGTGGTGTTGAGAGTGTGAGGCTGGTGGGCAAACAAAAAGGGGGTCCTTGTAATAATTGAGTCGGAGGGTGTATAGTACGTAGTACTAGGAGGAGGAGGAAGGAGAAGGGAAGAGGGAAAAGGAGGGGAGGAGGGAGGAAGGGCGGGAGGGCGAGAAAGATGAGAAAGGGAAGGAGTTAAGGAATGAAGGGTGTCGACCGGAGAAGGGAAGAAGGGATGAGGACGGACGATGGTGGAAAAGGTCGGAAAGAAAGAGAAAGAGAAAGAGAAAAGGGAGAACGAGAAAGAGAAGAGGACGAAAGAAAGAGGAAGAAGGGAAAGGAAAAAGGGAAGGATGAGGGGTGTGGAAGACAAGAAGCAAAGGTGTCAAACAGTCTTCTCTTTCGCTTTTCATACGGCATGTAGGCCAATGAGATATGCTTTTCATTCATCCAGGCAAAAGAAATAAAATTGGCGCCATCACCCACTCACACTCTTTGTCATGATGAACTTCTTGTCCTCTTGCTCATTTCATTCTTTTACACTTTTCGCGCACTAGGCAAGTAACAATGGAGACAAAGAGAATCACGAGCTCTTGTGGAAGCGGGCGCGTTGCTTTGTTTGTCTTTGATGATGTCTGTTGAGACTGATAGAGAAAGATGAATCAAATACCATCAGTCAGTGCTTCATTGATCATCACTGATGGTCGCTCTCTACGGCGAGAGAACAACGCCCCTGAAGACGAAGAAAAAGGGCTGCTGCCATCATCTCATCTTCTCCCTTCAGCACATATATGAAAACCGTGCATACTTTCATTCTTCATATTTACCCATGCCGAACCTCTTCTTCCCCGTCCTCCTGTCTCCTCCATCTTTCTATCTCTCTCTCTCTCTATCTCTCTCTATCTCTCTCTATCTCTCTCTATCTCTCTCTATAACTCTCTATCTCTCTCTATCTCTCTATCTTTTACACACACATATACATACCCACACTGGCCACCATCTGAATTATGACAGACTCCCTGCCTTGACAGAATTACGCCTCATTCATCCTGCTTGCTGTGTTCTACTCTGTCCCTTTTTCACCCTACATTATCAACCCTATCCCTTCCTTCCCTCGCTCAATTGACTTTATAAAGACACCCAGGCTCTCATCCTCACTGCTCTCTCTTTTGCTCGCCATCCGCTCTCACCCACCATCAAACATTTCCATTGGAGAACGAGCAAACAAAAAAAAATCGAAAGAACCGGCACTTTGTCGCCGTACTGCCTAATGCATTCCCACGTACTTCGATCGGGACCCCTCTTTGAATAAACATCATCCCACCACACAACCCGCGCACTTGCACTCATAACCACTCACCGTTGGTCCTCTTTCATTCCTGCTACTGTTGGTTCGCCATATTCATCTCCTCATGCTCGATTTCAAAACGTATGTAGCCCTATCCTCTCCTTTTCTCAACTCCTTCCCTCTCTTTTCGTTCTCACTTTCTTCCGGGGGCTTATCTCCCTACTACTTATCATCATTCTCACCAACTTAATCTCTCTACTACTCTCCAACTTTTTTTTACTGCCCGCTTACCCATCTACCATCTACCTGTACCTCTCCCCTTCTTTCGCGTAATCTCACCACCCCTTCCTTCTCCCACTCTCTTGCCCTATACATAGTGACCTGGACAACCCCTTTCCCACAAATATCACTAAACGCCATATCTAACATCCAATCTACTATCCACCGATCCATCCATATAATGATTAAAAAAGGGTCATAAGTCATCCAATTACCGTCTCGCAAACACCACCCCTATATCTCTCTCCCTAGAACCCTTGCACGTACACTCACTCCATAGTCCCAAAAGGACACACTCACACCCACAAACAATGCCCTTGCTATAATTATGCTCTGTGCTTTCCTAAGCACGGTCCTGGGTTTTTCTTTATGCTATCTCTATTTTCGATGTGTTTTCCTTTGGATCAAGCATTGGGAAGGAAAGAGAAAAAAAAAAAAAGGAGAAATCCCGTGGACTAATTGGCCAATTGGTTAGGCAGTTTCTGTGATGAAGGAGAGACACCGCATCTGGCTCATTGGAAGGTATGGAAGGGTGTGTGTGGACCGTGTGTAGAGGAAGATGCAAGAAGTAGTATGAAGGAGATAGGGGTGGAGAACTACTTTATTCTTCTACGATATGCCAGGTATAGTCTATTCATGCACGCGTTGTTTGGTTTACACGTAAACCATGGTCCATAAAGAAAAGAAAAAAAGAGAGAGAGAGAGAGAGAGAGAGAGAGAGAGAGGCAAACTTGCAAAGTGATAGAAAAGGAATAGTCTGTAAACAGAAACAATATAATAACACATAACAAAGGCTTGAAAGAAAAGGGCTAGAGACAGAAGGTAGGGGAAACAAAGTAAAATAAAAATAAAAATAAAAAATTCAAGATCTGTGGCCTCAGCACATTGCCTGGGCGTAGAACTGGGCAACAAGCGATCAGCTTAAACAAGCTTCAGGGGATTGAAAGGTCAGGCAAAAGGACCGGGGAACACACCGTCGTCACTGCCGCTATGGTCTTTTCGTGAACCGAAGAGTCGCGTTGATATTGATGTTCTTCGCCGTCTACAGAGTAATGTCTACAACGATGGATATAACAAACCAAAAAAGGCGCCTTTCATGTGCTTATTATTTGACATCGAAAGCAAAGATCAGAAACAACGGTCTTCATACAAAAAACTAACGGAAAAGGGGGAATACACAACATCGGTCGAAATCGATGCAGGTTGGAACAATGGCGAAAGAAATGAAAAAAACACATGTTAGAGAAGCACAGATACCAAAAAAAAAGGGTACCCTCTGTACGTGTGCGCCCAAGCACTCCTCTTCCTCCGTCAATAACACAACAGCAAAGCCCTATTCATATTATGCATGGTCAATTATGAGGGACTGTCGAGAGATGGTGATGCATGAATGAAAAAATGAAAAAGAAAAAAGTCAACCACTGCGTATGCTCAACTGGCTCATTTTGCGTCCAATTTTCCCTCCTATTTTCCTCTCTAACCACACTTCTCAGCCAACTTTACACGAACGACTAATAGCAGACAGAGGACAGAAGGGTTGATGTTAGTATTCGGAGGAAAAAAAACCAAAATATAAAATAAAAGGACAATGCGCAGTGGCTAGTCCGGGTTCGCGTCATAAAAACACCCTCATTCTTTTTTTGAACGGACCATGGTGAGCATTTGTATTAACTCGACTGACACTTGGTACATGGGGATACGATCGTTACGACTGACACCTGGAACATGGGGATATGATCGTCACGACAAAAACCACGTTTCAAGGTACAACTACAATAACAAAGGCAAGAACAAGAGCAGAGCAAGATAAGAACGAAAAAATACCAAAAAAAACATGGAGCCGTGAAAAAAAACAAGTAAAAGTTGTAAGATATGAAGAGGCGGAGAAAAACAAGACCAAGCGTTGGTCTCGAACCATCCATTGGATTTGTTTTTCGTTCATTTAACGATAGGACTTCTAGCCCTCCCGACTTGCCAACCCTCGGGGCTATTTTCCCTTTATGCCTAAGAATGATAGTGTACAGTACTTTACTCATCATTTCGTAATGTTTTTTTTTGTTCTTGCTTCCAGCGAGCAGGAGACGAGAACATGTGTCGTCTTGCATAGACTTTGAAAACGAAAAAATAGTGTTGGGTTGTGAACTTTCTCTGGTGCAGGAAAGCTGGAGGAACAAACCCATTGATGACCAAATGAAAAACAATAATAAAAAACAGTAGCGATAGGCAGCTGACACTTATCCATCCTGATCCTCCACCGAGTTGACGGTAAGCAGGAAAAAAACAGGCAACCCCTCGGACCCCTCCTTTCATTTCTGTTGTTGCTTTCTTTTCATTTATCTATTCTACTTCTGCTTTTGACAGTAATAGAAAGAAACCAAAACAAAGACGCAGCGTGTCATTGGCAACTCTCCGATAGAGGGGATATTCTTGAGCCATTATTTTTGTTTTTTGTGCCAACCCCCTAAATCAGGTCCGGCATGACCACAAAAAAAGTGAAGGATGGTCTGTCGCACATTAATGCACTCTGGTCGAGATCTGGGAGCTCGTTGGTGAGGTTTACAAGAACTGTTAGTCCTCTAGAACACGCCCGGACCTGATGTTTGGAACTGTGCCAGGGGTGTGTCTAGGAGACTAAAGAGCCCCCTCGCTTCAGCCACCCCTATTAGGCTTTGCCCAATTGCACAGATAAGCCACCCTGCTATAACAAGGATTAGAAATCAACTCTGAAAGGTTCGCGTAAGGGCGAAGGAAGGACCGATCGAAAACCTGGCGGGAAAGAAGTGACAGGGATGCATGTCTCTCTTTTTTCTTTGCTCTTAAGCAAATGAAAAAGAAACACACGGCGAAAAAAAAACATCATCTTCCAAATGATCGTTCCCTTTGACCGTCTCTTTGTATGAGCGCATAGGGTCAACGTGCCCCTTGCACAAATTGGAATACGCGCATACACACATCATCATCCCTTTGGGCAACTTTTCCCAGTTTGTTGAACCTAAGCAACGAGTCGTGCGTATATATGTATATATGCAGCTTCTTCCACTTCCACTTCCTCAAAACAAAGCCACGCTCACGCCACTGATGGCACAAGGTCCTCTTCTTTTTTTTCTTCACGAATACTGCTCTTTCAAACAAGTCGGTAGGACCAAGAAACAAACAATGGAATGCTATTTCGCCTTTTGGGGTAACGAAACAAACGCACAAGGTTAGTGATTGGTCTATTCGAAGAAGTACAAAAAAAAGGAGAGAAAGGGCACCCACTAGCATCACCACCACCAACCTACCCTAGACTACAAGAGAGAAAAGAGGAGGAAAAAATACCCCGTGCACCGTGTCCAATCGGTCTTTTTTCCCCTCGGACAGATCCATTGGATTTTTTTTTTTTTTTTTTGGCGTCCGTTCATTCGTCTCCAAACAGAACAATCCTACTAAGGTTGTTAGTAAAGCACCGGATTTTTTTTGATTATGCAAAAACATGTAAACCCTCTTGAGTTGTTTGTTGTTGGGTCAATTGCGAAAGAAAATCTCTAATTGACCAGTACCCGTAGATTTTCCGTCAATGAGGAACAACGCATTTCTCCTTTTATTTTTTTCACTCCGTGAGCGAGTGAGTGACGGTCTGTCCTTCATTCTGCATGCTAGTGACTCTTTTTTTTTTTTTTTTTTTTTTTGTAGCCCGTTCGCAGGTTTGTTTGTGAGCCGTTGTTCTTTTGAATAGAAGGAAAAGGTGCGGTTGAGTACAGTCGTCTGAAATGAAAAAGTAAGGGGGTGCTTGTCGACATATAAGAACAGGGGCATCTCCCGCGCTCTTTTCATTTTTCGTTCTTAGCCCTGGTCAAATTATCCAACAAAAAACAACAAGCAAACATACAAAGAAAACAAAACGCAAGATACCTTTCTTCCTTTCTTTCCATTTAACAACAAACTCGTCCTTTACCATCATCACATCCTTGTTTATCATCCATTTCTGATTAATTGAACTGACTGACACATACACGCCTACCCCACTCAAACACGATCAATCACTTCTCCTCCGAAGCCTAATTGTCTCGCACAGTTTTTGATCACGTCTGTTGAGCCAGGTACAGTAACACTCCTCCTCTCCTTCTTTACCAGTTGTATGAAAATGCGCACTACATATGTCTATGAACAACAGAATGGAATTGGATCAATGGTTGAACCCCCTCCCCCTTCAACGGATGGTGTCAATTCAATTGAGACACTTGATCCCAGCTACTAGTTCAATGGTGTGGCTTTTAAAGTTGTCTGTGTATGTGAACATTCCAAGTGTGGAAGGGCAACAACGACCAGTGGTGGTACTGGTGGTACTGGTGGTGCTGGTGGTGCTGGTCGGAATTCAAACACATCTATGCACACGCGCTAGTCTCCTACTTGTTGCCATCTCTATTTCCTGGTAGTTTTTTTGATTGGATTTTTTGGGGGTCGCGATGGATGAATGGAGTTAATGCTCTCTTTTTTTTTCTATCGCTATCTTTTGCCTGGCCATTCCCATTCTGCACCGATCCTTCAACAAAAAAAAAGTTATCGAAATTTAAGCTGGGCGAATGATCGGGAGCTACAATGATGGAAAATGTTCATCAGATCTCAAGGGGTTAGCTAGCTTGGCTGGTTGGCTGGGTGGTTATAGTGAGCTGCCAACAAACGAGGTGGTGAGGTGCTGCTGCAAGCACAACGAAATTACTCGATTCCATCTCACCCTTGCCTACAAGAGAGGGGGATCATGAAGTTGTCCAAAGATCGGGCCAGGCAATGTCTCTCCTCGCTTCCTAGTTGTTATTTTTTTCTTGGTGCTCAATGAAAAGGATCACTTTTGCACCCTCTTTTTAACCTATTTTACCATGATTTCCATCCCTCCCCAGTTCAGTTTGTAATGTTCTTTCTTGCTGGTATTTTTTCAACATTTTATTCTTGCCCTACCAATATATCGGTTCTCGTTGTCTTTATTCCTTGCTTTTCCTAATACCATACCAATACCTTGATCCACGTTTGTCTTTCCTGTAGTCTCGCATAGCTCCTTCCTTTTTCCGCTACGCGCTTGATTATAGCCGAGGGTTCGAAAAAAACTGTAAGGCACCAATCGCTGACTACTTTTCTGGCGTAATGGAGTTAGAGTGAATGAAGAGAACAAGGGGAGAGGCCACACAACGCACGAGGAACCGAGAAAAATGTCAAAAGATTACCTAAGAATTGTGTTTGGGGTTCGGGTCGGAGGGTTCCTCCGTCATTGTTTATGGAATAACGCGATTGGGAACAAAGGGAGAGAGAGACGGACACGAGATGTCCTGCACCTATCCTGGGACATATCTCTCGTTTTACCAATTGATACAGAGGGTGAGGGCATGTGTGTGAATGTATGCGCTCGTGTGTTTGTAGCTGGGGGTTGGTTATGGAGGTTGGTTATGGAGTGGGGGGTGCAATTGCTCCCTCCAAAACAACAAACAAGATAGTTAGCGCTGCTGAGTGGAACAAAACAAGGGACAAACAACAAGGGCGAGAACAAGAGCGGGTTGTGTGAGCAAGTACTCGAAGTCAGGGTAAAGGACGGCCAGGTGAAGAGGGAGTAATAGCTCTGTGGAATAATATTGAGCCAGCAAAGGGTTCCCTTCATCAAGTGTGCATGCACACGCCAAGTACCCCCAGCCCCAACCAACCAGCGGCCTCCCATGATGACTTTTCCTCATTTTCTTCCACCCCAAAGGGCTTTTTTGCCTTATTTCGTTTGTTAGAACAATTGACCAGAGATAAGTTGCCAGAGGACATTGCGGTGTGGTTCGAGCTACTTTGCTCTCTGTTCTCTGCATTGTTTCTTCATCTCTCCATTCACAGCGCGTCATGCTAGCTCTTTCTCTCCATGTATCCTATGCGCAATGCCTCCATTGTCCAAAATGTCAATGCTTTTTGTGTTTCCTTCGACTTCACCCATCTATATGAACATCTATATGAACACACAAGAAGGAAAAAAAAGAGAGGGAAAAGTGAGCGGTCGGATCAGCGTGATTGAGTTACAAAACGAGAACAAGAATAGACGAGATCAAAAAAGGGTAGAGGCTAGCCAATGAGGGAACCACTTGGTCAAAAGAGGGCAATAGAAAAGCCCTTTTGGCTGGCGTCAAAGAGCGAAAAGAAAAGGAAAAGGAAAAAGAAAGAAAGAAAAAAGAGATGACACACCTTGAAGAAGGACGGAGGAGCGGAGTGGAGGATCTTCCTGTTCTTTTTCTGTCTTTTGGACGTCATGGGGGAGAAGGAGAACAGGAGGAGTGAGTTGTATGAAGTCAAGGAAGGGAAGGAGTATCCATGTGGGTAGTTGTCGGTGTTATTTTTGGCAATGAACGGAGGGGTCATGGCTGTTCTCGATGTCAAACAGACTCTTATACGAACAAAGTGATGCACTGATTGAATAGTACCCACGCATATCATGCACAAACACACACTTAATCAGTCTCTCTCTTCGTTCACATGTGTCTAACACGCAACCTTTTTCTTGCTTCTCTCTTCACCCTTTCCGCTGATCTGGCATAAATAGGCTTTCTCTCCTTCCCTTCTTCTCCTCACTTTTCGTCTCTTCTACTCCTCCTCTTCTTCTTCTTCTTCTTCGTCTTCTACTACAACAGCAACTCTTCCTTCAACAGCTCAACACTTCTGCACCGTCTCCTTTTTTTTTGTTCCTTCCGTTCAACCCTTCTTCACTCACTCAATACTCACAGTACAACCCTCCTACACAACGCATACGCCACCCTCTTCACTGCAACACACACGCAACACTCACGTCTCAACCATGGACATGTCCGCACTCCAAAGTAAGTGTCTTCACACACACACACACTACTCTGCGCTACGACTGCCACCTCTCGACAAGTTCATTCCCTTCCAGTCATTCACACCCCACCATGTCGGAATGAAGGAAGTGAGTTTGTACATGTCATGAACATAATAATTATTATTGTGGGAGAGTTGGCGTCTGTTGTGTATTGTTCTATTTTTCTTAATATGAGCATCCTGCACGATGATGCATGAACCATGAACCAAAAAAACACGGGTTATATATCATCTCTTTTTTGACTTTGTGCTCCATGGGTACAGAACGGGGCGGGCTCTCTCATTCACTTGCTCTCTCTGCCATGGGATGGGTGAATGATCTATAATGGGGGGTGTATTCCACTTCCTTCACTCGTGTGAGCCCCTTCCAACCTTGCCTTTACGTTTCTTTTGTTTGTATTCTTGCGTCTTCAACCTGTTCGTCTATTTCTTCCTTATACACTTCCTGCTCCTTGCTCCTCGTTCGTTGCTCCATACCCTACTTTTCAGAAAGACAAGTGTGCGTGTACAGAAAATGTAATTCATGCATTATACAACACACACAATTGCCTATTTCTGGCTTATCTTCTTGCGTTGTTCGCATAAACATATCTTACCTTATCCTCACGTCCTTTGAAAATGGTGCCACCATTGCTACAATCGACGATCGTTCCCTTCCCTCCTCTCAACCTCCTCTTTCTTATTCCTTGGACAGCTGTGTTTGCAACGGCTCGTTTAATTCACAACGCTTATTGTTTCTTTTATCTACCAGTACGAATAACACACTCGAAAGAGAGAGCACAACGACCGTTTGCCGATCGAGAGATCCGCCAAATCTCTTTTATCCTTATGCTAGTTTGTTTTCTTTCTAGTCAAAACTGGCATACGTTACACACCCAACTAACCTGTCCGTCCATTCTGTTTCTTCTTCCTCTTCTTTTTATTCTTTTTGATCTCTCTCTTCTCATTCTCTCTCTCTCCTTTTTCTTCTCTCTCTCTACTCTCTTTCTCTCTCTCTCAATTGTTACTACCTTTCCCTTGCGCACTTCGTCACATTTCCCCCCGACTCATTACTTCATACTTCTTCATTTCCCCTATTTCCATTTAACCAATTGCCCCCCTCCTCCAAAATGCCACTGACATTGACAGACTTTGAGCCACGCAAGTTTGCGCCAATGCCAGAGTCACAGCAACAACCTTCACAACAACCAGCACCACAGCAACAGCAACAGCAATCGACCCGTACCCCTCAGACACCACAGCAACAGCTCCTCCAGACTGACCCTCTTCAGCAGATGACTTCCTTCAAGTCCCAGCCTATCGAGACAGTGCCCCCACGAGTCCTCGAATACAGTCCCCATTTTGGCCCCGAGGGTCAGACCTTCACTGTCACCCTTCAGTCCAACACCGATAAGACTTTGCGCATTGGGTTCGGTACCCTTGTGGTCGATACCAAACAATATGCCGCCAATGGATATGTTACCCTCAGCTGCACCGTCCCCAACTTTGCGATTACGAAGTGGTTCGTGAGCAAGGTTCCCCTCTATGTCCTCCAGATGGAGAATGACATGGTCATGGAGAGCTGGCCCTTTGGCGACTACAACTATTACGATGGTTAGTAGAATGATATTCTCCCTTTTATGTTCCATGCAATACCGTGTCCATGTTTCTTGTCAATCAGAATCATTTTTGAAGCGGAGCAGCATTTTTTAACCCGCTCCCCCCTTCCATTTCTTTCTGTTACCCATGTCATTGTCCCAATGGTACATGTATATTTGTACATGCAGACAATAGCCAGAGCAATACCAGCAAAAACAACAAGCGTGGTAATGTTGACAACTTATTGTACGGACAGAACCAAAGTCCCGTGGCCAGCAAGAAGCAGCACCTGGTCACCGATCTTGATCTCTCCAACACCCAGCTGTCTTCGCAACACAGCCACCAACAACAGCTCTCCCCTCTAGCCCCCTCGACGCCCAACACCACGCTCAACGGCCTTGCCCCTCGTCGTAAGTTGTTTTCTGCCCTCCTCGTTGTTTTCATTTGTCTTTTTCATTTCCAGTTTTTCATTTGCCAGCTCCTGCAGCTTGCTGTCTGTCCCTCGCTGAAAGGAATATATAATTTCCTTTTTTTGGTTTAGTTTCGTATCTTTCATACTAACTGTAGTTCGCTCACTCCTCTTCATCTTTATCTATCACACATCCATTCGATATTGCCCTCTCATTAGAAGACGACTACCAGGATTTGTCCTCGTCCGCGGCTGCTTATGATGCCGGGCTCTACTCGCAGAGCCTGCAACCCACCAGCCCGTACGGTTCCCGTCCTCCCATGAGCGCTGCTTCATATGCGCGTTCAGGATACTACAACACCAGTACGTTGATTGATCATTTATGCCGTTTTTCTTCGTAACTTGGGCGCAACGATGACGCCCTTTTATTTTCTTGTCTCTTTTCTCGGAGTTATATATACCGGACAGACAAAACAATTGGCGCCTATTCATCATCCAAACTGACACTTTTTACCTTTATCCTTTCATCTTTCCATTTTCATCTCTTCCTTATCTCTTCCTCCTTCCACTTTTTTTCACTCTCTCACTCCTCTCCCTCCCTCTCTCTCTCTCTCTCTCTCTCCACCTATAATTAATGGCTTCGCTACTCTCAGACCAAATGATTGCCCCCCATATGCCATCGTACTCGCAACCAGAACTCGGTTCCTCGTCAGGCTATGCCTTGACCTCGACGGCCAACCACAACACCAACTATATCCAGAGCAGCAACAATAACAACAATCAGCAGCACCATCACCACCCTCAGCCCGTCGCCCCTTCGTCCTATATGCCTCAGCCCCACCCTAGCGCAGCCAGTATGGGCGGAGGAGGAGGTCTTCCTCTGGGCGGATACAACCCCTATGCCTCCCTCCTGAACAAGGCCAACCTCAAGTTCCAGGGCAACATGGACGACATGGCCATCAACTGGTCCGGTGAAGAGTGGGAATCCCACCGTCGTCTAGTCCAGTTCTGGCGTCGCCAGGATGGGAATGACATCCACTGTACATTTGCGCCCGTTGCGCCCGCAGACCGACAGCCCAACAGTATTGTGGTCTCGTGCATTTACTGGGCCGAGAAGAATGACTGCTTCTTGACATCCGTCGACTGCATCTACCTCCTCGAGTCCCTGATCGCTGTCCGGTTCACGGTCGAAGAGAAGAACCGAATCCGTCGTAACCTCGAGGGCTTCCGTCCTATTACGGTGTCCAAGTGCAAGCCCGAATCTGCAGAGTTCTTCAAGCTGATCATGTCCTTCCCAAACCCCAAGCCTCGCAACATTGAGAAGGATGTCAAGGTCTTCCCCTGGAAGGTTTTGCCTTACGCGCTCAAGAAGATTATCTCAAAGTACACAGCGTCGTATTCGTCCACGGCGTCGATTCAGACTGATGCATTCCATAACGCCAACTTCCCCCACGGTTCTACCCTCCCCGTCACGCCGCAGCAGCAGACTATTATTGAGTCAAGCATCCTCGCATAGTATAGTCATTCTTTTTGGAGGTTGGGTGATGGATCCCAGTAGCCGTTTCTGGTTTCATATATTTCAATTTTGTTTTTTTTTCTTTCTCGTTTTCGTTTTGTACCGTTTCTTGCTTTTTTTTACTTTTTCTTACACACACTTGTACATTACACACACACACACCTCCTCGATACATAAGCACTGCTTACTACAGTTAGAATAAATCCACAACAATGAACAAAAACAACAGTAACAAATGAAAAAAAAACATGGCATGGCATGACGAAAAAGCTGGCAAACAGACAAAAAAAAAAAAAAAGTTGTTGGAAGTGCAAGTACATGTGCAAACCATGTGCAAAAATAGAAAAAGCTGGATGGAGTAAGATGATGTGGTGGAGGTTTTGGGCGATCATTGAAAAAATTCATGTAAAACAAAAGAAATGACATTGTGCATCATTTCTAATCGATGTGAGCAGTTTCATATTATTGATTGTTTCTCGTCGAGTCGAGTCAAGATGTACCCATGGGGAAGGAAGAGCAGGATATGGACGGGGAAAGGAAGCGAAGGGTTTATAGATTGGGTAGCCCAAATAGAGTCATCCCAAGAGAAACACAAGGGCGGCAGGTTAAAAGAAGCAGATAATAAAGGTACAACAAGAACAGAGGAATGAAGTGAAGCAAAGTGTAATATGTAATGTATTGGTGGTAAGTGGGGCGTGTCGTTAATTCTTCTATCTTTTTTTTTCTTTCTCTACTTTCTGTACCACATGGTGGTAACGCGGCTCCTACGCATCTTCTTCTGAAGCTGAAGCACACCGTACAGCAATGCCTATTATCACACAAAGAAAGGAGAACGGTTGTCAGTTTTTCTTCTTTGTGCTCTTGATCAAAAATTTCAGGTTGACCGTAGTAGCGCAACCAATTTCATAATCCGTCCATCCCCATCCTGAGGGGGTTTCCCCTTTGCAACAACAGAGCGCATAGATATAGGTTTACCTCAGAGGTAGGTGGGCATCCGGGAACATAGATATCAACGGGGACAATACGATCGCATCCACGGACGACAGAGTACGAGTAATGGTAGTATCCACCTCCGTTGGCGCACGATCCCATCGAAATAACCCAACGAGGCTCAGGCATCTATCGTTCGTTTTTGTGTCACAAATATTGTCTGTTAGTAACACGCTTACGCTCCTGGGAACCTTCCTGCTGGCAACATCCTGACATTACATCCCGCTGCCCCATGATAGCATGTCCAAGCCGTACCTGATCGTAAACCTTGCGGAGAGCGGGAGCCATCTTGTTGGTCAAGGTACCGGCGACAATCATGACATCGGACTGACGAGGGGAGGCACGGAAGACGATTCCGAGACGATCCTGATCATAACGTCCGGCAGCCATGTGCATCATCTCGACGGCACAGCAGGCCAAACCGAAAGTCATGGGCCAGATCGAACCCTCACGACCCCAGTTGATGATCTTATCGACAGTCGAAAGAGCGTACTCTGTTTGAATTTTGTGGTTGTGTTGAAATGGTTGGGTGAGGTGATTGTCCATGGTTTTGGTCGTTGGTGGTTGTACCGTCGTAGTGAATGTGTGATCAAGATCCAGTAGGAGACGGCGCATGAAGACGGCGATATATGGAACATAAAGTAGAGAGAAAGAAGATCAAATTGGTTAGAACTATTTGTCGTTGATGAAGCTTCCTGGATCCAAACGTGTTATATCCCTCTTTGTGTCCTGTTGGAAAGTCCGTTTAAAAGTGAAGCAACGTACCGACGGCGTTAGCGGGCTGGCTGATGGGCCCAGGGTATGACTTTGCGACGGCTGTTGACATGGTGCGGGTCTGTGCTGGGGCTACATATAAAAAATCAAAGCGTGTTCAATAGATGATTAGTACAGGTCTATGGCATAGTTGCCCAAGGTGGTAAAGCGTGGCAATATGCGCGCAAAAACAGTATAGCGAGGAGTGACGGACCTTGCTCCTCCTTCTCGGAGACCAAGCCAAAGTGGCGGATCTGTTGGGTGGCCATGGGCTTCAAGGCAGTGCGGGCAGCTAACATGTGCCATTGCAAGGGGAAAATAGGGCGGTTTTAGTCGCGGGTTTTTTGGGTAGATCATCCGTCATCCCCGAATAGTGGTGTATTGTTGTTGAGGTCATGGGCTTATCGAGTTCGCTAAAGTAGCGTCCTAAAGGGTGTGGTGATGGTCGCAGGAACATTTAGGGAAGTATGTCGAAACGGAACAGTCCGAGAAGTGGGGGATGTAGGATCTCCGAGATTTGATGTAGTGTGTTGCGGGTTCGGAGAAATGCGATTCCGGGTTCCTGAGTGTGCTGCTTTGTTGTTGTAGTTGTTCTCGGTATATCTCCTTGTTGTCGGTTGTTTGTTGAGGTGTGCCTATGTCTATTACCTGCGCCCGACATGCGCAATCCGACGGTAGAGAGCATGATGTATATATTAAAGAAGAGTGGAGTGGGGGCAAGAAGGCAGAGTTGATGATGTGGGACACTTCGGCGTTTCTCTTTTCTCCTTTCTCCTTCTCTCCCTCTAAAGAGAAAATCAATACGTCACCGTATTTTTAGATCGGTGTGAGTGTTACATGGCTTTTGGGGATGGCAATCGACAGGACAGGAGCAGATTTTTTCCTATTTCGAGTGCATGTTGTTTGCTCAAAGGACCATGTTTGCAGAGTTTTTCGCAGATCAATTGAAAAGAGGGCATGAGTAGGATCGAGGTCAACTAAACTGCTCTCGTAAACCAAGTTCATCCTCGGCCAGAGTACGCATCATGTCTCTTCCTGTCAAGCCATTTTTCACAAGTTCATCAAGCAAGATAATCGTTTGTTTGTTTTGTTGTGATGATCTTTTATTATTACTATTATTGTCATTTTTCATTGCAATTCTATCATTCAGTGGGCCTTCGATGCGACAAGTTTACCTATTGATCTGTGAGGAAAAAACAAATAAACATTCAGTCGTTAATAACTGATCGTAATCAACGTTGATTGAATCCAAAAGAGGACATATTATTTGTGAAGTGTTCAGTCTTGGACGCTTGATCTCATTGGAAATCGAATTGAGCTGGGTTAAAGTAGCATGATAGCGTGAATCATCATATTAAGAGGAAGAGGAGGACAGGGAGGTGTTCAATTGATACGAGCATGGACGCGAATGTTTACCTTTTTGGATCTTGTTTGAAGGACGGGATTCAGAATCAGTTTTTGTTGAATCAAGAATCGATCATGCAAATGAGGGGGAGCGTGGAAGTGAAAAGGTGGAGGAGGAAGGTGGGGGAGGGTTGGGAAAGGGGTGAGGGGAAGAGGAAGAAGAAGGAAGAAAGCAAAAAAAGTTTTCCACGCTGTTCGTTTTATCAGCACTGGGAGAACGCGTCCAGCCGGGTTGCATCACGTGAAGGTAGATTTCTCGGACGTATTTCTGTTTGATGGGAATGGGACCAGCATTGGAATCCAATGATAGAAACGTGTGTGAAGCTCGAGGACAAGGAAAGGGATGAGGGAGAGGGACTGGGTCGGTTGACCAGGTGGGTTGTAAAGAGGAAGAGCGGTGCCTGAGGCAGGTGGGTGGAAAGCAGCGAGCAGTGTGTGAACAGTTCACAGTCCTCTGCAGTAGAAGAGAAAAAGCAGTCTTCTGTCATGATTCTTTCCCGCCCCTCAAAATACTAGGTGCGGTTCTCGAAGCGTTTGTTTTGTTTGTTCGAGGTCTTTGTTCGGCCACCACACCCATACTCTTTGCTGCTTTACTTTTGCACATCCACACGCCCACACATCCACACTCACACCCTCTCCACTCTGTACTATTTAACCCTCTCGACCACATTGCAACCTCAGCTTTCTTTGCGAAATCTAATCACACTCTCATCACAAACAACGCCAACCCTACAACACATAACACTAAACAAACAATCAGAACCCACAACACTAACAATGTCACAACAAGTCGTCCAACAACAACAAGAACAAAAACAGCAGGATAACGACGATCCTCCCCCGTCCCAGAAGGGTACTATCGCCACTACTACAAAAACAGTTTCACAGCTCAAGGTTGACACCGAACTCTCCTCAACCCCCTCCTCCTCATCTCCACGCCCGCCACCCCCTCTACCGAGCACTAGTCGCCCAACTTCGCCCGTCAGCAGGAAACGGACCGAAAATCTCGACAGCTACGATCCATCCCTCTCCGCCAAGGACCAAGGTTTCCTAAGCAGCTCCCAGAATGGAACCTTTCCTCCCTCGAAAAAGTCAAAGACTTCGTCTCCGCCGCTCCTCTCACCCAGACTCTCGCAGGCCAACATGTCCGAGTACAGATCCACTCAGGAATCTCCTCTCTCCCCTCAGACTTCGCCGATCATCGAACCATATCTCGATGATGCCGATACCGGAACATTTCCGGTCCTCGACATTCGCTCTCCTCCAGTTTTGGTCAGGGCGCGCACAATGGAAGATATGAAGTCAGTACTACCTGTTCCTTTAACTCGACACGGCTCCTCGATTCTCGACAGTATGGCAAAATCAAGCGAGACCGCGATCGGAAACCTGACACTGGGCACCTCTTCCTCCACAGGACGGACACACCTCACAGAACGCGCCATGGGAGTCATCACTAGTAACCCCAGTAGCCGGCAAGGAAGCCCCGCCGTCGCGATGAAGAGCCGCGAGACTACTCCAATGATGGTCGAGGATGAACACCACCTAGCCCTCCACAGCAGCCAGCAATACGCTTCGACATCAGGATTCCCTCAACGATACCCAAACCATGTATTGGAAGCCTCGCCGAGCCCAAGTGACTGCACATCCAGTTCAGAGGAAGCCCGAAACCTCACAGAGATATTGGCAGATACAGTGGCGACGTATTGTTCAGACTCAGACGATGACTACACACCAGACGCTGATACGACGGTAGATGACTTCAGCAACAGAGTGGATTCATCCTCTGGCGAGGAAGACGACGACGACAGCTTTACAGAGATTGACGCCGACAACATTAACGTACTTGATGCACCCTACATCGAGCCATTCTTTTCTCAGTTTGGTGGCCGTTGCAGTCCTGATGACTATGTGAGCAACGAGCTTACTGACGACCATGTAGAGATGATTATCGAGGAAGCTCGAGCATATGGTATCTTCACTGACAACGTCGATATGTGTATGTTGTTTGTCGTTGACTTTATCACTTCTGCTGACATATTTGGCACTTCTTTTTATTTTGTTTTATAGGCATTGATCGCGTCATTGGACGATATATTATGGGTAACATCTTCTCAGTGAGTCAGCTCCTAGCGGCATTCAATCCAGATCTTGTAAGTTAAAGACTCTATGCATAGATGTCATTGTTCTTGCTTGCATATTCTAGATCTCGTATTAAGCGCGTTTTTAACTGATGCGTTCGATCAAACAATATAGAACACCGACGGTGACGAGTGGACTGAACGGAAGCTGATGATGAAGTTGACAGAGGAGCTGCTAGTTGCCCTTCGCAGGAAACGGCTGACTAACATTCATACCTTGGAACAAGTGGTTCAGCTGCTTCGAGACTCCAAGCGGATTATGGTCCTCACAGGCGCCGGCGTGTCGGTCTCTTGCGGCATTCCCGACTTTAGATCTCCCGACGGTATCTATTCACGGCTTCAGGAGTTCAACCTTCGGGATCCGCAACAAATGTTCGACCTCTCTTTCTTCAAGAGGCGACCCGAGATCTTTTACTCTTTCGCGAGGGAGATCTTTCCGAGTAACTTTATACCAAGTCCGTCACACAGCTTCATCAAACTTTTGGAGGACAAGGGCAAGCTGCTTCGGAACTACACCCAAAACATTGACACGCTAGAACAACGAGCCGGCATCCAAAAAATCCTGCAGTGCCATGGTAGGATAGTTTTGATGGTCGTTATTTGCGAACTAATTATCGATCATTGCTATATACTCACACCAACAGGTCGTCTTGTCTTTTACAATGATAGGATCGTTTGCGACCGCCAGTTGCTTGCGCTGCCGTCGTCAGGTCCCAGGAGATGACATCAAGGAGGCGATCTTTAATCAGGAAGTGGCATACTGCACAGTCTGCCCGCCACCAAGCCCATCCGACTTTGCTCCAAAGTTTAGGGAGGCGTATTACTCTTCTGATGAAGAATCTGACTCGGACTCGGACGACTCTACTTTTAGTGCACCACCACCTCCACCTCTGATGAAGCCCGATATCATCTTTTTCAAGGAGCAGCTCACGTCAGTTTTCCATGACTGTCTGGACGAGGATCGGGACCAAGTCGATTTGCTTATTGTCATGGGAACCAGTCTCAAGGTTGCTCCTGTCAACAGCATTATCGGTGAGTAAGCCAACTACTGAAACTCGTCTCGGGATCTTCCTTGCCGATCACCAAATCTTTTTTATTTTTCTTGTGCCTAACACAACACAAGTACTTGTTTCTCAATGACTGTTAGATGCGCTCCCGGCTGGCATTCCGCAAATCCTGATCAACCGGACGCCTCTTACGCACATGGAGTTTGATGTTCAACTGTTGGGCGACAGTGATACCATTGTGGCGGAGCTTTGCAGGATGGCAGGATGGGAATTGAAGCATGAGAAACTGCCTGACGGTACGTCTAACGTGCTAGACATGGACAGCAACACCAATCTCGATGGATCGGGCAAGGGAGGTCGCGCACACTGGGAGCATTTCGAGCCTTATACGTACGTTTTTGAAGGCGGCAGTCTCGAAGACATTGAATACGAGGTCATGCTTGCACAGATCGCTCAGCAGGGTCTCTCACGAGACCTTGATATGTTCAGAGAAAGCGATGGCAGTGATGCGGACGATGAGGGCCTAGACGCGAGTACACACTTTCAAGGAACGCGTTTTGGAAGTGTAGATCCTATGGAGACCGATGAGAGTCAGGGCACTGTTCGTGGATCTCTGTCTTCTGTGAGTGAGGCGATGGGAGGTGGGGGAATTCATCCAGACACGACAACAGGAACGACGGAACCACGGTCAGGAGACTTGGCGGAGATCCACTTGGCGCATCCTGAAGACCCATTTGCATCGCAAGATTACTCTCAGCGGTTACTATCGGATGATGAGGCAGAGATCATTGACAAGTACACAGAGAAGATGCCTCGCGACATGTGTGAAGGACGATCGATGTCTATTTCGGACGGGCCACACGATTCGACAGCGACTGGTCATGGTCAGGAGTTTGAGAATAGCTTCATGCTTGAACACCGATCGGATGCAGAGCTTCGCGCGATTATGGAGGATCCGCTTTTGGAGGAGGAACAGGAAGGAAAGAGAGAGAGCGATGACAGTGATAATGAGACGTTGTCCTTTCATACGCCCAATGGCTCGTTCCAGGCGCCCGGTTTTCTTGGATCGCAGTCGGTGCTGCGTCTGGAGGAGGATGACGAGGATCTGGCAGGTCTCTCGCAACAAAGTTTCCACGAAGCCGATCTGTTTTCTCAATAGTACTTGTTACTGTAGGAGTATTCAATTGCCAAAGTACATGTATAATATCACGATCAGCGTTGTACGTTTGACGATTATCGACCTATGCGAGTCAAAGTGTCGTTGCTTGAAAATGTAAAGAGGACGAAGGGTTGACATTGAAACCCCGGCGCCCATCGGTCTCTGCCCTGGTGCGGAAGAGACTGGGGGTATTGACGGGTGAGGACATTCGCATTTGAGAGTGAGCTGTTGTGAATTATGTTGTGTACGTGTGTGTGTGAATGAGTCCACGCGTTTCTGTACGTAAGAAATGATTGACTTCTCTCGCATTTCTTTCCTTGTCAGTCTTTATTAACCTTCGTAACCTTCGTTCGCCGTTCTTCTTTTTGCTTCTTCAACTTTTACTTTTTCTTGGTCCATCACACACCCTTGGTCCAGGTACTGTCAAAACGAAACACTCCTTTTCTTTACACATGCATCACTCTCGCACACACAACCGTTGCCTCATTCCCTTATACCAACTTGACGCCTTCCTCCATCAACACGGCACCCCAAGTCCTTCTTGACGCTCTCTTCCTTGTTCCAGTCTTTCAGTCTACTGCGGATACACATTTATTAGTCCTTTGCGAAAACTCCACTCGACCTTATCACTTCCTTCGTTCGCTTTGAGCTGCGCTGTTTCTGTTTCTGTATATGTGTGCGTGTGTGTGCGTGTGTGTGCGTGTGTGTGCGTATGCAGCAATAGCAATAATATGGTGGCAATGACTAAATTGTACGCTTTGAGTGAGTGAGTCCCCACTCCTCCACTTTCTTCTACGCCTTTTGGCGCTTACCGGGTGTTCATTCAAGCGCGACCCGGTCCTACCCGTCTCCTTTCTCCATGTTCTTTCAAGGAAACAATGACTGACATGACTCAAAAAGCAACATACCTCCCGACGCATCATGAACATACCCCCAGTCAGGCAATGAACCTCCATTTTTGTCACACAACATTACACGCATATGAAGAAAAGGAAATACTTTGCCAACGCACAATGAGAGTAAAGAGAGACCTGATCAGTTATTTATTTTTGTGTGCGTGTGTGTATGTGTATGTTGTTCAGAAACTGGGCTCCCTTTTGCCCACGACCCTACGCCCACGCGGGTTCAGTTCAATTGTAGCTTACACACACACGCTTACACACACACACACACACACAGAGGCAAACAAGAGTGTACAGGGAGAGAGGGAGAGAGAGAGAGAGAGTGGAGCCATACTAAACCCACGTTCACGAACCTTGTGCTCACTCTTCTTTTCTTTTCTTTTCTTTTCTTTTTTTTTTTTTTTTTTCTCTCCTCTTCGATATACAGAAAAGAAAAAACAATCCCTAATCTTCAATAACAACACATCATGTCTGCAAAGGCCGTTCGTGAGTACGACGGAAAGCTGTTGTTGGCACATTGGTTGCTTCGCACACCCATCCCTGCCACCAGCGTCTCCACCACCGGATCCAAGTTTGTCCAACCTGCCACTCGTCTGGCCCATGTCAAGATCGACACTACACTCCTCAACACCGAGCCCACTGTCTTTGGCCAACATGTCCAGACCTTGCTCGACCATTTGGAGCAGACCCACCCTTGGTTGTTGACCAGCAAGTTGGTCGCCAAGCCCGATCAATTGATCAAGCGTCGTGGAAAGAGCGGTCTGTTGTTGCTCAATGCCGATTGGGCACAGGTCAGGACCTGGATCGCCGCACATGCCGGCAAGGACGTCGTCGTAAGTGTCTTCTTCATTGTTCGCTTTGTCAGTTGGAATCAAACAGAGCAATAACAGGATTGAAAGTGGGCTGACAATGGTGAAGGGTGGGAATAATTGTTGCCAGCTACACTCTGCTTGATTGGTGGTTGGTTCGACACTGCGTGAAAATAAAGGGGGGTGGGTGTGTCAGTGAATAAGGGACTCGTTGAGGTTACATGGCTTTAGCATAACCCGGTTTCAACTAACACGCCCCACTTTCAATTTGATAGGTCGACTCTGTCGCTGGTGTTCTCAAGACCTTCTTGGTCGAACCCTTCATCCCTCACCCCGCCAACACCGAATACTACATCTGCATCAACTCAGATCGTGATGGCGATAACATTCTCTTCACACACGAGGGAGGAATCGAGGTGGGCGATGTCGATGCCAAGGCATTGAAGCTCCAGGTCAAGGTTACCGACACCTTCCCTACCCCCACCGCCATCCAGTCGACCCTCTTGACCCACGTCCCAGCTGTCAAGCACGATGTCTTGATCGACTTTATTACTCGCCTCTATGCCGTCTACATTGACCTCCACTTCACCTACCTCGAGATCAACCCCTTGGTCGTCTTGGACCCTACTCCTGAGCACCCCGCCCAGGTCTACTACTTGGATTTGGCTGCCAAGGTCGATCAGACTGCTGAGTTCGAGGCCGGTCCCAAGTGGGCTTTCGCCAGAGCTCCCCAGAACATTGGACTCGTCACCGCTGTATCCTCCCAGGGTGTTGATGCTGGCCCACCATTGGATTTCCCTGCTCCCTTCGGTCGTGAGTTGACCAAGGAGGAGGCATATGTTCAGGAGCTGGATTCCAAGACCGGAGCGTCCCTCAAGTTGACCATTTTGAACAAGGATGGACGTATCTGGACCATGGTTGCCGGAGGCGGAGCCTCTGTCGTCTACAGGTAAGCTTAGCGCTCTTGTATTTGTTCCATGGTTTGCATGTTTATGTACGAGAAGCAATTCTGACTAACAACTTTCCATTTTTCAAATGAACAGTGATGCCATTGCTGCATTGGGACAGGCGAATGAGTTGGCTAACTACGGAGAGTACTCAGGAGCACCTACAGAAACTCAGACCTACGAATACGCCAAGACCATTCTCGACTTGATGACCCGTTCGAGTGTGGTCCACCCTCTCGGCAAGGTCTTGATCATTGGAGGAGGTATCGCCAACTTTACCAACGTCGCCTCGACTTTCAAGGGTATTGTTCGTGCCTTGACCGAGTTCAAGCAGCCATTGATCTCCCACAAGGTCCGCATCTTTGTCCGTCGCGGTGGTCCCAACTACCAGGAAGGTCTTCGCTCGATGCGCCAGCTCGGCGAGACTTTGGGCGTCGAGATCCAGGTCTTTGGTCCCGAGACCCACATCACCGAGATTGTTCCTCTGGCCTTAACCGGAAAGACTTCGGGATTGGATCAGACTGGAGCTGCTACCCCCTTGTCCTCCGGTAACTTGCTTCAAGATCAGCTCTTGGGCAATAACACCCCCTTGAACCCCGGCTCGCGTGCATCTTCGCCACCCCCATTGGAGGATAGGATGACCTATTTCCAGGAGCAGAACACGGATGCTGCCGAGAGTGGTCACGACGAGAACACGCCTTTCACCGCCCACACTCGCTCGTTCATCTACGGAATGCAGCCCCGTGCTGTCCAGGGTATGCTCGACTTTGACTTTATCTGCAAGCGTGAGGTCCCCTCGGTCGCTGCTATGGTTTATCCCTTTGGAGGTGCTCACGTCCAAAAGTTCTACTGGGGCACCAAGGAGACATTGTTGCCCGTGTTCACCTCGTTGGATGAGGCTATTGCCAAGTTCCCCGAGGTCGACACTGTTGTCAACTTTGCCTCGTGCCGCTCGGTTTACGACTCGACCCGGGAGATCTTCAAGCACTCGAAGCAGATCCGCACCATTTCAATCATTGCCGAGGGTGTCCCAGAGCGTCGTGCCCGCCAGATCCTGTGGGAGGCCAGGGAGCGCAATGTTTTGGTGATTGGACCAGCCACTGTCGGAGGCATCAAGCCTGGATGCTTCAAGATTGGAAACACTGGAGGAATGATGGACAACATCGTGTCGTCCAAGTTGTACCGTCCTGGCTCGGTCGCCTATGTGTCCAAGTCTGGAGGGATGTCGAACGAGTTGAACAACATCATCTCGCGCACGACCGACGGTGTCTACGAGGGAGTTGCCATTGGAGGAGATCGTTACCCTGGATCGACCTTTATTGATCATATGCTCCGCTACGAGAAGGATCCCGGATGCAAGATGCTGGTCCTTTTGGGAGAGGTCGGAGGTGTGGAGGAGTACCGTGTCTGCGAGGCGATCAAGAACGGAACCATCCGCAAGCCCGTCATTGCTTGGTGCATTGGTACCTGCGCCAAGATGTTTGCGACCGAGGTTCAGTTTGGACATGCCGGAGCTTTGGCCCAATCTGACTTGGAGACGGCCGATGCCAAGAACCGTGCCCTCCGCGCTGCCGGCGTTATTGTTCCCGAGACGTTCGAGAAGCTGCCCTTGATCTTGAGCCAGACCTACCAGCAGTTGGTCAAGAAGGGTGTCATCACTGTCCGCTCTGAGCCCGAGACGCCCAAGATTCCCATCGATTACTCGTGGGCCCAGGAGTTGGGACTTGTCCGCAAGCCTGCCTCGTTCGTGTCGACCATTTGCGATGATCGTGGACAGGAGCTGTTGTATGCCGGCATGAGGATCTCGGATGTGTTCAAGGAGGACATCGGTATCGGAGGAGTTCTTTCGCTCCTTTGGTTCAAGCGCCGTCTTCCCGATTATGCCTGCAAGTTCATCGAGATGGTCCTTATGTTGACTGCCGACCACGGTCCTGCCGTTTCTGGAGCTCACAACACCATTGTCACTGCTCGCGCTGGCAAGGACCTTGTCTCGTCCCTGTGCGCTGGTCTGTTGACGATCGGAGACCGATTCGGAGGAGCTCTTGATGGAGCTGCTGAGCAGTTCTCGTCTGCGTATGACAAGTCGTTGTCGCCCCGCGAGTTTGTGTCGTCGATGAGGAAGCAGAACAAGTTGATTCTGGGTATTGGCCACAAGATCAAGTCGCGGACCAACCCCGATCTCCGTGTGGAGATTATCAAGGACTACGCCAAGGCTCACTTTCCTGCCACGCCAGTGCTGGACTATGCATTGGCGGTCGAGACTATCACGACGTCAAAGAAAGACAACTTGATCCTGAACGTTGACGGAGCGATTGGTATCCTGTTTGTGGACCTGTTGAGGAACTCGGGCGCATTCACAAGAGAGGAGGCCGAGGAGTATATCAAGATTGGAACGTTGAACGGACTGTTTGTGTTGGGCAGGACGATTGGATTCATTGGACATTTCTTGGACCAGAAGAGGCTCAAGCAGGGATTGTACAGACATCCTTGGGATGATATCTCGTACTTGAGCCCTGGCAATGAGTTGGGAAGGACTGTTGCCTCCTTGGACTCTATTAATAAGAAAGCTGCTTAAAAGACTTTGTCAGTTCGACTTTTTTAAACACCATTCACATAGAAGTAGGATCGCTTCCCCTCTTTCTCCTTTTGTTACCCCATCTTTTCACTTCCTTTATTTTAAAGTAAAACCATTTTTTTTGAACAAACCTGTTTCGACGAGCATTGTTTACTTTGGAGAACTGGAGGAAAATGAAGGAGAAGGAGCGGGAAGGGCGAAAAAAAAGGAGAGTTGTAAAAAAGATTGGAGGAACGAGCGTCCAAGGACGAAGGGAAGAAAATGGAAGGGAAGAAAATGGAAGGGAAAAAAATGCATGATATTTTATTTTTTTTTATTAATCGCACAGCAGTTGCGGAAAACCAAACCCTTTGATCCATGATTTGCCCCTCTCTTTTTTTTTTTTTTTTTCTTTCTTTTTTCTATTGTGTTTTTCTTTTCGATCCATGCGTTTTTACGCCCTCCTGCTCCACCCCTTCCCCTCCCCCAGATGCTTCTATCCCCCCTTTTCCTTCTGTGTCATAATATGAAATGCAAGAGAGAAGGATGAAAAAGGAAATGATTAAAAAAAAAAACACACAAGAACACGACACAACCCAACAGGAGGTATTTTTGTTGTTTTGTTGTCGTTTAGGTTTTTGGACGGTAGAAAAAAAAATGCAATAGTAAGGGGGGAGCAATTTCGGGTATAATTTCGGCGGGTTTTTATTTCTGAACTGTTGAACGCAGCACTTTTTTTTTTTTTTTTTAGTTTGTGGGTTGTTGGGATTTTCTGGTTGTTATCAGGGCCTTATTCGTTGGTCGGTTTTTAAAGAGAAGGGAGGGGGTTCTTTAAGTTTGGTTTGTTTGCGGACGTGAGGATAGTAAGTAGAAAAAGGGTACTAAGACAAGAAAAGGCATAGAAAAATACAACAAAGCAACAAAGCAAGCAACAAGCAGGAGGAGGAGGAGGGCGATAGAAAAGTGTGCGTTTCGTTTCGTTTCGTTCGGGTAGTTGAAATAAGGTTTGTTTTGTTGATTGTTGTTCTACTACTACTACTACAAAATACTACTACAGGGGTTACAAAAGCGAAAAAGAAATAAACAAGTCTACCAGGCCTGGTTGATAAGAGGGATGAAGGGGGACTGTTGAGACATCAAGACCGATGCTGGGGAGGAGACTGTCCGGTCCCGGATATACTCTGCAGAACTCGTGGTAATGACACTACCATCGCTGTTGACCTGGGGTGCACTTGCGATGGAAGGTGTAGAAGGGGTGGAGGAAGAAGTCATCATGGCCATGGTCACGACAGTAGGAGTAGTGCCACTGTTGGTCACCGTGATATCAGAATCCGAAAGACGCCTCTTGCGGTGCAGCGGTGTCTCTGCGACAGAAGAGGCGGTGGTAGAGGACAGGGAGATGGAAGAGGATGTTGCGGAGGACAAGGAGACGGCGCTCGCTCTTCGTTGCTGTTCGGCAAGGGTATTGCCAGAAGTAGAGGAGCTCATCTCGAGGGGGCCGAGTCCAAGGCTAAGACCCAGGTTCATGTCCAGGGAAGGAAGCTGCTGGCTGGCAAGTCTTGGGGCTTGGTGCAACATAGCATTCTGCTGCTGCTGTTGTTGTTGTTGGAACTGCAGCGAGAGCGGATGAGGGTGCTGGAGTGGATGGAGAGAATTCTGATGCTGGCTATGATGGTATTGCTGCAATGGTGGTGGGACTTGCGAGAGCTGGTGCTGTTGAGATGCCCGACGACTATTGTTATGACGGACCTGCTGGGTCTGGGTCTGAGGCTGCTGGTGTGTGAACTGGTGGTGTCCAAACACCTGCGACAATGGCTGCGACTGCTGCTGGAGGTAGAGTTGATGCTTCTGGGAGGGGAGAGGGAGTGGAGGGCCCATGGAGGAGAGGTGTGGGAACTCGAGGCCAGTTCCACCACCAAAGGGGTCCATGGGAGAAGACCGTGCAGGGAGTGACCTGTTGTTGTTTCCACCACTGACGGCGGAGAGGAGACTGTCAGTGTTGAGGTACATCATTCCAGAGGCGGCGGCGTTGGAGCTGGAGCTGGCAAACATAAGGTCGTGAGGGCTTGGAATCTTGTTCTGTTGCTGCTGCTGGTGCTGGTGCTGCTGGCTGATGACGGTGACAGCGGAAGGGTACTGCTCGGAGAGACCCATACCTGGATGGTGATGGTGAACATGACCATGACCCATCGAGTAAGGGGTGGTAGAAGACCGAGTTCCAAGACCAGATCCAAGGATGGCACTGCTACAGCTGCGACGATGGTTGCGGCTCCTCATACTTCCCACGAAGCCCACAAGTCCACCGCCCATCATCAAGTCTCCACCCATACCAAGACCCGCCAGAGCAGAGGCGCGCTTGGATGCACTTCCGCTAGCGCCAGAGTGGGAATGACGACCACTGCCGCGTGGAGGGATGACCGCACCTTCAACATTATGTTTCTCGCGTCGGTGGCGGAGAAGATCATGGTTGCGCTTGTAGGACTTGTCAGAGCAATCGCGGCAGACAAAGGGGCGGTCCGAGGAGTGGGAGACAATATGGGATCGGAGGAGACCCTTGGACTGGAACTCCTTCAGACAGTGAGGGCAAACGGCAGGACGGTTGTTCTCAGGATCATCATCGTCGTCCTCATCCGAGTTCTCTTCGTTATCCTCCTCATTGGTGTTTTGATCGTCATCCTCACCAGCACCGGATGTACCAGTTCCATCCTCGTAGTCCATATCACCAACATTGTGAGAGGCCGCCTCGAGTTCAGGGCTGGTCTGGACACTACTGGCGCTGAAACTGCCGCGGCTTGCAAATTTGCTGCTGTGGGTCATAATACCTGATGAAGACGCAGAAGACGAGGCAGTAGAAGACGACATGGACTTGATGATGCGGCTGTTGTGGATATGAGGCAGCGACGACTGACGACCAAAGATGGAGTTACTGGCAACGACGGCCTCAAGGCCAGAGGCCATACCTGTCAAGTCCATCATGGAGGGAGAAGACGCAGACGAGGGAGAATCGCCATTGCTACGAAGCACGGGTGGGCCAAGGGGATGAGGGTGAGGGAGGTGACTCGTGACTGGGCTGCTGTTGTTGCTCGAGGACCGAAGGTGGGCCATGACCGCCTTTGGGATGGGCGATGGAATCGTGTTGTTGCTGGTCGCAGTAGTTGACGGGTTAGGGGTCAAGGGGGCAGAAGTCGACGATGTGGATGGCTGCTGTTGGGACATGGGCATGAAATCGTAAAAAGCGAGGTTCAAACCAAGACCAAGACCGAGACCATTAAAATCCTCTTGCTGCTGCTGCTGCTGCTGCTGGAACTGATGATGATGAGAAGAGGGGAGAGGGAGAGGAGGAGTAGGGGCGGCTGCAGATGTAGGTGTTCCCAAGGCGTGGTGATGTTGAGAGAACGTGTGGAAGTTCTGAGAAGGAACCACGGCATGGGGATGATGAAGCTCGGTCGACAAAGGATGGATAGGTGTAGGGAGCTGGGCAGACCCCCGTGTTGTCCGCTGGCTGCGAAGAGAAGTTGGGTCTTCTGATGCGATGGTCGCTTCGGACATCTCTGGAGATGCGGTCGTTGACGACGACTCGAGAGGATGCTTATCTAAGCGGCCCGTAGGAAAACATAGGAAGCAAATAACACGAGAAAAGAAATATTCCATGGTAAGTAAGTTGACATGGTATGATTGGCAAGTACGATAGAATGAAATGGTATCCATGCAAAAAAAGGGGGGAGAGAGAGGAGAAAGCGGGATAGAGAAGGGACCAGAGCACAAGAGGTAAATGTCGAGGCTGCATGAAGTACAAAAATATGCAACGCATCATGTTCCTCACAAACAAAAGAAAAAGAAAAAGAAAAACGAGGGGGGAGAGAAAGAAAGAACAAGAGAGGAGGAAACTAACCTGAAGTCGAGACCGAGATCGACGAGGAAGAGGAGGTCAAGTGCATCACGGGGGAAGAGGTGATGTTGGACGGTACAACGACAGAAACAGGCATAGAGGTGGTCGCCGTGGCTGTGGAGGACGCAGAGGAAGACATGGTGGAGGTGGTTGCTGAGGACATGGAGGGAGAAGGAAGCGACGAGGCACCAGATGCGGTGACCGACCGAGATTGAGGGGTAGATCCAGGAGTGACCAGTCCTCCATTTGAGCTCAACTCGGAGGCAACGGCGGCGGCGGTCATCCATTCAAAGTCATTTCCGGCAAACTGATCCGGTGTCATGCTCTGCACCGTCGTTGCTGCTGCTGAGGCGATGGCCTGTTGGTGCTGTTGCTGCTGGTGGTGGTGGTAGTGCTGAGGATCCATATAGAGAGGCTGGCTGAAAGCCGTGTTGTTCATACCAAATATGGGCGAATCGGCCGACAAAGGAGTGAGGGGCGATGATCCAGAGTGGCTCATCGTCATAAGGCGGCTTCGCTTCAGAGGTGGGGGTCCATCCATCTTTTGGGACTGTTGATGCTGGTCAAATGAAATTGACAAGGGAAGGGGGAACCCTTGCTGTTGTTGAAAGATGCGTTGTTGAAGCATATTGTGTTGGCGTTGTTGAGGGAGCTGATCTTGCTGAATGGGAGGGGTTTGGCAGTTATGCTGTTGTTGTTGCTTAAGGAGAATAGTGTTTTGTTGTCTCTGCTGGATCTGCAGGTGGAATTGGAGCTGTTGTTGTTGTTGTTGTTCCAGAAGCCGTTGTCGTTGAATTTGTTGCTGTTGCTGAAGGAGTGCGTGTTGGTGCTGTGCTTGAAGTTGCGAGTTGTTGGAGGCTGTTGTTTCTTTTACTGCTGTTGCTGTTGAGTTATTTGTTGCGATCGTGTCTGAGATTGTTGAAGAAAAAGATGTGATATCAACGGATGAAGGGATAGACATAATTTTGTGGATGTAGTGGCGTTGGTTGCGGCTGTTGACGTTACTGCTCGTTGGTGTGGCGCTGATAGAAGAAAGCAGTGGGACAAGAGAGAAAAGGAGGGAGAGAGAGACATAGAGAGATATATGTAAGTGGGAAGAAGTAGATAACGTGAACTGACGGCCAGTACGTGGCCATTGACATGATTGTTTGATAGGTATGTTTGTGCCTTAAGATTGTGTCTGTTATTGACGTCCTTTTGTTGTTATTATTTGCTTTTCCCTTTTCCACAATGATGTTGTTGTTGTTCGTGATGATGGAGATCAGGGGAAACGGTTCCTGTCTTTGTTTTGTGTCTGCTTTTTTCTTCTTGTTTGCTTGTGTAGAGATAGAAAGAAAGAGAGGAGTCGAGGCTGCTCGAATTGACGTTGAGATATTAGGACGTGGAAGTGGATGTGGAAAGGGGGTGAGGAGAGATGGATGGAGATGGAGGAAGCGGGGGAGAGGGGGGATGGGATGATGATAGTTGAATAAAGGGACACACACAAACCCAAAAAATTGCAGGTTGGAAAATGAGGCGCTTTGACTGTGTTTGCGATGCTGACCCTAGGAGTTGCAGCTCGCTAGAAGGTAGTACTCACGGGTGGGTTATTTGGGAGTCAACGGGAGAATGCAAAAAGTGGGAGAGGAGAAAGGATAAAGCAAAAGAGAGGGTGATTGGGGCTGTAGAAGTTTAGAGAGAGATATAGAGAAAGAGAGAGTAGTAGAGCAGGGTAGAAGGAATATGAGCGTACAAGAATTAGATGCTGATAGATGTTTTTGCAAAAAGAGAAAAGTGAAGAACAGAAGAAAAAAAAAGGGGGGGAATGGGATGTTCGGGCTAGTATATATATGTGTGAAAATGTAGGCATGTGCACGAGTGAATGTGTGATTGTATGTGAATGTATGTAAGAGAGTAAGAGAGACAGGCAAGGGTGCTGGACATGGGTGGATGGTCAGAGAGCACAAAGAAAGAGAGGGTGAGCGAAAGAGAGAAAGGGAGGGAAGGGGAGGGAAAGTTTCGTGAGCAAGGTACAGAAGAGTAAGTATTCTTTCTGTCGTCGGTTTGAATGTTTGAATAGGAGGGCGGGGGTAGAATAGTACCTACCGAAATACTCAACGGTCAAAAAAATTAAAATCGATGTCCGCTTTGATGTGATGTGCAATGTATGTTTAGGGCAAGGATGTCGGTTGCCGCGGGGACGAGGATATGGTGGTGGCTGCTGAGTGGTGCTTGGTGATTATGAGTTCCTCCTTCAAGTGTAGTAGGAAAAGAGTAGAAAAGTAGACGGAAGTGAATAAGAATGAGCAAGAAAGACTAAGAGGGAGTGAGTAGAATAAGTTTGAGTGAGGGAGAAAAGGTGACGAGTAGCAAATAAGAAGCGAGGAAGACGAGAGAAAAGGTACGGATAGGGTAGAGGAGGAGGGGGTTATATAGAGTTGTGAACCTTGTGCAGGGAAAACACAGGTATGTACTTTACGTATGTTGTTATTGTACTCGACTGGGAAAAGAGAGCGAGAAAGGGGTGAATTGAAAAGAAGTAAAGAAGTAAAGAAGAAGAAGAGGAGGACAATGCTGAAATCAACAAACAATAATCAAAAAACAATAAACAAATCGATCCGACTTTTAAATACCAATCTATTCAAAATATCCGTGGCTACAGGATGCACACAAGAAAATGACACAACTGCAGTCAGGCAAACAAACAATCAGAGCAGAAGAACAAGGTGATACAAGAAAGTGGGCGATTCAACAACCCCGGGCTATTCAAAACAACGACGCTTCGAAAGAAAATAATAAGCGGTAAAGAATAAAAAAAAGGTGTTCGATTGCGAATGCCTGTAGATGGGATCAGATCAGTGGTTGGTGTTGTAGATAGAAAGAGGTGGGGCGAATCGATGGGTATCAGTCAAGTCAGGGCAAAAGGACATACGCAAGGAACGAATTAAAGAATAGCAAGACGGAAGATGATTGACGAAAAGAACAAAGTGTGCCAGAGAGATTAAGCAGTTACAGAAGCAAAAGAAGAAGAAGAAGAAGAAGAAGAGAAGGTGCAACCATGGTTCGCAGCGTATGGATGACAAAAGCATGCAAACAAAAGATAAGGATGAATGATGAACATCTGTTCTTTATTGGGGTTAGCAACCAGGCCCTTGATTGAAGGAATGATGGTTAGAAATGACACGCATTGAAGCCAGAGTGACAGATGCTACTTGCATATAAACTCACTCGAACACACCGCCTCTTTAAGAACAAGCTGCGCCGAAGAATAGGAGAGAAAAGGAGGGAGGATGAATGGACCCACCCACCGTGAAAAAAAGATCGGTTCTCAGCTTCTCTTCCTCTACTTTTTCGAGGGTGCGAGATGATGAATGTCATTCAAGAACTGGACGAACAACGAGTCGTACATTGAACGGAATGACCACCCACTCAAATAAAACGAGCGGGAATAAAAAAAGGGAGACAGAGAGAAAGAAAACAGAAGGGAGAGAGAGAGGGATGGATAGGATGGGTGGAAGGAGTTGATTTGAGCAGACTTGATTACAGAGAGTAGGCCAGGAGACAGAGAGATTGAGAAAGCGAGTGAGCCAAGTCAGCATTCACACACAAAAGAGAAAAAAAAAGGGAACAGAGGAGTGGGACAGGACCACCATTGGATGTTCACTTCTTCTTTTTCTTTCGTCGTATCGTGTTGCCTGTTGCCTGTTGTGTTTGTCATGTCATGCATGAGTGTATGAATACGATACACACACTCATGGACATACAAATGGGATGCACAAAATGAATGAAAGGAGTAGGAGAGAGGAGGGCAAAGAAGAAGAGTGAGAGTGGGATTGAAGGGACACAATCTCTTTTAATTTCTTGTTCACTCTCACACTCTTTTCTCTCTTTCTCATTCTCGATGGGAGGAGAAGTAGAGGAGGACATGGCAGGAGAGAAGAAAGAAAGTAGAGGATGCGAGCGGATGGCAAGGACTACGAGGGAGGGGGGAAGAGGAAAGAGTAAGAGTGGGAGTGGGAGTGGGAGTAGGAGGGGCAACAAAGGATGGAGGAGGTGTGAAAGTTCTGTATATGTGAGTATGTGGATGGTGGATAGGTGAATAGTCAGGTAGGAGGATGTGCAGTGTGTGAAAAATAGGACAATCGTTTTTACTCTACTCAGTCGGAATGCTCACTATTCACTGTACCACTGCTTGTAAGTCATTCAATCGATTGTCAGGGACAATATCAACTAAAACGACACGGAAGGATAACAAAGAATAACGACGGGGAAGGGCAAGAAGAGCGTGACATTGACAGCAACAGGAAAGGAAAGGGAGAAGAAGGGAGGGAAAAGAACTAGTATTGTAGGCAAAGAGGCAGGAGTTGCCACTCATGGACACAATCATTGAATATAATTCAAACACATTCAATTCAAAAATTGTGCGGGACGAGATACAGGGACAGACCACCAAAAACAACAACGACAAGAAAACCTGGTCAAAACACCCAGTTGCTCTGTCAAACATATCTGTATGCACACAATGTCATTGGGCATCCTCATTAGCCCTTCATTAGCATGTCATTGTCCATTCCTCTGACCTTGTGCTTCGGCAATTCAATCATTGACTCATTCACGCTCATTCTCACGCGCCATCATTAGCAATATTCTATAGTCGACAGCTTTCTGAGTGAATGACTTACTCAGTGAGTAAAGACTGAGAGTGAGTGACTGAGGAAGAGTAAGCGGGTGCGTGAATGTAAGTGGGCGAGTGAGCAGGTAGGAAGGAAGAGCTTCGCGGAAATTGGGTGAAAATGATTGGAATGGGTTGAGCCGTAAGTAACATTTACAAAGACGATCGTGCGGTTAGAAGGCTGCTATGACCTCAAATATGGTGCATGCACTCTAAATAGGCCCGAATCTCGTACAGTTACTCGCTCGATGAGTATGTCTCTCTTTGATACCTTTTTGTCAATTCTATCTGCCTCTCTGTACTCCTTGGACATTGCTGCACATTTTCTCAGCAACACAAACTCCTTTATTTTCAAATGCCTCGCTCCGTCTCCTCTCTTTCCCTCCATCTCACTTGAATGCCGTTCTGATTGTTGTCGTTGGTTGATCGTGATTGTTTTCTAGCTATCAATCAATCAATCAATCAAAGCACTGTTCCAAGACAATTAGTCGTTTCGAAACCCCTTTTGTCTCACTCGCCTAGGCATGCGTCGCTAGACAGAGACATACATGTCTTAGTGATGGACGATATTTCCATGCCTTTGTCTTTGTTTGTTCCTTCGTTCGTAGTTCATCAGCCCTCTCTCTTCCTCTACATTCTTTACGTCTCACCTTCGCGTCTACTTTCCCCGCTAATCACATAAACACGCATGTACACATACACACAAAGCAAAGCAAAGGCAGGCACACAGGTGGGCGGGAGACTCATCTTGACACACAATGCCTATCTCTTCAAACTCTACTCTACCCACCTTCTTACTTATTGCTACCCCTTCCTCCTTCTCCTCCCCTCCATTTCATCATTGCTAGTACACAATACGCGCAATTGATCTAATGGCTAATAGCGGAGGTTGTTTATTTTTTGTCATTGTCATTGTGGTTGCCATTGCTGTTCTTTGTTGTTTGTCGTTTCGGTTTGTCTTTGTCTGTTACCATTCA